GGGACTATGATCTACGGATTGCTTTGGATGACAGTCGGTACAGCGAGGAGTCTTATTTCTTGCAGGCCGGCGTTCGATCCCCCGATGGTCTAAGTGGTTAGGCAAGAGGCCCGAGACTGTTCAACACGCTTCCACAACACATAAGGGACTGGCCGACCCCTCAACAGTGTTCAAGAGAGAACTTGATAAACACCTCCAAATGCTACCTGATCAACCAGGCTGTGAGCAGTCGCGTCGAACATCCTGGTTGACCAGTCCAGCAACCGGGCCGCGGGGACGTTGAGCCCCGAAATCAACGCAAGATAACCGGTTCCTTCAGTTAACCTTCCTATCCCAGCTCTCATGTCTTCATATACCTCCCAAGTGTTATCTGATTCTTGGCCAAATGTCACTCACTTTAGCTTAAAATTAAAAGAAAGATTGCCGGCTAGTATCCTAGTGAGTGTCGGAGACGGGTTTGAGTACAACCTGTTCTCCCACTGAAAGCAACGCAATTATGAAACACTGGACTGCCTGTGTTGCATGGGAGCTGGTGAAGCACCAGGCTCGTGTTGCATGGGAGCTGGTGAAGCACCAGGCTGGTTGTGGTGCATGGGAGCTGGTGAAGCACCAGGCTGGTTGTGTTGCATGGGAGCTGGTGAAGCACCAGGCTGGTTGTGTTGCATGGGAGCTGGTGAAGCACCAGGCTGGTTGTGTTGCATGGGAGCTGGTGAAGCACCAGGCTGGTTGTGGTGCATGGGAGCTGGTGAAGCACCAGGCTGGTTGTGGTGCATGGGAGAAGGTGAAGCACCAGGCTGGTTGTGGTGCATGGGAGCTGGTGAAGCACCAGGCTGGTTGTGGTGCATGGGAGCTAGTGAAGCACCAGGCTGGTTGTGGTGCATGGGACCTGGTGAAGCACCAGGCTGGTTGTGGTGCATGGGAGCTGGTGAAGCACCAGGCTGGTTGTGGTGCATGGGAGCTGGTGAAGCACCAGGTTGGTTGTGTTGCATGGGACCTGGTGAAGCACCAGGCTGGTTGTGGTGCATGGGAGCTGGTGAAGCACCAGGCTGGTTGTGGTGCATGGGAGCTGGTGAAGCACCAGGCTGGTTGTGGTGCATGGGAGCTGGTGAAGCACCAGGTTGGTTGTGTTGCATGGGAGCTGGTGAAGCACCAGGTTGGTTGTGTTGCATGGGAGCTGGTGAAGCACCAGGCTGGTTGTGGTGCATGGGACCTGGTAAAGCACTAAATAAAGCTGCCACAAAATGCTTTTAGTTACATTAGGTAATGACCTAGTTCAAACAACCCATCTTGTTACGATAGCCGTACCTAGCCTATCCTTGGCCTAATGTACGAAATATTATACTTTAGTACATGTGCTATATTAGGCCTAGGGGAAGGTTAGGGTTGTTTTTTACAATATCAATGATAGACAACGTGACTTTTAATTTCAAAAGCCCGTGTATTGTACATTATCACTTTTGTGGTTTTAAGAGGTATTTAGTTCGGTTTAATTGGCCTATTCATGAACGTACCAACTTATAGGTGACTTAAATTAAATTTGTTTAAATTTTGCCCCGAGGGGCGAGTTTATTGGGCAGCACCACTCATCTTGTGAGTGGACACACCCATAGAAGCATGTACAACACTCCCCAATAGGAAGAAAACCCGCTGGGTTGTTCATCCTGTCACTTGTACCCAGACACAGCTGGGACTTGCTTAACTGTCTCAAGTGTAATCTCTATCAATTTTGAACATGTCTCGATCATTTTTTTTAAGAAAATGTGGCATTGGGGCCACGTACTGCATGACCCTGGCACTGCGCTCAGCCTATACACCCCCACACCCACCCCACCCACACACCCACTAACTCCCCACCCACACACCCACACCATTCGCTAGGATTTAAACAAATAATAATATGCCAACCTACATTTGTCATTTGGCCTTAATAATAATAATGAATAAATGTTGAAACTTTTTACACAACTATCAAAAAAGTTTTCAGTTTTGTACGAATTTTTGTACCTCCAAAAATCTTGTATTTCTGTATTATGAATGATTTAAGGTGCAGGATGTGAGGGGTGGTGTGAGGGAGGGATGAGGGGAGAGTAACTAGCCTAACTAGCCTAACCATTCCTCTCTGGTCATTGTACCAGGTTGTGAGAGGACTATCAAACTACCTGTACTGGGTCGATGGTCGCTTCGTGGTGAGAGCGAAACTGTGTGAATACACCTTTTTCCCGCTCTCACACGCCCTGAGAGGCCTTACTGACGTCAATTCATAAACACAAATGCAGGAATATATATATTGTTACCTAATGAATGTTATATATTACATCACCTATGCATGTAATACGAGTTTTAAGCTTTACGTTGATGTAACGTCTGAGTGAAACAAAGTGAGAGAGCGGAGAACGGTTGTGAGAAAAGCCGGCGCGCTGTGATTGGTCGGGCCGTGGGAGGGTAACATCGCCTGATCCGCGAGGACCAATCGCAGCGAGGCTTCCACATCGATCCAGACGACATCCTGCGGTTGCCGAAGAGTGTTCCATATTTCAGTCAAATTTGGATTTGTATTGGTTTCCCTGTCTACATGTAGTGTTAAATAAGTGCACAATTGCTCCGCAAAATGTCAAAACTGTGTTATTAAGCGTTTACGAGACTGAGCAAGCAGCTGGCAAGGATCGCATGCTTGCCAACCGTCTTGGAAGCACAATAACGGGGTCACTATTATTTTCAATGCACTGCAACTTATGGATTTCCAGGTGACAACTTGGGTTCATTCTTGCTATATAAATATGCAAAAAAATAAAAAAATAAATAAAAATCACAGTTTGTGACAAACTTTTTAACAAAAGTGAAATCCATCCACATTAATGCATTGTTTCTACTTTATCTTACATTAGTTCAAAGTAAAATAATCATAATTGTAAATGCAGAGTCCATCTGTACTGGACACAGGTATAAACAAATCCAAGCAGATGTAGCCCACTAGGCTACGCCACCCCCCCCCCCCCGCCTTTTATCTCAAATGTCCATAAACATCTTTTTGGTCTAGTGTATATTAGTGTTTAGGCCTGGTGAAATGTTTATTATATAAAATTTGGATAGACAAGAAGGCTGATAATAATATTATCTTTGGTATCACAATGGTGTGACCCACACTAATAGTGCTTTAAATGGATGTTGAGGTTGTGGTGGGGGGTATGGGGGTTGTGGGGAATGTGGGGGGGGGGTTGTGGTGAATGTGGTGGGGGGGTTGTGGTGAATGTTGGGGGGGGTATAGGGTTGTGGTGAATGTGGTGGGGTATGGGGGTTGTGGTGAATGTTGGGGGGGGGGGGTATGGGGGTTGTGGTGAATGTTGGGGGTATGGGGTTGTGGTGAATGTGGTGGGGGGTATGGGGGTTGTGGTGAATGTGGGTGGGGGTATGGGGGTTGTGGTGAATGTGGGTGGGGGTATGGGGGTTGTGGTGAATGTTTGGGGTGGTATGGGGGTTGTGGTGAATGTGGTGGGGGGTATGGGGGTTGTGGTGAATGTGGTGGGGGGTATGGGGGTTGTGGTGAATGTTGGGGGGGGGGTTATGGGGGTTGTGGCGAATGTGGTGGGGGTATGGGGGTTGTGGTGAATGTGGTGGGGGTATGGGATTGTGGTGAATGTTGGGGGGGTATGGGGGTTGTGGTGAATGTGGTGGGGGGGTATGGGATTGTGGCGAATGTGGTGGGGGTGGAGGTTGGTGTGCTGCTGCTGGTGTGGAGGAAGGGTGTGTGCTGCTGCTGGTGTGGAGGGTGTGTGGTGCTGCTGGTGTGGAGGAGGGGTGTGTGGTGCTGCTGGTGTGGAGGAGGGGTGTGTGGTGCTGCTGGTGTGGAGGAGGGGTGTGTGGTGCTGCTGGTGTGGAGGAGGGGTGTGTGGTGCTGCTGGTGTGGAGGAGGGGTGTGTGGTGCTGCTGGTGTGGAGGAAGGGTGTATGCTGCTGGTGTGGAGGAAGGGTGTGTGCTGCTGCTGGTGTGGAGGAGGGGTGTGTGGTGCTGCTGGTGTGGAGGAGGGGTGTGTGGTGCTGCTGGTGTGGAGGAGGGTGTGTGGTGCTGCTGGTGTGGAGGAAGGGTGTGTGCTGCTGCTGGTGTGGAGGAAGGGTGTGTGGTGCTGCTGGTGTGGAGGAGGGTGTGTGGTGCTGCTGGTGTGGAGGAGGGTGTGTGGTGCTGCTGGTGTGGAGGAGGGGTGTGTGGTGCTGCTGGTGTGGAGGAGGGTGTGTGGTGCTGCTGGTGTGGAGGAGGGTGGGTGCTGCTGCTGGTGTGGAGGAGGGTGGGTGCTGCTGCTGGTGTGGAGGAGGGTGTGTGGTGCTGCTGGTGTGGAGGAGGGTGTGTGGTGCTGCTGGTGTGGAGGAGGGGTGTGTGGTGCTGCTGGTGTGGAGGAGGGTGTGTGGTGCTGCTGGTGTGGAGGAGGGTGGGTGCTGCTGCTGGTGTGGAGGAGGGTGTGTGCTGCTGCTAGTGTGGAGGAGGGTGTGTGCTGCTGGTGTGGAGGAGGGTGTGTGCTGCTGCTGGTGTGGAGGAGGGTGTGTGCTGCTGCTGGTGTGGAGGAGGGTGTGTGCTGCTGGTGTGGAGGAAGGGTGTGTGCTGCTGGTGTGGAGGAAGGGTGTATGCTGCTGCTGGTATGGAGCAGGGTGTGCTGCTGGTGTGGAGGAGGCTGTGGTGGTGCTGCTGGTGTGGAGGAAGGGTGTATGCTGCTGGTGTGGAGGAAGGGTGTGTGCTGCAGGTGTGGAGGAGCAGGGTGTGCTGCTGGTATGGAGGAAGGGTGTATGCTGCTGGTGTGGAGGAAGGGTGTGTGCTGCTGCTGGTGTGGAGGAGGGGTGTGTGCTGCTGGTATGGAGGAGGGTGTGGTGCAGGTGTGGAAGCAGGTATTGTGCCGAGAGTGTAGAGATGAACATGCACACGACCCATGTGGAGATTCCGAAGAATGACTTACCCTCAAGAAAAGGAAACTATTTCTTTATATTACCCCATATAAACCCCATATGAATACTTACCGGCATCCACCTCACTCATCCTCTTCCCCGTGAGCTGAGAAGGATCTCAAGACACGACTGTTTACACTGCACAAGGATCAAGGAGCCGCGTATTCACCTACAGCCACTGACACGAGTTTACAGCAGGGGAGCGAGGCACGGAACACCTCCACAGCAAGTCACACACCATGTGTTACTGGAGGTAGCATGGAGCAGGAGGAGGCGGCGCTGAACCCCTCCTCACATGCGCAACCTCCGCGCTACCAAACTTTTTTTTAATAACCATATTTTTCCCATTAAATACAAGCCAGTAGAAGGGAATACGCGTTTGATTTTCAGTGTGTGATCATTGTGGTGGTTTATATGTGTCTTCGGTGTTAAGGTTATGTGGGATAGAGGGGTGAAACATGGGTGGAAAAAATGGGGATGCGTGTTATGGTAACTGAGAAGTGGAGGGAGGGGGGAGGCGGGACAACGTGCTGGGAAGACTGCTCGTGGAGGCAGCTCAGGCGTCATGGGTCACTGTCATGGGTCCCTCTACACTCACATGGGTCCCTCTACAGTCACATGGGTCCCTCTACAGTCACATGGGCCCCTCTACAGTCACATGGGCCCCTCTACAGTCACATGGGTCCCTCTACAGCCACATGGGTTCCTCTACAGTCACATGGGTTCCTCTACAGTCACATGGGTTCCTCTACAGTCACATGGGTTCCTCTACAGTCACATGGGTTCCTCTACAGTCACATGGGCCCCTCTACAGTCACATGGGTCCCTCTACAGTCACATGGGTTCCTCTACAGTCACATGGGTTCCTCTACAGTCACATGGGTTCCTCTACAGTCACATGGGTTCCTCTACAGCCACATGGGTTCCTCTACAGTCACATGGGTTCCTCTACAGTCACATGGGTTCCTCTACAGTCACATGGGTTCCTCTACAGTCACATGGGTTCCTCTACAGTCACATGGGTTCCTCTACAGTCACATGGGTCCCTCTACAGTCACATGGGTCCCTCTACAGTCACATGGGTCCCTCTACAGTCACATGGGTTCCTCTACAGTCACATGGGTCCCTCTACAGTCACATGGGTCCCTCTACAGTCACATGGGTTCCTCTACAGTCACATGGGTCCCTCTACAGTCACATGGGTCCCTCTACAGTCACATGGGTTCCTCTACAGTCACATGGGTTCCTCTACAGTCACATGGGTCCCTCTACAGTCACATGGGTTCCTCTACAGTCACATGGGTCCCTCTACAGTCACATGGGTCCCTCTACAGTCACATGGGTACCTCTACAGTCACATGGGTCCCTCTACAGTCACATGGGTCCCTCTACAGTCACATGGGTTCCTCTACAGTCACATGGGTTCCTCTACAGTCACATGGGTCCCTCTACACTCACATGGGTCCCTCTACACTCACATGGGTTCCTCTACAGTCACATGGGCCCCTCTACAGCCACATGGGTCCCTCTACAGTCACATGGGTCCCTCTACAGTCACATGGGCCCCTCTACAGTCACATGGGTCCCTCTACAGTCACATGGGCCCCTCTACAGTCACATGGGCCCCTCTACAGTCACATGGGCCCCTCTACAGTCACATGGGCCCCTCTACAGTCACATGGGTCCCTCTACAGTCACATGGGTCCCCCCTCTCTCTCTCTACACTCACATGGGTCCCCCCTCTCTCTCTCTACACTCACATGGGTCCCCCCCCTCTCTCTCTACACTCACATGGGTCCCCCCCTCTCTCTCTACACTCACATGGGTCCCCCCCTCTCTCTCTACACTCACATGGGTCCCCCCTCTCTCTCTACACTCACATGGGTCCCCCCTCTCTCTCTACACTCACATGGGTCCCCCCCCCTCTCTCTCTACACTCACATGGGTCCCCCCTCTCTCTCTACACTCACATGGGTCCCCCCCTCTCTCTCTACACTCACATGGGTCCCCTCCTCTCTCTACACTCACATGGGTCCCCCCTCTCTCTACACTCACATGGGTCCCCCCCTCTCTCTACACTCACATGGGTCCCCCCCTCTCTCTACACTCACATGGGTCCCCCCTCTCTCTCTACACTCACATGGGTCCCCCCTCTCTCTCTACACTCACATGGGTCCCCCCCTCTCTCTCTACACTCACATGGGTCCCCCCTCTCTCTCTACACTCACATGGGTCCCCCCCTCTCTCTCTACACTCACATGGGTCCCCCCCTCTCTCTACACTCACATGGGTCCCCCCCTCTCTCTACACTCACATGGGTCCCCCCTCTCTCTACACTCACATGGGTCCCCCCTCTCTCTACACTCACATGGGTCCCCCCCTCTCTCTCTACACTCACATGGGTCCCCCCCTCTCTCTCTACACTCACATGGGTCCCCCCCTCTATCTCAGTCTACACTCACATGGGTCCCCCCCCTCTCTCTCTCTCTACACTCACATGGGTCCCCCCCTCTCTCTCTACACTCACATGGGTCCCCCCCCTCTCTCTCTCTACACTCACATGGGTCCCCCCCTCTCTCTCTACACTCACATGGGTCCCCCCCTCTCTCTCTCTCTACACTCACATGGGTCCCCCCCTCTCTCTCTCTCTACACTCACATGGGTCCCCCCCTCTCTCTCTCTCTACACTCACATGGGTCCCCCCTCTCTCTCTACACTCACATGGGTCCCCCCCCCTCTCTCTCTACACTCACATGGGTCCCCCCCTCTCTCTCTACACTCACATGGGTCCCCCCCTCTCTCTCTACACTCACATGGGTCCCCCCCTCTCTCTCTACACTCACATGGGTCCCCCCCTCTCTCTCTACACTCACATGGGTCCCCCCCTCTCTCTCTACACTCACATGGGTCCCCCCCTCTCTCTCTACACTCACATGGGTCCCCCCCTCTCTCTCTACACTCACATGGGTCCCCCCCTCTCTCTCTACACTCACATGGGTCCCCCCCTCTCTCTCTACACTCACATGGGTCCCCCCCTCTCTCTCTACACTCACATGGGTCCCCCCCTCTCTCTCTACACTCACATGGGTCCCCCTCTACACTCACATGGGTCCCCCTCTACACTCACACCATCAACACTCACATTACACTCGTCTTTAATAAGAGCAACTAGGACAGGAATCGCTCAAGCGCTAGTCATTCAAGGCGCGAAAGAGAAGGAATCTGTTCAGCTGGTGTTTCTGACCCTGTGATATTCTGCTGGGAACATGAAGATACTCTATTATTATAAATAATAATAATATATTCTTTTGCATATATAATGTATATAGCGCCCGGGTCTGTGTCTCAGCCTATCCCTCCCCACCTCATCATATTCTGATCTCCCTTCTATCCCCTACTCTTTGCTTATTTACATCCCTCTATGTTAATCTTCCCCCCATTTCACCCCTGTTATCCACCTTCCCCCGTCTCCCTACCCCCCTCTCCTTTCTCTCCTCCTTTTCACCCCCTCTCCTTTCTCTCACATTCTCTGCCTTTCTCTCACATTCTCTGCCTTTCACATTCTCTGCCTTTCTCTCACATTCTCTGCCTTTCTCTCACATTCTCTGCCTTTCTCTCACATTCTCTGCCTTTCTCTCACATTCTCTGCCTTTCTCTCACATTCTCTGCCTTTCTCTCACATTCTCTGCCTTTCTCTCACATTCTCTGCCTTTCTCTCACATTCTCTGCCTTCCTCTCACATTCTCTGCCTTCCTCTCACATTCTCTGCCTTCCTCTCACATTCTCTGCCTTCCTCTCACATTCTCTGCCTTCCTCTCACATTCTCTGCCTTCCTCTCACATTCTCTGCCTTCCTCTCACATTCTCTGCCTTCCTCTCACATTCTCTGCCTTCCTCTCACATTCTCTCACCCTCCCCCTTCTCACACACAATTCCCACGCCTTGGTAGCCCCTCTTTAGATAATTATCTTACCCATTTTACCCTGCCTAAACACTTGGGGTGGACGGTAGAGCGACGGTCTCGCTTCATGCAGGTCGGCGTTCAATCCCCGACTGTCCAAGTGGCAGCCCGTCCTCCAAACGTAGACAAAAAAGTCATTCCATCCACCCGCCAACCCCCCAGGTGTTTATGAATGAAAAACGGTTTACACACGACTCACAACTGCTGACGTTCGAACACTTCCGGAACAAGTGCTTCACTGACGACTGGTGTTCGAACCACAACGCTGTAAATGCTTCACCCACGTACTACAAATAATCGTCCTAACCCAAACACCTAAGCTAACCAAACAATTGCCTAAATATGTACAATATAGTAATATGCAATAATATTAATTTATAATTGAGAAAATTCCTGTTTGGAATGAACAACATGTTAAAATTTATGAATGCCTCTTTGGGGTCGATCGCTGGATGGGATAGACCTTTTCGTATGGTCTGAGGACCAACATGCCACTGGAACATTATCTAACACAGTGCAGAGTTGCAAACCAAATCAGATTTCAACTAAGATTCAACAGAGAGCAGAAAAAGTTATTAAACACATTGTGGATAATGTTACAGAAGCGAACAGACGAGTCACAAATACTCATACACCGCTTAAGTTACAGTTAAGTCAAGTTACAGAAACGAGTAGCACTTTAGGGCCAGCCAGAGGCTTAAGGGCCCACGCGGGAATATACCTGAGAAAAAAAGTTGTCAATATGTATATATTTTCCTATGTATCAGACCGAGCGCTGATGAATGGTTTGTAACCGCACAACTACCATGTTAACTAGTCTCCAGGCAAGGGGTAAACAGATGACTGGATCAGGCGAGCTGTGACAGCAGTCAACCAGTACCTCACAGACAGGTCGGGAGGAGTCACCACGCTCCAGTTGTCCTGTCTTCGTCAAAGAGAACACAATGGGTACTTTCCTATGCCGAGCTCTGGTAAGACATGCGGTAGATCATATATTTAAGCCTCAAGAATGTAAGACTTATTAATGGCGCGTATTTTAATAATAATATCACTTTGAGAATGTAAAGTTTTTCCTTCGATGTGCGTATGGTCATATGGATGCCAGGTGCTTCATTGCTTTGCGTGTTTAAATGGATGTAAGTTTCTTTAGAGTTGAAAATACATGTGCGTTTCCATGGCTTGTTAGCTATAGTAGTAGAATTGTTATACATTAACGTGAATAACTTGTGGTTTGGATTGCATGACTGGACTCAATTTGTGTGCTAAGCTGTTTGTACTAATGAGTTTGTGTTTGCTTTCGATGAGAATAAGTTGATGGCCCTTCTGTAAAGGCGTAGTGATATTTTAGTTTATAATCTTACCTTAGGGGTCTGAGACTTTCCACCGATGGCGTCCAAGCCATCGGCTTCAAAATTTAATGTGACCCCTGTTACCTAGCAGTAAAATAGGTACCTGGGTGTTAATCAGCTGTCACGGGCTGCTTCCTGGGGGTGGAGGCCTGGTCGAGGACCGGGCCGCGGGGACACTAAAGCCCCGAAATCATCTCAAGATAGGTAGAAATTTGGCTCCTCGGTCTGACTGGGAAAAACTGAATAGTTTTTTTTCCTGCAAAGCTTTATCACCGTAAAATATTGCCCTTAAACAGCCTCTGATAAGCCTAGCATGCACTCTCCCCTGGAATTCACAGGAAAATTGGAATTAATTGTAATACCCCAACTGGCCCCGTATATTGACTAATCGTGGTTCAAAAGGTTGTCTCTTAGTATTCTACTTGGTGGGACTGATGCTTCACCCTGCTTTTCAGAGAGCCACTTATGAGTCGAACAGCCAATTAAAAAGCAGTTTTAGTGTTTAAATTGGGTGGGGGGGCAGTGTAGAAGACTTGTACGGTTTGATTATACAAAGACGTGCTTAATAGAACTCGTCCTAATAGAACGTCGCATTTTGACGTATATTCACGTTAAAAAAAATTATTGAAAATGGTAGAGGCTAGAGAAATTGACATTCCCGTTTTCTATTTTTTTTTGGGGGGGGGGTGCGGGGAGGGGGTGCCTCTGGTCGGTTAGGATACGGGAATTTCGGTAAAATTTCTTAACGTTGGGGAATCTTAGGACGGACTCCATTAAAGCAGGGGGTTTATAACATTAAAATACGGCTCCCTAATGTATTGCTTAATATTTTCCTCTAACCCCTTTTGCCAGATTAGACATTACCACTGTCATTCCTAAATTTTTTTTTTTTTTTTGAGATATATACAAGAGTTGTTACATTCTTGTAGAGCCACTAGTACGCGTAGCGTTTCGGGCAAGTCCTTAATCCTATGGTCCCTGGAATACGATCCCCTGCCGCGAAGAATCGTTTTTTCATCCAAGTACACATTTTACTGTTGCGTTAAACAGAGGCTACAGTTAAGGAATTGCGCCCAGTAAATTCTCCCCGGCCAGGATACGAACTCCTGTGTATAGTTAAATGTGTATAGATAGCTTGGTTTGACACTTCGTATAGATGGGAACAGAATGCATGGAACAAATTACTTGAGGTTTATATCCTATAAAGGAAATCTGCACATTTACAAACTATAGCAATGGAATCAGCTATAATATACCTACTAATTTCTCATTTTTTTTTCTTGCAATGTGTTTTTATTAATTTTGCTAGAATTTACCTACTTAAAATTGTTAGATTAAGGACCTGTCCGAAACGCTGCGCGTACTAGTGGCTTTACAATATTGTAAATATTGTAAATATGTATTCTCACAAACCCAATGTACCTTGTTTATAAATAAATACCTAATGATTTTTGTGGTTTGTGCAAAGGTACCGTTGACCTTGGACAAACTGCATAAGGTACATATGTCCGTATACACATGGACAGTTACCGTGAACAGGCGGTTCTAAGGAATTTTTTTTCAGATAGTACCATACCCCGCCTTTCCCAGGGACAATTACGGGGGGGGGGGAGGAGGAGGTTAGTAGTAAAGGAAATCTTGCTATTTACAAATTTAAGTAGATTAGTCTAGAGCTTATTGCAGGAATTTTAATTTGTTGCAAATGGTGAAAAAAAAATACCTGTAGCACTGCCATAAGCAAAATATGGAAAAAAAAAATTAAATGGGTGTAGCACAAAGCGCAAAAGTAGAACGCCTTATTACACTGTAATATTCAATATTGCTAATTGTTATTAAGACCACTTTTTAAATTGTATTGCAATGCATAGCAATTGCAGTAAAGATAACGTTTTGTTACTAGGTATCGGTTAATAAATTTTGTATGCACCTTAATTACATTTAAAACTAAAGTTAGTCATCGCGGTTATCTTGAGATGATTTCGGGGCTTTAGTGTCCCCGCGGCCCGGTCCTCGACCAGGCCTCCACCCCCAGGAAACAGCCCGTGACAACTGACTAACTCCCAGGTACCTATTTACTGCTAGGTAACAGGGGCATTCAGGGTGAAAGAAACTTTGCCCATTTGTTTCTGCCTCGTGCGGGAATCGAACCCGCGCCACAGAATTAAGAGTCCTGCGCGCTATCCACCAGGCTACGAGGCCCCTAGCCTGATTAATACCTTTTAAGGTAGGAAATGATTAGATTCCCCCCCCCCCTAACAATTTGAGAAGTTCTGTGCCGTAGTGTTCTTGTAATTACTTACTTTCTTCTACAGTTTTTCTTGCAGATTTGGCAGTATGTGGCCGTGCAAGGGATGTTCTTAGACCAGGTGAGATGTTGGTCTGTTTTACTAGAATGTTAAATCATTTTAAACTAGTTTTCCACCTGTCACCCAGGTCTTGTACTTCCAAATGTACCGCAATTGGTTAAAGCAATGGCTAATGCATGTATATACAGGCTGTATACCGTCTATTCAAAAAATAAAAAGCTTCAATAAAGTAATTAAGTTTTCCAGACAAAGCTGCACCATACTAGACTAGCACAATCCACTTTTGGTTAAGAAAATTTATATTTTCATGCAAATTACAACGGAATTTTTAATTTATTATTGTGTAAGTTTCATAGATTTCTTTTAGATCGTGGCGTAAACTTCTCGCAATACAATTTATTTAATACTTTAATTCAAAAGTAGGAGACGTGGATTTTTCTCTATTTGCAAGCAGCTCTTGGGGCATGCTCGTCCATCTAGCTGGAGACCAAAGATGTATTTATAAATTTTAACGTAGAACATCGTGCACTCAAAATCTGTGTTCTCCAAATGTAAGCCATAATATAATTTATCGTATAGTTTTGCTTAGATTAGGCTAGTTAGTTGAACTTTGTTGGCAATTATTTGTTTTCTGTAGATAGGTAGTTTTAAGATTTGCTACTTGGAACAAAAAGTTCAAAGTAGCACGGGCTATGGTGAGCCCGTAGGGGTAGTCTAGGTAGATCAGTACCAGCGTAAACTGTTCTTACCGACAGACTACTGGGACATTATACAGTACAACACAGTGCACAGTTACAAACCCATTAAGGTTTCAACTAAGATTCAACAGAGCAGAAGTTGTTAAACACATATGGCAAAATCTTACTGAAGCGACCATAAGTCACAAATACTCATACTCCGCCAAAGTCAAACAGAAACAAGCAACACTTAATGGGCCATGCACATGCGTGTGTAGATTTAACACTTGTAAATACGTGCGAAACTATACTTGACAGGAGAAACAAATGCGCAATTTAAAATAATTTATTCATTATTGGGTAATGTGTAAAATATTGCCAGTTTTTTCTTTTTACGAACGTCCACCACTAGGCTTCTGTACATAGAGTAATGGGACATAGTCTCCGTCGATCGCGGAGTTATACAGCGCGTTTTCTAGCTTCATAATCTAGAAAGTTTAATGACTACTTGTGATAGTCTCTAAACCTTCCACACTCTTCATATTGACTATTTGCTATCAAATTCAAGCTCTTGAATTCTGACGGTAGCCTCAAGTGCAAGGCTTAGTTTTCTTTGCGGCTGGGGACAGATGGCGTAGTAGGAATGAGAGAACAGTTACTTCATTATTTGTACAATGAGTCTGTAAGCTACAGTTGCGATAGTTTGTTGATGGCTCGCCACTTGTGCTTGTACTCACTCACTCCGGACAGTTAGTATGTTATTGCATGTCTTGACACTTAAATTTGTTTCAGTTTCTACGGATAGACATCTTCAAGATCTTCGGAGCGAGAAGCGTCCCTAACCACTGCTTCGCTAGCCTGAATGTTTGCAAGTTAGACTGTGACGAATGCAGCGTCTGCTATAACAATTACATTGACTGCTCCTTTCGTGGAGGATTGGCGCCACCACCACCTCAAAAGACATCCCCTGCAGAAAAACTTGTTCAGCCATTAAAAACCCCTCCTATAACCGTTGGCACTCCTCCCTTAACCCAAGCATCTAGTATTGTGCAGTCTGGAAAGTCTAACACTACAAACAGTACTTTTAAATTATCTGGATCGGCAAGTCAACAAGTCTTCTCTATACCACATGCTAGTCTCGGTTCTGCTGGAATAGCAGGTACTCCAACTGGAAAAGAGGCCCATGCTCTACCAGGAAGTTCTGTTGCTTCGTTACATGTGACGGTACCCAATGTACTGCCTAGCTCGGTGGCGGGCTTCGAAAAACCTTTGCACGTCCTGCCTAGCTCGGTGGCGGGCTTCGGAAAACCTCTGCACGTCCTGCCTAGCTCGGTGGCGGGCTTCGAAAAACCTCTGCACGGGCTGCCTGGCTCGGTGGCGGGCTTCGAAAAACCTCTGCACGGGCTGCCTGGCTCGGTGGCGGGCTTCGAAAAACCTCTGCACGTGCTGCCTGGCTCGGTGGCGGGCTTCGAAAAACCTCTGCACGTGCTGCCTAGCTCGGTGGCGGGCTTCGAAAAACCTCTGCACGTGCTGCCTGGCTCGGTGGCGGGCTTCGAAAAACCTCTGCACGTGCTGCCTAGCTCGGTGGCGGGCTTCGAAAAACCTCTGCACGGGCTGCCTAGCTCGGTGGCGGGCTTCGAAAAACCTCTGCACGTGCTGCCTGGCTCGGTGGCGGGCTTCGAAAAACCTCTGCACGGGCTGCCTGGCTCGGTAGCGGGCTTCGAAAAACCTCTGCACGTGCTGCCTGGCTCAGTAGCGGGCTTCGAAAAACCTCCGCACGTATCACCCATGATTGGCAGTTTGAAAACGCACCTTCCTGGTCCTGCAGTTTTTGGAAGCATTTCCTCTGGTCCAGGTAGCCTGATCAATTGGGAAAATTTCTTCACCCGAAGTGGTCGGGACGCTGAAAGTACCCCGGTGAACTCCGTGGAATCTACCTCTTTGCTTGCGAGCACCACCACCGGCTCCGTGGACCCTACCTCTGTGCTTGGGAGCACCACCACCGGCTCCGTGGACCCTACCTCTGTGCTTGCGAGCACCACCACCGGCTCCGTGAACCCTACCTCTGTGATTGCGAGCAGCAGCACAGGTTCGGTGCACTCTACCTCTGAGCTTGCAAGCAACACCACCGGCTCCGTGCACTCTACCTCTGTGCTTGCGAACAGTACCACCGGCTCCGTGCAGTCTACCTCTGTGCTTGCAAACAGCACCACCGGCTCAGTGTACTCTACCTCTGTGCTTGCAAGCAACATCACCGGCACAGTGGGAAATACGACTGGAGGCACAGAGACTAACGGTACAGCAGCACAGCCGGGTGACGGTTCAAGAGCTTCAAGTCAAGTAGGATCCTACCTGGTTTTATAGTTAAATGTGGATTTAAGTTTTTGTAAAGTTTAATCTAAAAATCATACTTGTATTTAAAATGAAACTGCCATGTAACTGGAAATGTCTGTTCAATTTCTCCTTACTGGAAGATGAGATTATTAATTCTATAGGAATGTTTTGGCCTAGAGTATTGGCAGTTGCTTGAGCCTGGATACTAGGAACTGTTTGAAACTTACATCTTTGTATTTTTAATAAAGCAATTTTTGCCCTTGGAAAAAGTTCTTGGCCAACTGCCCAGTGTAAACTGTGATAAACCAAATAACTGTTGAAATGAGGCTATCAGGGAGGTGTTTGTGGAGATTTGAATAGCTATAATGGGAATGGTGATTGGCTAGGCTACCAGGGAGGTGTTCGCGGAGACTTGAATAGCTGTAATGGGGATGGTGATTGGCTAGGCTACCAGGGAGGTGTTCGCGGAGACTTGAATAGCTGTAATGGGGATGGTGATTGACTAAGGGTACTCTTGCGAACACTTAAGTAATGCATCTTGTGATGCAATTACTAGTCCCATGCAACTTGCTAAATAAACTTGCTTTTGGAGAGAGAAGTATGCAACAAATGTCTTTCAAATGTGTTTAAATTAAATATTTTAAATAACCCGAAGTGTTGCTCTCTGCCAAAAACCTAAAGTTTTAGACTTCTGTACACATGCTTGGTCCAACCATTATTGTAATTATGAACTATAACTACTTGTTTTAATAAATTTTTGTGACTATAATTATCAAAAGGCGCCAAGCTTCGGAGACTATGCAGCAAGTGTGATTGTAAATTAACAGTCGAGACAACTTTAGCACAATATAAACTATTAATCTTAATTAATATATATTAATTAATATATAACTTGTATATATCAAGATAGTTAATATATTAACCCCCCCCCCAACCGTTAGTGTTTAGAGAGTTTGTGGTGAATTTAACTGTCTGTAAATGGCAACTACGATATGATACATTTCTTTATCGGTCAAAAGTGGCTTATATAAACTGCAGCTAAACTCTGGTTTCTCTGCCAGGAGAGACAACGGCACTCATCATGCCCCTTACAAAATTAATTTGCCTCCCTTCCCCCACACATCTTCACTTTCCACCCTATTGTCTTATCCTGCAGAAGTATTTACTGTTACCAAATTATTATTTGTTTATCTCCACTTCTTTCTGGCTATTCCTATAGACTTGATTCCGTTGTTGAATATTCATTCCATTGTATTTGGTGTTGACGCCGGGAGAGTTGAGAAGGCGCACTCCTATAAAACACTGCTGGTACCTGACGTGGCTGAGTGAGGGTGGGGGCTTGTCACATCCTATCTTCGTTGACAGCCCGATCTCTACGGACTGACATTCTTAAGGTGACGATTGCGCGGTGTATATTCAACCCCTGGGAGGCTGAGTTGTCTCGTTCCCTATCTCCTAATTGAGGCGTCATGGTCGGGGGGGGGGGGGGGGGGGGGGGGCGTAATCGTTGGATTAAATTTTATCCTTGTTCATTCTACGCAAACATCTGACCCTCTCGTCACTTTAGTGGAACCGTGATTGAAGGACGGGCTCTAGTCCCGCTACGTTGGGCCCAAACCGAGCTGCTGCTGTCAGTCGCTCAGCTCTGCTTCCCTCCCACCTCGGTGGCAGGGCCGAGCCCCCAAGGGTGACAGTCACCCGGAATGGCTCCATCTCGCGTTATGACAACTGCACCATTGTTACTGGGAATGCTCTGCGCCGTCAACCCCGCGCACTAACCAGGCATGATTCCTTCCCCAATCTACTACATTCCAGGATAGTAAGCCTCTACGTATTGAGTTCCTGCCAGCTTGACTTCCGTTCCCAAAAGATTACCAATGATGCCATTATTAGTCTGCTTGATATAATTTACAAAACCCTTGACACAAATTAGTTTCTCAATTGGCCTCTTCATTGACCTAAGAAAGGCCTTTGATACTCTTCATTGACCTAAGAAAAGCCTTTGATACTGCAAACCATAGCTATCTCTTCCTTAAATTTTTTTTTTTTTTTTTTTTGAGATATATACACAAGAGTTGTTACATTCTTGTAGAGCCACTAGTACGCGTAGCGTTTCGGGCAGGTCCTTAATCCTATGGTCCCTGGAATACGATCCCCTGCCGCGAAGAATCGTTTTTTCATCCAAGTACACATTTTACTGTTGCGTTAAACAGAGGCTACAGTTAAGGAATTGCGCCCAGTAAATCCTCCCCGGCCAGGATACGAACCCATGACATAGCGCTCGCGGAACGCCAGGCGAGTGTCTTACCACTACACCACGGAGACTGAGATTTCACCACAATGGTATCAGAGGCCTTGTTATGAGCTGTATTCGTTTGTATCTCGGTGACACCAACATGTAGCCATCAATAACATAACCTCTCCCCCTCAACCATTAACTGTAGGAGTGCCACAAGGGCAGCATCTTGGGACCTCTTTCTTTTTCTTGTATATATCAATGATTTGCCAAATGTTTCTAACATTCTTAACCCTATACTGTGTGCTGAAGATAATATTTTCATCTATTCTGACTCCAACTCTCGCATACTAAATTTTGTAAATAATTAATTAAAGTCTACTAATGAATGTCAACCAACAAACTCGCACTAAATATAGAAAAGACCTACTACATTTTATTTGGTAGTAAATCAAGTCAAATTCAACTTCAGATAGACAATATTAACATTAGCAATAAAAAGGAGGAAAAGTTCCTTGGCCTATACATAGACATGAACTTCAGCACCCACATGTAACAGCCATAAAAGTCTGAAAAACGGTTGGTATACCCAAAAATCAGATAGGTTCCTCACACCGCCCACGGGATGGGTATGGGGTGCATAATAAAGAAATTGAATCTGCTCTTTCATTATACTACACGCTAATACATCCTTATTTTACATACGGTATCTGTGCATGGTGTTCATTCACTACAAATTACCTCAAGCCCATCAGTTTAGTTCATTTATTATGCACCCCATACCCATCTTGTGAGCGATAGTGGAAAGGGTTAGACTTATAATGGGCTCAGGGACTGAACCCCACAATTCATTTAGCTAAGCTAGTTACAATCTTGATGAGCTAGTTACAAAATTCAATACAAGTCGTCACTGTATATGATTTGAGAGAGAGAATGCTCTGTGGACAGAGCATCACTATGGCTTAAGGTGTTGAGTTTTGCCTCAAGACGAAGCTTAGGCTGTTCTCTAATTTGCTTTTTGGGTTGACAGGGAGGGATTAAAATTAGAAAGGGTATAATCTCCCACGGTGAAGTGCCGTTCTTGTCTCTATAATAATAATAATAATAATAATAATAATTTTTATTTAGGCAAAGGTACATACACAAAGAGATTTTACTCTTTGCTCTCTTGGTACAAATTATAAATCTGAAACATTTTGAGTTCATTTCCAATTTTAGCTATCCATTTGGAACAATGCTGACCTTCAATAAAGAAATTCTGGAGGGCTTCTGTGCAAAGGTTAGGATGAGTTAGCCTAAGCATTTTTATACCAATTTGACAGTTAATTTCAGTAACACGATCAACACGCTCGGAATATTAATTAAGTTCCTTTCTCACGATAAGTATCTTTGTGGTACGAGGGCACCCAAAGATTATCCTCAAGGCTTCGTTCTGTAAATTTTAAGCCCTCCAAGCTCTCTTTCAGGCATCAAAGCAAGCAGAGGTGCAGCATAATCCACAATGCAATGTATTACACACGTCTCATGTGTAATATCTCCTCCTTTGGGGTTTTCCTTTCATGTTTACAGTGAGTTGTTACTGCTGGTAACCTAAATTTTACACTTTCTAGGTTATTATGGGACAGAAGTTTTTCTGCTTTTCATGTAGTTTATTATTTAACGATTTACAGCCATTGAGATTAAATAGGGAATTGGAGTTAAGAGGACATGCTGGAGGGAGTAGTGATACGTCCACTCTCGATGGAGGTCAAGGGGCGACTGAGGAGTGAGGAGCGGAGGGGTTCAAGTATGTTTATTGAGACAGGAAAGAAATACATCTCAAAGGGATAGAGTAGCTTAGGCTATTTCTATCCCCCCCTCGGAGGCCTCCCAGCGTCGCGGCGCGGAGGAAGGTCCCAGGACATGTCAAGACATGTCTCCAGCTTGGACTCGTCCAGGATGGGGGAATACCCACCACAGTTAGACGGTGCTTAGAGAGAACTGGACAGGCACCTCCAAAGGATACCTGATCAACCAGGCTGTGACTCATACGTCAGGCTGCGAGCAGCCGCGTCCAACAGCCTGGTTGATCAGTCCGGCAACCAGGAGGCCTGGTCGACGACCGGACCGCGGGGACGCTAAGCCCCGGAAGCACCTCAAGGTAACCTCAAGGTAAGGTGCGGTGCGGCATCGGAGGGCGAGATGTAATGCTAGGAAATAGGTTCATTACTTACGTTTTGTTAGGAAAATATGTTTAGTGGCAGGGTAATGGAATTGCAACTTTGTCTGGGAAGAAGATAATGGAGGAACTTCGAGGTTGGAGAAGTTAATGGAGGAACTTCGAGGTTGGAGAAGAAGTTAATGGAGGAACTTCGAGGTTGGAGAAGTTAATGGAGGAACTTCGAGACCGGAGAAGTTAATGGAGGAACTTCGAGGTTGGAGAAGAAGTTAATGGAGGAACTTCGAGGTTGGAGAAGTTAATGGAGGAACTTCGAGGTTGGAGAAGAAGTTAATGGAGGAACTTCGAGGTTGGAGAAGAAGTTAATGGAGGAACTTCGAGGTTGGAGAAGTTAATGGAGGAACTTCGAGGTTGGAGAAGTTAATGGAGGAACTTCGAGGTTGGAGAAGTTAATGGAGGAACTTCGAGGTTGGAGAAGTTAATGGAGGAACTTCGAGGTTGGAGAAGTTAATGGAGGAACTTCGAGGTTGGAGAAGAAGTTAATGAAGGAACTTCGAGACCGGAGAAGATAATGGAGGAATTTCGAGGCTGGAGAAGAAGTTAATGAAGGAACTTCGAGACCGGAGAAGATAATGGAGGAACTTCGAGGCTGGAGAAGAAGTTAATGGAGGAACTTCGAGCAGTGTAGGGGAGCTACACGTTTCTTCGTGGAACCAGTGGAGAAACGTCACTGATGTTGGAGCAGGACTTCGCTGTGCAGATAATCTCAAGATAATCTCAAGCAGCAGATTTGGGAGAATTGCAGAAGTGTCTTTCCTGATTTTGGAGAACCCAGAAATATGCATTGGTAATGAGCCTCTAGGAGCAGAACAGAGAATCATTTTGGAAACATTATTGTATCAGGGAAGCGCTTGAGTGCTTATTGGCATGTAAGACGCCGTATAAGGTGAGAGATTGATTTCTTCTTTTGTTGGGGGATGCTTATGTAGATGCTCCAGGTATTTCCTGGAGACCTTAACCACTCGACCATCAGTGACCATACAAAAGATGATGGTAGCCGAGGCTATTTGCCCATCATCCCAACGGCACTTTGATGGTAATCTTGGGCATAGTTATTTTTATAGAATCACCTCACTTTGTGGGGCCACGTGAGCAACACAAATGCGAATAAGCCTGAATGGTCCCCAGGCATATATGCAACTGAAAACTCCACACCCCAGAAGTGAACCCATACTGCCAGGAGCACTATGCAACTAGTGTACAGGAGACCTTACACAACAGGAGATTTCAGATTATATGAGATTTCAACAAATCACAATGTAGGACAGAAAACAGGAGATGCTTTTTCACCCATAGGGGTTGTAAACCCGTGGAACCGCCTACCCGCCGAAGCCGGAAAACGCCAAAATTTTGCTGGGTTTTAAAATACAGCTGGAAAAGATCATCAGAGCAAATGGGGGGGGGATCTTTGACAAGCTGCCGGCTTCTTGTCCTCATCAAGACCATTAGTATTAGTGGCCCCTCAGGTAAATACTCTCCAGGAGGGTACAAATAGCCTAAGCTACTCTATCCCTTTGAGATGTTTTTCTTTCTTGTCTCAATAAACATACTTGAACTTGAACTTGAATACTCTCCAACACTATCTGTGATTGCCCTGTTATCAATGATTTCAGGCCAAATGGTACGAAGACCAGTCTCCGTGGTGTAGTGGTAAGACACTCGCCTGGCGTTCCGCGAGCGCTTTGTCATGGGTTCGTATCCTGGCCAGGATACGGGAGGATTTACTGGGCGCAAATCCTTAACTGTAGCCTCTGTTTAACGCAACAGTAAAATGTGTACTTAGTTGTAACAACGATTCTTCGCGGCGGGGATCGTATTCCAGGGACCTACTCGAAACGCTACGCGTACTAGTGGCTCTACAAGAATGTAACAACTCTTGTACATATTCTCAAAAAAAAAAATCCTTTGAGCTCTGGAACTACTTCATACACTCACGAGTATTGGAAGATATTCTTGTGTTGTACCAGAGTGCTGGTACAGCCTCGCATCAGCCTGGCTGATGCAGCCTCGCATTTCATGTTCTCTCCTGATTCTATGTATGACAAACCATCCAGTGAGATGAGGATATTAGATGAACTTAAAGCTAGTTTTTGATCTACATTATAATCTTAAATATATAAATCGGGTAGCATTCCATTGCTATGTAATCTTGAGGTTATCTTGAAATGATTTCGAGGCTTAGCGTCCTCGCGGCCCGGTCCTCGACCAGGCCTCATTCATTTTTTTTACACACCGCCAGGAAGCAGCCCGTAGCAGCTGTCTAACTCCCAGGTACCTATTTACTGCTAGGTAAACACGGGCATCAGAGTGAAAAAACTGGCCATTTGTTTCCGCCTCCACCGGGGATCGAACCCGGAACCTCAGGATTACGAATCCCGAGCGCTGTCCGCTTAGCTGTCAGGCGCCTATTCAAGGGGTTTTGGATACCTAAACTTCTTAATAATAATAATAAGACAAGGCGAGACACATGTATCTGATTTTTTAATAAATGCCAACTGGTTTTTTTTTTTTTTGCTACACTGTATTTAGTTAGCAACAAAATTCAACTTGTTATGAATGAGAAGGTAAGTAAGTTGTTACTAATTTGGATATTGTTAGTTCTTAGGTTAATTTGATCTGTGAATTTATTACCAAACAAAATATAGAAGGATCAGTGTTAAGTTTTTTTTTTTTTTTTTTTTTTTTTTTTTTTTTTTTTTTTGTTTTTTTTTTTTTTTTTTTTTTTTTTTTTTTTGAGATATATACAGTTCAGTATTCACTGTCATTGGAGAAAATGAAGATTATATCATTAGCAAATAGAATTGGCTTCAGATGTGCTTGACCAAATATCCCCAGTTTGCTAACTGTAGGTAGTAACTGAGTGATTGTAACCTATCCACCGCTGCCCACTGGATGGGGGGCGGTGTGCAGGACAAATATATCAATTGTGACACTAGGCTCTCCACATATGTCAGTTGCTTAATTTAGAAACTGTACTTGTGGTCGATCCTGAACCCATTGTTGATGTGACGACTTATATTGAATTTTGTAACTAGCTCATCAAGATTGTAACATGCTTAGCTAAATGAATTGTGGGGTTCAGTCCCTGAGCCCATTATGTGCCTCTGTAACCCTTTCCACTGCCGCCCACAAGAGGGGTATGGGGTGCATGATAAATTAACTACACTAAACTGTTGTGTGGAACATTTGGAAGGTCATTTATATAAATGAGACAAATGAGATGACTAAGTATACTGCACAATGGAACGCCAATGTTAATTGGTAGGCCTGGAGAACTAGCATCGCTCACAAATCGTATCTGAAAAGCTTAAAAAATTCGATGTATAGAGGTTATCTTGAGATGATTTCGGGGCTTTTAGTGTCCCCGCGGCCCGGTCCTCGACCACGCCTCCACCCCCAGGAAGCAGCCCGTGACAGCTGACTAACTCCCAGGTACCTATTTTACTGCTCGGTAACAGCCCACTAGAGAGTTGAATTTAGGCGTGAATTGTGTTTAGGAGTAAAGTACACTTGCTGGTTAATGGGAAAGGTGGTGTAGTGGTTTGTAATAACCGTCCCAAAATTAAAAACCATTAAGCGTGTAGCACGGGCTATGGTGAGCCCGTAACTTACCTGGCACAGGAGCGGGACAAGTAGCACGGGCTATGGTGAGCCCGTAGTTGACTTACCCTGCCAGCACAAGGCATGGAGTGACAGGATATACCGTGGACGGCACGGGTCCCACCGTCCCCTCCCCAGGGGCCACATGGGAGACAGACTCATGCTGGTAAAACACAGGTAAACAACTCCTGTCTACGTTTAGTTCATTGATTACTACTCTATACCCTTCATTTGTCTTATATTTTATATTTGTGTAAACAAATTTTTGAATTTAAAGGAACAGAAGACATGTGCTTTCGTTGTTAGCTTAACAAATTAATAGTTCTAAATAATAGCGCTATAACTAGCAATATTTTTCGTTATCAAAGAGAACATTGAAAATATATAATTCGTTATATCTTCAACTAAAATAAATTTGGTTGAGTCTACTCTCATGGACCGATATTAATCTAAATATATTTTAAACCAATAAACCTTCATGTAATGAAAAAGAAGCAATTAGCGCTATTATTGAGCGTAAAGACGCTGATCAAGCGCGCGAGGCTCCGGCAAGAGCGTCTCTGTATCAAAACACAAGATCCAAAAGTGATAGTTGAGAGGCAGTGATTGTGGTGGTGCTGGTGCTATTTACTCCAGATCCCGGGACACCCAGCCACCATGGATGTCACAAAGGAAAGTAAGTATGTGGGGGAAGATCGTGTGTATGGCCGGTGGCCAGAGAAGCTAAGAAACCGGAGTAATTCAGCCAAGAAGTTGAGATCTTGGGCTAATTACCCCCTATCTTGATTGCCTTCCATGTAAAAAAAATGCGACAGGATATTAACTAAATGCGCATGTGTTAGGGTTTCACAGTGGTAGAAGTATTTGTTATTTTAGGTGATTATTATTATTGAAGATTTTTATTCTGAAATTTCATGTGAATGGAAATCGACAATTAATCGTGGCTAATTATACTGCTACCGAGACGGTAATCTTACAACTCAGTGCTTTATCTACAATTGTAATGTACGCATCAGAAATCTTTACTGTTGCCTTTTTATGAACATTTATGCATTGATTTTTTGGTTTAAATTCTTAATCATTACTCCCAGATTCCTTTAGAAATCCGACTTCGCAATCTCAACTCTATTTAGCTCTTCTCTTGTAACATTATTGTCATTACCTAGCCTTAAAATCTTAAATTTGTTAGCATTAAACTGCATCTGCCAATCTTTTGACCATTTCAAAACTCTATTTAGATCGTCTTGAAGTGATAGAGAATCTTTTTCCGTATTTATTACCCTCCCGAGTTTTGTATCGATGGCAAATTTGCAAATATTGCTGCTCAAACCTGAATCTAAATCATTTATATATATAATGAATAACAGAGGTCCCAGGACAGAGCCTTGAGGCATTCCACTTACATTATTTTCCTGTATCCACATTGAGTTCGATTTTTTAAATTTTCTGAAACTCTTTCAAATGTTTTGTGCATAATCTACTAGGCAAATGCTCCAATTTTTTGTAAATGATACCAGCATAATTTGAAAAACAAGAAAATAAAAAATAATTATGAAATTGAATATTGAAAACTTCAGATTTTGAAATCAGCTGCAAAAATATAAAATATCACCAATAGTTCATTTGGTGTTATTATGCTCTCAGAATAGCATATGATCTTCATTTTCATATATTTAGATTATAGGTTTTCAGTATAGCTTACAGTAAAAAAAAAATTGTCACGATGGCATTTGAAATATGCGCAAATTTAGACAACAAAAAGTTATAATGCCAAACGTTTCGAGTTTATGAAAAATCAATTCTATAGAGATTGTAGAACAGACAGCTGTGCACATTATATGTAAAAATGATGAGAATCTGTCAGAAACTAGATTTTTGGATACTGAAGTAAGTTCAAATTCTAGTTATAGATATAATTGAAGTTGAAGTTATTGACAATGAATAAGGCAGGTCTAATTCATGAATTTACTTATATGTTTTAACAAATATTGTTTGGCATTCGTACTCGAATATGTGAAAGTTGTAGGTCAATATGTGTTGAAATGAGTTCAAGAAAAAATAACCCCCCAAAGAACAAACTATTGGGATAATTATAATAATTATAATGATTTAGGGGATATATTTAGGGTATACTTTATATAAGTAAAAAATCTGGTCCCTAATCATCAAAACAACCTAAAGAAACAAGGAAAATAGAGTTTGAAATCTGTGAAAAAATCAGTCAAAAAATTCAAAGTCCCAAGTTCTGAGAGTTGTGACTGATTTATTTGTTGACCAATTTAATTCTGTCTTCACATAGTTAGGACGGGTATGCACTCTCCAGGATGTAAAGGTTACAACAAATTCAAATAATAAACAAAGGAGGAAAAAACTAAAAACCTAAAAAAAAAATTCCCCTAAAAAATTTTTTTTGGGGACATTGTTGAAAGTAACTGATAATAACACTGGGCAATGTATTTATATGATATATAACAAAATAGAGCATAATAACATACTTACTCATTATTATTTGTGTTATAATGTATTACTCACCAATGCTATAAAGGCACCAGCTGCATATCCACTTTGTGGACACTTCTTACTACTATTCTTCTTCTTTGTGTGTCGGACAGGTGCTTGCATCTCTTTATTATTGCATTATCCATCAGTTCCAGTTAATAGGAACTGTTCTTATCAACAAAACCTTTTTTTTTTTAAATATTCGTCTAAAATCAATTTCTGAAAATATTTTGATGAAAGTTTCACGACGCTGAAGCCAATAAGTTGGAGATTTGTTTAACATTTTTAAGTAATTTTTACATAATTTGAATATTTTTCACTTCCCTGGCCCCTTATGCTGAGCAGTTTAAGGGTTAATATTTCTTCGCCAGCTTTGTTTAGTTAGTTTAAATCTCTGACCTCTTGTTCTTGAAGTTCCAGGTCTCGGGAATTCTTCTCTATCAATTTTATTGATTCCTGTTTCTATTTTGTATGTAGTGATCATATTGCCTCTTTTTCTTTTATCTTCTAGTTTTGGCATTTTTAATGCCTCTAACCTCTCCTCGTAGCTCTTGTCCTTCAGTTCTGAGAACCACTTAGTGGCATGTCTTTGCATTTTTTCCAGTTTGTTGATGTGCTTCTTAAGATATGGGCACCATACAACCGCTGCATATTCTAGCTTTAGTCTACCAAAAAACGCAAAAAATTTCTTTAGTATTTCTCCATCCTATACAGATCTATAATTTAGGGGGTCTTCCCTGCTGCCACTTTTGTGGATTGGAACTATGTTAGCCTTTTTCCACACATCTGCTAGGACTCCTGTACACAGGGATGCCTGAAATATCAGTTGAAGTGGAATGCTGAGCTCAGGTGCACATTCTCTTAGAACCCATAGTCAAACTCCATCTGGGCTGTGTGTGTGTGTGCACGCATAGTTGTGGTGTTTTATTAGCTAAAGTTAGGCGAGGTTCAGCCGAGCTGGATTGACAGTTTATACTAATCTAGTTTATCAAATACTGTACTAATTTATAAAATATGTTGAGTGAAGGTTAAATTATTGTTTAAGCTGCACTATCATTTCTGGAATTGCTTGGTCAAATTCTCAAAAATGCAATAAAGGTTAGACCAACTTTTTATTTTCAAAGCTAAAATGCACTCCCATACATTCTTACAGGGCTGTATATATTTAACATTTACATTGTTATGCAGAATAGTGTATACTTGTTCTGTACTAAGAAAACTCTTAAAGTTTTTGCCCTCTCTTTTTTTGTTTACAGATTTTAAAGCAGTCCTCCCAAGTATTCTTCGAGTAATTGGCAAGGCAGATTTTGTGGCCATTGATGCCGAATTCACTGGGTTGCGTCACAATGAAACCTCGAGATACTGTGAACTCGATACTCCAGAGGAGAGGTTTGAATACTGGGACTGTATGCACTGATGACCAGACCACACACTAGAATGTGAAGGGACGACGACGTTTCGGTCTGTCCTGGATCATTCTCAAGTCGATCGACTTGAGAATGGTCCACGACGGACCGAAACGTCGTTGTCCCTTCACATTCTAGTGTGTGGTCTGGTCATCATACTTTAGCCACGTTATTGTGACTCATCGCCTGTATGCACTGTTTGTCTGCATGTATGCTAGCTAATTATTTGAAGCTGGGTGCTGGGTTATCATCATTGCTTTTGTGTAACTTGGTTTGGATGCATTTACCTTTTTACCCATCACTTGTGTGTATACTGTAGTCTTAGTATTTAAAAAGTCTTTTATGAACAGATGTGCCAATGTGAAAGGAATGCAAGTATTATTCAAAGAAAATCCATTAAGTTTTGTGGATTTATGGTTTTATACAATTTGTATTGTACACTTGTATTAATCTTACTTTTTACATCTTCAAATGAGCCGTACCATTCAATATATGGTTTACATTGAAGTATGTAAATCATTCAAGAGAATGTTTTACATTTACTATCTAAATAAATATTTTATTTGAATATCAAAATATTAATACGTATAGTTGACCAGACCACACACTAGAAGGTGGAGGGACGACGACGTTTCGGTCCGTCCTGGACCATTCTCAAATCGATTGTGAGGATTGTGAGAACACAATCAACTTGAGAATGATCCAGGACAGACCGAAACGTCGTCGTCCCTTCACCTTCTAGTGTGTGGTCTGGTCAACTTACTTTAGCCATGTTATTGTGACTCATCGCCTGCATATTAATATGTTTATGTAATATTAATATATATATATATATAAAAATCCATAAGAGATTTACTGTTACAATTAAATAAAAGGTAGGGGTACCAGAATTTACATGAAATTTTAATGTGGTTGGTAGTAGCACTTATATACTTTAAAAATTGTGATAAATTTTTTTCATGCTGTAGCAAATATTATTGTATAGCACTCTACTCAATAAATGGTTTAGTTCAGTCCATCCTCCTGTTTTGGTTGTACTTATAGTAAGGAAGAGGACCATAGTATACATAATGACATACAACAAAATTAGAAAGTAGAAATTGGCACTATTGAGTTGGACAAACTGGAAATTTTTTTTTTACTTATGATGCAAAGACAAACTAACCTAACCTAACCTCCCTAGGCCTAATACACAATATCTGAAGCCTATTATAGTACATATGTGTGCTATACTAGGCCTAGGAATATTTAAGTTTGTTTTTTAGGTTCAATTTTTTCCGACTATAAAGTGAATAGTACAAAGTTCTACTATCTAAGATGACCAGACCACACACTAGAAATTGAAGAGACGACGACGTTTCGGTCCGTCCTGGACCATTCTCAAGTCGATCAAATTTCTACTATCTAATTGCTTAGAACGGCAATCTTTGTACTGTGGTGCACATAGTTACAAAAACTACTATTTAAACAGGAGAATGGGTTGTTTAGTTTTATATATTATTTACTTTATTGTACTAAAAATGTAAAGAGTAGAATGAAGACATAGTTCAGTAATTATGGACTGATATAGCCTTCCCAGCCATATGATTTGATCTCTCTATTCTTTGTACAGAATATGTCACTGTGTGACATATATAAGGGGCCTGGTGAGTGGACAGTGCTCGGGATTCGTAGCCCTTTGGTTCCGGATTCGATCCCCAGTGGAGGCAGAAACAAATGGGCAGAGTTTCTTTCACCTTAATGCACCTGTTTACCTAGCAATAAATAGGGTCTTGGGAGTTAGACAGCTGCTACGGGCTGTTTCCTGGGGATGTGTAATAAAAAGGAAACCTGGTCGAGAACCGGGCCGAGGGGATGCTAAGCCCCGAAATCATCTCAAGATAACCTCAAGCTGTGTGGGTAGAACTAAGCACAAGAGACCATGAAGGGTTGAGGGGCACCCCTGGACCCACCTCAGGTCACTCCACAACCCTTGAGGGCCCACCAACTTGTACAGAATATCCCAGGGAAAAACCAGGGTCTTGTCAGACGCATGAGAAGACCAACAGGCGTACCCTAACAGAAGCTGGGCTGAAAGTATCAACCAAATAAAAATACATTGGATCCCTGATTAGGGAACTCTGATTAAACTGCCTCCACCTCTGGCAAGAAAAATCTAATTAACCCGATAAGTTAAGAACAAAAGGGCACCAAACATTTTCCTTGTACAGTATATGTATACTCAAGTCAAAAGTGAAGGTTAAAAGTATTAAAGTATTACATATTTACTTGGTTAGGCAAGGTAGTTGCATGGAGTATATATGGGGGAGGCTTATTGCAAGTGAAATTTGCTTATGCTTTGCAGCATTCACACCAGTGCAGTCTTTACTGGACAAGAATCCATTACAAATAGTCATTATTAGAGGAACAAAATATGGAACAGTTTTAAATTGTTGTAATTACTAATTTTTTCTTTAATGCAATGTACACTACCCATTACCGCACATTATTTTCATATCCATTCATATTTTGGGATTTAGGGCGTTGTGATGCATGTTATGTTGACTAAAATTGTAACCAGCACTAGATTTTGTTCTTCTGTAGTCCTAGTACAGTACTACTGTGTTAATTGTTGATGGCTGGAATGTTTTAGTAAGAAGTAAGGATTACCATGTATGATATTGTTGATAAGATTTCCTAATATTAGGATAATAGGTGCTTTTGCAGGATATTTGTGTTTTTCCACAACAGCACAGTAATTAATTTGAACATGGTTTATATTTTAAAGTGCAGTATCTCATATATAAAAGTACATTATGTTGAATTACTGTAAGAATATAAGAATAAAAGAAAGAAAAAAAAGCACAAGGCCTGTTGGCCCCAAATAAGGAAGCTCCTATTTATATCCACCTGAAGTTCTTCATATACTGTACTGACTATGAATTTGTTTTATAAATCAACAACCCTGTTTCCAAACCAGTATTTAGATTTATTATCTATAAATTTAAGTATATATACAGTATATATTATACTGTTTCTTTTTTTCTTCAGATATGCTAAGACCAGAGATGCTGCACAGAGTTTTGGAATGATTCAATTTGGAGTAACAACATTTCGGTATATAAGAGAGATGTCAGCGTGAGTATAAGTTATTACAAAATAATTAAGTTTTGTATTCAGCATAAACATTTAACATTTAGGCTAGTATTATGGCACCAGGCATTGTGTATATTTACTGATTATGGCCAAAATATAAATACTTTATCATGTGTTGACTGTAGACTGTGCTTGTATAATTGGACATGGGACTAGAATGAGAGTTTTAAGGCTGTTCCCGCCAAACACACACCGAAACTACGACGTTGGTATAACGTTCGAACAAGATTTAACACCTCCTAACCAGTTATAACAACCAATATAGCAAGTTGTAACGTTCTAATATGTCATAAACACGTTAAGCCAAGATGTAACAACTTTATTACAAGTTGTAACAAGCGGAAAATAGAGACAGTTTCGGTTTGTGTTTCCAGGGTTAGCACAATTGTATGTTGGTAAGTGAGGGGGACCCACTGTATACCAGGAGTCCATCTCTTAACTTATTAGTTCTCTAATTTCCCTCCATTTATCCTTCTCTGTTCTATGCATCTTCTTCACCAACTTAACAAAACATAATAATGCTTGATAGAAAATAACCAATTTTGGTTGCAGGATAACATTGCTTGCTGCAAGAGAGTCTGGAGTGAATGTCAGTTTGAGAGGGAAAGTACACTGTCCTGGAATCATTCCATAATGTTATGTTTTCAGATTTGCATTGACAATATTTTGATTGCCTTTTGGTCAGTGTCAATATTTGCGTTACTGAATTACAGTACTTTGCAATTTCTGTTGTAAAGATAGCCATATATATATTTTCAATCTTACAGCCATATGGTGACAATTTACATAAATACCTGTACAAAAATACCTGTTATGGGGGCCTCGTAGCCTGGTGGATAGCGCGCAGGACTCGTAATTCTGTGGCGCGGGTTCGATTCCCGCACGAGGCAGAAACAAATGGGCAAAGTTTCTTTCACCCTGAATGCCCCTGTTACCTAGCAGTAAATAGGTACCTGGGAGTTAGTCAGCTGTCACGGGCTGCTTCCTGGGGGTGGAGGCCTGGTCTAGGACCGGGCCGCGGGGACACTAAAGCCCCGAAATCATCTCAGGATAACCTCAAGATAACCTACACACACACACACACACACACACACACATTATGTAGTAGATGATTAGTGAGACCTGACAATTCCTTACACCAACAGTTACACTGGGATGTAATCTCTACCTTCCTGTCCCTCCTCTTCCATCCCTCTGCTCCCATCCCACTCTTTTTGAAATGGAATTTAATGTTAATAAATGTCATGTACATAGACCCCACACAACCTATATGCTTTAAAGAATATCAGAAGATAGTGAGGACCACATAAAGAATATTGTGCTGCTCTTTCTATTCAGAATCTTAGATGTTTTTGTTCATGAAGACCTGTACTTAGATTACCTTACAAAATAGTAACCGAACAGTTACACATGCATTCCTGTCCCTCTGGGAAGACGGGACACCACGAGCGTAGCTCTTCCATCAGAATACCCACTGAATACCACCTTATGCATATCAGAAAGTGAGTCTGCTCACTTTCTTAGATGTTTTGAAAGCATTCTGTATGCTTAGATTACATGTACTGTATTGTGCCGGTCGGAGTCGATCAGAGTACTGTATAGGGAGCCGGTCGGCCGAGCGGACAGCACGCTGGACTTGTGGTCCTGGGTTCGATCCCAGGTGCCGGCGAGAAACAGTGGGCAGAGTTTCTTTCACCCTATGCCCCTGATACCTAGCAGTAAAATAGGTACCTGGGTGTTAGTCAGCTGTCACGGGCTGCTTCCTGGGGGGGGGGGAGGCCTGGTCGAGGACCGGGCCGCGGGGACACTAAAAAAAAAAAAAAAAAAAAAAAAAAAAAAAAAAAAAAAAAAAAAAAAAAAAAAAAAAAGCCCCTAAATCATCTCAAGATCTAAAGATTGTATCCGCTTCTCCTGCAACATACTAATGGTGACTGATTTCAGGTATTCCCATGCGACGTTCTGCTTCTACCTTCTTGGGAAAACTGGAGAAATTCTCTACTATGACAATAGTAGTCTCAAATTCTTGGCTGACAATGGATTTAATTTCAATAAACTTTATAAAAGTAGGTATTTGAAGTGCAGTTGACTCTTTTTCTTTCTGTTAATCCTCAGAATGTGACTCATTATCAAAATTTTTACCTCTCCTGTGTGCAGAATATATTTAATAGCATAGGATGATATATTTGTACGCAAATACAAAGAAAAATAAGTCTTGTAATTTCATGAGCTAGAGGAGGAATTCAAGTGGGAATAGGGGGGGGGGGGAGGTACTATCAATTGAAATTGCACACAAATTGCCGATACATTAGTTTCATATGAGAGGAAAAAATGTTAAACTTTAATGGCTTTTGTGTTTACTGCTTCACTTATTCATGCAAACGCTACACTTTTCAAACTTTATGACTTGATTTGTGTACGTTACACATAATGGACAAAAAGAACGAGTACTGTACATAGGCCTAAAATGTAATGCAATGTGTACACCTAAATTGCTTGTAAACTTGTTCCTGGTACAGCTCGAAGGAGGTGTCTTGCATCCCACTTTTATGCCGTTATTCTGGCTGTGTGTGTCGTCCAGGCATGGATTCATATACAGTATTGGCATTAAACACGAAATCGTATTTGATGAAAACCAGAGGCCCCTAGTAGAGTACATGATAACCTCGTCACAAAGTAAGCAATTACAAATCGAATGCAAAATGTGTTTATATCTTGGTTAAATCCATTGCATCAATAAAAATGAAATACAGTGTTACAATGTTGACATTGATATAAAAACTGAGCAAAAATAACGAAAATTAGCAAATGATAACTGCAGTGGCCTAGGAGATAAAAAAATGATGACTACATTTCGAGAGTTAAATGGATTATTTTTAACTCTATTAATCACATAATTTGTAATCACATATTTGAGTTTAAAGCTATACTGGTACTGCATACAGTGTATCCATTACAGAGAATAGACAGCTGGAGAAATTGGCCTTGGATTTAGTTGTTGAGCAAGCTTAGCAAGTACAGTTATAGATGAAATAAGCTTATTTGAAGCTCTATAGTGAGTACAGTACTGTATGAAAAATACATTCTCAAAAGTGTACCAAAATTATTGAGTATTCAGAATGTTTTGCGTATATTAGCCTGTCTAAATAATTGACGAGGTACATTTCTGTAGGCATTTTGAGTCTCAGACCATATTGTGTAAGTGAAAAACTTTTAATATAAATATACAAGGATTTTACCAAGAGTAAATGTGGACAAAGAATTAAACAGCATATGGAATAGGAGAAACTGGAGAATTTCTAGAATTTTTCAGTCAGTTTAAATTGCCTGGCCTCTGTAACTGACAAGAGGAATTTGTTTAGAATTTGAGACAGCGTAAATCAGTATGAATTAATGTGTGGCTGGAGTCCTGCAGGTTAGTGGCCAACAGCCTCGGCTCATACTCAAAGGATCCAGGTTCAGTTCATGGGCAGGACAGAGAAGGTTGGGCACATTTGCTGCCACCTAATGCCTCCGTTCACTTAGCAGTAAATAAGTACCCTGGGAGTTTAGGCAACTGTTGTGGGTTGCACCCAGGAGGTTGTCAGTAGTTGGCCTAGGGGTAGGGGGAACCTCAATAAGCCTAATTACAGGCATCCTGTTCTTGGATATGAGAGATTTACTATTTCTGTGGATGATAGGTGCTGGTGTGACTAATAGTAGTAGGCAGCCACCAGTCTCGGGAGACTATGGAGTTGCACTCTGGTTGTCGGTCTGGAGTGGCCTCACCAGGGCGCAAAGCCATGGTAGGTTGATACGGCAGGAGAAGCTGTCACCCTGGTGTGACTAGGGCATTAACATAAGTTAGTGTAGTAGAATTGGACAATCTGAGATGCATTTCTGGTGTTAAGAGGATAAAGTAAGGATTGATGAATTCCTAGCAAGATGTGCAGTGGTAGAAGTCAGTAAATCATAAGATTGAGAAAAGCTTGAGGTTGTTTGGTCATGTTGAAGAAATGAATGGTAATAAAGTGGTGAAGATTTTAAAGTTTATGGTAGAAAATGAATACCATGCTAGGCAGATATGATGTAAGCCATCCTCCAAAAGTTACTGTTGTACATGTGATGACTGAGTGGCATACTGGTATATACACAAATTAAACATGGTGAGTTGTATGTAGATAAATTCACTTCTTACTTTTAAAATTGAAACAAAGTAAATCAGTGAAAAATACAGTCTTCTGTCCTAGTCTTTGTTCATGCATCCAAGGCCTTACCTAAAATATCCTAGAATGAATGTAGTCCATATAAACACATTATTTGGCATAAAATATGTTCAGTTATTCTCTGGGCAGGTTAAGTTTTTGAATTAATAGAGATTTTTGATGATTGCATTTAGACAATGTCACAATAACATGGCTGAAAATTAGACACCCAATCGACAGGTCTAACAACATAAAAATTGATGATGATTTGGTCTTTCCTGAATGATTACAAGACTTGATAATGGTCCAGGACGGATCGAAACTTCGCCAATTCTTTTATGGTCCAGGTCCAGGACGGTCCAATGGTCCAGGACGGATCGAAACTTCGCCAATTCTTTTATTTTCAGATTTGTGGGTGGGTGTCTAATGGTTACTTTTGGTTTTCATTTTTCAATATTAATAAGCATAGGCACTTGCTTATGGGCAAAAGTTCACATTTTTAATCCCAATATAGTTTGTTTCTATCACTTTATGTACGAGTACTAAGAGTTTGTGCGGTGGAATGGCGAGTGTGGAAGCAGAGATTTAGAGTGGATAATGCACAAAAAGTGTTAGGGAAATGGTTAATTGGAATCAGTCTGTTTAAATGAGCGACTAAATGTTTTACTTATTTTTAATAACTGGTGGGACAAAAAAAAAGATGTTGTTGATGTAGTTATGTGATACATTGGGGCAGTGGTGTGGACGTTTTGCTGGATTGTGATGGTGATGGTGATGCATGGTGATACATGGTGATGCAGTGTATAATGTGGAAGATATAGTGAGTAGATTAGCTCTCCTGGGGAGAGCTGGGGAGCCGGTCGGTCGAGCGGACAGCACGCTGGACTTGTGATGCTGTGGTCCTAGGTTCGATCCCAGGCGCCGGCGAGAAACAATGGGCAGAGTTTCTTTCACCCTATGCCCCTGTTACCTACCAGTAAAATAGGTACCTGGGTGTTAGTCAGTTGTCACGGGCTGCTTCCTGGGGGTGGAGGCCTGGTCGAGGACCGGGCCGCGGGGACACTAAAGCCCCGAAATCATCTCAAGATAACCTCCTGAGTGCTGTAGCTTTAAATTGTTTTTGTTTTTTTATTTTTGTTGTATTATACAATATGCCTCTTCTATTTCATCTGGGCTGATACCTCCCAACCATATGCAAGGGAGAAATGGGTTAATAATGGTTATCAAATATGTAAATGTTTCTTTGTTTACTGCGTTATAGGAATAATTTCTTTATGTTCATGTGCATATTCTATGAATAATCTTGAATAACATTAAAATTTGTATATAGTAATATAGTATAAAGTATATAATGTATGCGGAAAAAACCACATTGAAAAATAAAAGAATGCTGAACATGTTTTTGACCATCAGGTCTTTATCAGGGCTAGAGGTTATCTAGAGGTTATCTAGAGATGATTTTGGGGCTTTAGTGTCCCCGTGGCCTGGTCCTTGACCAGGCCTCCACCCCCAGGAAGCAGCCTGTGACAGCTGACTAACACCCAGGTACCTATTTTACTGCTAGGTAACAGGGGCATAGGGTGAAAGAAACTCTGCCCATTGTTTCTCGCTGGCGCCCGGGATCGAACCCGGGACCACAGGATCACAAGTCCAGCGTGCTGTCCGCTCGGCCGACCGGCTCCCGTCTAGGGCTAGACAAAAATCTAGAGCTAGAATTTTTGTCTAGTGCTGATGAAGACCTGTAAGTCGAAAACACATTTAGCATTTTTTATTTTTCAGTGTGGTTTTTCTGCATACTTTGATTATTGTTTTCATGATCGTTGTTGTATAATGTAGTATATAAAATACATTTTTTTTTACAGGTGGTCTTTCCTACTTGTCTCTGGTTGATGAAGCTAATAAGAGACTAGACTATGCAAACCAGTCCTTAGAACCACAGGCACCGTCTCCAATTAAGGTAAGCATGCAGGTGAAGTTTGTTTTAATTGTATTATTTAATCACAAATTAATGAGAGGTTCAACACACTATTGCTGTTTGGTAATGTGTTACTATTTGTGTTGCTCTATTAGGGAGGGGCTATCTTGAGGTTATCTTGAGGTTATCTTGAGGTTATCTTGAGGTTATCTTGAGATGATTTCGGGGCTTTTTAGTGTCCCCGCGGCCCGGTCCTCGATCAGGCCTCCACCCCCAGGAAGCAGCCTGTGACAGCTGACTAACACCCAGGTACCTGTTTTACTGCTAGGTAACAGGGGCATAGGGTGAAAGAAACTCTGCCCATTGTTTCTCGCCGGCGCCTGGGATCGAACCCAGGACCACAGGATCACAAGTCCAGGAGCGACCGGGGGGTGAAAACTTTGTACCAATGCTATCTAGTAATTAAATTGTTGTTATTGTATTAATGATTGTTTAGCTTTTAGTGCACTATTTTTGCATAATGATCTATTTGTTATTTAACTGGAGGAATTTTTAAGTTCTATGAAAAATCAATTCAATATAATCTTAGTTGTGGATTTTGGATAAAATGTCAACTAGCTCCAGATTGACATTTCACAATCGGTGGAAGACTGATCTTACTGTCACTTGGTCACCATGTTGCGGGACAGTGATGGTCAGCTGTAATTACCTAAGTGTAGTTACAGCATGAGAGCTGTGCTTGTGGTGTCCCGTCTTCCCAGTACTCTTTGTCATATAACACTTTGCAACTACTGACGGTTTTGGCCTCCACCACCACCTCGCCTAACTTGTTTCAACCGTCTACCACTGTTTGTGAAAGTTAATTTTCATATATTTCTTTGGCAGCTTTGTTTAGTTAATTTAAATCTATGACTCTGGTTCTTGAAGTTCCAGATCTCAGGAATTTCTCCGTATCAATTTTATCAATTTCTGTTATTATTTTGTATGTAGTGACCATATCACCAATGAATTCTGAAGCATCCACATGTGTTGTAAGCAGTGATAATCAGCTGTGATGTATTCTGAAAGCTTCCACATGTGTTGTAAATATCAAATATTTGACAATTTTAACACAGGAGAGGCAAAGCTTTTTAGATAATTACAAATACTTTATAACCAGTTGGTTAATATATATAAACAATGGAATGATTAATTGGATAAAATACTTTCATAAGAAGAAGATAAGAAAGAAAACTGCAGCAGCCTATTAGCCCGTGTGAGACGGCTCCCGATTCACACGGGCTCACCCAACTAAACTCATTCATACACTGTGTATGCATGTTTCAACCTACGATAGTAACAATCCAGTGATTCCACGATTATGTTACTCAGAAATTTGTTCCATAAATCAACAAGTCTATTTCCAAACTAATACCTGTCCATGTCTTTTCTGAATCTGAAATTTTCCAATTTATATCCATTGTTTAGTGTTGTATTTTGTGTTGACATTCTTAATGCCTTACTAACATCCCCTTTATTTTACCCTTTCATATATTTGATTATAATACTGTACTTCAGTCATGTTATCCCATACTCTTCGCCTTTCTAGAGAATGTAAAATTATGCTTTCTAATCTGTTCATTTATGTGGTTTCTAATATCTGGGATTAACGTTGTCATCCTTTTCTCTACACGTTCAAGGGAATTAATATTGGTTTTAAGGTACCAGTACTGTGACAAAAACTGCATACTAGTACCAGATGCTCTAATTGCAGCCTAACAAGGCCAAGATAAAGCTGAAGAATAACATTAGATATCTTGAGCTACACAATGAAATCATATTAACGTGATACATACCAATGAGAAAATCAAATGGAGCTCTGATGTGACTCGAACCTGTAACCAATGTACTCCCAGCCACTCACATTACCACTGTACCACCCTGACTTGATGAAAGTTATACAACCAAGATTCTACCAATTTTGGTTGTGGATTCGAGTCACCTCAGAGCTCCAGTTAATTTTCATTGTGTATATGAAGTTGGGCTTACGGTGAATGAACTAGTTTACCGACTCCCAAGTGCTTGGAAGGTTATACATAAAACTTGGGTTGGCTTCAGTAGAAGCCTCCAGACTTCCAGAGGTTTCGGTGGAATCCTGGTTGTAGAACTTTGTAACAAGTCAGGGTGGTACAGTGGTAAGGTGAGGGGCTGGGAGTGCCTTGGTTGTGGGTTCGAGTCACCTCAGAGCTCCAGTTGATTTTCTCATTAGATATCTTGACATGAACCCCAGTATCCTATTTGCCATATTCCACACATTTACATATTAATTTTTTGCCTTTTTTTTTTTTACATATTGACTTTTTCACGACCCCCCTCCTTTTTTTTTTTTTTTTAGATTTGGAATTGTCATCATTGTTGAGGTAATATCTGCCAACTGTCATTACTTGACCACTTGACCATCAGTGACCGTACAAAAGACGATTTCCCCACCGCTCCAAACTGGGGTGTGGAGTTTTCATTCGCATATATGCTTGGGGACCATTCAAGCTTGTTCGCATTTGTGTTGCTCACGTGGCCCCACAAAGTGAGGTGATTTGATGAAATAACTATGCCCAAGATTACTATCAAAGTGCCCTCGGGGCGGTGGGGAAATAGCCTCGGCTACCGTCGTCTTTTGTACGGTCACTGATGGTCAAGTGGTTGAGGTACCATGTACACCAGTTGCATTGTGCTCCTGGCGGTCTGGGTTTGAGTCACTTTTATATATATAAATATAAATGGAAGGTAAATTGCAGAGGTACTAGGAACTTGTTCACAATGGTTTCCTTTTTTTGGAGTTCTATTTATCCTAACCCTAAATATCCTAACAGAATCCTAACAGTAAATATACTTGGAAGTAACTATGCCCTTATCAAAGTTAAAAACCCATATTTAAACATTTAAACTGAATTCAAGACTTTCGAGACATTTCATAAAGTTTACAATTCTCTTAAGCTTAAGAGAGAGAAAGAAATTCATGCTATATTTATTTTATATATGGCATTAAAATTGAGGAGTGAAATATTTGTGATGAAACTGATGGTATTTTTTCTGTATGCATGTTCCTATTAGTTAATTTTTCTGTTGGTTCTTCTCAGGTAACAGAAGAAAGTGCAAAAAAGTTCTTGGAAGAGACCGAAGCATTAATGGAAGAGTTCATGGCGGACAAGACACGGGATGTTCTCGTACTGCCTGGAACCAATATTTCTCCATTTTTTCGCAAGATTTTATATAACAATATTGCAGCGAAGTTCAAAAATATTCTTGTTCGCATTGTACCAACAGATGGTGAAAGAAATGTGGAGATAAGGAAATTTGATTCGAAGGAATCTCGAATCAAGTTTCTTGAAGATGAACGAGAGCAGATATTAGATGAAAAGGTTAGTTTACTTACAAACAATATTTTATAATTGGCTTTTATGAAATAATACAATTCTATATACTTTTTTTTTTTTTAAACCTAAAAGGGGTACCACCACTGGTGCAAGTGTAGGGACCCATAGCCTCGGAGAAGAAAATATAGCGGTTATAATGTCCCCGTACAGTATTCTATATACTGTACTCTAATTTTCATTATCTTCTAATGGAAATAATGCCCTTTCCAATGTATGGACATTAATAAAGTATTGCACAATAATTTCATAATAATAATTTTGAGACAATCATTAGGAGCCATGAAGAGGCTTTGGACCTATGTGCTGGGTGCCTGACAGCTGAGTGGACAGCGCTTCAGATTCGTAGTCCTGAGGTTCTGGGTTCGATTCCCGGTGGAGGCGGAGACAAATGGGCAAAATGTTTCTTTCACCCTGATGCTCCTGTTACCTAGCAGTAAATAGGTACAGTACCTGGGAGTTAGACAGCTGCTATGGGCTGCTTCCTTGGGGTGTGTAACAAAAAGGAGGCCTGGTTGAGGACCAGGTCGAGGGGACGCTAAATCCCGAAATCATCTCAAGATAACCTAAATTCCAGATAACCTGGGTACTCCCAGGCACGCCCTAGACCACTACACTACGACATGGTCAAGCGTTGCAACCTGGGATTCGAATGTGTTTAGAGCAGGCTTGGGAGTAATCCAGCACCTAGGTTCCAATTCTCCTCATGGCTCATACTGATTTATCCCATTAATGTAATTTCTTTGTGTAATAATAATTTTGTAATGTTAATTATATATGAAATAAAGTACTGTACTCTCTTTAATATCTAGGGATTCACTTTGATTAACATGGAAGTTGGTGTTGATATTGTCGGAACAACTGTGGACATCCGAGAAAGCTAGATAGTTTTCTTCAAGAAGTGCTGAACTAACCGAGCTGTGGTGGATATGTGGGCCTGCGGGCCGCTCCAAGCAACAGCTTGGTGGACCAAGCTCTCACAAGTCAAGCCTGGCCTCGGGCCTGGTTTCGGGAGTAGAACAACTCCCAGAACCCCATCCCGACATACTGTGTACACATACTGTACACAGTACTGTGTGCCTTAAGGAACAGACGCAACCACTGATTCTGGGCAGCCGGGTGAGCACTGGCCATGAAACCCCAACCTAGAGCAGAGGCTTCTGTGAACACACACAATAATAGGGTAGGATGACCCCATGGAACCCAACCCTGAAAAGCCTGAAGAGTAAATCGGCAAAGTAAGACTCGACAAAGAACTGACAGGGACTGAACCTGCCAGTCTTGGGAGGGGCAAAATACGCAGAAACTGGGAAACTGGAACATTGCCTGGAGCCAAATCGTGCTTAGTGGGTAAAACACACAGGCAAAGTTCAGGTCCCCGCACAACCTCATGAGCAACCGATGAATCACCTGGGGTTAATTCAACGCTTGATGGCTACAAAGCTGTAGGCAGAGCAAAGCTGCTGGAAGCAGGAACAGAGATACTGATCAAAAGTCCAAAACTAGGCCCAGCCAATTCCAACTCTGGGACAGAACCAACTGGAACTTCTGCCTGTTCCCCTGGACCCCAAACCCAGCAAGCTGGGAAAGAATCAGATCCCTGGTCATCGGACATGTTTATCAACTGGGAGTCCAAACCAGCCAGTTGTTGAGGTAGGCCTGCACACGAACCCCCAAGAGATGGAGCAGTTCCAATGACCCATGCTAACCTGGTAAACACACAGAGCAAGAGTCAAACTGAAGGACAGAACCCTGAAGCAGTAAGCCTGAAGCCCCACAACAAAACCCAACCAGTCCCTGAACCCTGGATGGGTCAGGATATGTAAGTATGCATCCTTGAACTGAGGTTCAAGGACAGAATCCAAGTATCCACCTGTAATACCAATTGAACAAAGGCTAAGGTAGTCATCCAGAAAGTCAGGAAAGGAAGGTAGCAATTACAAAGGTTGAGGATGTACATGTCAACCCAATCCTGCTTCAGAACCAGGACACTCACCGAAAGAATGAGGTCAACTCATACATACCCAAGTCCAGCCAACCCGCAAAGCTGAGGAGGAAATTTGAACTGGAAGACCCGACCCCACCACAGGCTGAAGGAAACTACCTGAAAAGCTCCCAAATCATGAGATCAGGAGCTAGCAAAATGTCCCAAATTTACCTTACAGTCGCGCCAAATGGGAAAATTGTGAAAGGGCAAGTGTGAACCATGAACAGAACCAACCCAACGCTTATGCGTAGTTATGATATCAAGCTGAAAATTAACTCGAAAGGAAGCGTAACAGCCCGAGAATCTGGTTCCCCCGAGGGCCTAACTCGATCTCCCCAGCAGGCGAGACCCAAACCTTTTCAGACAGCGTCCGAACAGCATAGGTAGAATCCTGAAGATACAAAAAGCAGCAACAGGCAAAATCTGGGACACTTCATCCTCAAGAAAGAGCCGAGGCAAAAAAAAGAAGACACAGACAAAAGGATTAATACTTTAGTCCGCTAGGCGAGCGAGTGCCTCACCACCCCAAGGTGCGCCTGGCATTCTACAGAAGCGTGCGGTAATACTGAAAAGTGTATATTCTTTTCAACTTTGTCATCTCAATTCTCGTCCTAGGGTTTTCCGTTTGGTATCAATGTGTTCGTAATAGAATTCTCTACAGTACTAAATGCATATAAAGTCCAAAAGCCCAGCGTACCACTCGCACCAAACAGAGAACGTGAGAGCGCGTTACCCGGGGCGTCCAAGAGCAATAAAATGTGTTCACTCTTTTCACTTTGGTCACCTCAATTCTCGTCATGGGTCTTTCATTTTGGTATCAATGTGAGCGCAATTCCCTACAGGAGAATATGCATATAATATAAAAAATGCAATAGAATTCCCTACAGGAGTATATGCATATACTGTAATATAAAAAAACACTGCACTCCACCCGCAGACAAGACGAAAGCATGCCATGTGTTGCCATGCGGCACGTCCTACTCACAGCCAAGCCAAAAGCAGGCCAAATTTTTTAATTTTTGACGCCATACTGCGTCATTACTGGACATTCGTCTACTAAATTTTTTATGCCATACTGCGTCATTACCATGTTAAAGTGTTAAGGATCAAGTTGAACCTAAAGACTTGGCGAACACAACCTGTCGACATGCAAAGTGGGCCAAGTCGAACATCTCTACCACCTGAAGGATAGAATCGAGCATCTTTGGCAAAGCTGCCACTGTCGGAACTACAAGCCACAAGGCCTCCACACCCGAGGGAAAACTAAGTGAAGTCGCATCTTTGTGGCACTAGCCAGAAAGCCCCTCCATGAGGAACCAGACCCATAAGACTGCCACTAATAGAGTACGCACGTTGTGGTCTTCCACAATAAAAGCCCTGGTCAACACAGGCAGCTGCATATGAAGCTGCCACTTGCCCACATCCTTGTGGAGTGCCAGAGCAAACACAGTCCCCCCAAAGTGAAGAGTACAGTACCCCTCCTAAGAACACCTAAAAGACAGAGCTCACTTCCTGCCAATAAAGCATGCAGATTAGACAGAACCCCTGCCAAGCCCCTAAAGAAATGAGAGGGTTGTCAGCCAGCCAAGATGAACCTGGAACCTCACACCATGACCAATAAGTTGAAACAGACTCAAATTAAAAAAAAAGAAAGAGTCCATCAATGAAAAAGTTCACATTGTGCAGTAGGTACCAAAACAAGTCCACACAAGCCAGTGAAGGCGAAGTGCATGAAGATGGGAACCTCTGGCAATACAACCATTCTGAGAAATTTAATGGGACCCTGAACCGAGCTTGCAGGAGAGGAGCTGAGTGATCATAATCATGCATAGAAGGGGGATATAAACAATTGTTCCCCATTAAGCAAAAGACCCTCTATAGAGGGAAGTTGGTTGTGTAACTTCTGAGCATATGGTCCATTAGAAGATGTGCATCTGGGGTGACCCAAGATGCCGATTCGATCCCACTGTCCTGCTCCAAAGATTTTCTCTGAGAGATATATTTAAAATGCATACTTTATAGGCAAAGATTGTATGTACTCTATTCTGAATTATGAAAATGGTAACAGACAGTAACAAATGAGTAGAAAATCGGCCACAATCTATCCCTCTGTCAGTGTTGCCTCCTAAACGCCTTTGAATGAGTGGGTAGACACATCAGAAAATATTACAAATAGTTCTGTGTAAACACACTGAAGCTAGGTCTATTCTCTATATACCATCCTGGAATCTGAACTGCATTTCCTTCTTTGCAGTCCCATTTTTACATATTTATTGTACATGAGCATAGCCTAAATGCATTTTTTAGTCATTTTGTCTCGCTAGTCATATTATAAACCTATATGGTATTTTTCTATTGCAACAAATCCCTTTCAGATCGGTTTTACCCATGTGGTACGCAAGATTTTAGAAGTTGGAAAACCAATTGTGGGTCACAATTTGGTTTTAGACCTATTGCATATGATGGAAAAGATGGTTCAGCCTCTGCCCGAGAAACTGGAGCAGTTCAAGTCTCTTGTCAAGTGCAATATTCCCACTGTATATGATACCAAACTTCTAGCAAAGGATCCTCCTTTCTGGTATGTTATTTTTGGGGGCTCTGTTTTAGGTTCTTAAATTATTATCTCTTAATTTTAATATAATTATCTCTTCATAGAAATCCTAAATGATTGAAAAAGACACTTTTATATTGTAATTCTGGGTAAAGGCAACAGTTTGTTGTTTACTGATCTCAAATGCAATATATTTCAGAAAATGTATTAAAATATATAATCAAATCAAGATTAATTTGAAAATTTAACATCTTACTATAAATGGTTAAATTTTTCACATACTGTATTGGGCCTTGTATGTGGAAACTAACATTGATGGAAAAATAGTCATTGACCTACACTCTGACTGGCAGATTTGAACAGATGGACTATTTGATTTTTGTCCAACCTCTGTCACAGTGGTGAGAGGCCTAGCTTCCCTGACCAGCTGCCTCAAACTCCACATAGCTGCTCTGATTCAGCTTCTACCGACTCTCAATAATGTAGCTGTGTTCTCGTATGGGATTATTCTAGATCTCACGCGGTTCATCTTCGAGACGGACAACTTCTGTATCTATATCTATAAGAGAGAATGTCTGTCTTGTTCGTCTGTTCGATGTTGGAGGCCAGACCCCTAGGGGGTAACCTCATTAAACTTTACAGGGCTAATGATTTTTATTGGGAGTGTCATAAGGGGGGTTGGCATGCATGGCCCTAATGCTCCTCCATGAAGTCTGTGGATGTGAAATGTTTAGCCTCGAGTCCATTGTCATTAGCATTAGTGTAAATGATAGTGAATTCAGATATTGACTTTCAAAACATATGTTCAGATTATAGATTTGCATTCTGGTTGCAACTTTTTAGTTACATTGATGGGGAAGGGGGTGTGTGTGGGCAGGGAGGGAGGGAGAAGGGGTAAGGGCACCTGAGGGCAGAGAGGGAGAAGACAGGGCATGTGTGGGCAGGGAGGGAGGAGACGAGGGACGGGCATGTGTGGGCAGGGAGGGAGGCGACAGGGTACGTGTGGGCAGGGAGGGAGGGAGGAGACAGAGGACAGGGCATGTGTAAGCAAGGAGGGAGAAGAGGCAAAGTGTATGTGGGAGGAAATAGGTAGGGTTTGTCGGGGAATATAGAGAGGGTGTGTGGGGGAAAAATGAGTGGGTGTGTGTGGGTGGAAGATAGAGAAGGTGTGAAGGGAAGGCCAGGGGGTCAGATTCACAAAGCAGTTACGCAAGTACTTACGAACGTGTACACCTTTCCTCAATCTTTGACGGCTTTGGTTACATTTATTAAACAGTTTACAAGCATGAAAACTTGCCTATCAACTGTTGTTATTGTTATAAACAGCCTCCTGGTGCTTCAGAGCTAATTAATGGTTTAATAATTGTAAACAAAGCCGCCAAAGATTGAGAAAAGATGTACACATTCGTAAGTGCTTGTGTAACTGCTTCGTGAATCTGGCCCCTGGGCACTGGATCAACTCGGGCACTTCCGGGTACCCCATCTAGTATATAAGATTGATTAAATATTATTAACCCTTGATATTTTTTCACTAGTTTATATAAACATGTTCTCAAGAGTAATGTTCGCTCATGGTTTAACCTATAGACAGTTATCATCAATAGTTGAGTCGCAGGGTAGTGCGGTTATCATCATATGAAGATTTGACAAACTATTGTCTGGGTTTTACATGTATGATGCAAATATGGATATAATAGGTCCATGTGGCTGTAGTGGAGTTTACCTTGACTCCATGGACAATAAATTGCTACTATATCATGGTACAAATGTGGTTATTTATCGTCATGAATGTTACTGGGGAAATGCGGTCATCATTATATGATGATTTAAAAAATTTTTGTCTGGGTTTTACATGTATGATGCACATATGGATATAATAGCTCTGTGGATATAAATAAAAAAATAAGTGATAAAACAATTAGTGAAACATCGGAGGATAAAACAGGAAGCTTCACAGTCGAGCACCAGGCCTTGACAAGTGCCAGACGTAGCCTTGCAGTGCGCCTCCACCCAGTGAAACTATAGATATTCTCTTATTTTTGTATTTTTCTTACATTCTGCATACAAATCAATAATTCTATAATGAAAAACTATTTATTAGAATTTTTAAATTTATTGTGAATAGGCAGGTATGACCATTTCTCCATAGCCGCTGTCTAAGGGTTAATTTTAATATTTTTCCATACTAATGGAACATATACAGGGTTACTGTATATGTAGATCTCAAGATCTCTCAAGATCTCAAGATCTCTCAAGATCTCAAGATGTAAGAAACAAGATAAACCTGTTTATTCATAGTTAGTCAATAAGGTCTTATTTCCTAATGAAATATTTATATCGCTGGAGTACCCAGAAAAGAAGTTAGGCAAAGTCTCTAGTTACCAAAAGGTGGATAAAATGACTGGTTGTTTCCCAGCTGTTCCCTGGTTCTTTCCTGTCTTCCGTTAGGTAAAGTTCCTGGTCACCAAAAGGTAGATGAAATGACTGGTTGTTTCCCAGCTGTTCCCTGGGTCTTCCCTGTCTTCCGTTAGGTAAAGTTCCTGGTCACCAAAAGGTGGATGAAATGACTGGTTGTTTCCCAGCTGTTCCCTGGGTCTTCCCTGTCTTCCGTTAGGTAAAGTTCCTGGTCACCAAAAGGTGGATGAAATGACTGGTTGTTTCCCAGCTGTTCCCTGGGTCTTCCCTGTCTTCCGTTAGGTAAAGTTCCTGGTCACCAAAAGGTGGATGAAATGACTAGGGTTGTTTCCTAGCTGTTCATTTGGTCTTCCCTGTCTAACCCCCGATTCCCTAGAGTTGCTAATGCTAAATTGTTTTGTGAGTTGCAGTCTTCAGGTACTGTAACTTCAAGACATCTTTCCTAAGGTGTCTTAGCCAAAGGTTAAAGCAAAATTTGAGGGGAATAATAGCCATTTTCTGTACTTTGGCCAATTAATAAGTAATCAGAAAACAACACTTAATACCAAGGAACAAAAATTGTGTTAATAGGACATTTGTTATACAATTTAAAGCAGGCAAAGAACAGAGCTTGTGGTAATGTGTAAATATTGTAGGGTTACATATAATGAAATTTCCCTATCTGGGAGCCCCTTTGTGGCTCCCAGATATTATTCTTTGGTACCCTCATATATTGGCATCTCATGACGCATTGGTAAGTGATGAGATGCCAATAACATCTCATGATGCATTGGTAAGTGATGAGATGCCAATAATATCTCATGATGCATTGGTAAGTGATGAGATGCCAATAATATCTCATGACGCATTGGTAAGTGATGAGATGCCAATAATATCTCATGATGCATTGGTAAGTGATGAGATGCCAATAATATCTCATGATGCATTGTAAGTGATGAGATGCCAATAACATCTCATGATGCATTGGTAAGTGATGCGATGCCAATAACATCTCATGATGCATTTCATGAGCTTCCTGGAGGAGGGATCAGAATCCTGGTCACGCGTACAGGGACGGGAGCTGCTGGTCTCGTATGACACCACACATACTGAAGAAACCTTTCATAGAGGGTAAAAGAGTGGTCACTAATAGTAATGTGGTAACTCTAGTGGAAAACATATAATATATTGCAAATAAAAATGTATTTAGATCAGTATGCTTAATAAGATTGGGGAAATGATGCATATATGACAGTGTATTGCTCACTTCTGTAAATACACATTAGATATTAGTAAAATAATTAATTCTGTAATATCTAAAATTTTTTAAGTTTATTTGATGTATGTACCATTAATTTCCAGTAATGAGAAAATATTGGACCATAGAGTGAGATAGAACTCTCATTCCTTGACTCCCCAGGTACAAGTAATACTAACGGTCGGGAGTGCATGTGTGCCTGGAGAGTTCAGGGGCCAGATTCACGAAAGCACTTACGCAAGCACTTACGAACGTGTACATCTTTCCTCAGTCTTTGATGGTTTTGGTTACATTTATTAAACAGTTTACAAGCATGAAAATCTCCCAATCAACTGTTGTTATTCTTATAAACAGCCTCCTGGTGCTTTGGAGCTCATTAACTGTTTAATAATTGGAAACAAAGCCGCCAAAGATTAAGAAAAGATGTACAAGTTCGTAAGTACTTGTGTAAGTGCTTTCATGAATCTGGTCCCAGGAATGTGTTCGATCGCATCGTAAGGCCTCAATGTTTTCTTGAAGATGCATCAGATTCTTGTGATTTCATCGTACATTACCAGTAATATGTGTTATATTCAGATAGCATGAGTGTTTAAATGTGTTTGATTTCAAATTGTGTAGTTATGTCTGATGTTGCTTTTTTCAGTGTAGATATTCCAGTGACATCTTTAGGAGCTGTGTATAGTGATGTGTGTAGCAAGTTCAACCCCCCACACCTTGTGATTGAAGAGGGTTATGAGAGTTATGAAACTGGAAGCAACAGCAAGGCTCATGACGCAGGTTTCGATGCCTTCATGACTGGTGTTTGTTTCGTTACCATGGTGAAGAAGCTGGGTAAGTGGTGCACTCGACTGTTACTTCATAAATGTGTTTTCACTAGTGAAAAGGTTTACACTTGTGCAGGCGATGAGTCACAATATCTTGAGGTTATCTTGAGATGATTTCGGGGCTTTTTTAGTGTCCCCGCGGCCCGGTCCTCGACCAGGCCTCCACCCCCAGGAAGCAGCCCGTGACAGCTGATTAACACCCAGGTACCTATTTTACTGCTAGGTAACAGGGGGCATAGGGTGAAAGAAACTCTGCCCATTGTTTCTCGCCGGCGCCTGGGATCGAACGCGGGACCACAGGATCACAAGCCCAGTGTGCTGTCCGCTCGGCCGATCGGCTCCCACAATAACGTGGCTTAAATTTGTTGGCCAGACCACACACTAGAAGGTGAAGGGACGACAATTACGACAATTTCTTGTCATCCCTTCACCTTCTAGTGTGTGGTCCGGTTTACACTTGTGACTGTAAATGTATTTACAAGTCACATATGCTCTTAGATTGCTTCACATAAGTTGTGTTTGGGTATTTCTGAGTAACCACCTTTGGTTACTGTGTAAGGCAGTGGTTGCCAAAGGGTGCTGCGGTGAGTGTGGTGAGAAGATTCAAGAAAAATCAGGCATATTGTGAATAGGGATTTTCACTTCTTGACAAATATCAAAGATCAGAAGAGAGAGGCATTTTTGTGTTGATGAGATGCGAGTGAGTTTGTCTCAAATTAGACCTAATATAGATAAGATTACCTGACAAGACCCATCTCACACATCTTGTCAAGCGTGTATATTTTTGGTTACTCACATGTAAGTTGCTGATCTATAAGTATACTTTGGGAATGAATTGGATTTTTATGTAGCTTAATTTTTTTTTTATGCTTTCTGGAATGTCCAACAAAATTGTTACTTGCTTAGCTAAATGAAATATGTTCCTGGACCCATTATGTGCCTCTGTAACCCTTTCCACCACCACCCTAAAGATGGGTATGGGGCGCATAATAAATGACTAAACTAACTAAGCGATCATATCGAGGATGCAGCGCATCTAAACTTAAGGGCCAACCTTATTTGCAAGTGCTTACATATTTTAGCCAATTTAAGCAACCCGTTCTCGCAAATTTAATAAGTCAATATTGACTTATTAAATATGTGCATAGGTGACATACTTAACATAATAGTTTCCCTTGAAAAGCTTCATAGAAAACACCGACCTTACCTAACCTACTTAGTATGTTAAGATAAGCATCTTATTGCTTCGTAATTACAATTATTACCTAACCTATACCTATAATAGTTTAAGTAACAATTGTAATTACGAAGCTATAAGATGCTTATTTTAACATACTAAGTAGGTTAGGTAGGGCCGGTGTTTTCTATGAAGCTTTTCAAGGGAAACTATTATGTTTAGTATGTCACCTATGCACGCAACTAATAAGTCAATATTGACTTATTAAATTTGCGAGAACGGGTTGATTTAAGAAATGCTGTATTGACCTGGTGAAATAAAATTGTCTTTTATTGTAGAATTTTTTGTTTTAAGTTCATTATTTAAAGGTTTACATTTAGTGTAGCTAGTAAAAAAAACCTGGTTTGGGCTTCGGTTGGGAGCCTCACGAACTATAGTGAATTCAGTAGAATCCCAGGTTGCACTGCTTTTACTGTGTCGTGGTGTAGTGGTCTAGGGTGCTAGCTTGGGAGTACCAAGTGAGTAGGGTCAAATCCTCCACACGGCTCCTAGTGATGTTCTCATGATACATCATGTTAATGATTTTTTATTGTGCACCAGGGGCCAGATTCACAAAGCAGTTACGCAAGCACTTACGAACCTGTACATCTTTCCTCAATCTTTAGCAGCTTTGTTTACAATTATTAAACAGTTAATGAGCTCCGAAGCACCAGGAGACTGTTTATAACAACAACAGTTGATTGGCAAGTTTTCATGCTTGTAAAATGTTTAATAAATGTATCCAAAGCTGTCAAAGATTGAAGAAAGATATACACATTCGTAAGTACTTGCGTAACTGCTTCGTGAATCTGGCCCCTGTAGTCCAGGTAGCCTTTTCTTGGAATGTTAGAAATTTTGTTTGTGTGACAGAAAATTGTCATTATTTAATGATTTGTAATGTTTTTATGCATTTTTCTATTCAGATGGATCTAATTGGAAAAACAAGTCTGTAGTGAAGTCAAAACACCTGGACATGTATGCAAACAGGTAAGATAAGTGTTTTGTGAGTACTGTATTGTTTGTGAGTGGTTTCATGAGCTGCAAGTACAGCACAGCAGTCAGTCACATGCAGTTGGGAGGCATCAACTTGGTGCAGATAGGAAGGCAATAAAGAAATACACAGTCTCCGTGGTGTAGTGGTAAGACACTCGCCTGGCGTTCCGCGAGCGCTATGTCATGGGTTCGTATCCTGGCCGGGGAGGATTTACTGGGCACAAATCCTTAACTGTAGCCTCTGTTTAACGCAACAGTAAAATGTGTACTTGGATGAAAAAACGATTCTTCGCGGCAGGGGATCGTATTCCAGGGACCATAGGATTAAGGACTTGCCCGAAACGCTACGCGTACTAGTGGCTCTACAAGAATGTAACAACTCTTGTATATATCTCAAATAATTGGGTAAAAAGAAAATTCAAAAAATAATATCCCTCCATTTGTTTTATACAAGAGCCACAATAGCTGAGGCTCTGAAAGTTTTCAAAAACAGTGTTTTATGCGAGAAGTTTTGTGAGAATAAGGTGAAAGGAAGTGAGACTAAAGAGTTCAAAGGAGTAAAAAATAGGAGCAGGAATTGGAGAACCAATTTTAGAATACAATCTATATAAAAATAGAATTCAATGGTACTGTACCTGTAGATAGGTGATGGTTAGTGTTGAAGGTTGTGAGAAGTGAAATTGATTACAATCTTGAGGTTATCTTGATGATATCGGGGCTTAGCGTCCCCGCGGCCCAGTCCTCGACCAGGCCTCCTTTTTGTTACACCCCTCCAGGAAGCAGCCCATAGCAGCTGTCTAACTCTCAGGTACATATTTACTGCTAGGTGAACAGGAGCGTCAAGGTTAAAGAAACTTTTTGCCCATTTGTCTTCGCCTCCACTGGGGATCAAACCTGGAACCTTAAGATTACAAATTTTAAGTGCTGTCCACTCAGCTGTCAGGCGCTTGTCCCTTTACAATGACTGTAGTGAAGATGTGGCTGCCATCACCTAACACAGGTTATTGGTGCATTTCTAATTAAAATATCATTACAGGTATTTTTAGCACAGGGGACTTCAAATAAATGACAAAATTAGAACTGATTGTCCAAAAAATTATGACATGATGTTTTCTTCAATTATCTAGATGTTCAGTTTTTCGGTCACCCAGAAGTGCCATCCGGTTGCCCAGAGGTGCCATCCGGTTGCCCAGAGGTGCCATCCGGTTACCCAGAGGTGCCATCCGGTTGCCCAGAGGTGCCATCCGGTTGCCCAGAGGTGCCATCCGGTTGCCCAGAGGTGCCATCCGGTTGCCCAGAGGTGCCATCCGGTTGCCCAGAGGTGCCATCCGGTTGCCCAGAGGTACCATCCGGTTGCCCAGAGGTACCATCCGGTCACCCACAGGTACCATCCGGTCGCCCACAGGTACCATCCGGTCGCCCACAGGTATTGTACCATCCGGTCGCCCACAGGTACCATCCGGTCGCCCACAGGTACCATCCGGTCGCCCACAGGTACCATCCGGTCGCCCAGAGATACCATCCGGTCGCCCAGAGATACCAGCTGGTTGCCCACAGGTACCATCCGGTTGCCCAGAGATACCAGCTGGTTGCCCACAGGTACCATCCGGTTGCCCAGAGATACCAGCTGGTTGCCCAAAGGTACCATCCTGTCGCCCAGAGATACCAGCTGGTTGCCCAAGGGTACCATCCGGTCGCCCAGAGATACCAGCTGGTTACACTATATCGTTAAATGAATGAAGAATGGCTTGGAACAATGAATGGCTTCTTATTTCACAGTTCAAAGTTAAAATGAATTAATGAACTATTATGGTTCATATGTGAGACACGTACTGTACAGCATCAAGAAGTTACAAAATAATTGTAATTACCTAAGTGTAATTACCTAAGTGTAGTTACAGGATGAGAGCTACGCTCGTGGTGTCCCGTCTTTCCAGCACTCTTTGTCATATAACGCTTTGAAACTACTGACGGTCTTGGCCTCCACCACCACCTTCTCCCCTAACTTGTTCCAACCGTCTACCACTATGTTTGCGAAACTGTGATTGTGATTGTGTTTTGTGATTGAACATTTGAATGAATAATTAGGGGTAGATCTTTTGATTGATGTGATATACGGTATATGCAGTAGGTCTTCATTCCAACAAACCTCATTATCGAATGCCTGATGGAAATTAATTTTGGCACCAAATTGTGTGCCTATAAATCTGTCATATGCACTAGTCAAAATATAAAACGCATAATGAATTTGTAATTTCTATTTAGAGATTGGCTGTCTCTGTGTGTGTAGATCTTGATAAATCTGTCGTCATTCTGTCTGCGGACACTTTTCATTACAGCTAAACCAGTCGTGTCTTTCATCACTTCACCCCATCAGACTGTGTGTTATTTTGCCGTTTACTTCTAATTTCAGCTTCACTACTTAACATTCTCCCATGTTTATGTGAATTTGTAAGAGGTAGCAACTTTTTGGGTTTGCCAGCAATATCAGCTAGTTTTATTTTTGTTGTTTGCCACATTATTCACAGCTGTTGTCACTGGTACTTAAAATTTTTGCAGATGGTAATGAGAATATGTTACGTACATCTAACATGGGACATTTGGGCTTAACATGGACTTAAAAGCTTCCTAGAAGGTTGTAACAGATCCCATGATCACCACACCAGAAACAAATACCTATTTGATATTCCAAGAGTACGACTTAGTCAAACTAGAAATGCTTTACAAATCAAGGGACCTCGAATGTGGAATGACCTTCCCAATCACGTTAAAGACTGTACCTCTCCCAACCAGTTTAAGATAAAAACTAAACACTACCTAATTAACTCCATGTAACCTACCTTACCCCTAAATGTCAACCCATGTGTACGATTTTAAACAATGCTGTTTGTTGACCAAATTGTATTTTTGCTTTTTTTTCTGCCATGGTCCTCCCCCCATTTTTTTTTCCAATTTTTTCTGATTTTTTCTCGACACAATTTATACTTTAATCTAATTTAGTATTAAGTTTTAGTCTTAGTGTTTTTCCTGCCCTAAACGCTTTGCGTAATAGTGGCTTTAGGCATTGTATGTACTAGCTCTATCTATGAATCTATCAACTTTTGTATTTCACCTTGTATGTATGTACTTTACCTGAATAAATATTTGTATTTGTTTGTATTTTGTATTTGTATTTTGCTCTGATGTTTATGGCAAGCAGCAAGAATACAGTTGAATCATCTGTCTTAATATTTGAATGAAATTTTCATAATTTGTGTGAAATGTGTTATCCAAGGTGTTTAGTGGAGAGAGTAGTATACAATACAATTACAATACAATACAATTTTATTTAGGTAAGGTACATACATACAATAAATATTTACAAGGATTGTTTGACTTATAGGTAGAGCTAGTACATACAATGCCTAAAGCCACTATTACGCAAAGCGTTTCAAGCATCAAACACAAGTAATCAAACACAAGGTTACAAGGATGGATACTTTGAATGTTTAGGTGCTGCATTAGAGCCGATTCAACAAGACAGCGTCTGTGTAGAGTAGAGTAGAGGCAGGAAAGATTATGACAGAAATATGAAAGATTATGAAAGAAAATGACAGACTTAAAGAACACAAGAGAAGTGTTAAGTCTGCAGACACTAACAATGCTCTCTTCTGTTATGTGAGGGATTCTAATCATGCCTTTAGGTGCTGTAGTTTATAGGAAACATTTACAATCAATTGATCTAAATATGTAAATTAAATACTGTGCCTGTATTTCTGATCTTACACCATTTGGTAAGTGCCTTAGGCTGTGTGTAACTCTCACTAGAATATGGATAACTACCACAATAAGGAGAACAACCTTCATGCCCACAGTGTTCAAGCATTCTTTGTCAGGTTTTTCATAGAGGAAGGGAAAATGGAGAATTCTCAGTCCAGCCCAGAATGACTCGGAAGCCTCATTTAATTATGCTCAAAATACCTGTTCGAAGCAAAACTTGGATTCAAAGAATTACACACACACAGAAATAAATGGCGTGATGCATCAAATGAACAAAACCATGTTTGACCATGTCGTAGCTCAGTCGATTAAGACAGCGTCTGGGATGCTCTCGGACGCAGGTTCGAATCCTCGTCGCGGCCCTTGTGGATTTGTTTCAAAGAATCAGTTAAGCATTGATCTATTTGATACCTGCTTGATGGGGTTCTGGGAGTTCTACTTCTTCCCAAGCCTGGCTTGAGGCCAGGCTTGACTTGTGAGAGCTTGGTCCACCAGGCTGTTGCTTGGAGTGGCCCGAGGCCAGGCTTGACTTGTGAGAGTTTAGTCCAACAGGCTGCTGCATGGAGCGGCCCGCAGGCCCACATATCCACTCTGCTTAGCACTTCATCTCAAATCATCTACACATACCTGACCGTAAATGTTCCAGGCATTTCAAGATCCCACTCGTCAACTTCTTTAATGTTTATATATTTTTGTTCTTGTTAGTTTTTAGGTGATAACTCAATGGTGTTGAGTTAGGCACATCAAACGATTAAGCCTCAGTCTTTTTGGGTGGCTGACAGCACTGTGTGTGCTGTACTCTGCTCACCAGTACCTTTTATTCTCATTGAAATCTGCACTCGGTGAGAGTTACCTTTGGAATTTTGCCCCTTGGGCTGGGCCTCTCCCTACTTGGGTATGGGCACAGCGATGACTATTTGCATCTGGTATTTTACACACATTTGTAACCTGTTCTCCTTGGGTGTTTTCTTGAAGACTTTACCCCAGGGTTTGAACTTCCCTGTCTTATACCTGTCACTCTGGATTTAAACATCCACCTATTTACATTTGGTTATGGCCCTTGGGACTGTAGTCTAAGGAAGCAACTGAGGGGTAATAGCTTGAATATTAGATTTACACTTTTCTGAGGACGCCACACGATCGTTATTGTGACCTTCCAGTCTCTCCCAACCTACCATCTGCCTTTCCATTCACCTGGGCTCTTGGAGACTCGAACCGTGGACCCCATGTGTGTGGGGCCGAAGCTCTATCAACCGAGCTATTGAGTAGTCTTAATAAGGAAAGTCTCCTTATTAAGACTACTCAATAAGGATACTTTTCTTATTGAGTAGTCTTAATAAGAAGACTTAACTTATTAAGACTACTCAATAAGGAAGGTATCCTTATTAAGACTACTCAGTAACTCGGACAATAGAGCTTCGGCCTCACACGCGTGGGGTCGGTTCGAGTCTCCAAGAGCCCAAATGAACGAAATGTTTATTTCCACGGAAGTGTGGATGACAATTTATACGATCTGCCTTTATTTAATTGAGTTGAAATGAATTGAAATCGATTTCCATGGTGTCCCTGTTAATGATGAGGGGTAGAGACACTTGTGGTCTATTAGGAGTACCTAATAAGAAGGTAGCTAGCAGATCTTGGTGGTATTTTTGAAGCCAGTACAGTATAGTAGCTGAATGAGTCACGAGTCTTCAGACGGTCATTCTGGGCTACATTGAGAATTATTCAGTAAGCGATCTTCACCCTTTCTCATGAATAATCAAGCGAGGGTTACCTTACCTTACCTTGAGGTGCTTACGGGGCTTAGCGTCCCCGCGGCCCGGTCGTCGACCAGGCCTCCTGATTGCCGGACTAATCAACTAGGCTGTTGGACGCGGCTGCTCGCAGCCTGACGTATGAGTCACAGCTTGGTTGTGATTTGAAATTGGGTGATTTAAAGGGTGATTTAAAAAGACTCCTCATTGCATCTGGGACAGGAAAAATGCTCTGGCCATGCTGGATTTTAGTTACATCCTGGGAGAGTTGAACATGGCTAAAGAACTGCACAAATGCCTTGCTCAGAAAAGAACTTTTCACTGACACTCTTGTTTTGTCTCCCCAGAGTGAACAACATGAGTTCCCATGACATTCCATTCCTCAACTTGGTGGGACCTGACGGTATGTGGATTGAGTACTGCATGTGATATAGGCACAAGGAAGCTTATGATGTTTGTGTTTGGTTTAATAGAATAATTGAAAGAAAAACATTTGAAAGGGTTAGGCAGGGACTTATTAGTCCAATATGACTAGTACTGGTATGTCAATTAACAGTTTTGATCAGGTTAAGACAGGATGTATATAGAATGATAAAATATGTTGTAAATATGGTATTTTGTATTGGAATGTTATTTTCTTGAAAGGTACGGGAAAAATTTTGTATGTAGAAAAATATTTTAATATCAACATTATTCAAAAGCTAAATGAAATTTGCTTATTTGGAAAGATTTGAGTAAAAATTTGTTATTCAATGAATTTGAAGCTTATTATTTTTATGAAATTTCAAGTCATATTTAATTTAAGAGTTCTTGTCAATATTTTTAGTAATAAACCTTGAATAACTTATTTGTGAACGGGTTTAACGTATTAGCAAGAATGCAAGTTATTTGCCAGCATTTATTTTACTTACACACTGCAACAGAGAAGTCATGAGCTTTGAGATCAAAATTAATCAAGTATCAAGAATTTGTTTTTAGCCAAATGAGAGTGGGCACAAGGGGCCGGGCGAGGGGTGGGCACAAGGGGCCGGGCGAGGGGTGGGCACAAGGGGCCGGGCGAGGGGTGGGCACAAGGGGCCGGGCGAGGGGTGGGGCACAAGGGGCCGGGCGAGGGGTGGGGCACAAGGGGCCGGGCGAGGGGTGGGCACAAGGGGCCGGGCGAGGGGTGGGGCACAAGGGGCCGGGCGAGGGTGGGGCACACGGGGCCGGGCGAGGGGGGGGCACAAGGGGCCGGGCGAGGGGGGGGCACAAGGGGCCGGGCGAGGGGTGGGCACAAGGGGCCGGGCGAGGGGTGGGCACAAGGGGCCGGGCGAGGGGGGGGCACAAGGGGCCGGGCGAGGGTGGGGCACAAGGGGGGCCAAGTTAGGGAAGGCACAAGGTGTTTGAGTTAACTTTAATGTTGGACCCACCAGTGTGTGCAGCTGGCGTGCACACCTGTCCTAGCAGGTGTGCAAGCCACTCACAGTAGTTATCAACAGCGTAAAATGCTTAGAGCAACAGCACAAGATCTTAAGATAATAGGTTGTGTCTGATCTCTACCTAGAGGAGGCTGCCTGGGCCAACTAGAAGTTAATGAATGCACTTTATAGTGGTCAACTGTAATGCCAAGGAGGGCATTACAGTTGAGGCTAGATTTAATATTCTCTTTTGCCTCGCTTGCATTGGTATGACCTGTAGGGGGGCAGTTCATGTAACACCTTTGCAAAATATCAACTATATTATATTATTCATAATCCTATCCAGTGACCCCAGAAGGAGCTTAGTTTAGAAAGCAACCAAGTGTTCCTCTCAGAAAGAAATTCTTAATTGTTATTCAAAGCCTTTATTTTTGTTTTTCAGTTCAGCCTGACAGGAGCAAAATATTTTGTGTGGAGTGTCCATCCTCATGGACTACAATGCATGTCCATGGACTCTTTCATATGATTAGTGAGTAAACTTTTGTTGTGGTTCAGCCTGACAGAAACAAAATATGTTGTGTGACGTGTTCTTCCACAAAGACAACAATGCATGTTCATATGTTCTTTATTATGATTAGTAATCTTGAGGTTATCTTGAGATGATTTCGGGGCTTTAGTGTCCCCGCGGCCCGGTCCTCGACCAGGCCTCCACCCCCAGGAAGCAGCCCGTGACAGCTGACTAACACCCAGGTACCTATTTACTGCTAGGTAACAGGGGCATTCGAGGTGAAAGAAACTTTGCCCATTTATTTCTGCCTCGTGCGGGAATCGAACCCGCGCAACAGAATTATGAGTCCTGTGCGCTATCCACCAGGCTACGAGGGCCCCCAGTAAGTGTATGTGTCCTTGTTTGAGAAGTAGTTATCATTGCTAACATTTCCAAGCTGTTATTTATATTCCAGTCTATATATAAACAAAGGTTTTCCTAGTCTCATTTCATCCATCACCTCTTAATCACCTTGTTTTGTTTTTGTCTCCCTTCTTGGTTTCCCCTCTTCTTCTCCTCCCAATTTATTAGCATTACCTTCTCTTTCAATCTTTTTCCATATATTTATAGCCCCAATTTCCCATAATTTGTGTTCTCTCTCTCTCTATTCTAAAGCAGAATAAAGAATAAAATTGTCCCTATTGGAGTGAGTTTAGAACAATAATATTTTATGATGGCCTATTATTACTATTGAAAGAATAAGAGGTCTGTGCAAGTATTAAAAAAAATCTATGCAGGGATTTAGAGACATATATATGTATCTCAGATGTATAATGTGAGACATGTACATGTGTATCTCACGTGTATAATATTATACATGTATAATATACACGTATCTCACATACAGTATATTCTTTTGATGTCATCAGAACCTTTGAAGATAGTGTGGGTGAGCAGCACTTTCCTCTACGTCATTCCCTTGGAGGACATGGACAAGAAGGCCTGTAGGCAACATCTGAAGGTGAGTCAAGCAGTCTTTTGCATTTCCCATATGTTCTATATTCCTGTTGTGTCTTGTAAGGCAGGAGACGTCTCTTCGTGAAGTAATACACGGTCGATGGTGTGTTTAAGCTGTTAATATGCTAATTTTATTTTTTTGTTTTTGTGAAAAATATACCGGTATTCAGTATTAAAGTCCTTCAGTTAGAGTGTGTATTGGGCTACATTTTTCTATTGTAAAATACAGCATTCCAGTCTGAAAGTGATCAAGTTGGCTTTATACTCTACCAAAGTATGTTAAAATTTGTTAGGGCGGTGGTGGATGCTGGTGAGAGATGCCGTCATAAGAGTCCTAAACTCTCAAGATGTTCCCCTCTTGCCTGATGTTGCATAAATGGCATTCCCTGCAACCTCCTCACTGCATCTGTCAATAACCTGGTTGCATGACCTAGTTCAATGAAGATGATGTAAGAACTATGGATTACTCGGATCTCCACATAAAACTTTAAAAGTGGTTTGCCATATATGATCTTAATTAGTGATAATGGTCTCTGTGCAGAACATATATTTAAGCATGTTGGAGTTGATTTACAAGTTTGTAAAGAGTGCACCTTGTTTTCTTCTGATAAATGTTTTCTTGCTAAATACTAATTTACTCTTTTGAGCCCTATAATGTTAATTGTGAATAAGAAAAGAGCATGCGGCACTTTTCACAGTGGATGGTCCAGATTTTACTTTGTTGATCATTACAGTCTGGGCTCTTTGTTGGGAAATTAAAGATCTATCACTAAAATGAGTCATCTATCCCAACATATTTACTCGTACATACATACATACATAATATTTATATATTTGAGTACAGTGTAGGCATAACTTAACGCTGAACCATCCAGAGGTCACCTCGGCCAGCTACCTATCACTCAAGACGATAATTGCTGTGTTTGAGTATTTTCACTGTGTTGCCAATTACCTGTCAGAAAAGTATGAATGATATGTTTGTTTTCTGTTTTACAACAATATAGACCAATCATGGGTGCACATTTTCATATTTTTATGTTTAATTATGTTGACAAATAAATGAATAATTTTTAAGGGTTCATAAACATTCAGTTACTCAGCACTGTCACACACAATCTATTATTGAAACACATTTTCTTTTGCACCAATATTCTAGCAAATTCATTTACAAAGATTTTGAAACCTAATTTGTAATTTTAACACAAAAACAGAGAAAACGTATAAAGAGTACTGTATAGGCAGTTTAGGTGACGCTGAGCGAGGCCTCGAGAGACCAGGAATGTTTACGGTTGGGTATGCGCTGATGGGTCTGATTGTTAAAGTATTAACCCCTGCACTGTGCAAAGCGCCTTTAGGTGCTCTGAGAGTTGTGCTATTTTTTTTAATTAGGCTATATTTTAATGTTTTTTAATGTTTTCATTACTCTTTGTGTTTTTAAATGAAAATAGTTGAGTTTGAAAACATTTTGACATAAATTTACCTGAATATTTATAAAAACAACAAGAATATGTCCTTGACAATTGCCCCAAGAAGTTTTTGCCGAAACCAGGTGCGCAGTGCAGGGGTTAAGATACATACACAAACCATATATTGACATTTCCTGATCATAATAATGCATATACATAGTATATGTATACAATATATGTATGTTATGTGGCTTACTAACCCATAATGTACCCATAACACTGATAGAGTAGTCAATGTGGCTTGGCATGAAATATACAACCCTGATGCTACTAAATAAATTCAACTTAATTTTTGAGGAACTTGATAATTTTTGTGAAGATTCACTATTATATTATACATGGATTTTGATCAATAGTAAAAGCTCCAGCCACTCTCAAAGTTGTCATCAATTTAAAATTACTTGTTTTAAGCATCAGGACTTTTTGTTATTAGTTTGACTGAATTGCTGAATTTGCTTACAGAATGTTAATGCTAGCTGTCCTCCATTGGTTCGAGTAAGATTGTATGGGGACACAATTAGCTCTAAGAGAAAATCTGCAACAGATGAGGAGGTTTCACCAATTCAGATACGAGCAAGCCGCATACACGAGTTCAAAAGACTGAAAAGTGTTGGGTAAGTATTGCTTCAGCTGTGCATAACTAAGCTGACTAAATATTACCTGTAGAGTTTAAGCTAGATACTTAAGATAGTGATACTTCAGAAACATTGATGGTCTTGAAAGAATTTGTCACAAACAAATTCTGAGCATCTGAAATAGGGGCCAGATTCACGAAGCAGTTACGCAAGTACTTACGAACGTATACATTTTTCCTCAGTCTTTGACGGCTTTGGTTACATTTATTAAACAGTTTACAAGCATGAGAACTTGCCAATCAACTGTTGTTATTGTTATAAACAGCCTTCTGGTGCTTCTGAGCTTACTAACTTTTTAATACATAATTGTAAACAAGGCCACCAAAGATTGAGAAAAGATGTACAGGTTCGTAAGTACTTGCATAACTGATTCTTGAATCTGGCCCCAGGACACCTGGCACAAAAGATGTACAGGTTCGTAAGTACTTGCGTAACTGATTCTTGAATCTGGCCCCAGGACACCTGGCACAAAAGATGTACAGGTTCGTAAGTACTTGCGTTACTGATTCTTGAATCTGGCCCCAGGACACCTGGCACAAAAGATGTACAGGTTCGTAAGTACTTGCGTTACTGATTCTTGAATCTGGCCCCAGGACACCTGGCTTGAATGACCAAATTCATTTCAACTGATTGGAGTGACTTGGTGTAGAAATTCCAAATCATATGTATATTTTGAAAACAATTTTATTATTCTTATGCCTTTAATAATAAATAGTATTTGAGAAATACAGGTTTATCAGTTTTTGTAATTGTATTTTATTAAAAATGATACAATACTTTTTGTAAAGCGATATATTTGCCTTTCTGTCTATGGATGCCAGAGTACTGATGAAGTTAGACACATACTTGCCATTACAAATTTTCTTGTGTAATGCAGTATAATCTCTTCTTACCCAAGGATTTTTATTAATTTTCTGTGATTATTTTATTATTTGTGAGGGAAAATGTCACTCAGTAGTGAGTAGTGAAACTTGACTAGGAGGAGGGGAGAGATATCTTGAAGAATTAAGACTAAATTGATTAAGAAGTGAACAAGACTGAGAAGTTAGGAGTCTTGAAGAGGAATTTGGCACTGTTTGAAAATCTTCTTTAAAGTACAGCATCTATATTACACTCATTCTAGACATATAGTCTAAATAAGAAATATATATATTTATATATTCAAAATGCAATTTTTTTTGTATATGCAAGTGCAAAAATATGCAATATATGGCATTATTTGTGGTAAGAAAATATCCAATATCTTGCAGTACTGTACAGTGTACCTCAAAGATTTAGCTACTGTATCTGGATCAAAATTTTGAAGTTTGAAATTGGGACCTAAAATACTCACCAACTGTATTTTATATTTTTACTATACAGTACTTTTGCCTTTATAACAGTACAGTATTGCTATTTTTTTTTAAATTGTTTACATTTCTTAAATTGTGTTAAATGATAAAATAGGTGATAGAATGTTGGGGGAGCTGGTCGGCCGAGCAGACAGCACGCTGGACTTGTGATCCTGTGGTCCCGGGTTCGATCCCGGTCGCCGGCGGGAAACAATGGGCAGAGTTTTCACCCTATGCCCCTGTTACCTAGCAGTAAAATAGGTACCTGGGTGTTAGTCAGCTGTCACGGGCTGCTTCCTGGGGATGGAGGCCTGGTTGAGGACCGGGCCACGGGGACACTAAAGCCCCGAAATCATCTCAAGATAACCTCAAGATAATGTGACTTTTCTGTGTAGCAGAGCTGTGCCAGTGTGGAGCTGCCGTGGCTACGTGCATGTTCCTTGTGCTGGTGTGGCTCATCCCCTGTTAGTGGATTTTCATTAATATTCCTTTATATACTGACTGACTGGTGAATAGAAGAGATTTGCCAGTAAGAGTAATTTAGCTAGATTAGACAAGAGGAAGAAATGCATCTTGATATCAACACACATTGAGAAGGTGGTGGAGGCCAAAACTGTCTGTAATTTCAAAGCGTTATATGACAAAGAATGCTGGGAAGACGGGACACCACGAGCGTAGCTCTCATCCTGTAACTACACTTAGGTAATTACACATGCTGAATTGACGTAAAAAGTGACCAAGACTTGGGAGTGGGGAGGGTCACATTAGGAGTGTCCTGTTGAAACTTAGCTCACTCTGAAATAAAAGGAAAATAGAAAGTAAAGACTTGAAGTGTCCATTGTCAGGAGAGTGTTCTGGTTGAGAAAAAATTGAGAGAAGAATGTTATGTGGCTCAAATTTTGATGAGGAAGCTCCGGCATTTTATGAGGGTAGTTTGGTCTTCTAAAACACAAGAACAAGGTTAAGCTTTTATTATACATTTTATATTTTAACAAAATACAAATATTTGCTTATATATTTGAGCGTGTAAAAATTAAAAAAATAAGTATTGTCATATTCTGTAAAGGAAACCCCACCAAAATTGTCACCACAAATAAACTAAACAAATTTGTTTGAAATCTACAAAACGTCAGAATAATTAGATTTTTGAGGTCACACTGGACATTGTGTAGAGTAGAACATACTGTGCAATTAGTTACAACTTTTTAAAATTTAACAATGCAAGTTTTAATGATATGTGAGCATTGCTAGGAAACATTGTGCATTTTTATACATCATAGTTCATCATTTTAATTCTCTCCATTCTAGATATTATTCATATATTTGAAAATTTCACTTCTTAGAGAATAACAAGGTTGCATAAATATTGTCCCAAAAGGGTTAAAAATGTTGTTGTGTTCATTAAACTTCCTATGGGTTACAACAGATCAGATCAACTATCAAAGATGACCTTGGAGTCTCCAAGTGCAGAAGAACCTCCTTCCGTAATTAGTGGAGATAATGGTAAGGTGAAAGTTTGTCTTCCAATAAAGTAGTTACAGTGATATTCTTTATTTTCTTAATTTATAAATTCCCATATAGTATAGTTGTATTTTTTATTCAGCTGATGATTACCACTCTACACACTCAGATGCATATAAATTTTAAAGGTCATTTGAATAAGCACTTGGATTATTTACCAAGAAATTCTGTTTGTCTGTTTATGTATGGTATAACATTATTACAATAACTGTCATGCTTACATTGAGAAAACAAAATGTGTGGACAGAATGAGACTTGTCTCAGTAAGTATATTGAAGTGAAAAAGTAAAGCTATATGCAGACGATGAGTCACAATAACGTGGCTGAAGTATGTTCACCAGACCACACACTAGAAGGTGAAGGGACGACGACGTTTCGGTCCGTCCTGGACAATCGACTTGAGAATGGTCCAGGACGGACCGAAACGTCGTCATCCCTTCACCTTCTAGTATGTGGTCTAGTCAAAGTAAAGCTATGTAAACATGTTTAGAAATACTTGTGGTTAAAACTGTAGATACCCCAAGCATCTCTCTCTCTCTGTGTCACTGCTGTTAGAAGACCAGTCTCAACATGTTAGACTGTAAGTGCACAGTACATACGTGCTCCACACCGGCCTTCCATTTCCCACACAGCAACTTTAGGCCTTTTCCTCGTGTGTGTACTTCCTCTCTCTTGGCCTATTATCCTCACACTTGTTCCTCTTGCCTAACTCCCATATACATGTATTTTCCTCCTTATTTATATCATTTCTAAGCTGTTTTGAGCATTCCTTAATTTTAACCATTTGAATATTGATTCCATCATTTCTCATGTGTAACAATTTTGTACAATGCTTATGTTACCTATTATACAATAGGTGACAATCACCTACACCACAAAAGTGACGAATTTCAGTCGTCTGTTTCCTAGGAATTTGCATAATGTCCTGTTAACTTCTCTTTGGAATACATTTAGTTTTGACACAACATGTTATTTCACTTAGCTTTCCTTTAAGTTTTACATTTAATCTTTAATAATTTTGAACTAATTCTAAATTTTTCCCAGGCAAGAAAGCTGCATCAAAACAAGGCAAAGCAACTGAGGATGTATTTTCTATACCTGATGAGTGGTAGTAATGATGTAGTTAATGTCTTTGTTGTTGAGTTCCCAGCATTGGGTCAGATTTTATGATCTTTTTTTTTTTTTTTTGCTGGATGTTTTATGATTCATTGTCGTCTATTTAAGATGTGACAGGAAATCTGATGGAGGAAACACATCGGTTTCCTGTTATTTTGCTCATGTAATAAGTATGTATGTGTGAGTATTTGTATACAGTATACATGTATCTAGTTTCCACCTGTATCACTCAATCTCTCTCTCTCTCTCTCTCTCTCTCTCTAGGTCATTCTAGTTATAGGGAGAGAGCAGGGGTGGAAACTGGAAAAACGAGTGAGCCACAGGGATGTATGGAAGCAGTGCTTACTTATTAGTGACTATAGTGGAGCGAGATCTAGCTCTGTATGCCCCGACCCTTAACCATTTATACCTGTTGCATTAATTGCCCCTCTCAACATTAGCATGTTCATCACATTCTTAAAGCTATGGATGGAAGTGGCTTCAACAACCTCTTCCTTCAAGTCCACTTGCCACCACCCATATAGGAAGTGAGAACATCCACACATCTCTTGGACTCAATTGCATGTCCAGCTTCCACTGATGTTCTCTTGTCCTATCTTTCTTTAATTTAAATAGGTTTCCTTTGCCCATTTTGTCTTTCTCATCAGGATCTTGTAAGTAGTGATCATATCACCACATACAATATATGGTGGATATGAATTGGAGCTGCCTCGTATGGGCCAATAGGCCTTATGCAGTTGCCTTGATTCTTATGTTCTTATTCCTTCTGTTTCTTCTAAGGTTGTGAGGGGTGGGTCCTCTCAACCTGTCCTCATACCCGAGGCTTCCTAATTCTAGTACTAATCTAGCTGCAAACCTCTGAACTTTCTCGAGTTCCCTATTTTGTGCTTCACAAGGTGTGGGCTCCATACTGGTGCTGCATACTCACGTAATGGTCTCACATAGGCAGTGTGTTAGAACTTGAACCCCCTCTTTGTTTAGATTCTTAAATTATGTTCTTATGCTTGCTTATTTTCCATATGCTGCTGCTGTTGTCCTGTTCACATGAGCTTCTAATGTTAGTGTTGGAATTATGTCTACATCCAGGTCTTTTTCTCTTATTGTTTCTTGTAGTTGCTCTTCCTTATGGTGTAGTTAAATATACAGGTCTCCTATCTCCCTTACCCATTTTCACTACTTTACATTGACATGTATAAGCTCACTGTACAGTAAAGTAAAATAAGCAATGGTCCTAGGACAGAGCCTTGTAGAACACCACTCTCCACTACTCTCCAGCCTGACATCTCTCTCGGACAGTGTTTTGACTACCACGTTTGTCAATGATACCAGTTTTAAATTATGAGGGGTCCTCCCTCCTATCATTTTTGTAGATTGGAATTACTGTATGTTTGCCTTTTTCCATGCATCTCCTAACATTCCTATACATAAAAATGCCTGAAAAAAATCAGTTGAAGTACATTCAACTGATTTCAGCTTAGATGTGTATTCTCTCAAAACTCAAGGTGAAATTCCATCTAAACCAAATGCTTTGTTTCGACCTTATTCCCTGAAGATTTTTTTTCCCACTTTCGTCCTGAGACACCCATGTACTCTGTTTTTCTCTGAAATGCGTATTGTACCCTGGTTCTCTGCAAACTCATTTTGCACAAATACAGTTTGGAATGTTCATTCAGGGCTACACACATTTCCTTTTCTCAGAATCTGTTCTCCATTTTCAATCTCTGCAGTTTATCCTTTACCTGCAATTTGCTTTTAAGAATTTTATAGAACAGGACTGGTTCTGTTTCACATTTGTCAACTCTCTCGGACTTACTTTCTGCCTCTCCTTTCACTACCTACCTTGAGGTGCTTCCGGGGCTTAGTGTCCCCGCGGCCCGGTCGTCGACCAGGCCTCCTGGTTGCTGGACTGATCAACCAGGCAACTGACCAACCAGGTGATGAATGATGACCTGACCAACCAGGCAACTACCTTGTAGTTGTTTCTTGTTTGTATTGTTGGTATGTTTGTAGGTTTGGTCTCTCCCTATATTGATTTAATATTTTTGTCTTTTGTCCTCAGGCTCTCTCACTTTCTGTTGAATCAGTTCTGTTTTCTAGTTCTGCATCTCTGTCTTGGTATAACTTTTATTGTACCCTCATATATATCACAAAATTTGGCATACATCTCATTGATTTCCTTGCCTAACAAATTTTCCCAATCAACTTCATTAAAGAACTTGCAAAGTTTCCCACAGTGTCCTCTTTTTTTTTTTTTTTTTTTTAAATTTAATTTTTCCACTATGTCACTTTCTGCACTCTTTTTCTAGATAATAACACATTATATATTTGATTTCCAAAAGGACATAGTCACTCTTACCTAATGGAGAAAGGAACTGAAAAATCCAGCAACAACTGAGCATCCCCTTCTCTCACGACCCTTTTAACTTGTTCATACATAAGAAGAACATAAGAACAAAGGTAACTGCAGAAGGCCTATTGGCCCATACGAGGCAGCTCCTATTTATAACCACCCAATCCCACTCAAATACATGTCCAACCCACTTTTGAAACAATCGAGGGACCCCACCTCCACCACGTTACGCGGTAATTTGTTCCACAAATCAACAACCCTGTTACCGAACCAGTATTTACCCAGGTCTTTCCTAAATCTAAACTTATCCAATTTAAACCCATTGTTTCGTGTTCTGTCTTGTGTTGATACTTTTAATACCCTATTAATATCCCCTTTGTTATGTCCATTCATCCACTTGTAAACCTCTATCATGTCACCCCTAACTCTTTGCCTTTCCAGTGAATGCAATTTAAGCTTTGTTAATCTTTCTTCATATGACATGTTTCTAATTTGGGGGATTAACTTTGTATACTACACTAGACGTGTTCAAGTGAATTTATATCCATTCTATAATACGTTGACTAAAACTGAACTACATAATCTAAATGGGGCCTAACCAGAGCAAGATATAGCTGAATAACAACACCAGGTGTCTTGTTACTAACACTTCGATTAATAAATCCCTGTGTCCTATTATGAACATTTATGCATTGATTTTTTGGTTTTAAATTCTTACTAATCATAACTCCCAGATCCCTTTCGCAATCCGACTTTGTAATCTCAACACCATCTAGCTCGTATCTTGTAACTCTATCATCATTACCTAGCCTCAGAACTTTACATTTATCAGCATTAAACTGCATCTGCCAATCTTTTGACCATTTCAAAACCCTATTTAGATCAACTTGAAGTGATAGCGAGTCTTCTTCCGTATTAATTTCCCTACCGATTTTTGTATCATCGGCAAATTTGCAAATGTTGCTATTCAAACCTGAATCTAAATCATTTATATATATTATAAACAACAGAGGTCCCAGGACAGAGCCTTGAGGCACTCCACTTACATTTTCCCACTCTGACTTAACCCCATTTATACCAACTCTGTTTCCTTTGGTATAGCCATGCCCTAATCCAACTTAATATAGCACCCCCAATACCATGAGCTTCTATCTTTTTAATCAGTCTTTCATGTGGCACTGTATCAAAAGTTTTGCTAAAGTCAAAGTACACAACATCACAAACCCTACCACTATCAACTGCCTCAACTATGTTGGAATAAAATGATAGCAAATTTGTTAAACATGAACAGCCATTTGTAAAACCATGTTGTGAATCATTTATTAATATATGTTTTTAGAGATGAAGATGAATGGTATTTGGAATTATCGATTGAAGTAATTTTCCCACAATAGACGTTAGGCTAATTGGCTGATAGTTTGACGCAAGTGATCTATCTCTGTTCTTAAAAATTGGTACCACAATAGCAACCTTCCACAACTCTGGCACTCTGCCTGACTCGAATGATTTATTAAATATGGTAGACAGTGGCTCGCAAAGCTCCTCTTTGCATTCTTTAACCACTGCACTGCTCACCCATTTTCGGCAAAAATGTCTTGGTGCAATTCTCAAGGATATATTTGTTATTTTTATAATTGTTCAGGTAAAGTTAATGTCAAAATGTTTCCAAAGTTAACTATTTCCATTTCAAAACAGAAAGAGTAATGAAAACATTTAAAAATATTAAAATATAGCCTAATTAAAAAACAAAAAGCACAAATCTCAGAGCGCCTAAAGGCGCTTTGCGCAGTGCAGTGGTTAAGCACCCTGGCAAACACTTCATCCAGCCCTGGGGATTTGTTTGGTTTCAATTTCACTATTTGTTTAATAACATCCTCATCCTTATTAACATTTAATAACATACAGGTTTAGTCAACATTGCCATTGTTATGTTTTTTTGTTCGATTCTGGTAGCCCTTGCTCTAAATTTCCCCAGATTTGTATCTTCTTTTTTCTTCAATAATTGTATCTCTCCACCTTCTGTTACTAATCTTGGTACTGTATATTTTTAGTATTTTGGACACACTTGTGCACACCTATCCTACGCTACCTGGATAATGAGGTAATCCTCGAGCTTTGAGCTATATGTAATGAGAGTGAGTGAGGATGTGTGCGTGTGTGAATGTGTTTATATACATTTTGCAATGTAACAAAGTATATTTTTTATCCATTGATGTATCACTTAGAATGACAAAATGTAGGAAGAATGTTAAAAGTTATAAACTGGATTCATTGTAATTGTTTCTTTCTATATTTGACATTAGTGTTGAAAGTTTTTTTTTTACAAAGAATGTTTCTATGTGGAGAATTTGAAGTAATGAATGAGTATATATCCCATTACCGGTATATGAACACACACTGGAGAGTTAACAGAGTATAATCAATATATATTTCTCATTAAAGATTTTTTTTAAGCAAGTAACCATAACTTAAAACTGTATAGCAAATATAAACAAAATCAGAGATGGGCATTGGAACTGATACTGTGTAAAAGTTATTAGTGTCTCGGTTATTTAATTTTTTTAGCAAAATATTTGACTAGTTCCCATTTACAGTAAACCAAGTGGAGAGTTATGGCTCTATTTTTATGCTAGTGATCCAGAAAAAAGTTTGTATACCAGTTGAACACATTTTTATAAGTACTGTACAGTAATGAGCATTAAATATTGATCAGAAAGGTTACAGTATAAATTATAATTTTTCCTTAAAAAAATTAATATTAGTAAAATTAATGTATAATTTTCTAAAAAAAAAAAAAGTGTATCATATACATAATAAAACTATTGATTATTTTTAATTTCTTTAACAATTTACACTTCTGCGAGTAATCTGGTATAGATGTGAGTTTTGAAGTAACATAACAGTAATAACTTTGGTTATTTAGTGCCTCATTGCTTCAAGTAGTCTGGGATTACACCATACCTCAGTGTGGTGGTTGTACTCACCTAGTTGTAGACCCTGGTTTTGTGTAGTGCCTAAATGCTTGTACCCTGGTGGGGTGGGGGTCACAGTGACTCAGTGGAAAAATATATGGATGTTCTGTTCGGACAGTCAAGGGAAGGCATTAAGTAAAATTGTCAATACACTGATAAAATAAAAGTACAACAAGGCAGTTAAGACGGTTCCGATCCAATAAGATTCTCAGATGATGAATAAGAATGTGTGGACAGGTTAAGGTATTTAGGAAATGTGTTCCAAAAGGATAATAATGGTGAAACTTAGAGGATAGAAAAGCTACATAGTACTAAATATTGGAGGGGAAACCTCAGATAGCCTTCATAAATAATGAGAGGTTTAACCACTGTGCTGCATTATAATATGACACCTCTGTGGTGTGCTTGAAAGTAAATAATTTAGTTTCTTATATTGTTAAAATGCATTCTATGTTCCCAGGAAACTAAACAAATATTGTACATGACATACTTTAGCCGTTATGGGGCAGAGAAGCTGAACAGTTTATGGACACTGAGTGAGTAGGCGCTCCGAGATGCTTGCCCCAGCAACCCCGTGTGGCGGCAGTTGTCGCGAATATAAATTTTTACCAATTTCAATTGCTCGTTAGTTTTTTCTCTACAAACTTTTGAATATTACAGAAAAAATTTAATGTGAGAAATGTATATAATCAAACGTGTGCAACATCGACTGGACTGGTTGATCAGTCCAGCAACCAGGAGGCCTGGTTGACGACCGGGCCGCGGGGACGCTAAGCCCCGGAAGCACCTCAAGGTAACCTCAAGGTAAGGTAACATTGCTATGCTAAATAATATGGTGCTCATATTGTGACACGTATATTATATTTCTAGCTCAACAGTTTTTGGTGTTAATGCACAAAACACACGTTATATATAACTATATTTTGTGCACCATAGCGAACCACTAATCTGGGTTGTTGAGAATTTATAATCTTGTAACAATTTAAGGTCGGCCTAACAACAGCGATGGGGACTGCTGCAAATACCTTATTACATAATTATTTAAATGTCTTTTTTTTTCACTTTCATTTACTGTAATATTATTCAAAAGTGTGTAAATCGAGAAATTTATATATGGTAATCAAATGTGTGGAACATGGCTGTGCTCAAAAGTATGGTGCTCATATAGTGACGTGTATATTATATTCTTAGATAAAAAAAAAAACTTTCTCCTGTTACTGCACAATATTCACTATAAAATTTTGTTTGTACCATAATGAACTGAAAACCAGTTCTGGTGGATGTGGTGATGAAATCAAAACACAGCATAGAGCAAAACTATATAAGCAGATGACGCCAACAATCATGTGATGCAAGAAAATGTGCCCAATATTCTACACATCTCACTGACTAGCCACAGAACTGCTGTTATCACATTCCTGTCACAAAATCTCAAATACGAATCCATTTTCACAAGGTTATATTATGAAGGAGCACAAGGTCGTTTTATGATACGTAGAAGAAACAATAGCTGGGTGCCATCTCTCTCTACCTCATGCTGTGAATATCATAACTAACATTCTTTTCACTGATATCTGAATGTTGTACATAGTCTTAATCACAGTCGGAATCATCTATGACACTATTAATGCAAAATAATTGCAATTACATATTTTATTCATCATCAAGTGGTGCTGTGGCCCTTCTGCACAGCAGTGCCAAGAATTCCTGCTGCATGCACCAGCCTTGGTTGCCCTCGGTACCGAGGCTTTCACAGCCAGTAGATTTTTTTTTTCAAGATGGCATGTATTTACTCGAGTCCCGAGGCACAGGATACAAGTCCATTGTACCCGTGAGTTTTGAATCGTTCCCTACACCTAAAAGCATCTTAAGATGCTATGTGCAGTGGTTAAGAAAGTAGAAGCAAGATGCAGGGGTGCACACTCATTACAATTCTTTTCCATCAGCCCATCTTCTCGAGTTGTCACAATCTCATAAAAATGATGTACTAAATTAACCGATCCTCACCTAACCAAGAACTCAAGAACAGAAAATAACAGCCCATCAATTTTGCGAGCCACTATGCTCTATTATACATTATATTTTGGCCATTGGGGATTTATACGTAAAAAAAAGTGATGTATTCAAGAGGACCGGTTGTTTCTTCATATAACATTAGCTAAACTTTAATACAAAAAAGTATCAATAAAGTATTATATTAAGTATTAAATAATACTTGCTTAATAAGTTTAACACAAAATATTTGATGTATTAAAAAAATTCATATTACAGTATTAATACTTTTATTAAGTATTATTTAATACTACTTTAATTATTATTGATACTTTTTTTTATTAAAGTTTAGCTCATGTTACATGCAGAGGAAAGAACCGGTCCTCTTGAACAATAATAACACTGAAGATGAGAGTGATATCAGAAGGGAAGGAACGGAGACTCTGGATTGCACTGGTGAGAGCTTTATAAATGTAGTATGATGAGTCCCCAGTAGATTATATTGGTGATACAGTACTTTTTGTAAGACACACTAATAAACGTATAAAGTTTTTCAAGGTCTAGTAATGATCCTGCAGTTGCCTAGGAAATGGTTTGATTTTAATGTATTAGAGATGTTCCATGAGAACCAACTGAACAGTGTCTTAAAAGGCATTGTAACTATGAAGACTGTAGATGCAGACTGTAACATTAAGTTACTTGCATACAACTGAAAATGTGATTTCTTTAGAGTTTGTGTAAATTCATCTCATGTCAATATAATTTTGAAGATTAATAATAAAATATAAATTTTGAATTTCATTTTCAATTGATCCCCCAACGCTTAAGATCATATTTCTTAGCTACATAAATGTAAGAATATACAACTTGAAGTTGTGCTATTAAATATGATAACATTTCCAAAAATGTTGGCTCAATGATTCTAGCAAGAATCTTCTATATGCTATTTTTCACTTGGACCCATATCAACTTCCTTCCTGACATATTTCAAAAGCAGAAAGTTAATACCAATATGTAGAGGTGACTATATATTCCATGTAGAATGGAGGCAAGGCATTATCCTCTGTCAAGGGGACTGGGTAATCACGTCTGGCAATCTCATTGGTCAGCTAGGGCACTGTGGTGTAAATTGGTACTTCTTTCTTGGTCTTGTAGATGATAATTTACTTGCTTTGGAATATCCTATCAAAAGAAGGCACCAAGCTAGGGAGACTATGTAGCACCATCAAAATCACAGGAGATTCAAAAGGTGCTAAATATCACTAAGGATCCTAATATGAGAACAAAAGGCCCATGAGGCGAGTGATGTCGGATTCACCAAGGAGTTTATCGAAGGACAATGACTGAGGAACAGTCAGGAAGCAAGACATGAACATCCTGAAAATCAGGACATTCAACAAGATGTACGACCGTAAGAGGGACAATAAGGAGTAGGGCGTCACTCCATTAAGTGCCTGAAAGTTAAATGTGTATGGCCAATACAAAACCTTGCCAGAGCCATTTCCCACTACCTGTTAGTGTTAGGAGGAAGGCCCTGGGGACAAGCTACCCTTAGGAGCATGCAGTTTGCTACCAGTAACAGAAGATCAATGATCCTGCAAATGGGCACAGATTGAGGAATAAATGACAATGAACGGCTGTATTCTAATGATCAGAATACAGGAATCATAATGAACATTTTGTGACCAAAATTAGAAATGTACAACTTTTATCTCTAATCAAACATTAAATGCTTTTCAAGATTTTGTACTGATCACCACAAGCGTGGTGTATCAACAGTAGCCTCCAGCACTACATTCAACTATTCACAGAAAATACATTATGCAATTTGCATTTGCCTTGCACCATACAAAAAATGAATAATTGGTAAATATTTGGTAGCAATACAATACTGTAAATATAGAAAGTATTTTGGAAGGAATCTTGAAGTGAAAACGGTATAAAATATGCTTGCATCAGGGCGATGTAGGAGTGTACACGTCTCAAACCATCTATACAAATCGTCACAAAGTACATTTATAATGTAATCTGCATTTTCCTTCTAGCTTGAGGCAAACATTTAGTATCTAAATTATAAATTCTAAGTATTTCTTTCTGAATTAATGCTTAAAATTATTATGAAGGTTTCTCAACAATATCATGCTCCAGTACCATGAAACAAAACTGATAAGGGTTCAGGACGGACTGAAACATTGTCACTTTCTTTTCATTTCGTGTGTCGGTCAATTTATTTGTTTTCGGCCAATTTACTGTGACATTCTCTGAGTAGTGATCAATTTAGTTTCTAGCAGTATTGCAGTACCTTTATTTCATGTGTGGTGCATTATACAGTACAAAATTAAACAGCTTATCAAACCATAAATAATTTTAAATATAAATTTTCTAAAAATCCTTAACCTGAAGGCATGAATAAGATGGAAAATGGCTCTTGCCTGCTTAAAATGAGGTAGACAAGTATTCACATAATTCTTAGGAGTGTAATGAAGCTGCAAAATGTTGTATCAAATATATAGGGTGATTGTATACAAGAGATAAAGATAAACACAAATGAAATGCCTACAGCATCTGTCCTTGTAGTGTGTCAATCTTCTGGTTTAATTGTCATCCTTTGAGCAAAGATATTTTTGATCAAATTAATCTTCTTAATCATCAGGGAATTTCTTAACAAGATAATTGTGGACATTTTCATATACAATCATCATGATGCCAGCACCAGGTCCTAACCTCAACACCTTGGGTACCAAACCTTTATACAATGCACGGAATCTGCAAGAAATGTGAAAGTTAGTGCAAAGTATAAGTAATCAAACTGAAAGAAAATTTGTTTGGGTATATACCAGTAATATTTACAATGGTGAATGCTTTTGTGCGAGGCTACATTGTGTGCATGATGTAATTACTGAGCAAATGCCTAATGCCTCTGTTTTTTTATTATTCCCCCCCCCTCCATCAAATCCAAAAGCAGAAGATGAAATAAATATATTTACAAATAATATACAGTATCTGTTTAAAAAATGTAACTGTTCCTTCTGTTGACTTTTAAAATTAACCGAGTACCATATACTGCAATTAAAAATTAATGTTCATATGAATAATGACATGAGTGCAATACATAAAGAAATGGTTCTTCACACAAAACACCAGCGTTGAATGTAATGAAACGCCAATTTCTGGGTGAGCCCCGGAGGCTCCCTGAACCTGAAGAAGTAGGGCACTGACCAATGCCCTACCACCAGGTGCCAGGTGCCTGTCGCAGAGTTTTATTTGCCTACTGGGGACCACGAGCCAGAACCTGGCCCCTCAGAGAGGTGCTTCCTGCACCTCTGAAGGGCCAGAGAGCCCCTCAGTGGCTCTCTGGCTTATGAACACCACATTTAAAGTTAATCATACTTGCCACCAACCAGGGAAGGAACCCAGTCTATCTTTCCCTATCTTAACAGGCAAACCAAAACAGACCACTGCATGGTTAAAACCGAAACCGCAGCCCCAAAATTGCCAAAAGAACTCCAACAATGAAAATAAACCAAACTTTTGTGAAACTAGTACCCACTAGTTTACCCAACCACCCCCATTGTTTGTGGGGAGGAGGAAGGCGTACAGGGTCAGCCGGCCCGCCCCACATTCAGTTCTGATGATGATGATGATGATGATGATGACACACCAATGCCCAGGGGAGGGAGGGGTATCAGGGAGCCTCCAGGGCTCGCCCAGAAACCGGCATTTCATTACATCCACTGGTGGTTTTCTGGGGGGAAGATTACCCCGTTGACTTACCAGGGAGGAGGCAGCACTGCAAGTATCAATTCGAAGATCAACCCATCAACCTCGACACACGTGTCGTGTGCCTAAAGGACCCCTTGGAAGCCAGCCAATTCATTCTTTGCCAGAAAGGAAGGAGCCGGCTGCAATCAAACAATATGGCCACCAGGGATAATGGAGCAAAACACCCGGCACTGGAGAAGAGCATGAAGCTCACCAACCCGACAACTGGAGGCCAAAGAAAACAAAAATAAGCCTTGAAATGAGGACCAAAGGAGCTACTATAAAATGAACAGAAGAGAGAAAAGAAAGAACCCGGTCCAGAGACCAGGCTGACTCAGGCGGCGTATTCACCTAGTTGTGCTTGCGGGGATTGAGCTCTGCTCTTTCAGCCCGCCTCTCGACTGCCATTCAATCAACTATTACTAATTTTTGTCCTTCCCCCCCTCCCCATACACACACCCAGGAAGCAGCCCGTAGCATCTGTAACTCCCAGAATTTACTGCTAGGTAACAGGAGCATCAGGGTGAAAAACTCTGCCCATTTTTGTTTCTGCCATCACCAGGAATCGAATCCGAACCCTAGGATTCGAGTCCAGAGTGCTATTCTCTCAGCTATCAGGCCCCCTCCCATATTTTGAGATAGGTGTATGAGAAGGCTGGAGGAAAAACAAAGTGCGAGAAAGTTTGCAAAATGGGGACGAAGAAGTGACAACCCTGAACGCAAGATGGAGCAGCTCTGCCAACGGCGCACAACAAGAGGCAACAGTATTCGGCATGAGCTGTCAATTGAGAAACGGCCTAGAAGCAAGTAATTATCAAAGAAGGCACCAAGCCAGGAAGGCTATGTAGCACCAAAACGGCAGAGAAAGGACAAAGCAATCAGCTTGGAAACCAAAGAACAATGACAAGGAGAAAAAATGGCGAAAAAACTGCCAAAGGACCTAATACTGTTGCCAGAAAAAATACTGCAGGTGGGACACCATCAGAATAGAACTGAATGTGGCGTGTGCCAGCTGACCCTTTATGCCTCCCTCCTACCCCCAAACAAGGAAAAAGATGGGAAACAAGCAGGCGCTAGTTTCATGAAATTCTAGTGGTTTGCTTCCATTGTTGGGGGGGAATTCTTTTGGCAATTTTGGGGTTGCAGTCTCCATTTTAACTATGCAGTAGTGTGTCTTAGTTTTGTCTATCTTTCTGCGTGCCTTTCCCGGTTGGTGGCAAGCATGTTTAACTTTAAATGTAAAGTGCTCATAGCACCTGCGCCTCTCTGAGTGGCCAGGCTCTGGCTCTTGGTCCTCAGTAGGCCAATAGAACTCTGACTAATGGCACCAAATAGTATGGCACTGATCAGTGTATGATACCTGTAGCTTACCAACATATAACCTACAATAGTCCATCATCCACTCACCCTTCTTCCCTGTAAACAATTGAAATGGATCTAAATGTTGTCCGGTACTTTATCTCTCCTGGAATAGGCTGTGGTCCTTGAATACGGCTCTTTGCTACATCAAAGGGAATGTTGATCAAGCATCCAAGTACACCGGCCACCAGCCCAATGAAGAATTTCTGAAGGTTTTGTTGCCACTTCTCCTGCAATGTTAGATTCAATTCAGAGGCAAGCTTTAAATCATAACAATAAAGATACTTGCAATAGACCTATTGACCCCTACAAGCAGCAGCAGCAGCTCATACATGTAACCTACACTTTAATCCAACAATCCCACATCCATTATGTTACTCAGTACAATAGTTTAACCCCTGCATTGCGCACCTGTTTTTGGCAAAAACTTCATGGTGCAATTGTTAAGGACATATTTTTGTTGCGTTTATAAATGTTCAGCTAAAGTTAATGTCAAAATGTTTCCAAATTCAACCATTTTCATTTCAAAACACAAAGAGTGATGAAGACATTAAAAAACATTCAAATATAGTTTAATTCAAAAAAATAGCACAACTCTCAGAACAAGATATCTTGGCCGGCGCAACACAGTGGTTAATAATATATACCTGGGAACGAATTGACAAAATATTATTTTTATGCAGGAGAGAGAGTGTTTAGTAAGCCAGAAAAGGAAATTCAATATTACAAATATGATAGCCGTATTTTTATTACCATTTGCGAATGATAACATTGAGAACACACCCAACAAGTCAGCTAGAAGGCTGCCAGGTAGGAGGGATAGCAGTGATGGTGCAGTCATATACAGTAATTACTACCTTACCTTGAGGTTGCCTTGAGGTGCTTCCGGGGCTTAGCGTCCCCGCGGCCCGGTCGTCGACCAGGCCTCCTGGTTGCCGGACTGATCAACCAGGCTGTTGGACGCGGCTGCTCGCAGCCTGACGTATGAGTCACAGCCTGGTTGATCAGGTATCCTTTGGAGGTACTATATAACAATGTTTTACCAGTGAATTGTGCATGTTAGTACTATAATGAAAACTAGGTACTGTATATCTATTACATTAACAGTAACAAGATGGCCTACCTTAGGCTGAGTTATTTTTGAGTTGACGGTGTGGAAAAACCCGAAGTACATCATATTGAAGAGGCCATTCCTTCCGATGGTGGCCGTGACACCTTTATTAAGGCCTCTAAATCCTAATCCTTGAGTCTTGACAATTTCTCGTGCAACTGCCCAGGTGCTAGGGGAAACTTTGTGCTTTGATCTGAAGACAAAAATATTTACTACATTTACAAGTAACTATTAAAAAATTTATTAAGAATAACTTTTGTTAAACAAAACCTACATGGAATTTTTTGTACACAACTGGATGGGAATACAGTTCCTAATTATCTCTCTATACAACAGGATGGGAATACAGTATTACACCTGGTTATCTTGGTATACAACTGGATGGGGATACAGTACCAAATTATCTTGGTATACAACAGATGGGAATACCTAATTAACTTGGCGGAAAAGTTTAAAGATACAGTATAGTAAACATTCAGACAACATTGGTTTTGTGCTTTCCTTTTGTTATATTTAACCCAATTCAAAACAGTTAATGCTGCTCTACAAAAGTTAGAATGGATAAAAGATTATTACCGATATTTGACAAATCTGCCCGAGTATAAGCAATGTCATGGGTGGAAAAGCATCACCAGTTTTTGTTCTACATTGTGGCTATTGAGCTTGAAGCTGTTACCCTGTGTGTGTGTTACACTGGACCTTTTAAAGAAGTGGCCTGGATTAGAGACATCAGCTTACTCGTGCCATGTTTGCAGAGCAGAGTCCCGAGGCCCTCAACTTTTTCTGGTGCGAGTGCTGACTTACATACAGTACTTTTATTTTCCCTTTTTTTTACCATAGTTTCTACTACTTGCTGAGCAGCTTTTTATGGCTGGTGGACCATTCATGTGAGGTCTTTTTTTCTTTTTTCAGCCTGCTGGTGTGTTCTCAACTCACATTTGGGAATTCTGGGATTGAACCCAAGGGTGGGATAAAAGTGGTTGGGTGCATTTCCTATAATCCTATAATGGCGGCCTCGTAGCCTGGTGGATAGCGCGCAGGACTCGTAATTCTGTGGCGCGGGTTCGATTCCCGCACGAGGCAGAAACAAATGGGCAAAGTTTCTTTCACCCTGAATGCCCCTGTTACCTAGCAGTAAAATAGGTACCTGGGAGTTAGTCAGCTGTCACGGGCTGCTTCCTGGGGGTGGAGGCCTGGTTGAGGACCGGGCCGCGGGGACACTAAAGCCCCGAAATCATCTCAAGATAACCTCAAGATAATCTAATTCCCGCTGTTCACCTAGCCATAAATAGGTACCCCTTGAGTTAGTCAGCTTGTTGTGGGGTTGCATTCTGGGAGGTCACAGCAGTTTGACCTGGATGGAAGGGACCTCAATATAAGCCTAACATGTATATATACACTGGCTGCCTGTCCCCCTAACACAATGAGTTATTTATTATTTTTATTTAAATTATTTTATAAGGACTTGCATTTTCAGTATAAGAGTGTACCAGTTTTTGAGACTTTATAAAAAGTTCACGAAGATAATTTTGAATCCAGTTGAAAATTAACAATTTCTGAATCCCCTTGGAGGTTAATACAACCACACAAATTTATGAAAAAAATTATTATTGGGAGAAATATTCAAAATGACTTTTTGTAAAGTGAAGTCAATACTTCACAATACAAGCACAAAACTTACTATCCTGGAGCACAATGATCTACGTCCTGAACTCGTGATGGAGGATACCAGGTTTGATCCCCCTGGGTGGGACATAAATAGTTGGGTATGTTTTCCTTCACCTGATGCTTCTGTTCACCATATATCTATTTACCATGTAGTAAAATAAGTACCTGGGAGTTTGGCAACTGTTGAGAGTTACATCCTGCAGAAGGTCAATAGGGGGGAGGTCACAAGGTCAGTAGGGGGAGGGGGACCTCGACAAGCTTAAGTAGAGGCGTCCTCTTCCTGATAGTGGGTATTGAATTTCCTGTTGGCCTCCACATTATGATAAATCTTTCATCTTCAAAACAGCATTACATACACAAAATTTACTCTAGTTAATGGTTATCTCGACCTGGCTCATCCGAGAGATTTAGTTATGGGAGCCGGTCACCCAAGCAGACAGCACGCTGGACTTGTGATCCTGTGGTCCTGGGTTCGATCCCAGGCGCCAGCAAGAAACTATGGGCAGAGTTTCTTTCACCCTATGCCCCTGTTACCTAGCAGTAAAATAGGTACCTGGGTGTTAGTGAGCTGTCACGGACTGCTTCCTGGGGGTGGAGGCCTGGTCGAGGACCAGGCCGCGGGGACACTAAAAAAGCCCCGAAATCATCTCAAGATAACCTCAAGAGATGGCCATTGAAGGCAATATTTGAAGTGAATGACTTAATTGAGGGGTTACTGTAAGCAACTGAACATGCAAGACTTACCTATTGGCTTGTTGTGCAACTTTGACAACTTCAAAAGGGTTAACTAGAATGGCTTCAGTAGTTCCGGATCCCAATCCAGCTAAGAAATACGTCTGGAAAAAATGACAATGTTATATTTTTACTCTTTCGATTGAAATATAAACATGTTATATCTATTACAAATTCCTCCTTACACCATTCCCATTTATATCTGGTAAGACTGGCAGCCTACACTATGCAGAGGTCATAACAAATAAAATATGCAGTGTACAAATGCATTGTAAAGCACTGGGTAAGACTGACAAACAGTACTAACAAATGGAGCACCTAACTAAGCTCCATTTATTTTTTAAACTATTACCCTTTTAAACAACTTTATCTGCATTTAGTTACCACTGTATATATTTAAGAATGACTAGCATTTTATTTTTTAATAAATATTTCAAAGATGGAAATATTACCACAAACTGATCTAACTCGGAAAATATCTCGAGATACAAATAATGGAATATGATTATGTTAGTGTTGTGTAAATGCGCACACACCATGCACACTCGTACATTTTTGGCTACCTGATGTAAACTTTATTTCACTGTACGAAGTATGTTAAATAAATTAAAAATCCTGATGCTGTACCAAATTTGGAGGGCACACATGCAAAATGTTGTAAAAAGATCCCAATTTGAGATTCAAATTAAAATTCTGCTAATAGAAACAATTGTCAATGATTAGATGCTTGGTGGCCATAGATGCTTAATGGCCATAAAATCTAGAAATTCCTGGCAGGGAAGGGAAAATCCAAGATATTAGTACTTGCACTCTAATACAGTAGTTTATAATGTACAATAAAACCATACCAAAAAATTGAAGGATTGAACTTATGCATGTGCATAAGTTCAACCCTTAGGTTATGGGGTTGAGACACACACACTCAGATGCCAATTAAGCTAGAACAGGGGACTTTTAGACCTGCAGATTTGTAAACCTCTTGCTGGAGACATTCATGTATCAAGATGTTAAACAAGCTACGAGGATGAGGGAAGGGGGATGTTCCCTCCATCCTGGATTTGGTATTCACCAGGAAAGACGGAGAGATACAGTATATGGCATTCAGTACCTTTACCCCTTGGGCAAAAGTGATCATGTCCTTTTGGGAACAAAGTAAGCAATGCACTATAATATAGGAGGGAATAATTAAGTTGAAGCAGTTGAAAAACCTGATTTCAGGAGAACCATGGGGACCTCTGAAAGTTCTTTAAGAAACTTGATTGGAAGGACTTGCTATCGGGCAAGGAAGTAAATAAGATTTGTCAAGTTTTGTGAAATATATGATAAAGGCAAATTTTTTTATATCAAAACAGATGTAGAAGTAGGAAACAGGATTGGTTCAACAGAAATTGTGAGAGGGCCAGAAACCAAAAAAACACAGTTGAATGTAATGAAACACCATTTTTTGGGCAAGACCCAGAGGCTCCCCGGAACTATCCAGACTGATATGTAACTATTAGCTTTCTGGCATCAGTCAAATTGCATGGAGTTCTTGCCTACCGGGAAAAACGAGCCAGAATCTGGCCCCCCTCAGAGAGGCACAAGGAGCGATGGTCTATAGAAACCCCCGGTGTGGTTGGGAGTATTCTATGTCTGCTATCGACCAGGTCTGGCACCCAGAAAGGTAGGCACCCCAAAACAAACCCATATTCTGGTGAAAATATTGCTACTAAAAGCCGAACGAGTGGACAGAACTCTTGAAACAAAAATTAGCAAACAAACATGACGTCACGTTGCTGCGCCACTGTCTGTGCAACCCCCCTGGGGAAGAAGGGGGAGCACCAGACCCTCGCGCCGGCAATCCAACTGGCAGTTCTTAGGCTGGATGTCAAAAACATCCGAAAACATCGTCGACCAGAGGGAGGGAGGGATACCGGGAAGCCTCCGGGTCTCACCCAGAAAATGGCATTTCATTACATTCAGCGCTGGTTTTCTGAGGAAACCCCATCGGCTCCCTGGAGCTAACTACCCAAAGACAAGGAAAAACACAGGGACTTACCCAGAGGTGGTCAGTCCTAACTCCTCAATGCGAAGTCAAGACAACTGGCTGCAACAGCTGACCCAATGTAGTGCAGGCCCTACCAGATCCTGGGACATTGACAAGGAAGCGAGTGGCCAGGATCTTGTTCGACCTCCAAAAACCCAGTGCTTGAATGTCAAATATAGACTGCAGGCTGGCTAGACTTAATAACCCTGTGGATGACCTTGAAGACCCGAGACCGGGAACATGGAAGGAGGGAAACAGGGTCAACCCAAAGTGCATCCCCAGCCACCGAAGCCATGGCTCGCAAATAATGGCGGAGAGCTGCAACTGGACACAACACATGATGCACACCCGGCCTGACTAACCAAGCATCAACAACCCAAGAACCCCACCGAAAAGCAGCAGACTCATTCTTCATCAGAAAAGAAAGATAACTTCAAACGAACAATCCTACCACCAGGACCGAAGGAGCAGAAATCCCTGCGCCGGAGGAGAGCATGAAGCTTCCCGACCCGATCCCCAGAAACCAATGCCAACAGGAAGAAAGAGCCTTAGACAAACCAATCCTGAACCGAAGGGATCACTACAAACTGAGGAGAAGAGAGCGAAGAGAGAGCTCCCCAGTACAAAGACCAGGACGGCTGAGTAGGCTGGAGGTGAAACAATGCACGAGACAGCTTGCAGGTCATGGCAGAAATAACATCAATATCGAACGCAAGCTGGAGCGGCTCTGCCAATGCCACACGATATGAGGCGACAGTCCACGGCATAAGATGATGGTCCTGGAACAACTACGAATGAAAGGACAAGACAACCCAATCAGAGACCGAAGTACATCTTTGCAATGATAGGAAAAACTGAAAGGACCACCAGGAAACTTCATACTGCTGCCGAGATGAAGCACGCAGGTGGGAGACCAACAACGAAGCCGCCTGCACCCCATACAAGTGATGATAGACTCGAGTTAGACTCGAGTGCGAAGACTCGAGGAGAAGAACTAACCAGCCTCGTACCGGGCTGGACCGATCTACTGAAAGAGGCAGTCGCAGGAAGACCCTGGGGTTCAGATACTGAGCAAGCAGCGCCTGAAACCAAGGCCGGGCCGGCCACCAAGGAGCCAGAAGGACAACTCTCCCCTGGTAAGTCTCCAGGCGAGCCAGGACCAACAGCTGAACTGAAGAGGTACAGGTAACCCCACCTCGCCCAGTCCTGCCTGAAGGCGTCAACCTCAATGGCCTCGCAGTTGGGGAAGGGCTCCACATATACCGAGAGATGCCTTGACCACGCGACATGAAGAGATCCACTTCCAGAGGCCAGAACGTCTGGCAGAGCCAACTGAACGAGTTGGCATCGGCCATTCATTCCGTGGACAGAGAAACGAACCGAGACAGGCCATCTGCCATGACATTGGACATCCCACCCGAACGTGAACTGCCAGGAGAGCCAAACCACAAGAAATCAGCCGACAAGTCACCCGAAGCAACCAGCCCCAAAGAGCCAAGAACCACATGGAACCCCCTCGGTTCAGACAATGAACCACCGGGAAACAGTCCGAACAGAGCTATATCATCGATCAGTGATCACACAGTTAATTTGTTTTCTTCAATGACTAAAGCAGACAATATGTTAAAAAAAAAAAGCCAATGATCCATAAATATTCACATAACAGTTAAAACACTGTTGAAATAACTGTCAACAAGATGATAATCACTTGACACAAGGTGCCAGAAACAGGTCACTAAGCGTACATCAGCCAGACGAGAGTGGACGTGTGGTGGTGTTGACTACACCAATATTACAAATAAAAACTATGGGTCCTATCTATTATCAAAGTTGTTTTCAGAACAATTCACTTGTTAGTACTCTACTAGCATTTTTTATGCTACTTTACTAAAAGTCGTTGACAAGTCCAACTACTAACTAACCTTGAACAGTTACTCCACAGCTACATATGTTGCATGCCGAATTCTTTAGCCTTGGTGTATCTGTTTAGTATTTCAAAACAGCTTCCTTAGCAATTATTGGGTAACATTATTAACCTTAGATGCTATTCAAACTTTTAGATATATAACCTAGACTAATAAACATTTAACACTATAAACTGCATGGTACTTTACTGATGGGAAAATATTAGCTTAAATGCTTACACTTTACAGTGAAAAACCTCTAATGTTAACATTTCAACAGAAAGCTATTAATAATACTATGACAAAGAGAAATAATGTTCATTAGTATTAGAATTCTTTAGAGGAAAACAGTGTATCACCGTACATGACGACGAACACAGCAATACTCACCGTTGGTGTTGGAGTTCCACACATCTGTTTGTAGATTTCAAATGTAAGAAACTGAAAGAAAAATAGTTTTTGACATGCTGTTGCATCACTCTTAACAACACTCAATCACTGGGTACAGTACAATACATGCATATGAATTGTTAGAGAAAATTAGTCGCCTACAGTACAATAACAAAATTCAAACCAAAACTAAATAAACTGATGGCATCTATGCCTTAGAACTTAGAACTTAGAACTTATTAGTAGTACAGTACTGTAACTAGAAGCAGTATGCTTGTACAGTACATGTTTTGAAGGTGCACACATCATCAAACTGCACAATGTTGACTCTCAGTGCAAGCAAGTGGCAACCCATTTAGCACACAGAATTTGTGTCTTGACAAGATGAATGAAATATACTGTATAGCAAAAATTCTACATGAAACTGCCCTTTCAACTTACCCAAGGCAGACACTCTGATGCAATAAGGGTATTTGCATGCTTTAATTAATTAGCAGATTATGTTAGCCATTTCATTTTGGGTACCTGGTAGGGTCTCCCATGTCAAACTGGCTGCTAGAGAGAAGCCTCACTAAGGCTTACTAATAGGACTTTCACATACATGTTGCCAGCAAAGTCTGCAAGAAGGGGTAAACTCATAGGACTGCTCCGGGTTAGATGACTGGGTTGCTGGTCAGAGGGTGTTCAAGATACGGGGATTAAACTCTAGCATAATCAAACTTTATGAGAAGGACCTTCAGTGGCTCCTTGATGGGACGAGGGAACCCCCGAGGATCATTTCAGAAAGAGGAGTTTCATTACATTCCACACTTGATTTTGTATCACAGGCCTCTACAGTATGAAAAGGTTCCTTGGGAAGAGTTACTGCATCTGATGCAGCTACCAATGTCCCCCACATCTTCTAGAAAACAGTGGCCTATAATTTCAGGGCATAACCCATGAAAAAGCCATACTACACATTCTGTTCTCAACTCCTCAAAATAATGACAACTTGGCTACTTCCACAACCCATATGAACACGAGTGCAAAATTCCCCTCCCCCTCCCCAATAAATTACTGGCATATCAATATACTGTATTCTCTACAATAGAATGAATCAATAAAGAGCACAAAACATAACCGATATATCGCTATGGTTATATATAATTGATTAATTGCCCGAGAATATCAAAACTAGAATAACATACCTTTGAACCATTTGAATATCTATAGAGAAATAAGCACAACCACAAATCTACTGAATTTCATTATGAAAACCTTCAACTGTTCAATAAGATAACAGGTTTAGCAGGACAAACTCTGAATCAAACTCAGACAAAACATGAAAATAATTGCAAAACAAACAGAAACATGAACATTTTGTAGCTTCTTCCTGATGGTGGCTCGCGTGAGAACACCTGCCTACACACAAGTACAACAACAGCAAAGACAAAGCTAGGCTGGGACTGACCCAAGGGAAGTAGGTGCCAAGACTGTATACATAAGGTACATTGGCCAATGGTAAGCTAGAGCAGGAAGAAAATAAACTGCCGGCACCCAAGTAAGGGGAACCAGAACCCCCAAAATCCTGAGGGAAGATTTTATACAGGATTTTATAAATATACATGGTGAAAGCAGAGGGTTAAGAGCACAAAGAAGCTGGAACACCACTGGCACAATGGTAGAAAGCAAGTTAGCGGACTAACCTTCACTACTCAGGAGACAAAGTGTATGACACAAGTACAGTATGTAAATAAATACGACAGCCTAAAACGGGAAATGCCAGCATCCATCTTCAAACCCACTGTTGCATGAATTGCAGCCACCAGGTATAATTATATAATAATACTCTTTATTTATATAAAATACATTTGATACATGATAGAGAAGAATGCATAGGTACACAATAATATAATGCCACTAATATGAAGAGGGCATAACTTAACATAAATACTGCAAATTATTTGTAAGTTTAACAGGGATAACACTTAATGGATGGGACCCCACAAAAAGGCAGAAGTTGACTGGCAAGGAAAATAAACCAATGCTTTAACAAAGGACTGGGAGCCGGTCGGCCGAGTGGACAGCACGCTGGACTTGTGATCCTGTGGTCCTGGGTTTGATCCCAGGCGCCGGCGAGAAACAATGGGCAGAGTTTCTTTCACCCTATGCCCCTGTTACCTAGCAGTAAAATAGGTACCTGGGTGTTAGTCAGCTGACACGGGCTGCTTCCTGGGGGTGGAGGCCTGGTCGAGGACCGGGTAGGACCACTAAAAAGCCCCGAAATCATCTCAAGAAGATAAGAAGGAGAAGTACGTCTCCTAAACAGAATGTGAAACTCAACACAAGGAGCAGTATCAAATGACTAACAATATGGTCAGAAAACAGAACCCTCCAAAGAGGGAGCAATCTGCAAATGAGGAGAGAACAAGTCATGAACACCCAGACAAGGTGCCACCCCACCCACAGAGGAGCATGAAATGGTCCCACAAGAAGGAAAGCTCCAGCACCCAAGCCAAAAGATGAGAGGCACCTGCTCCTGGCAAAGCATGTCAGCACAAGGCAGCATCACTGACTCCAGGTGCGAAAGAAACAAAAATACATACATACGTACATTAAAATGTGATAAATTATACTGTATGAAACTGATTGGAAAAATAATAATGAAAAATTCCTTACTATGGTATTGGTCTCATGCATTTACAAAGTAATTAAAAAGAATTGATTTACGGAGTTGCACTCGAAAGCCGATTTTGCAACTGAAGCCCACATGTGTTTGAGGGTGCATTAAATAATGTCACTATGCTGTGACATTATTTATTAATTATTACACAGGCATTACAAATTAATAATATTTGTACATGTACTGGTACATAAAATTAGTAATATTATACTAACAAATTATGTTTGTACAAATTATTCATTAGCATTATATTCACACCAAAGAAAATTACATTTTCTCTTGTCTTGCTAGTTTGACTTTCAGATCCATTTATTACAGGCTCAGGTAACACGTCATAACCCGACTGCTTCTCTGTCACAGTAAAATATTGTATGCGTAACAATCGGCATTTACAACAGAAAAATCTGAATACTGCATTCTGTGTCCAGCAGTTTAAAGGTTAACTGAAGACAATGATTCTTAAGTGAAAATAAAACAAATAATAAAGAAAATGGCTTCATATATTAGTACTGTACTGTTAAAACCCCCAAACCACATAACACACCATGAACATAAAGCTTATGTACATCTTGAGGTTATCTTGAGATGATTTCGGGGCTTTTTTTAGTGTCCCCGCAGCCCGGTCCTCGACCAGGCCTCCACCCCCAGGAAGCAGCCCGTGACAGCTGACTAACACCCAGGTACCTATTTTACTGCTAGGTCACAGGGGCATAGGGTGAAAGAAACTTTGCCCATTGTTTCTCGCCGGCGCCCGGGATCGACCCTGGGACCACAGGATCACAAGTCCAGCGTGCTGTCCGCTCGGCCGACCGGCTCCCCAAAAATGCAAAAAATCAAATGCGATTTAATTATAAAAATTAAGCAAAGACATTCAAGAAAAATCCTCCATGCCCAGTACAATAAGAACAATGAACTTTAAAACTTCCAGTAGAAGTTTACAAAGCCCTAGGACAAAAATGAATTCTATGATCACCAGGTAGGCAAGTGTCAAATTTGAGGTGCAGTAATTCAGTTGATGCATTAGTAAAATATATGGAAAAAACTTGCAGCAGCAAATTTCATTCTCATTGCCAAATATTTATTCTTTCTGTGAATATAATGAACTCTAAAGTATGCAGTGCCCTGCTATGTACCAAGAAATATTTTTATACAGTACAAGTATTTATGTAAAGTGAAACCAATACATGGTAAAGATTTTTCCTTAAATAATTAATTACTCCAAAACTTGTAAAAAAAAATATCTATGAAGCTACTACTATGGTCGTACAGCACCCAAAAGCAATATGGCATGCCACATATTTGCACATCCTGTGTATATCTCAAGTCTGAAGTGAATTCACCCAGGTGTTTTTACACATACAAAACTGTTAATGATCTTCCAAATGAGGGCATTTTATTATAGTTAATATGAAGAAAATTTCACCCATAAAACCAGTTAATACAGGCAAAACATTAGCTAAGAATACTTCTGGAGCCTTGAAATTTGTTTTTCTTTTACAGCTATAGTATTTAAGTCCAATTTATTATATTAATAAAAAAGATCAAAGTTACCTTAACAGCACGCTTGGGTGTCTCGACCAAAACTGGAGGCAAGACACCTTTATAGAGAGACAAAAGCCCTTCATTCTTAGCCATCTTGCGCATGCAGTCAAACACTGAAGTGTAGTAGTTTGGGTCACCTGGAACACCTGTAGTTTGAATCTGGAACCTGGTTTTGACAACATCCAGAGGATGCATGATGCATATCTCAGTGAAGCCTGTAAGTTAAGAGACCAAAATTAGACATTTTCAAAAGGTGATTTTTAGACTAAATAGAGTTACACAGAGAAAAATGACACTAATGTGATATATACCAACGAGCAAATACACTGGGGCTGTGAGGTAATGCGAACCCACGACCAAGGCATTGCCAGCTGTATACTCTACCACTGTACTACCTCAGACTCGATAAAAGTCATAGTATAAAAACTATGACTTAACAAGTCAGCGGTGGAACAGTGTTACAGTATTCCCCTAGTTGCGCTTGCATGGGTTGAGCTCTGCTCTTTCAGCCCGCCTCTCAACTATCAATCAATCAACTGTTACTAAACCCCCCCCCCCAACACACACACACAGTATGTATGCTGGCAATGCCTTTGTCGCAGGTTCACATCGCCTCACAGCCCCAGTGGACATTCGCACTAAATACAGTAGTACTGTATTAAGAGACTGGCAACACTAGGCCACTTAAGTGTGAATTTCTATACAAAATAAGCATGCCACTACACACAGAGATCACACTAACGTGATGCATCAAATGAACAAATCCACAAGGGCCGTGACGAGGATTCGAATCTGCATCTGGGAGCATCCCAGACACTGCCTTAATCGACTGAACCCTGTCGTAGCTCAGTCAATTATGGCAGTGTCCGAGATACTCCTGGACGCAGGTTCGAATCCTCGTCACGGCCCTTGTGGATTTGTTCATAAGCATGCCACTGAATGAAGCACTTGGAACCAAGAAAGTCAGCCAGTTAAAACAATCATTCAATTTCAAATACAATACCAAAGAGAACTAATGGCCGACACTACTGTACCTGCAGATCCTCCTGCAGCCAAATTAAAGGCCACAGTCTTCAGATTCAGACTACTCTTCTTTTCCTTCGACATCCTGAGAGTTGTCACAGATACTGTATATGCTGAAAAAAAGGTTTAGGTAAATCAATTACAGTACATACTGTATAGTGTATATAATTTATGGATGTAACAAAATAGTAAGTAAAGTTAGAGATTCCTATGGCAATGGATAATTTTAAATAACAAGCTCAGGTACACACACAGCAATGACCCACTACCACATTCTGTACAATGGATTACAAAGTATAAATCAAGTGCTAGCCGAGATCTAACATGCTCATCTCACAGGATGGTTAGTCATACTGTACAAGGAATAGGGAGTAATGTTTGAGATGCAAGTTCAGGTAACTAGTCTGCATTTGCAAACTTTGGGTAGATCTCGAAAATACCTTCCAATATTCAAAAGCGCATGAAGTACAGTACGTAGTTACAAAGCTCTAAGTATCACACACCATTTTATCCAAAATCATTGTGTACTCGCCTATATGTGTGCCTGTAAGATATAATTTTAGCTCTCGGAGCCCCACCTTTCCAACCACCGGTTGTCTAATGTAATGACACCTGACATTTTCTATCATCAATTTTTAAAAATATATATGGAGTTCACTTCTACAACCTGCTTGTTTAGTTAATTTAATTAATTTTCTATTTTCTTACTACTATCAAGCTTAAAAAAATGCTATAAACCCAGAACTAAACCTCTTATCAAATATCCATGCCAATCATCACTTTAATGATCAAAATTGCAGGTATTATACAGCAAAGGATGTATTACCACAATCATAATGTTTCTGTAATTAACTTTAATGTAAGACCTCTAAGCAAACACTTTGATAATGTTAGTGCCCCAATTCAAACATTTGACAACAAATTCACCTTTATTATACTTACTGAAACATGGTTGAAAGAGGATACAACACAACTCTAACATATTGTTAGAGAGTTCAGTTGTAGTACAGTAGAGTACAATGGAGAGAGAGTAGAGTACTCTCTACTGTACTTGGCAATTCACAACTGTCGACCAAATTATAGAGGTGGTGGTACTGCTCTTCACTACCACCAAGAACTGACATGCTTAAAAGTAATTAGAACTACTTTTATCTATATCTTTGAGATATATCTTTATATATCTTTGCGCGTTTCAGAGTCAAGGGCGCCGAGGCTGACCTGACTGTGGGAGCAGTTTACAGAATTCCCAACACTGATGTTTGCTGAATTCAACTCCAACCTTAGAAATCTAATACTAGCAAACAAACTTAATAAAAACCAACTAATATTTTCAGAGGATCTTAATACTGACAACCTACCTTGAGGCTACCTAGAGGTGCTTCCGGGGCTTAGTGTCCCCGCGGCCCGGTCGTCGACCAGGCCTCCTGGTTGCTCAGGAGCTGCCCCTTGAGCCTGATAACCCTCAAGTTGCTAGTTTCCTTAACTGTATGAATTCCTACTTGCTCATAATCTTAATCACTAAACCTACTAGAATTACTGATACGACTGCCCCTTGAGCACACCTGTACTAACATAACCTCTCCACTTACTTCAGGGATAATCACTGATAGGACCACAGACCATTACCCCACATTTCTTCTAACCAACATTAATAAACCACCTCTTGATACAATGAAGATAAGCTTTAGGCTGCACAATGAAACTTCTATAGGCAACTTTAGTGCTGTTGTTGCTGTTAATATCAATATTTAGCAGTCTCCGTGGTGTAGTGGTAAGACACTCGCCTGGCGTTCCGCGAGCGCTATGTCATGGGTTCGTATCCTGGCCGGGGAGGATTTACTGGGCGCAATTCCTTAACTGTAGCCTCTGTTTAACGCAACAGTAAAATGTGTACTTGGATGAAAAAACGATTCTTCGCGGCAGGGGATCGTATTCCAGGGACCATAGGCTTAAGGACTTGCCCGAAACGCTACGCGTACTAGTGGCTGTACAAGAATGTAACAACTCTTGTATATATCTCAAAAAAAAAAAAAAAAACTGAAAGACTGAATTATGTAACATAGGGAACATCACCCTAGCAGTGCAAACATTTTTTTTCAGAAAACTCTGAACCTCTATAATATCCACTGTCCAATGCTAACAAATAGCAAGACATAATCAAATATAGCCAGACATTATCACTATAACTATAGCAAGTATGTTTATTTACCAATATGTTATAACATGCAAATATGACAGTACAATAATCATAAATAAGACATAACCAAATGCCAAAAACTTCGCTGAATTTTAAAATCCAGTTAGAAAAAATCTTCAGGGCAAATGTGGGGGGGGGGAGGACCTTTGACAAGCCGCCAGCTTCCTGTCCTAGTCAATGCCACTAGTGCCGGTCGGCCGAGCGGACAGCACGCGGGACTTGTGATCCTGTGGTCCTGGGTTCGATCCCAGGCGCCGGCGAGAAACAATGGGCAGAGTTTCTTTCACCCCATGCCCCTGTTACCTAGCAGTAAAATAGGTACCTGGGTGTTAGTCAGCTGTCACGGGCTGCTTCCTGGGGGTGGAGGCCTTGTCGAGGACCGGGCCGCGGGGACACTAAAGCCCCGAAATCATCTCAAGATAACCTCAAGATAGTGTGTTAGTAGTCCTTGGGTATATTCAGGGGAAATATATCATTAAGGTCGGGGGGCGGCGAGGTCATTTGCCCGAAACGCTGCGCGTACTAGTGGCCTTACAGGAGTGCAATTACTGTACTATGCTATGTATTCTCACAAACCCAATGTACCTTCTTGTATATAAATAAAATAAATAAAAATAAAAATAAAATTTGCAGTTACGAGAGAAAGTAGAACAGGCGAAACTTTACTCATGAATCATAATGGAATAATTATGAAGTACAAGAATGCAATAACTCTTGTATATATATATAAATAAAAAATATAATTTATTCACAAAGTACAATGGATTGGTGAGATTACACAAGATTGGTATTTTTACATTCACGTAAATGTCACAGGTGATTAATCTAACATATCAAGTAACATGAAAACGTCCATTGTAGCAAGGTGTTATATCAGACAGTCAACAACAGCTGTAACAATGTAACATTGTTACTAGTGTAACAATGTAAAAATAGCCATAAATACCTTAGAGAGAAAAGGTAGCCGTAAACAGCTAATGTCAGAGGTGTATTCTCTCACACTACAGCCCTAGCAACAGCCAGTAGCCTCCTGCTTGTCATGGTAGGGTGGGCTGGGCGTGTCGCCGGCATCATCCTCACCATACAGGTCCCTGTGAGGCCCTAGCTGGGGTAATATACTTAGTTTACGTTGAAGAAATAGTTTACATTCTGTCCCCTTTTCACGGTGGTTAAAAACCATTCACGTACCGCGTCGTCCCAAACTTCTCCCAGCAGGTGGAAAATATTTTTCCATAAGTCATTATTAATGTTTCTGGCTGCACTTTCCTATTAAAAAATACTTCATTACTATATAATTTAGTCTAAATAAAAATATCACATCGCTATAAGTATATAGATACAGGTTTATATTGAAGAAACATATTACTAAAGTTTCTATCCAAGCATCCGAACAAGCGAACAGCTGATTATTGCGTAAGTCGACCTTGAGCGTAAATGGCTATACTTAACTGTTTAACTGACACTGGATGGGTGACCATGTATACCCTATATCCCCCTCTCGTCCACTGTATTTACTATTTCTACCTGCAGGATCGACCTGTTACCTCTTGGATCCCCCATTTCTAGCTGTCGGTTATTTACCTGAATTTACCTGAGGGCCACTAACACTCTAGTGGCCTCGACAAGGACAGGAAACCGGCGGTTTGTCAAAGGTCCCCATTTGTCCTGATGAATTTTTCCAGTTGGAAATTACAATTAAAGTGTTTTGGCATTTACAGCTTCGGCGGGTAGGCGGTTCCATGGTTTTATAACCCCGTGGGTGAAAAAGCATCTCCTGTTCTCAGTCCTACATTGTGGCTTGTTGAGCTTGAAACTGTTGCTCCTTGTTTGTGTTACATCTGACCTTTTGAAGAAATTGTCTGGATCAACATCCTCCAAATTGTTCAGTATTTTAAAAGTTTCGATGAGATCCGCCCTGTCATGTCTGGCTTGCAGTGTTAGCCCTGAGGCCCTCAACTGTTCCTGGTACGAGGGTTGACTTAGTTCTGGAATGATATTTGTTGTCCGGTGTTGAACTTTCTCAAGAACAGCTGTGTTCTTCTGAAGAGGCACAGGAGCAGGGCTGTAACTTTGCAACCGATGAACTCTAGTTTTAGATTCAGCTACTTGGAACAAAAGATGAACTCTCCATGCTAAACGTTTTTATACCTTCATACCTCATCCTAAGTTTCCAGTTTTCCCACCTTGCTTTCCCCCTTTTCCCAGTTTATAAACTTTCAAACTTACCAAATTATTTTGTCCAACAAGTCTGATCGATTTTCATTAGATCGACGTCTCTCAGTGAAGACCTCTCCATTGCTCGCTTTATCAGTCAACACATAACTCTACCCAAGGTGTGCCCAACCACTTGGTGTGGACGGTACAGGGACGCTTTCGCTTTATGTAAGTCGGCGTTCAATCCCCGACCGTTCAAGTGGTTTGGGGGGTAGAAATAGCCTAAGCTACTATACTACATCCCTTTGAGATGTATTTATTGCTTATCTCAATAAACATACTTGAACTTGAACTTGTTCAAGTGGTTGGGCACCATTCCTTTCCCAGTCTCATCCCAAATCCTTATCATGATCTCTTCCAAGTGCTATATAATTGTAATGGCTTGACACACTTTCCCTGAAAATTCCTTCCCTCTCCTCTACCCAAGACGACTCTTGTGTTCCTAACATTATATTCTCCTTACCAATTCAATTTCTTTATTATGCACCCCATACCCATCCCGTGGGCGGTGGTGTAAAGGATTACAGAGGCACATAATCGGTTCAGGAACTGAACCCTCTAGTTCATTTAGCTAAGCAAATAACAATGTTCTTACCATACTTTAACTTATTAATCTCTTTGTGTCTAATCAACCAAATATTTACACGTAAACATGTTACACATATATTGTTAATTGTTACTGTGTTTCAATTTTTATCTTTCTGGTTATTAAAAGCAAGTTATAGACTTTGGTTGATTGGGACCAGCCTATCCTGGTCCCAATATCTTAAAACAAATTATACACTATTTAAAGAGTTGTAGACAAGCTACTTAAATTTAAGCTGGAGGATGTGGACTTAAAACAATGCTGATATAACCTTTTTCAATTTTAATTAATGATCACAAATTATGGATTACATTTTCATCTTACTGTTGTAATTCTTCTAATACTGGCACTGTAACTGGCTAAACATATCTCCCAGCACGGAGGTGAGTTATAAGCTGGGATGATTTGATTTGATGAAGATTAAACCACCCAAAAGGTGGCACGGGCATGAATAGCCCGTAAGTGGTAACCTTTTGGAACCATTGCCAGTATCATGGGGGGTAGAAATAGCCTAAGCTACTCTATCCCTTTGAGATGTATTTCTTGCTTATCTCAATAAACATACTTTAACTTTAACTTGAACCAGTATCATTAGCTGATACTGGAGATCTGTGGAGGTGCGACTGCACCCTGCGAAGAGGTCGTGACCTCTCGATAAGCTGGGGGACTACTGTTGCATAAATACCTTCCTGGAGGGTGCCTTCAGCCTAGGCGGCGGGCGGTACTCTGGCTGGGCCAGAGCGACAGCCTCCCGGGGCAGGTGGACGTTACCCTGGTAGTTGAAGCACTGTCTGGTAGCCTCTTGTGTGTCGGTGTAGTGCTTCACCGGCTCCACTATGTGGTGGTCCAGGAAGGCTTGGTGGGCCAGCAGCGAGGGCAGGGCACACGATACGTCTCCTTTTTTTAGCTTGTCCAGCGCATCTCTGAAGCTGCTTAACTGTAGTTCTAATTCCTGTAGTAGCTTGGAATACTCTTGTTGGTTGCCACACATGTTGCATTTGGACCGGCTACTAGTGGAGTAGCAGCAAGAGCCGCCGCAAGATGGCGCCGGACACTTGAAGATGAGTGTCTCGGCCGGGTGGTGGGGATATAAAGGCCATATCCACCTGCACGCTTCACACATACACTTAAATTTATATTGATTAAATAGAGCTTCTTGTCTTTCATTGACAGTACTTAAGTAAAAGTGAAAACCGTAATTGTCTAAAACCTCGCTTCCACGGGAAATTGACCTGGTTGCCCTCAGTACACACTGATCACCCACGCTGTAGCGGGTGGCATTGGCGACACAAGAGTGATTGGTGAGAGAGATTGTGGTGTACAAAGCCCCTCCCACCTCAACCATCTTACCAACCGCTACGCCCTCGGGACCAACGTCAAATTCGCCGATCTCGTAAGCATTGCAAGAACCACCTTGTAAGTGTCTGAGCAGCAGACTAGCAGCAAACATGACGTCTTCTTCTTCAACGTTGTCTGAGCCGAAGTAACCAGTGAGCCTGAGACAGTGAGCCAGATACACCGCAGTGATGGCTCGCTTGAGCAGGTCGCCGAATGTCCGTTTCGTCGAGTTGGTTGCTAAATGGAGGACGGTCCTGTAGTCCCGCGGAGAGTACTTTCCTTTCCAAGTGAAGGCCCTCTGGTGTGAAGCTTCCTTGTCAGCCTCTCCAGGATGGTCCTCCCCGCAAGGCGTCTCAACCTCCCTTGGCTCGCTCTCCGTCAGATTCAGTATCTCTGGTCGCCACTTCTGTAGCCCTTGCCATGTTACTGTGGTCATCACTCTGGCAAAGAAAATAAACGATGCCATTATCAACTTTCCAACATGATCTGATGGCAGCACACCAGTCAAGTTCATCTGTCGTAATAGGAAGGACAAGCTGTTCACTTGAGACAGATAAGCAAGTCCCAGCTGTGTTTGGGTACAAGTGACAGGATGAACACCCCAGCGGGTTTTCTTCCTATTGGGGAGTGTTGAACATGTTACTAGGGCGATGTGTCCACTCACAGGATGAGTGGCACTGCCCAATAACCTCGCCCTTCGGAGCAAAATTTAAAATTGAAGACATAGTATCTGTTTTTCTGTACTCCAAAATTACATTCGCACTGTTAGTTTCATAGTTCTTTAATTTGTTTACTTTAAAGAAGCAAGGACATACAAGGTTGTGAGGAGTGTATGGGAAGTAGGTGACGAGACCTATGGACTTACCTATAGGCTAGGAGGGCCATCTTGCCTATACCGGGATCCATGATGTGGTTGAGGACGCTACACTCTGAGCAATGAAGCCTACTCCAGGACGACGCCTCACACCCGTCGCTACAGTACCACACCTGCCGCCATAATAACACACTTTACATGGGTGATAGTTTTAGTTAGTTTAGTTCATTTATTATGCACCCCATACCCATCTTGTGGGCGGTAGAGAGGATTACAGAGGCACATAAGGGGCTCAGGGACTGAACCCCACAATTCATTTAGCTAAGCATGTTACAATCTTGATGAGCTAGTTACAAAATTCAATATAAGTCGTCACATCAACAATGGGTTCGAGATCGACCACAAGTACAGTTTCTAAATTAAGCAACTGACATATGTGGAGAGCCTAGTGTCACAATTGACACGTTTGTCCTGCACACCGCCCCCCATCCAGTGGGCAGCGGTGGATAGGTTACAGGCTAAAATTTCTGGTAGCAGATTATTTTGAATGAAATATTTACACATCGCTGGAACATTGGTTATAGAATTGTCTTACATTGGTGATGTGGCGACTTATACTGAATTTTGTAACTAGCTCGTCAAATAAATAAATAAATAATAAATGTTTATTTAGGTAAGGTACATACATACAAGAAATTTTTTTACAAGGATTGGTGGACTTATAGATAGAGCTAGTACATACAATGCCTAAAGCCACTATTACGCAAAGCGTTTCGGGCATATGATTGTAATTGGCTTAGCTAAATGAATTGTGGGGTTCAGTCCCTGAGCCCATTATGTGCCTCTGTAACCCTTTCCACTACCGCCCACAAGATGGGTATGGGGTGCATAATAAATGAACTAAACTAACTTTGCACCACCACCTCTTAGCTTATGTTTTAGTCACGTTGAATACATTAATTGTAAAACAAGTCTGGAAGAGAAAAGAACACAACCTATCATCCTGTTTAGGTAGTACTTAGCACATATATGAGCATACGTAGCATATACATAGTTACATACATACATACATAGCACATACATACTTACATAGCACATAACTATGTGTACCATAGTACAAATATTGACGTACTAAGCAATTAGATGGTAGAATTTGATACTATTCACTTTATAGTCCGAAAAGTAGAAGCTAAAAAACCAACTTAAATATTCCTAGGCCTAATATAGCACACATATGTACTATATGCCTCAGATAGCGTGTATTAGGCCTAAGAAGGTTAGGTAGGTTAGTTTAGTTTGACTTTGCAAAATAAATATAAACTCTTTTTCTGGATTGTCCAGATTCAATAGTACCGATTTCTACTTTCTAATTTCGTTATACGTTGGTATATGTACTGTGGTCCCCATCGTTACTATAAGTACTACCAAAACAGGAGGATATGGCTGGAAATTGAAATTGAAATAAGTTTATCGAGGTAAAATACAGACAAAGGGATGAGGTAGCTTAAGCTATTCTCACCCCGTTCAGTAGATCGTGTTAATACATACATAGACACACATCACAACAATAAACATATTACCAAACATTCTGAGAGATAAACATATACATTTCCTATATGGGCGGGAAGTTCAGTACAGTATCAAAACACAAGCTAGATTTAGGGGGTAGAAATAGCCTAATCTACTCTATCCCTTTGAGATGTACTTTATTGTCTCAATAAACGTACTTGAACAAGCTAGATAGCTACCTCCTATAACGTCTTATTTCAGTGTTACTCCGCAAGCCATAAATACCATTATTCATATTGCTTTCTATTCGCTAAACATTATTATGAGAGGCGGAGACCTTTGCGCAGGCGCGGCAGGGGACGGGGGTGGTGCAGGGGGTGTAGCAATGGAAGCAATGGGTGCTTAGGACCTCGGCGTTCACCATTGTGCAGAACGGACTGTCTACCATCAAGATGTCACCTGTTACCCAAGACAGGAATATTGTAGTGGCTTCCTCACTTAATGATTCAGTGTCATTAATTAGATTAAGGCAAAGCCCTCAACAGTAGCCTAATTTTCATCAAACTGACTACTTTATCTCTGTACATGCAATAAATGTTATTATTAATGACTTTTATTCTAAGAGATATTATATTTTAGACGCTGTTAATTGTGTATCACTAACCTGGCTTTATATCTTTCTTGGCGATGGTGCATCGACCTCTGTCTTCTGTAATAACGAAGTCGAGTACAGACGACGCACTTGGGAAATTCTTGTGTGGTCCGTAGCTGACTTGAGGCACACACTTCCTTTTCTTTGGTTCTTCCTTCGAGACTTTTTTAGACTTTTTGGTTTTGATGGTTTTAAACACCGTCATAACTCTGCCAGTAACTGCTGCTTTGATTTCATTTGTCGCGTTGCTTTTTCGCAGATGATCTAATGCTTTAAGGAAGTAGGACTCGGCTGCCTTGTTGTCGTTTATCCTTGCACTGCAGTAACCCAGGATCTCAAATGAGTTCCATAGCAGTTCCTCTGGACAGTTAAAAGACAAACTCTTCAGAGCATCAACTTTGGCGTCGTCAAAATACTCCAAGAGAAGCGACGCCCAACCTCTCTTCATATACCTGAGGGCCAGGGTGGTGGTATCCGTAACCGGAGTCTTCTGAATACATTTCTTCATCACCTCCAGAGCCTTGCTGGCGGATGCCTCGTTGGGGATGAGCATCTCGTACACCTTTTCGTAACTGATGGCATCTTCCTCACTCTTCTTGGAATAATTTTCTTCTAGTTTCATTGCCCTTATCTCATTCATCTGAGCGACATATTTCACTCTCTCTAAATCTGTTTTAAGATCCTGAAACAATTTTTTTTAACGTCAAAATTGATATAATTCGTTATAGAGATCTCTCTTGCCTTCTCCAGAATACCAAACAAAACAGAAGGGTACAACAATATATATATCGTGCTTTCAATAGAATAATAAAAAGCCCGTGGCGTAAGTCTACAAATACAAATATTTATTCAGGTAAAGTACATACATACAAGGTGAAATACAAAAGTTGATGGATTCATAGATAGAGCTAGTACATACAATGCCTAAAGCCACTATTACGCAAAGCGTTTCGGGCAGACTTTTCGGGCATTTATTTATATATACAAGAGTTCTTACATTCTTGTACAGCCCTAGTATACACAGCGTTTCGGGCAAACCCACCTTCCCTCTCAGGATAGGACTTGAAACCATGCACAATTGCTATAAGTTCATCTCATGCAGATATTCGTGATTTTGGGCGCTTGTTAGAGTTAACCGTAACTTCAAGGGTCTTAGCGCGACACGCAAGAGGCAGCAACTTCAAGCTAGCGAAATCAAAATGCAGAACAGAGAACAAGCAATTTTTCTACTAAGAGTAATAAATCTTTGCTCATCCACAGAAACCGTCAAACTTGACAGAGATTCAGTTTAAAATTCAGCTCGAAATAATAATGAGGCATGATGGGGGTGACCTCTTCAAAATCCACGAGCGTTCTGTCCCGCTAGAGACAGTGGCTAACAGGTATATTAAGAGTACTGATAGAATGCAGTCCTATCCCGCATGGGATCAAAAAACAGTTCATTCATAGTGGTGAATGAAAAACGATTTGACTCAAAACCAGGTTTTCCGGTTTGCGTTATTAAAATATTTAATTGATACAGGAAAATACATATAAAAACACGAATTTACATGTATATAGCTGAAAACGGAAGAAAGCTGTAGTTTTATTAATAAAATGGAAAAGATAGAATCTATTTGATGAAAATGTCAGGACACAACACTATGATTAAGAAACAAATCCACAAGGGAAGGAATTGTGTGAAAACCTGATTAGGCTTCGAAGAAGCTTCAGGATCCTAGTGAGGGCAGTAGCACTCCAGGATGCAATTCTTTTTACCATGTCGTGATACAGTTGACTAAGGCGCAGCTGGGAACATCCCGTGCGTAGATTTGAACCCTAATCACAGCCCTTGTGGATTTGTTCATTTGATATATCACATTAATGTGAGTGCTGTATGTACTATGATTAACATGTTTTGTCTCACTAAGTCACCTCGAAGTCTTTCATAAGGGCGTCGAGTGTGCCAGAAGAGCGAATGCGTTGGCAGATGTCATCATACAGGGCCTGGAATGATGGTGAGGGAGTGCTTTGGGTCTTCCCAAGTTCTGACTGTGAAGGTTGCTGCTGCTGCTGGTGCTGGTGCTGCTGCTGCTGCTGGTGACAGCTTGAGTCTACAGCTGGTTGTTGAGCTGCTTCCTGTTCAGCTTCTTTCAGGCGAAGCCCTTCTTGTATCTTCTTAAGGAACTGTTCATAATCATCCATGTTCCTGTTGAAGATATCTCGTGAGTTCCACCTGTTAATGACATTGTAAGTAAGATTAGGCTAGTGTCTCTCGACTCTCCAGAACATGGACATAGAACATGCTAAGGATAATATTTGTAGAAAATAAATTTTCCTTTGAAGGCAGTATTCAATACCTATTTAGCTAACAGGAAACGAGATATTTGACAGAAACAGTTTCGGCGCCATTTTTTTCAAGATAGTGGCCAAAGCTTGCTTCTCCTGAAGGTGGGGAGGTGGGGGGGGGGGGGGAACTTAGAGTATAACATGGATTTATAATAAAGTATTTAACACAGTCTTCAGGTTTCTTTGGAAGTTTGAAATGTTTAACGACTGGCGTAGGAAATAATTACCACATAACTTTAGTGATAAAATATTAAACTAAAACTTTATGTGAGTTACTCAGTTTAAGTTCCAGCTTTATGTAATTTATACTACCAGAATAAATTAGATGTATAATTTATAGCTGAATAGTTAATGAGCAGAGTTAGCCGCCAATGGGTATAAGGCGACGCCACCCTGGCGCATACCACAGTAAACAATTCAGAGACTGAATTGCTCTTTAAATATAATTTACAATCTATGCTTAGAATAAATTAACCAGTTCTTAAATACCAAACTAAATCAATATTACTGGTCCATGTTTACCAAAGGGAAGGAAGCACCTTGGGATACGTAAATTTAAATAACACGAAAATATCTCGTTCCCACTGGAGGTTGGAGAGGGAGGAAAACTGGAAGCGATTGCACTAGCGTGCAGGACTCTGGAGGGTGAGCACGCGCGCTCTGGACTACCGTAAATAGCTGTTTGCGCTTCTTCTACACATCCATGTTTAACAAAGATCACCTCCGACCCACGCTTAAGGGCAAGTGAACCTCTGTTATGAATATATAGTTCTAGCCAGTATATTGTAGTTATTTGTTGATATAAATTATGAATGAGTCCAAGACAAGCGTGTATCAGATCTTCACAAATTTAATTTAATGTATAGATTATGGTTTCAGATTTATAAACTTTCTATCCCAGAGGCATTAGGGGGTTATGTCCTGTCCCCCAGAGGCATTAGGGGGTTATGTCCTGTCCCCCAGAGGCATTAGGGGGTCGTTTCCTGTCCCCCAGAGGCATTAGGGGTCGTTTCCTGTCCCCCAGAGGCATTAGGGGGTCGTTTCCTGTCCCCCAGAGGCATTAGGGGGTCGTTTCCTGTCCCCCAGAGGCATTAGGGGGTCGTTTCCTGTCCCCCAGAGGCATTAGGGGGTCGTTTCCTGTCCCCCAGAGGCATTAGGGGGTCATTTCCTGTCCCCCAGAGGCATTAGGGGGTCGTTTCCTGTCCCCAGAGGCATTAGGGGGTTATGTCCTGTCCCCCAGAGGCATTAGGGGGTTATGTCCTGTCCCCCAGAGGCATTAGGGGGTCGTTTCCTGTCCCCCAGAGGCATTAGGGGGTCGTTTCCTGTCCCCCAGAGGCATTAGGGGGTCGTTTCCTGTCCCCCAGAGGCATTAGGGGGTCGTTTCCTGTCCCCCAGAGGCATTAGGGGGTCGTTTCCTGTCCCCCAGAGGCATTAGGGGGTCATTTCCTGTCCCCCAGAGGCATTAGGGGGTCGTTTCCTGTCCCCCAGAGGCATTAGGGGGTCGTTTCCAGTCCCCCAGAGGCATTAGGGGGTCATTTCCTGTCCCCCAGAGGCATTAGGGGGTCATTTCCTGTCCCCCAGAGGCATTAGGGGGTCATGTCCTGTCCCCCAGAGGCATTAGGGGGTCATGTCCTGTCCCCCAGAGGCATTAGGGGGTCATGTCCTGTCCCCCAGAGGCATTAGGGGGTCATGTCCTGTCCCCCAGAGGCATTAGGGGGTCATGTCCTGTCCCCCAGAGGCATTAGGGGGTCATGTCCTGTCCCCCAGAGGCATTAGGGGGTCATGTCCTGTCCCCCAGAGGCATTAGGGGGTCATGTCCTGTCCCCCAGAGGCATTAGGGGGTCATGTCCTGTCCCCCAGAGGCATTAGGGGGTCATGTCCTGTCCCCCAGAGGCATTAGGGGGTCATGTCCTGTCCCCCAGAGGCATTAGGGGGTCATGTCCTGTCCCCCAGAGGCATTAGGGGGTCATGTCCCGTCCCCCAGAGGCATTAGGGGGGTCATGTCCCGTCCCCCAGAGGCATTAGGGGGGTCATGTCCCGTCCCCCAGAGGCATTAGGGGGGTCATGTCCCGTCCCCCAGAGGCATTAGGGGGGTCATGTCCCGTCCCCCAGAGGCATTAGGGGGGTCATGTCCCGTCCCCCAGAGGCATTAGGGGGGTCATGTCCCGTCCCCCAGAGGCATTAGGGGGGTCATGTCCCGTCCCCCAGAGGCATTAGGGGGGTCATGTCCCGTCCCCCAGAGGCATTAGGGGGGTCATGTCCCGTCCCCCAGAGGCATTAGGGGGGTCATGTCCCGTCCCCCAGAGGCATTAGGGGGGTCATGTCCCGTCCCCCAGAGGCATTAGGGGGGTCATGTCCCGTCCCCCAGAGGCATTAGGGGGGTCATGTCCCGTCCCCCAGAGGCATTAGGGGGGTCATGTCCCGTCCCCCAGAGGCATTAGGGGGGTCATGTCCCGTCCCCCAGAGGCATTAGGGGGGTCATGTCCCGTCCCCCAGAGGCATTAGGGGGGTCATGTCCCGTCCCCCAGAGGCATTAGGGGGGTCATGTCCCGTCCCCCAGAGGCATTAGGGGGGTCATGTCCCGTCCCCCAGAGGCATTAGGGGGGTCATGTCCCGTCCCCCAGAGGCATTAGGGGGGTCATGTCCCGTCCCCCAGAGGCATTAGGGGGGTCATGTCCCGTCCCCCAGAGGCATTAGGGGGGTCATGTCCCGTCCCCCAGAGGCATTAGGGGGGTCATGTCCCGTCCCCCAGAGGCATTAGGGGGGTCATGTCCCGTCCCCCAGAGGCATTAGGGGGGTCATGTCCCGTCCCCCAGAGGCATTAGGGGGGTCATGTCCCGTCCCCCAGAGGCATTAGGGGGGTCATGTCCCGTCCCCCAGAGGCATTAGGGGGGTCATGTCCCGTCCCCCAGAGGCATTAGGGGGGTCATGTCCCGTCCCCCAGAGGCATTAGGGGGGTCATGTCCCGTCCCCCAGAGGCATTAGGGGGGTCATGTCCCGTCCCCCAGAGGCATTAGGGGGGTCATGTCCCGTCCCCCAGAGGCATTAGGGGGGTCATGTCCCGTCCCCCAGAGGCATTAGGGGGGTCATGTCCCGTCCCCCAGAGGCATTAGGGGGGTCATGTCCCGTCCCCCAGAGGCATTAGGGGGGTCATGTCCCGTCCCCCAGAGGCATTAGGGGGGTCATGTCCCGTCCCCCAGAGGCATTAGGGGGGTCATGTCCCGTCCCCCAGAGGCATTAGGGGGGTCATGTCCCGTCCCCCAGAGGCATTAGGGGGGTCATGTCCCGTCCCCCAGAGGCATTAGGGGGGTCATGTCCCGTCCCCCAGAGGCATTAGGGGGGTCATGTCCCGTCCCCCAGAGGCATTAGGGGGGTCATGTCCCGTCCCCCAGAGGCATTAGGGGGGTCATGTCCCGTCCCCCAGAGGCATTAGGGGGGTCATGTCCCGTCCCCCAGAGGCATTAGGGGGGTCATGTCCCGTCCCCCAGAGGCATTAGGGGGGTCATGTCCCGTCCCCCAGAGGCATTAGGGGGGTCATGTCCCGTCCCCCAGAGGCATTAGGGGGGTCATGTCCCGTCCCCCAGAGGCATTAGGGGGGTCATGTCCCGTCCCCCAGAGGCATTAGGGGGGTCATGTCCCGTCCCCCAGAGGCATTAGGGGGGTCATGTCCCGTCCCCCAGAGGCATTAGGGGGGTCATGTCCCGTCCCCCAGAGGCATTAGGGGGGTCATGTCCCGTCCCCCAGAGGCATTAGGGGGGTCATGTCCCGTCCCCCAGAGGCATTAGGGGGGTCATGTCCCGTCCCCCAGAGGCATTAGGGGGGTCATGTCCCGTCCCCCAGAGGCATTAGGGGGGTCATGTCCCGTCCCCCAGAGGCATTAGGGGGGTCATGTCCCGTCCCCCAGAGGCATTAGGGGGGTCATGTCCCGTCCCCCAGAGGCATTAGGGGGGTCATGTCCCGTCCCCCAGAGGCATTAGGGGGGTCATGTCCCGTCCCCCAGAGGCATTAGGGGGGTCATGTCCCGTCCCCCAGAGGCATTAGGGGGGTCATGTCCCGTCCCCCAGAGGCATTAGGGGGGTCATGTCCCGTCCCCCAGAGGCATTAGGGGGGTCATGTCCCGTCCCCCAGAGGCATTAGGGGGGTCATGTCCCGTCCCCCAGAGGCATTAGGGGGGTCATGTCCCGTCCCCCAGAGGCATTAGGGGGGTCATGTCCCGTCCCCCAGAGGCATTAGGGGGGTCATGTCCCGTCCCCCAGAGGCATTAGGGGGGTCATGTCCCGTCCCCCAGAGGCATTAGGGGGGTCATGTCCCGTCCCCCAGAGGCATTAGGGGGGTCATGTCCCGTCCCCCAGAGGCATTAGGGGGGTCATGTCCCGTCCCCCAGAGGCATTAGGGGGGTCATGTCCCGTCCCCCAGAGGCATTAGGGGGGTCATGTCCCGTCCCCCAGAGGCATTAGGGGGGTCATGTCCCGTCCCCCAGAGGCATTAGGGGGGTCATGTCCCGTCCCCCAGAGGCATTAGGGGGGTCATGTCCCGTCCCCCAGAGGCATTAGGGGGGTCATGTCCCGTCCCCCAGAGGCATTAGGGGGGTCATGTCCCGTCCCCCAGAGGCATTAGGGGGGTCATGTCCCGTCCCCCAGAGGCATTAGGGGGGTCATGTCCCGTCCCCCAGAGGCATTAGGGGGGTCATGTCCCGTCCCCCAGAGGCATTAGGGGGGTCATGTCCCGTCCCCCAGAGGCATTAGGGGGGTCATGTCCCGTCCCCCAGAGGCATTAGGGGGGTCATGTCCCGTCCCCCAGAGGCATTAGGGGGGTCATGTCCCGTCCCCCAGAGGCATTAGGGGGTCATGTCCCGTCCCCCAGAGGCATTAGGGGGGTCATGTCCCGTCCCCCAGAGGCATTAGGGGGTCCTGTCCCGTCCCCCCAGAGGCATTAGGGGGTCCTGTCCCGTCCCCCCAGAGGCATTAGGGGGTCATGTCCCGTCCCCCAGAGGCATTAGGGGGTCATGTCCCGTCCCCCAGAGGCATTAGGGGGTCATGTCCCGTCCCCCCAGAGGCATTAGGGGGTCATGTCCCGTCCCCCAGAGGCATTAGGGAGTCATGTCCCGTCCCCCAGAGGCATTAGGGGGTCATGTCCCGTCCCCCAGAGGCATTAGGGGGTCCCGTCCCCCCAGAGGCATTAGGGGGTCCCGTCCCGTCCCCCCAGAGGCATTAGGGGGTCCCGTCCCGTCCCCCCAGAGGCATTAGGGGGTCATGTCCTGTCCCATACATGCAGCTGAGCCACTATTAATTATTCACTGAGTAATCTTAGATAATTATTAATAATTCACATATTTAGCCCATTCAGTGACGATCATAAATACTCCTAGTAAATGCCAGAGCTGGTCCTTCGAGGGTTAAATAATTTGAGAATTAATTTCTGTTGAGTTGAAGTTCATTAAACAATTTAACACTAAAATACACACACTACCGCTCACAGGAATTGGGAGTGCCTAGTAGCCTAAATTAGCCGCCGCTAACAACAATAAAATCATTACGAAGTTACTAATAATTTAGTAGAGTTCAATCTACTTCTTGCTATTCTGTAGCACATAAATTTATTTACGAATTTCCACTGATAGTGAGTGCCTGTCTTTGACCTGAATTTACCTGTGGACGGCTTGTCAGACGTCATCCACCTACTGTTTCTGAGAATGTTTTCCAACTGGATTTTTGACATTTAGGCCTACGGCGGGTAGGCTGTTCGATGGGTTTATAACTCCATGGGTGAATACTGGCGGCTTAACAGTAACTGTAAACCTACTTCCAAGGCTGGACCTAGGACATGTTCTTAAAGTTGGATAACATTTGTTCATAGGGTTTTTATGCTCGTGAACGATACTCAAGTATTCATGTTCTGGAGACGAATGTATACATTTTATTCTAATGAAATCTAGGAATTGGGAGACGCACTCAAATGTTATTTTGTGTGTATGTATGTGTGTGTGTGTACTCACCTAATTGTGCTTGCGGGGGTTGAGCTTTGGCTCTTTGATCCCGCCTCTCAACTGTCAATCAACTGGTGTACAGATTCCTGAGCCTACTGGGCTCTATCATATCTACATTTGAAACTGTGTATGGAGTCAGCCTCCACCACATCACTTCCTAGTGCATTCCATTTATTAACTACTGACACTGAAAAAAATCTTTCTAACGTCTGTGGCTCATCTGGGTACTAAGTTTCCACCTGTGTCCCCTTGTTCGTGTCCCACCCGTGCTGTGTGTGTGTACTCGCCTAGTTGTGTTTGCGGGGGTTGAGCTCTGGCTCTTTGGTCCCGCCTCTCAACCGTCAATCAACAGGTGTACAGATTCCTGAGCCTATCGGGCTCTATCATATCTACACTGTATGTGTGTGTGTGTGTGTGTGTGTGTGTGTGTGTGTGTGTGTGTGTGTGTGTGTGTGTGTGTGTGTGTGTGTGTGATCACAAGACTGTGTAACACAGCCATCCGTGCTGTGTGTGCATTCACCAATGCATAGCCACATTTGGAATATCATTCCTACAATAATATTAAATTTTCAAAAATCATGATTATAATATTTTAACTGGGGGTAAATTTAATCGGCAGCATCAACCCCTCCCCCCCCCACCGAAACATATACATACCTTGTCTTGTCACAGCTTAGATCCCGCGCGGAATATCTAGCCTATCAAAAAATTTAACGTACAGTGTGTAAAGAGCGAAGGTGTTGCTACTACACCTTGTAGAGTACACAAGGGAGACTGATAAGACCACAAACGCGGGTTTTCATCATCTACATATATATATGGAAATTAAGTTGCAGGGGGCTAGAACTGAAGTGGAATATGTTGGTTGAAATGTAAGAGCTCAATACAATAGTTGCATTCTATACAGCAGGGATTGTGCAATGGAACATGTGCTCTGATCAGCTCTGGTAGACTCTTTTTAGTTGCTATGCATGAACAGAAATGTAGGGGGGGTGGATAAGTAATTATAATTATAGAGATATTGGCTAAATGAAACATCTTTTCATAAATCACAAGTACATGTTGATGGTTCGGCGCCATGCTAGCGGTGTAATATCTACGGGCTCACCATAGCCCGTGCTACCTGGAACTATTTGTTCCGGATAGCGAATCTTAAACAGCAGCAGCCATGCTAGCCTGCTTGACTAAAAACAGGCAGTACACCAACCAGTTCTACACAGGCAGTGGGAAGCTTTGCAGGCGATGAGTCACAATAACGTGGCTGACGTATGTTGACCACACCACACACTAGAAGGTGAACGGACGTTTCGGTCCGTCCTGGACCGAAACAATCGACTTGAGAATGGTCCAGGACGGACCGAAACGTTATCGTTCCTTCACTTTCTAGTGTGTGACCTGGTCAGTGGGGGAGCTTTTCTCCCATCGTTCCTCTAACTGGTTCATCTATAATTATGTAGCTTGCTAAGCTAAACTTATATTATGGGTCACTTCCTGAGCCCCTCGTTGAGCCTACGGGATGGGTATAAATAGGTAGTAATAGTAGAAATAGGTAGAAAGTAGAAATAGGTAGAAATAGCCTAAGCTACTCTATCCCTATGAGATGTATATATTTCTTGTCTCAATAAACATACTTGAAATGGGTATATGGGGCATAGTAAATTAACTAAATCAAAATCAATCACGTGCCTCTGTAACCTCTCCATCACCGCTCACAGAATGGGTATAGGGTGCATCTTCTTATCTTGAGGTTATCTTGAGATGATTTCGGGGCTTTAGTGTCCCCGCGGCCCGGTCCTCGACCAGGCCTCCACCCCCAGGAAGCAGCCCGTGACAGCTGACTAACTCCTAGGTACCTATTTACTGCTAGGTAACAGGGGCATTCAGGGTGAAAGAAACTTTGCCCATTTGTTTCTGCCTCGTGCGGGAATCGAACCCGCGCCACAGAATCACGAGTCCTGCGCGCTATCCACCAGGCTACGAGGCCCCTTCAAAGTGAGTGCATGAGTGACCATTCCATCGCTGCTCACAGGGTTAGTTTGGACCGAATGCATTATACATTAAGCTTTTATGAAATGTTTCATATTTCCAAGTGTTAATTCAGAACAGATGACGAACCATTGTGTTACCTTTAATGTAGTCGATGTGAGCTCCGCTGTCACTTCTCTGTATAGATAACTTTATTTCCAATTGGAGTGTGTTCTTTGTGTTGGGAGAACAGCCGGGAAACACTATAACATTCACTGCACGTAACACAAGTATGAGGAACACATTAGTTTAACACAGCCTAGCCACTGTAGAAGACTCAACTGTGTACCGTAGAATGGTAGAGTAGTGGCAGTAGAGCTGTGAGATGTAGTCGGAGGAAGCAATGCTGGCAGCCTAGTCCTCCCCCCAACCTGGCGACCAGACACTATATGAGGGAAGCTTGCTCCTCTGGCTCTGCCTATACCTGCATTTTCTCCATCCACCGATCTCAGAATAACTGCTTATGTAAAATATATATAAAACTTCATGCCACAAAATAAAAAGTAAATGTATCGTTTTCTGAGGTTTACAAAAGCATATGTTTTTGTAAACAAATATAGAGGTGTTAGGGGAATGTGGAGGTGGCAACTGGCACAGGAGTTGGCACAAGGAGACGATGCCACATGGGTGGCCGACCTGATGCCAGCACGTGCGCACGCACGCGCATACACGTACATGTGGTGGAGGCAGCTATACACAGTTTCAAATGTAGATATGATAGAGCCCAATGGGCTCGGGAATCTGTACTGTTACAGTAACTACTGTTAGGTTACCGTTTGGTATCAATAGTGTTCTGATTGAGACAGTTGGCGGTGTCCTCACTAATTTAGTATATGGCGAGTTGTACCGCCTGTTTAGTGTTAATAGTAGTCAGACAATATAGCTCACCATACAACCCGTCCTCTTAAAAATAACGTCACTTTTCGCTGGTATGCGCACTATGGCCAAATTTGGACGTAATTTGAAATGAAATTGACTCACAAAAGTGACGTTCTGTTCCGTTTTCTATTTGAGTCGTCTCGCCTACGCGCAGAGGTTATAAGAGGACACTTTAAATTAACGTTTTTCATAACGTTTTGAAACTTTGAGAATTTCCTGCCCAACTAACCTATCAGAGGACCCTTAACTTACTGTTGTTGAAAAAAAAAATCCCAAATTTATTTTCATTTTTTTTTCATTTTCAAATTACGTCCAAATTCGGCCATACGGGCAAACGGCCAAAAGCGACGTTCTTTTTAAGAGGACAGGTTGCACCATATGCTACAAGAATAAGACTGCCAACATGCTCATGAAAAGTTGCCTTTGGTGATTGGAGCACAACTTGAGGCAAATGTTGTCTATGCCTTTACTTGCCCACTTGGAGGGACTCAACCTGAACGATCTCAATATATAGGCAAGACGACAAAATCTTTCAAAGTATAGACAATGCGTAAACAATAAGGCTATATCAACATAACTAGGTAACATCTATACCCAACCAGGGTATAGGACATGTATATCCTGACTAGCAACATTAAAATAATCTACAGATACAATGACAACAGGAGATTAGATACAGCCGATGCACCTCATATCAGACACTCATTTAATTATCAACAGCCGCTTGCACTGAGCTACGTGTTGCTGTCTATAAGACCAAGAGAGAACTACCAGTTTATCTGCAACCCATTCTCCTGTTTAGATAGTAGTTTTTGTAACTATGTGCGCCATAGTACAGAGATTGTCGTTGTAAGCAATTAGATAGAACTTTGTACTATTCACTTTATAAGAATCTGAAAAAATGAATCTAAAAAACTCAAATATTCTTAGGCCTAGTATAGCGCACATATGTACTATATTACGCCTCAAATATCGTGTATTAGGCCTAGGAAGGTTAGGGTAGTTTAGTTTCACTTTACAACATAAGTAGAAAATAGTTTTCAGATTTGTCCAACTCAATAGTGGCGATTTCTACTTTCCAATTTCGTTGTACGTCGGTATATGTACTACAGTACGTCGGTATATGTACTACAGTACGTCGGTATATGTACCACAGTCTTCATCGTTACTGTAAATACTACCAAAACGGGGGGATATATGGGCTGTTATATCACATATATTGCCCCTACCGACCTATGGGAATTCACTTTCTCGCTGCATCCTGATACGCGAAGATGTGCTTTAGCATCAACGTGTTCTTCAGCGATGCGCCCATGAAAAGTGTAAAATGTACTTTAAACAGTAAATTTTTCAACTACCTTCTCAAACTATGATTTTCCTGCCTGAAACGCTTAGCGTAATAGTGACTTTAGGCATTGTATGTACTAGCTCTATCTATATATCTATAAATTTTTGTAAAACCTCTTGTATGTATGTATACTATACCTGAATAAACATTTATTTATGAAGACGAATTGAACGCCGGGTAATATTTGGTGTGCGCGCGCGCAAAGTTAATCTTGAGCGCTCTGCCGAGTAAATATTGTATTTCTGACATTTGCTTTACAAGGCATTTTGATCACTGCTGCGTCCCCCCCTAGTCCCCCCCCCTAGTCCCCCCCCCTAGTCCCCCCCTCCCTGTCACCTCTTCCCCCTCTCACATCCATCTCCCTTTCCATCCCCCCCTCCTCCTCTCTGCATCGAAACCACACATATATTAGCCACATGCAGGCGATGAGTCACAATAACGTGGCTGAAGTATGTTGACCAGACCACACACTAGAAATTGAAGGGACGACGACGTTTCGGTCCGTCCTGGACCATTCTCAAGTCGATTGTGAGACTTGAGAATGGTCCAGGACGGACCGAAACGTCGTCGTCCCTTCAATTTCTAGTGTGGTCTGGTCAAATATATTAGCCACATATATAAAATGCTAATAAATTCTAGCCATGGAGGCATGTGGAGAAGCAGAGGTGTGCTAGGAGGGAGAGGGAGGCGGAGGCGTGGAGGTACCTCGTGTATTCATGCCAGTGGCCACGCACCATTTGTTGTGACGACCGACTGGTCGCTTCGCTTCCGGAGTCGCAGCAGTGGTATTCCTGCTATTTTGTGTAATCGTCTCAGCGTTATCTTTTGATACTGATAACGAGGCGCGTACTACAGCTGATGGTCGAGAGATATTTGGTATGTTTTTTTTCCGCACAGATAACATACGCATTGCTGAATGAAGTTTACGGAAACGTCAGTGAGAGAGTACGGTGTATGACCGGTGGTGTGTGATTTCCTCAGTGAGTGAGTGTCAATGTCTCAGCATGATGGCGCGTGAAAGCCTTAGTCAATGAGTAGTTATGTCAGTTGTTCAGTGAGTGAGTACGGTGGTTCGTCAACTTGTCTTCCAGTGAGTACGGTGGTGTCAACTCGTCTGCTAGTGAGTACGGTGGTTGCACGAATGCCTCAGCCGGCGAATACAGAGGCATGCGAGTGCTTCACTCGGCGAGTAGTGTTAACGCCCCAGTTAGTGTGTGCGGTACTGTGTCCAGAACGTCAAGCCTGATCTCGGACGTAGGTTCGAATCCTCGTCTCGGCCCTTGTGGATTTATTCATTTGATGCATACGTTATTGTGATTTCTGTGTGTAATGAAATAAGGGCGAAGAGGTAGAACGGCCTATTGACACAGCTCCAGTGTATGGGGGAATTGTGTAGAACCCTGGTTTGTCTCGGAGAGGCTGCAGGATCCAGTAAGTTCAGTAGAACTTTGGTTTCAACTCTTTTGACCATGTCATAGCTCAATCGATAAAGGCAGCGTCTGAGATGATATCGGACGAAAGCTGGCGTCTTAATTGATAATCTCCTTCACACCGCCCCCCATCCAGTGGGCAGCGATGGATAGGTTACAATCCCTCATTTACTACCTACAGTTAGCAAACTGGAGATATTTGGCTAAGATTTCTGGTAGCAGATTATTTTCAATGAAATATTTACACATCTATTGAACATTTGTTACAAAATTCTGATTCACGTGTCTGCTGTACATCACATAGTGACGGAGGGTGTGCGAATAATTGACAGTTTACATTTGGTCAGGTCTACATCAGCAGATAATGAAAATTCCCAGATATACTTATAACCGAGTCTAAGCCGAGCAGTAGTAACATCTAGAAGTCTGTCAAGAAAACGGTAATGTAAAGTTTCCTCTCCTAACCTAACAGACTAAGTCAGAGGATCCAAAACAGAAAACGGGACAGAATGTCACTTTCGCCAGCTGCTTCCATTTCCTAGTACGGCAATTTTTGGCCTTACGTAACGCATACGATCGAAAAGCGACGTTTTTTGTAAGAGGACAGGTTGCATAATAAACTAACCTCACAGGATGAGTATGGGGTGCACAATAAACATACCTGTGCCGGTGGCAGTAGCAAAGCGTGGAAGAAAGGATTCATGTATCTGAATTCATGTATCTGAATTCATGTATCTGAATTCATGTATCGGGAGTCTGGGATGCTCCCGGACGCAGGTTCGAATCCTCGTCACGGCCCTTGTGGATTTGTTGATTCGTGTACTGAAGCCTGTCTATGATTTTCTGAATGTGTTAAGTCACTGGGGCCATAAATATGTTGAAGGGATGGAGTTGGAGGCTTAAGGTGAAGTGGTGTGGGGTAGGCGGTGGAGGGGTGGTTAAACACACCGCTGGTTCGATATATTGAGTTCCAGTGGCCCTTGACGTCTCAACTCTCAAATACTGTATGCCATGAAACGATATAAGAATCTATATAGCTTTATACACAGCTGGCCTCCACATTAAACTATTTTAAATGCTTACATTTGTAGGCATATATCTGACTATACTCATGAAGTTGCCGAAACCAACAGCGAGGAAAATTATGGGAGTGAAAAGCTCAGGTGGCAGTTGTATGTTAAGTATAAATGCATTATCAAAGGGCTAGCTAGACTATACTACGTCCTCATTCAGCCCCGCTCCTGTGCCAGGTAAGTCCACTACGGGCTCACCATAGCCCGTGCTACTTGGAACTTGTTCAGAGTAGCTGAATCTATAACAGCAGCTAGACTAATCTATTGAGACTGAGGCCATAAGGGAGAAGGATAAGGCATGTTGACTACTGATGCGCTTCTGTTCAAGCCAGTAGTCGCAGTTCTTGTTCAATAACCTGAATCATTCACAGTGCAGTCCAGAGACGATTGATAAAGATTAAGCCACCCAAAAGGTGGCACGGGCATGAATAGCCCGTAAGTGGTGGCCCTTTTAAGCCATTACCAGTATCAAGAGCTGATACTGGAGATCTGTGGAGGTGCGACTGCACCCTGCGTGACGGGAGATGTCTCCCGTGGGCTTGGGCGCTTTCCTCCGAGGCTAAGGGTCCCCTTCTTCCAGCCAGAGGTGGTATTCCCTTATTTTAAGGAAGTGTTTTTCTTTACCCCGAACGGGAGACATCTCCCGTCACGCAGGGTGCAGTCGCACCTCCACAGATCTCCAGTATCAGCTCTTTATACTGGTAATGGCTCAAAAGGGCCACCACTTACGGGCTATTCATGCCCGTGCCACCTTTTGGGTGGCTTAATCTTCATCAATCAATCAATCTTTACCAGGAGTATGGGGTCTCGCCGGCCGCCGGATGGGTCGCTGGAGCTGGTGTGGGTGTTCGGGTACAATGGCCACACAGCCAGGAACAACGTCTCGGTCAACAAAGGTGGTCAGCTCGTCTACTATGTGGCTGGTGTCGGGGTCGTCCATGATATCGTTAACAAGAAACAAACATTCTACACGGGTCATAATGATGCTATTACTAGGTAGGCAACTTTTCGTTTCCCTGTCCAATAACTATAATATAATTGTAGGCGAGGAGTCACAATAACGTGGTTAAAGTATGTTGACCAGACCACACACTAGAAGGGGAAGGGACGACGACGTTTCGGTCCGTCCTGGACCATTCTCAAGTCGAAAATGTTGGCCTCCACTTGAGAATGGTCCAGGACGGACCGAAACGTCGTCGTCCCTTGACCTTCTAGTGTGGTCTGGTCAATATAATTATTTTTAGGCAAAGATCTCCCACAGCTCATTTGAATACTTATCCACTTGCGGATATGAAGAGATTTAATTCTTTTCCTATTATCACTTTGTTATTAGTCTTGCAGCGACGGGTGAGGGAAGTATGGCAGCCACTGGACAGGTGGGTAAGGATGCCTATATCACGGTCTGGGACACCACCACCTGCAGCCCCGTCAGTGTTTTGAAGGATGGCCATACTCACCGTGTCTCATCTTTAGCCTTCTCTACGGATACTCAGGTGAGACAAACCAACACTCCAGGTCAGGGGACCAGATTCACGAAGCAGTTACGCAAGCACTTGCGAACCTGGGGCCAGATTCACGAAGCAGTTACGCAAGCACTTGCGAACCTGGGGCCAGATTCACGAAGCAGTTACGCAAGCACTTGCGAACCTGGGGCCAGATTCACGAAGCAGTTACGCAAGCACTTACGAACCTGGGGCCAGATTCACGAAGCAGTTACGCCAGCACTTACGAACGTGTACATCTTCCCTCAATCTTTGACGGCTTTGGTTACATTTATTAAACAGTTTACAAGCATGAAAACTTGCCAATCAACTGTTGTTATTGTTATAAACAGCCTCCTGGTGCTTCCGAGATCATTAACTGTTTAATAATTGGAAACAAAGCCGCCAAAGATTGAGAAAAGATGTACACGTTCGTAAGTGCTCTCGTGAATCTGGCCCCAGGCACTTGGGCTGGACGGTAGAGCGACGGTTTCGCTTCATTCAGGTCGGCGTTCAATCCCCGACCGTCCACAAGTTTTTTTTTTTTTTTTTTTTTTTTTTTTTTTTTTTTTACCACAGACGTGGCCACACATTTACAATGCTAACCAGCATATATACATTTTCTTCTGTCCTCCATGAACAGGGTTAGAGAAGTGTTAAACATATAGTTCAAGGGTTTATTGAACACTCAACCACAGAAGGTGATTCAGTGCTTTTAAAATGCTAAGCTACGCCCACAAGTGGTTGGGCACCATTCCTTTCCCCCGTCCCATCCCAAATCCTTATCCTGACCCCTTCCAAGTGCTGTGTAGTCATAATGGCTTGGCGCTTTTCCCCCTAAGGACGGGTGCAGTCGCGCCTCCACAGATCTCCAGTATCATCTCTTGATACTGGTAATGGCTCAAAAGGGCCACCACTTACGGGCTATTCATGCCCGTGCCACCACTTGGGTGGCTTAATCTTCATCAATCAATCAATCCCCCCAAGGACTAGTTACAGCCCCGCTCCTGTGCCGGGTAAGTCCACTACGGGCTCACCATAGCCCGTGCTACTTGGAACTTTTTGTTCCCAGTAACTGAATCTTAAACAACGGCGCTTTCCTCTGATAATTCCCTCCCTCCCGGGTTAGGCTAGAGGCCCTTGAGAATCCAACCCTACCACACCTTCCTGTAAACAATGTCATAGACCACCAAGTTCACCAACGAATTAACCACAATGTTAATTTCGTGAGCCGCTATCATTTTCTAGTACGACACTTTTTGGCCTTAAAGTATCCGACAAGACGCGACGTACTATGAAAAGGACAAGTTGTTGACCAGACCACACACTAGAAATTGAAGGGACGACGACGTTTCGGTCCGTCCTGGACCATTCTCAAGTCGATTGTGATGAGGAGGTAGGGACAAGTTGCACCATCTTGTGCAGGATGACCATGAGTTATCAACACTATAAACAAATCCTAGCTCATAATACCAATGTTCTTATGTTTAATGTGTGCGTAGCTGGTCGTAGTGCTGCTGTCTGACACTAGAAGTCTGTTGTTGTTATAGATTCAGCTACTCTGAACAAGCTCCAAGTAGCACGGGCTATGGTGAGCCCGTAACTTGGCACAGGAGCGGGGCAAGTAGCACGGGCTATGGTGAGCCCGTAGTGGACTTACCTGGCACAGGAGCGGGGCAAGTAGCACGGGCTATGGCGAGCCCGTAGTGGACTTACCTGGCACAGGAGCGGGGCAAGTAGCACGGGCTATGGTGAGCCCGTAGTGGACTTACCTGGCACAGGAGCGGGGCAAGTAGCACGGGCTATGGTGAGCCCGTAGTGAACTTACCTGGCACAGGAGCGGTGCCTAGAAGTCTGTTAGTGTTTTTTTATAGTTTAAGGCTGCCCCAGTGTGAGCTGCACGTAATTGACGATTGAGCAGGGCTGGGTCTATATATACAGTGCTCATGTTCTTGAACTTTTACGGGCTCACCATAGCCCGTGCTACTGGAACTTGTTGTTCTGAGTAGCGAATCTTAAACAACAACTTCTTGAACTTTACGGACGGGGAAACTTTCAATTACCGTTTTTCATGACGTTTTGAAACTTTAGGAGAACTTCCTGCCCTCCTAACCTACCAGAGGACCCTTAACTTATTGTTTTGGAAAAAAATAAAATTCCTAAATTTTTTTCATATTTTTTCATTTTCAAATTACGTCCATTTTCGGGCAAACTGACAAATTTAGACGTAATTTGTAGGACAGGCTGCGGCCGTGCCTCCACTTGGGTGGATTTAATCTTCCTTTTTGAACTATTTACAAGCCTAGTGTAAAGTACTCACCTAGTTGTGCATGCGGGGGTTGAGCTCTGGCTCTTTGGTCCCGCCTCTCAACTGTCAATCAACTGGTGTACAGGTTCCTGAGCCTATTGGGCTCTATCATGCCTATATTTGAAACTGTGTGTCAAATGTTGCTGCTTAGTCACTTTAGTGGGGGATATGTATGATACCAGCAGTATAATATAATATACTGTGCAGAGAACGTGGGGTATAATTATAATTAACAGGAATGTATAATTTGATGAGGTTGGAAACGCCTAAATATGAGGCTTGGCCAGAGACTGCACCGCGGGGACATTGATCTACGGAACTTCCCCAAGGTAACCTCAGAGAAAAGTTGCCAATTCGCTTGCCCAATCTGTTTATTTGTACGATGGTAATACTTGCTGGCCAATGGTGTCATCAGCTTGTCATAACCTATGTGTCCATAGCATCAGCTTATTGAAAGTGTGTAAGGCCGAGCACTCTTGAGGTGTGTAATTCAGGGTAATTATTATTAGAACTACTTGTATCTACATTGTAAACGACCGAGGCTACTTAAATACCCCCTGATCCATGACACCAACAACCATAGCCCGTGCTTCTTGCCCCGCTCCTGTGCCAGGTAAGTTACGGGCTCACCATAGCCCGTGCTACTTGGAACTTGTTCCGAGTAGCTTAATCTATAACAAGACACCAAAAAGGGGTTAATTGTTCTAAGACGAATTTCGTATTAGTTGTCAGAAGGGGCTTGAATATGGGTACAGTGTGTGTGTGTGTACAATGTCCCACACTGGTAAGGCACTCGATAGCTAAGCAGGTTTGAGTAATTCTTTCAGGGAGACAGCCATACAAGCTGGGCTCGAGCAAGTTGATTTGTATATATCATTAGCGTGCCGAGGACAATCCTCTTGAAGATCTCACGCATAATGGTTATGTCTAGCCGTGACCACAGATTTCAGTCTCAGCATAATGTCCAACGTGTTGATGATTGAAGAAGTCACCCAAGAGGTGGCATGAATAGCCCGTAATGTTGATTGATTTATGAGGATTGAGCCACCCAGGAGGTGGCACGGGCATGAATAGCCCGTAATGTTGATTGATTTATGAGGATTGAGCCATCCAAGAGGTGGCACAGGCTTGAATGACCTGTAAACGTAATGTTGTTGGTAGTGTGGTTATATCTGTAGACACGGTGCCTCACTGGCCTGGTAGGGGTGGTGAAGTACGTCTGGGCTTGTTGGACCTACTCACTACATGCTTTAGCAATCATTCGTGTTGCGGGCTACTCATGCCCATGCCACCTCTTAGGTGGCTTAATCTTCATCAATAAATCACCCGTGGGGAGGTCCGTTGGAAGAATCATTAACATAGAAAAATCACTTTGGTGAACATAATTTAGGTTCAAACGTAGATTTACTATTCAGTTAATTTTCTTCTTGAATGTTAAATAGTACGCTGGTATGCAGGCGATGAGTCACAATAACGTGGCTGAAGTATGTTGACCAGACCACACACTAGAAATTGAAGGGACGACGACGTTTCGGTCCGTCCTGGACCATTCTAAAGTAGATTCGACTTGAGAATGGTCCAGGACGGACCGAAACGTCGTCGTCCCTTCAATTTCTAGTGTGGTCTGGTCAAAGTACGCTGATATGTTTGTTTTCCTGTGTGAAACAGTTGTTGGCATCGGTGGGTGGACCTGACCACAAGCAGGTGCTGATGGTGTGGGAGTGGGAGAAGGGACTACGACTTGCCCACAACGTCGCGTACTCCGGCAAGGTGAGCTCCTCTGGTGGTCACTGTTGTTCTTAAACCTATAAGGTCAACGATCATTATTATTGCTGTGAACTGTTGACATTCTGGTGTACTTACAGTATTATCTGTAGGCTTCCTCGAGCATTTTTTTCCAGTATAGTGTGCCTTAATAGTGTACAGCTTTAGAGGACAGACTGATCCCTTCTCTGATCCCAGGCCAAACCCTCCTTCCACGAATCCCTACATTAATTTATATATATAAGAAGGTACATTGGGATTGTGAGGATACATAGCATAGTAATTACATTCTTGTAAAGCCACTAGTACGCGCAGCGTTTCGGGCAGGACATAGGTTGTGTTTTACGGGGGTTGAGCTTTGCTCTTTCGGCCCGTTTCGGTTTGCCTCTCAACTGTCAATCAACTGTTTTACTAACTTTTTTTTTTTCTCTCCACACCCCACACACACACACACACCCCAGGAAGCAGCCCGTGACAGCTGACTAACTCCCAGGTACCTATTTACTGCTAGGTAGGTAGGTATTGGCTAGGTATTGGCAGGAGGCCTGGTCGACGACCGGGCCGCGGGGACACTAAGCCCCGGAAGCACCTCAAGGTAGCCTCAAGGTAGGTAACAGGGGCATTCAGGGTGAAAGAAACTTTGCCCATTTGTTTCTGCCTCGTGCAGGAATCGAACCCGCGCCACAGAATTACGAATCCTGCGCGCTATCCACCAGGCTACGAGGCCCCTAACTGTGTAGAGGCCTGTGTAGTCCCCTTCCCTTCTAAGCACACATACTGGTATGCTACGTAGTCTATCATAGCCTACCTCCCACCCATTCCCTAGCCCAATACTAAAACATTTGTACACAATAATAATTATAGTGAGAAAATCCGTAGGGGCCGTGATGAAGATTCGAACCGATGCTCTGGGGGTGTTCCCAGATTTTGTGATGCATCACGCTAATGTGATTTCTTTTTTTTTTTTTTAGTATTGTTATACAAAAGTACATACACGATTCAGTGGAGAATTCGTGTGGCTTTAGGCATAGTATGTATTAGGTCTATTTAAAAATACAACATTGTTTGTAATTCATCTTGTATGTTTGTATGTACTTTTACCTGAATAAACCTTTTATTTTGTTATAAATGGGAGCTACCATTGTACAAATGGGGCTGCCATGGTATAATAGGAGCTCCCATGGTATTAATAGGGGCTACAATGATATAAATTGGAACTCCCATGGTATAAATAAGTTGCTCGTATGGGACAGTAGGCCATTTGCAGTTTCAAATCTTAATCTCATTTTGAATTTGAATCTCAATTAAGAATTTTGATCTCATTGAACTCTACTGCATGGCAATATTCCAAAGATGCATTCATATCTATATATATATATATATATATATATATATATATCACCCTGTGCTTCTTAAAGCTAATTAGAACGACTGAGAAAAGGTTATTGATTGATCGTCTTTTACAAACCAGATATATAATTTTTCTGTGATAGTGCAATTAACAAATGTTCAAGAAATGTGTAAATATTTCACTCGTATGGGCCAACAGGCCTTCTGCAGTTGCCTTTGTTCTTATGTTCTTACACTGATCTTCTACCAGATTTGTTAACCAAATATCCGCAGTTTGCTAAATGTAGTTAGTAAATGCAAGGGATTGTAACATTGCTTGACTATTTTTACTTACATTATTTATTTATATACAAAGTACATTGGGTTTGTGAGGGTACATAGCATGCGTTTACATTCTTGTAAAGCCACTAGTACGCGCAGCGTTTCGGGCAGGTCCTTAATCTAACAGATAATTTACAATCAAACCAATTTATGACAGTAAGTCACCGCATATGTCAGTTGCTTAGCTTAGAGACTGTACTTGTAGTCGTTCTCGAACCCATTAGTGTATTGTTAATTCCTCCCCCAAATTGTGTAAGTAGCTAATCAAGACTGTGACTTGCTTAGCTTAGTTCATTTATCATGCACCCCATACCCAACTTGTGGGCGGTAGTGGAAAGGGTTAGAGGCACATAATGGGCTCAGGGACTGAACCCCACAATTCATTTAGCTAAGCAAGTTACAATCTTGATGAGCTAGTTACAAAATTCAATATAAGTCGTCACATCAACAATGGGTTCGAGATCGACCACAAGTACAGGTTCTAAATTAAGCAACTGACATATGTCGAGAGCCTAGTGTCACAATTGATATGTTTGTCCTGCACACCGCCCCCCATCCAGTGGGCGGCGGTGGAGAGGTTACAATCACTCAGTTACTACCTACAGTTAGCAAACTGGGGATATTTGGCTAAAATTTCTGGTAGCAGATCATTTTGAATGAAATATTGACACATCGTTGGTACATTGGTTATAGAATTGTCTCTGAATTCACGTATCTTTTCGCACACCATCACATAGTGACGAAGGGTGTGCGAATAATTTTGTTGACACAGTTTACATTTGGTCAGGTCTACATCGGCAGATAATGAGAATTCCCAGAGATACTTGTAACCGAGTCTAAGCCGAGCAGTAGTAACGTCTAGAAGTCTGCTGATTTTATTGGATGATCCATAGATGTGTGGCTCCTAAATGAATTTTGGGGTTGCCTCTTAATTCCTGTTTTTATAGTAACTTTTTGCACTACCCCACACAAAATAGGCATGGGGTGCATAATAAGCAAACTAAACAAATTACTCAATGCACTGGGAAAATTGGATTGAGTTGGGTAGAGGTTGAATAATTATACGTTAAATATATAGTCTTCTAATCATGGCAATAATCCAATCTTCCTGTGGGGATACATTGTGGTATAAAAATCTCGTCTTTTCTTAATACTACGAACTAGTTCAGTGTGTTACATGTATTGTTAAACAACTGAACAAAAGTTAGTTAAGCGAAAGTAAATTCTGTTGGAATCTTTTAGTGTTATAAGCAAGCGCCCGGATAGCTCAGTCGGTAGAGCATTAGGCTTTTAACCTAAGGGTCCAGGGTTCGAGTCCCTGTTCGGGCTACATGTTTAGTGATGAAACCTTTGATCAATATTTGTGAGCTTCTAGGTTGTGCTGTTATCTTAACTATTATCAAATATTCTCAGCTAAAATAATTTCAATATGAAGTGACGAAATTATGGATATTAGGCGTCAGAGAACTGGAGCGTTCACAACTGCTCTAAACTAATAACTGGGACATCACGTCAATTTTGCGAGCAGCTATGATTTTTATTTTTGGCCTAAGAGGGTTTATACCTCGAAAAAACAACGTACAGTCCGTCCTTTTGTGTTATCATCAAAACAATAATGCACTAGTTACTAAATCGGGGCTCTAATACCTCACATCTATATTATGAAGTGTTTTGTAGATGTTAGCAGTTTGAAACATTTGGATTTGCTCTCATCACCGTGACATGATTGGAGTATAATTAATTTATTTTGAATTATATCAGTGAATTGTGAATAAATATAAGTGATAGGGATGTACATTTAACACAATAGCAATGGGATATCAATAAGGTTTGAAACATTTCAACACAATAACAGAGGATATCAATAAGGTTTTAAACATTTCGGCACAATAACAATGGGGGATATCAATAAGGTTTGAAACATTTCAATACAATGACAAGGAGATATCAATAAGGTTTGAAACATTTCAACACAATAACAAAGGGGATATTAATAATGTTTTAAACATTTCCACACAAAACAAATTGGATATCAATAATGTTTTAAACATTTCAACACGATACCAAAGAGGATATCATTAAGATTTGAAACATTTCAACACAATAAAACTCCAAACAATGGATATAGACTGCTAAAGTTTAGATTGAAGAAAGACATTAGAGTTTAGACACATTAAGTTAGACATACATTTAGAGAGATTTTAGGTTAGACACATAATAATAATAATTTACTAATAAAATAGGCATAATAACCTATTAATGGTTTATTTGTAGGTTTGAAAGTTGCAAATTAAATGAAGTAACTAACATGCAAGGCATATCCAACCCGTTCTCGCAAATTTAATAAGTCAATATTGACTTATTAACTACGTGCATAGGTGATATACTAAACATAATAGATACCCTTAAAAAGATTCATAGAAAACACCGACCTTACCTAACCTACTTAGTATGTTAAGATACGCATCTTATTGCTTCGTAATTACAATTATTACCTAACCTATAATAGGTATAGGTTAAGTAATAATTGTAATTACGAAACAATAAGATGCTTATCTTAAGATACTAACAAGGTTAGGTAAGGTCGGTGTTTTCTATGAATCTTTTTAAGGGTATCTATTATGTTTAGTATATCACCTATGCACGTAGTTAATAAGTCAATATTGACTTTACGAATTTGCGAGAACGGGTTGGCATATCTGCACTATTGATCGTCTGTGGGAGTAGTTTAGTTGTTAGGAACAATGTAGTTTGTAATTGTTGAGTATGTTGTAGTAGTCTCGGTACTGTGTACATTTGGGAGGTGATCCTGGACGGCATGGGTTCGAATCCTGGTCGGGTTATTTAGAGTTCTTAGTGATCTATCCTGGTGGATAGCGCGCAGGACTCGTAATTCTGTGGCGCGGGTTCGATTCCCGCACGAGGCAGAAACAAATGGGCAAAGTTTCTTTCACCCTAAATGCCCCTGTTACCTAGCAGTAAATAGGTACCTGGGAGTTAGTCAGCTGTCACGGGCTGCTTCCTGGGGGTGGAGGCCTGGTCGAGGACCGGGCCGCGGGGACACTAAAGCCCCGAAATCATCTCAAGATAACCTCAAGAATCTATGGCTTGCGTGTTCCTGCAGCCTTTCTCACAACTGTAAGCTAGACATATATATTAGGTTAAATATATATGAAGTTAGAAATGTATATTGGGTTAAAATGTTAGCTAGACATATTAGGTTAAAACTATATAAAGCTAGACATATATTTTTAAAAATATATGAAGCATTCAAAATATAATAAGCTAGACATATATATTTAAAAATATAGTGAGCAGCAAATATATATTAAGCAAATATAAAAACATGTTAAGCTAGATATATATATTTAGAAATATATTAAGCAATGCACATTAAACAAATATTAAATATATTAAACATATTGATGTAAATATGATCATTATATTGTATATTTAATAAAGTTAAAAAAACTATATGGATAAGTTTAGGAGGATATAAATAGAAGCTACCATATATATGCCAACACACGGGAGACGTCTTCCGTCACGCAGGGTGCAGTCGCACCTCCACAGATCTCCAGTATCATCTATTGATACTGGTAATGGCTCAAAAGGGCCACCACCACTTACGGGCTATTCATGCCCGTGCCACCTTTTGGGTGGCTTAATCTTCATCAATCAATCTATATGCCAGCAGTTGCTTTACTCCCATGTTCACGGGAGACATCTCCCGTCCACGAGGCTAACCATAGCCCGTGCTTCTTGTCCCGCTCCTGTGCCAGGTAAGTTACGGGCTCACCATAGCCCGTGCTACTTGGAACTTGTTCAGAGTAGCTGAATCTATAACAACAACAACATTACTCCCATGTTAACATGTGTCCGTAGGTGGAGGCAGTAGCGTGGGAGCTTGGATCAAGGGCCAGGCTCGTCACTTGCGGCCACAACCATGTCAAGTTCTGGAAACTGAGTGGCAACGTTCTTCAGGTGAGTCCTCCCCCCTCAAGCTTGCCCCAGCCGGGGTTGCCACGGTTATATTGACCTAATAATATTAAGGTCAGAGGGTGATGACCAGACCACACACTAGAATGTGAAGGGACGACGACGTTTCTGTCCGTCCTGGACCATTCTCACAATCGACTTGAGAATGATCCTGGACGGACCGAAACGTCGTCGTCCCTTCACATTCTAGTGTGTGGTCTGGTCAACATACTTTAGCCACGTTATTGTGACTCATCGCCTGCGTCAGTTGGTCACTTGGTGGGGGGGGGGGGGCAGTTGTTGTTTAAGATTCAGCTTCTAGGAACAAGTTCCATGTAGCACGGGCTATGGTGAGCCCGTAGTGGACTTACCTGGCACAGGAGCGGGGCTGTAACAGGGGGCAGTTACAGCCCCGTTCTTTTGCCGGGTAAATCCACCACGGGCTCGCCATAGCCCGTGCTACTTGGAACGTTTTGTTCACAGTAGCTGAACCTTGAACAACAACAGTCCCTTGGGCTTACTGATACGCTAAATTGCAGGCTTTTTAGGGACTTGAGAAGGCTAGCCTCAGGAAGATTCTTAAGTATTTTATAACTTTAGAATCAATATTTGAAAGGAAATGAACGATAGCGGAAATGAGATAGCATGTCAAAATGAGCGATAGCGGCATATGACACCATGTTTGACATGAGGTTTGAGTGGGTGGTATGTGTATCAGATATGTTTCTGGGACGAGGCTTTTTAACCTGCGCACATGTTATCGTACATATACACCAGACATGATTGATTGTTGCCGCCAGGGGTGGATATTTTATGCACCCCATACTCATCCTGTGAGTGGTAGTGTATTGTGCACACCATACTCATCCTGTGAGTGGTAGTGTATTGTGCACACCATACTCATCCTGTGAGTGGTAGTGTATTATACACCCCATACTCATCCTGTGAGTGGTAGTGTATTATGCATCCTATATTCATCCTGTTAGTAGTAGTTTGTGCACCCCATACTCATCCTGTGAGCAGTAACTTCCTATGCACCATCAGACCTCAGTAGACGTTTGACATTAGCTCTTACAATTAAAATTTGGCCAAATTTTCAGAGTAAGATGCCGTGCCCTAGTGTGTGTGTGTGTGTTTGTCCACACACACTGTACGCTTCAAGTCATGTACATTCCCCATCTTCGTATTACTATTTATCGGACTTTACTCTACCTGGGAATGAGGGGTGGATGACATTAGATGTTGGGGGAGGTGTAATGCATGAGAGGTGAGGTGGATGATGGCTTGGTGGTACGGCAGGGCAGCTCTGGGGTCTTCGGGGACGAGCCGACCGCCGACCAGACCAGCGTTTCGTACCTGCAGGACGCCAGAGTCGTCACCGGTACCGCCACGGGCCATCTATATGTCTGGAGCCACGCCAAGCTCCTCTCTGCCATCAAGGATGTCCACCCGGTGAGTCTCCTAGGTCTGGTGAGTCTCCTAGCAGCACCATGGAGTTTCCTAGGCCTGGTGAGTCTCCTAGCAGCACCATGGAGTTTCCTAGGCCTGGTGAGTCTCCTAGCAGCACCATTGAGTTTCCTAGGCCTGGTGAGTCTCCTAGCAGCACCATTGAGTTTCCTAGGTCTGGTGAGTCTCCTAGCAGCACCATTGAGTTTCCTAGGCCTGGTGAGTCTCCTAGCAGCACCATTGAGTTTCCTAGGCCTGGTGAGTCTCCTAGCAGCACCATGGAGTTTCCTAGGCCTGGTGAGTCTCCTAGCAGCACCATGGAGTTTCCTAGGCCTGGTGAGTCTCCTAGCAGCACCATGGAGTTTCCTAGGCCTGGTGAGTCTCCTAGCAGCACCATTGAGTTTCCTAGGTCTGGTGAGTCTCCTAGCAGCACCATGGAGTTTCCTGCGAGTGGTGAGTCTCCTAGCAGCACTATTGAGTTTCCTACGAGTGGTGCGTCTCCTAGCAGCACTATTGAGTTTCCTACGAGTGGTGAGTACTAGCAACACCCATTATTTATCCAACACCTGGCGATTTCTAAGCAACACCCGTTGAGTATATGTGGCGTGACTGAGTGAGTCAGCTGCAGCCTTGTGAGTTTCCAAACACCTGATGTGTATTCAGTGAATTTCATGCACGTGTTCCCATTGAATTTTTCAGCATCAGGGTTGTCCGTAGTGTTCAGCTTGCTTTTATTTTATCCACGTTGAGGCTCTCACACCTGATGTCTGGTGAGTTTTTATTTTTTGTTTACCACAGACGTGGCTACACATTTACAATGCTAATCCAGCAGTTATTCATTTTCTTGTCCTCTATTGACAGGGTTAGAGGTCTGTTAAACATGTAATTCAGTGATTTATTGACCAATCACAGGTGATTGTAGTGCTTTTAAAAATGCTAAACTAAGCCACAATCATAAATATACAGATTTACGTCTGTCCTACATAGTGTTCGAGGTGTCTTTTTACATAGTCATTAATGTGCGTTTACAAAGGATAAATGCAGTTCTGACCAGCTTCCACATGCCCTGTGTACATATACACACACACACACACACACACACATACATGTATACACAGTTCTTGAAGCCGTCATACTGTGGGTGTCTTCTGCAGGAAATGTGGCAAATTATACTAATATCCAAGCTCACTCGATACAAAATTTCCATCCTTACTAAGATTCACGTATCATTGTTAGTTAAGATGGAAGGTGATGAATGTAGTTGAGAAGATGGAGAGATATATATATATATATGTCGTACCTAGTAGCCAGAACACACTTCTCAGCCTACTATGCAAGGCCCGATTTGCCTAATAAGCCAAGTTTTCATGAATTAATGTTTTTTCGTCTACCTAACCTACCTAACCTAACCTAGCTTTTTTTGGCTACCTAACCTAACCTTACCTATAAATATAGGTTAGGTTAGGTAGGGTTGGTTAGGTTCGGTCATATATCTACGTTAATTTTAACTCCAATAAAAAAAAAATGACCTCATACATAGAGAAAAGGGTTGCTTTATCATTTCATAAGAAAAAAATTATAGTAAATATATTAATTCAGAAAAACTTGGCTTATTAGGCAAATCGGGCCTTGAATAGTAGGCTGAGAAGTGAGTTCTGGCTACTAGGTACGACATATATATATATATATATATATATATATATATATATATATATATATATATATATATATATATATATAATATGCCGATCTGACACTAGGAAGGGGTATCCGGCTGCGCCCGGGTCTCTCTCATCCCCCTCTTTCCCCACTACCTCCCCCCTCTACGAATCTCTTCCTCGCGTCCAGTTACTACCTTCACTCACCTTCACTCATCTTCACTCATCTTCACTCATCTTCACTCACACAAAGTTGTAACCAAGCAAACCATAACATTATAAATCAAATTGATTTTGCATTCTTTTCATTCTTGTCATTCCGTGTTTTTTTTTCCGTCTCGTGCCTTGTGTTGGTCCTTGGCGCCTGTGTGCCGCAGGGCGGGGTGCTGGCGACGCAGGCGTACCCTGGGGGCCTGCTCTCTGGGGGCACCGACGGGGCTATTGCCCTCTTTGATACGAAGCTTAACAGGGTCTCCACCCTCTCAGGTCAGTAGTCAGAGCTTTTCCTCGTATGGTATTTTCATTCGGTTTAATAGAGATGTATACATTATTTAATTGGATGTTTAGCGGGGAATTGAACATTGTCTTGGTTACTCTTAGCATACCTTGAGGTTATCTTGAGGTGCTTCCGGGGCTTAGCGTCCCCGCGGCCCGGTCGTCGACCAGGCCTCCTGGTTGCCGGACTGATCAACCAGGCTTCCTGGTTGCCGGACTGATCAACCAGGCTGTTGGACGCGGCTGCTCGCAGCCTGACGTATCACAGCCTGTCGCAGCATGGAACCAAACAATGTCGCTGTGGATGTGTTCAACAGGGAACTGAACATAATGACCTTGTGTGTGTTCAAAAGGGACCTAACAATACAGCACTACAATTTTTTTTAGAATCCTTGCTGGTAATATTATGTATGAACATGTACTTTTTTTTTCTACCACAGACGTGGCCACACATTTACAATGCTAATCAGCATATATACATTTTCTTCTGTCCTCCATGGACAGGGTTAGAGAAGTGTTAAACATATAGTTCAAGGGTTTATTGAACACTCAACCACAGAAGGTGATTCGGTGCTTTTAAAATGCTAAGCTAACCTACATACTTAAATACATATACACAGATTTACGTCTGCCCTACATAAAGTGTTTGATGTGTCTTTTACATAGTGTCATTAATGTACATTCACAACATGTTGAACTGAACGGGGTGAGAATAGCTTGAGCTACCTCGTCTTTGTGTGTATTTTACCTCAATAAACTTATTTCAATTCAATTTCAATATTGGTAGTACTTTTTGACTGGAAATTGATGTATACTCATGGAACATAAGTTTACCGGGAGCTGCGGAAGGTTTACTGACCCAGGGGCCTGATGGCTGAGTGGACAGCGCTCAAGGTTCGTAGTCCTGTGGTTCCGGGTTTGATCCCGGGTGGAGGCGGAAACAAATGGGCAGAGTTTCTTTCACCCTGAAGCCCCTGTTGACCTAGGAGTAAATAGGTGTCTGGGAGTTAGACAGCTGCTACGGGCTGGTTCCTGGGGATGTGTGACAAAAAGGAGGCCTGGTCGAGGACCGGGCCGCGGGGACGCTAAGCCCCGAAATCATCTCAAGATAACCTATAAGAGGCAGGTCTAATTTATCTCCCCGCCCCCCAGACTCATTCGTATACATGTGTCGCCTACGCTTGAAACAAGCAGGCGATCCTGCGTCTATAATGTTACTAGTCTCGGGCGATTGTGCAGTAACAGTTGAAAGTGATTTTGACTTGAACGATGTAAGCGCCCGGATAGCTCAGTCGGTAGAGCATTAGGCTTTTAACCTAAGGGTCCAGGGTTCGAGTCCCTGTTCGGGCTACATGTTTAGTGATGAAACCTTTGAACATATAAGTCGCTGTTATCTTAATGTAATATAGGTAATGAATTAATGGATCTCCCAATATTGAACATTCCAATTGTAAACTGTTCAACTTTCAAATGTTGAACAGGCTTAAAAATAATGTGAACAAGCTAGTACATACTCTCCAACCTATGTGATAGCCTTGAGGGCGCCTAACAGCTGGGTGGACAGCGCTTTGGATTCGTAGTGCTGAGGTTCCGGGTTCGATCCCCGGTGGAGGTGGAGACAAATGGGTAAAATGTTTTTCACCCTGATACCTCTGTTACCTAGCAGTAAATAGATACCTGAAAGTTACAGTAGCTACGGGCTGCTTCCTGGGGGTGGAGGCCTGGTCGAGGACCGGGCCGCGGGGACACTAAAGCCCCGAAATCATCTCAAGATAACCTCAAGATAGGTAATCAAAAGAATAATAGGCTTAAGAAATATATATTTTTATACATAATTGTGTTCATAATATGTATAATTATACATAATTATCTGTTCAATATATTCAATGAATATCGTTCACCTGTATGTGTAAAATTCATGTTTTAATTAAGCCTTTAATTTAGTATATTCGTTTTGTTTACGGATATTAAATTGATTTGAAAAAAATACATCACATCAATCCCCCGGATGAAAATTATTGATAACATTAATATCTGCTGAAAATAGTCTTGTATTAATGAGGTTATCTTGAGATGATTTCGGGGCTTTAGTGTCCCCGCGGCCCGGTCCTCGACCAGGACTCCACCCCCAGGAGGCTGCCCGTGACAGCTGACTAACACCCAGGTACCTATTTTACTGCTAGGTAACAGGGGCATAGGGTGAAAGAAACTCTGCCCAGTGTTTCTCGTCGGCGCCTGGGATCGAACCCAAGACCACAGGATCACAAGTCAAGCGCCTAGCCGGTCGGGGGGGGGGGACTATTATATGAGGGGGAAACTATTAATACTTAACACTATTACAACACATTTACCAACCAAAACTCTATTACCAACCGAAACACTTACAGCGATAAAACTGTTGGTATGTGATGGATTCTTCCTTTCCAGGAGGTGCAAGCTTAGTGTATAAGACGCCTGGACCAATACATTCCCTGGCTGTCTTTAATGACAAGGTAAGTACAACTTCTGTATGTAGTAAGTAATCAATATTGTTGCTGTAACACAAGGTAAGGTTATTTGAGAAGGCACTCGGCCAGTATGACTATATATTTTACTGCTAGTTATATCTTATAACTGCTAGTTATATCTTTTACTGCTTCACATATCCTATATAGCACTTGGATATGAGGACAAGGAGCTGGTATAGGATGGAGAGAGGGGGAATGGTTATCTTGAGATCTTGAGGTTATCTTGAGATGATTTCGGGGCTTTAGTGTCCCCGCGGCCCGGTCCTCGACCAGGCCTCCACCCCCAGGAAGCAGCCCGTGACAGCTGACTAACATCCAGGTACCTATTTACTGCTAGGTAACAGGGGCATTCAGGGTGAAAGAAACTTTGCCCATTTGCTTCTGCCTCGTGCGGGAATCGAACCCGCGCCACAGAATCACGAGTCCTGCGCGCTATCCACCAGGCTACGAGGCCCCCATAGGTGCTCGATGTGGGGGGGGGGGGGTTTCTTTTTTGCTTTCACGACTGCTATGCGTACGTCGCCAATGTACATGTGGCAGACGCTTCACGATACTGTCGGAATTAGCAGAATAGAAAATACGAGAGCACCCGTACACGGCCTGGGAGCAAGGTCGAGTTAGAGTCCTTGAGGGCCTCTTCTCAGACTAGTCTCACCTGGTCCTGCTCCACGTTGATCGTTGGAATCTCCTCAATGATTTAACACTAAGGGACTCCTAGGGTCCTCATTAATTTTTTTTTTTTTTTTTTTTTTTTTTTTTTTTTTTTTTTTTTTTTTTTTTTTTTTTTTTTTTTTTTTTTTTTTTTTTTTTTTTTTTTGATATATACAAGTTGAGATAAATACAAGTTGTATTTATTGGTTGTATTAATTGGTTAATTGGTTTTGAGATAAATTAATGAATTAATTGAGATAAATTAATGTATTAATTGGTTTTGAGATAAATACAAGTTGTTACATTCTTGTAGAGCCACTAGTACGCGTAGCGTTTCGGGCAAGTCCTTAATCCTATGGTCCCTGGAATACGATCCCCTGCCGCGAAGAATCGTTTTTTCATCCAAGTACACATTTTACTGTTGCGTTAAACAGAGGCTACAGTTAAGGAATTGCGCCCAGTAAATCCTCCCCGGCCAGGATACGAACCCATGACATAGCGCTCGCGGAACGCCAGGCGAGTGTCTTACCACTACACCACATTACATTTATAGTTCAATGAATTAGGCAACTCGGTGTTGAAGACACGTAGAGCTGAAGGCTTGAGTAATGTTGGCAGTATTCAGAAGTGGTTCAACGGAAACACCACATAAAGCTTAACAGTAGTTTATTAACTAACTTAACCACTAATACAAAGGGTGCTTGATTTACTTTAACTTGGCGTCATGCTATGGCCTTTCTGAAGTAAATAAAGTAATTCTTTACTTCTACTTCTTTACTTTATTCTTTACTTTTAATTCTTTACTTTATTACTTGTCTGAAGTAATAGTCTTCGTCTTTAGCGAGATTCTTGACGTCTGACTAATCGACTCGTATCCACTCGTGGAAAAACTTAACACAGTTGACAGCCAATCGTTAACACGGCAAACCTAACTGCCGGTATATCTTGAGGTTATCTTGAGATGATTTCGGGGCTTTTTAGTGTCCCCGGTCCTCGACCAGGCCTCCACCCACAGGAAGCAGCCCGTGACAGCTGACTAACACCCAGGTACCTATTTTACTGCTAGGTAACAGGGGCATAGGGTGAAAGAAACTCTGCCCATTGTTTCTCGCCGGCGCCTGGGATCGAACCCAGGACCACAGGATCACAAGTCCAGCGTGCTGTCCGCTCGGCCGACCGGCTCCCACGCTCGGCCGACCGGCTCCCACGGTATGCAAAGGAATCACAAGAGTTCCAACCGGATACTCGGTAATGATATGCAATAAATCAGAAATACACTGTCAATGGGACATGCAATAACATGCACAATAATATCACACAATAACTAAATGTGTGGTGTATGTGAAGCTCACATTCACAGGCGAGTGAAATGCCGTGATACCACACAGATAACCAACCACGCATACACCGTCGATTCACCTATAACCTGTGACAGGTATGAGAAGTGTGGTTGATACCTCACGGGAGACATCTCCCGTCACGCAGGGTGCCGTCGCACCTCCACAGATCTCCAGTATCAGCTCTTGATACTGGTAATGGCTCAAAAGGGCCACCACTTACGGGCTATTCATGCCCGTGCCACCTTTTGGGTGGCTTAATCTTAATCAATCATCGGTTGATACCTCAGATCAACACGCAATACAACAATGACAAGATCTTGTACTTACAGATGGGGGTACCTCTTATTTACTCACTCACTCAGTACGTGCACGTGTTACGGGCTATTCATGCCCGTGCCACCTCTTGGGTGGCTTAATCTTTATCAATCAATCACGTGCACGTGCGTCAGGGGTGTGAGAGGTCGGAACGAGCACCATGCTGTGGGGCTCGGTCTTTTGTTGCGGGGTGGTCAGATAATGGTCTCTCAAGATTCTCCCACAGCTGACTTGAATGGCATTGCAGAGCACAGTGCACAGACCTTCGTGCACAAGCCCATCTCTCTTAACCCTGGAAAGTCGTCCCTTCACCTTCTAGTGTGTGGTCTGGTCAACTTACTTTAGCCACGTTATTGTGACTCGTCACCCTATTCTGCATGAAAGATTGCACACTGTAGATCAAAAAATTGCTACAAGTTCATCTAACCATTAGTAAAATTTGGGTACAGCACAAGAATATCTTCTAATATTGCCGTGTGTATGAAGTAATTACAGAGCTCAAAGTACCTCATACCATTTGGTATGAAATCACTGATAACATGTTTAAGATTCGCTACTTGGAACAAAAAGTTCCAAGTAGCACGGGCTATGGTGAGCCCGTAGTCACTGATAACAGGGCAATCACAGATAGGTTTGAGGGTATATATTAGCTCTTGGTTTACATTTTTTTTCAACCTGTTCAACATTTGAAACTTGTTTAACAGTTTACAATTGGAATGTTAACCATTGGGAGATTCATTACCTATTACATTAAGATAACAGCGATCTAGAAGCTCTCAAACATTGATCAAAGGTTTCATCACTAAACATGTAGCCCGAACAGGGACTCGAACCCTGGACCCTTAGGTTAAAAGCCTAATGCTCTACCGACTGAGCTATCCGGGCGCTTGCTTATAACACTAAAAGTCACTTTATGGTCATCCCCTTGAATACAAATATTCCGCGAAGCTTTTGGGGTAATTCCTTGACACTCGTTTGTCTTGGTCTCCCCATATCTCTTACCTCCGTGTTGAGTGCTCTAAGGCCCTTACCCTCCTTCGGGTCTTGTCCCATACTTCTTGGGGGGCAGATAGGCGCACTCTCCTTGCTTTACATTCCTCTCTCGTCCTGTCTAAGCTCGATTATGGGTGTCCTGCTTACTCGTCTGCTTCTCCTTCTACTCTTCGCCGTCTTGATGCTTTGCACCATACTGGGTTGCGCCTCAGTTCTGGTGCCTTTCGTTCGACTCCCGTCCTTAGCTTGTATGTTGACACTGGCTTCCTGTCTCTCCAGGACCGCCGTGATCGCTACTGTCTTCGCTATCTTGCGCGGTCCTTGCAACATCCTTCCTCTCGTCTCTGTCGTGCTTTAACTTTTACCCCTCCTGCGGTTCCTGTTCCTCTTCACCACCTCCCTCTTTCTGTCAGGTTATCTCGCCTGCAGGATTCTCTTTCCGTTCGTATTTCTGATGTTTCTCCTCGTGTTCCTTCTTTGCCCCCGTGGAGGGTCCCTCTTCCGCGGTTTTGTACATCCTTGACCCGTATCACTAAAGCTTTTACCCCTCCTACGGTTCTAAAACGCCTTTTCCTCGAGCACTTTTCTTCTCACTCCCGCTCCATTTCTGTCTTCACCGATGGGTCTAAGTCAGCGGACGGTGTTGGCTACTCTGTTGTTTTTCCTGATCGCACGTATATGTGTCGCTTACCTCCGGAGACTAGCATCTTTACAGCGGAACTTTATGCTATTCTCTTTGCTCTTCGTCTCCTGCTTTCTCGTTGTCAGTCTTCCTTTGTGGTTGTTGTTGACTCTCGTAGTGCCCTCATGGCTCTCGGGTCCTTTAATCCGGTTCATCCAGTAGTTGTCGAGATCCAGCATTGGCTGTTTCTCGTTCACAGTAAATTTAAGTCGGTTGAGTTTTGTTGGGTTCCCAGCCATATTGGCGTGTCTTTAAATGAGCGTGCGGATGCTGCCGCCAAGGAAGCTGTCCGCTCTTGTCCCATCTCTCGTAAAGGCATTCCGTATTCCGACTTTTACCCGGTTATCCATTCCTCAGTCCTTACCCGTTGGCAGGCTTCTTGGTTGTCTGTTACTGGTAACAAGCTACGTACTCTTAAATGTTGTTTCCTCGTGGCCGTCCTCCTTCCACCGTAACCGGCGATGGGAAACAGCTCTGGCGAGGTTGCGTATTGGCCATACTCGCTTAACCCATGGTCACTTGATGGAGCGCCGCCCTGCTCCTTATTGTCCTAGTTGCATTGTCCCTCTTACGGTCGTGCATGTCCTTCTTGAATGTCCTGACTTCCAGGACGAGCGTGTGTCTTGCTTTCCGACCGCCCCTCGCGGTCACCTGTCCCTCAATAGAATTCTTGGTGACTCGGATACTTTTGATATCGTTCGCCTTATGCGTTTTTGTTCTCGTATTGGCATCCTTGGTGATATTTAGCGCCCTCTGATTATCCCGCACATTTGATGGTGCTACATAGCCTTCCCGGTTTGGTGCCTTCTGTTGATAATTACTTGCTTACCTAAATAAACATTTTATTTTATTTTTTATTGAGTTATCTGATTGTTGTTTAGACCCTAGGATGTTAGAGATGGCTATCCATTATGGCAAGGAGTTTTGGGGTTGCCCCTATTTCTGTTCCTACTAACTTTTTCCACTACCCCACACAGGATAGGCATGGGGTGCATAATAAGCAAACGAAACAAACTACTAAACTGGTTTCTGCCCGAAACGCTGCGTGTACTAGTGGCTTTACAAGATTGTAAATACTATGCTATGTATTCTCACAAACCCAATGTACCTTCTCGTATATAAATAAATACAACTTAATGCACTGGGAAAATGGATTGAGTTGGGTAGAGGTTGAATAATTATACGGATAATATATAGTCTTCTAATCATGGCAATAATCCAATCTTCCTGTGGGGATACATTATGGTATAAAAATCTCGTCTTTTCTTAGTACTACGAACTAGTTCAGTGTTACATGTATTGTTAAACAACTGAACAAAAGTTAGTTAAGCGAAAGTAAATGCTGTTGGAATCTTTTAGTGTTATAAGCAAGCGCCCGGATAGCTCAGTCGGTAGAGCATTAGGCTTTTAACCTAAGGGTCCAGGGTTCGAGTCCCTGTTCGGGCTACATGTTTAGTGATGAAACCTTTGATGAAATTTGTGTGAGCTTGTAGTTTGTGCTGTTATCTTAACTATTATCAAATATTCTCAACTAAAATAATTTCAATATGAAGTGACGAAATTATGGATATTAGGCGTCAGTGAAAACAATTGCCGCCTTATACAGCCCATCGTCCTCTGGAGCGTTCACAACAGCTCTAATGTACCAACCCGTTCTCGCAAATTAAATAAGTCAATATTGACTTATTAAATATGTGCATAGGTGACATACTTAACATAATAGTTTCCCTTGAAAAGCTTCATAGAAAACACCGACCTTACCTAAACCTTAGTATGTTAAGATAAGCATCTTATTGCTTCATAATTACAATTATTACCTAACCTATAATAGGTATAGGTTAAGTAATAATTGTAATTACGAAGCAATAAGATGCTTATCTTAAGATACTAACAAGGTTAGGTAAGGTCGGTGTTTTCTATGAATAATGTACACAGATCACACTAACGTGATGCATCAAATGAACAAATCCACAAGGGCCGTGATTAAGGCAGTGTCTGGGATGCTCCTGGACGCAGGTTCGAATCCTCGTCACGGCCCTTGTGGATTTGTTCATTTAAACTAATGTACTAAATTGCCCGACCCTAACAGAGGACCCACGAATGGAAACTGGGACATCACGTCAATTTTGCGAGCCGCTATGATTTTTATTTTTGCCCCAAGAGGATTTTTACGTCAAAAAACGTATGCGACAGTAATCACACGCATAAGGGAGTATCTAAGCAACAGGAAACAGTGAGTAACGGTGAGGGGGGAGATGTCACCAGCGGAGTCCCACAGGGCTCTGTACTTGGACCCATCCTGTTTCTAATATATGTCAACGATCTTCCAGAATGTATAAACTCATTCCTCTCAATGTTTCCTGATGCAAAAATTGAGAAGAATCAAGACAGATGAAGACACAGACTACGGGATGACCAGGACAAACTGGTGGAATAGTCTAGAAAATGGCTACTAACGACATTTATGCAGGTTTCCCATACTTGAGGTCGATCTCGAACCCATTGTTGTGACGACTTATATTGAATTTTGTAACTAGCTCATCAAGACTGTAACTTGCTTAGCTAAATGAATTGTGGGGTTCAGTCCCTGAGCCCCTTATGTGCCTCTGTAACCCTTTCCACTACCGCCCACAAGATGGGTATGGGGTGCATAATAAGTGAACTAAACTAACTACCCATACTCTATGGGGGTTTAGTTCGTCAGGAGCTAGATCCCCATCTCGTAGGATTGCCACATAATGCAAACTTCTTATATATAATAACTAGGATATCCTCAAGAACACGAAAGTCAATGAAGCCATTACAAACTTCACGGAACATCATACTGGCAGGTCTAATCAATAGGTATTCATTAGTGTAATGTTAGTGACCTAGTTCCTACTTTGAGAGTTTACTTATAGAATGTTTCATGATTTGGAGAGTTGTCACTTGCAACCACCTGTCATAGGTATCTGTAGCACAAGCTGGTCTTGGCAATTACTGTCTTACTCTGTCTAGACTAGAGGAAGTCTGTCTTGCTCTGTCTAGACTAGAGGAAGTCTGTCTTGTTCTGTCTAGACTAGAGGAAGTCTGTCTTGCTCTGTCTAGACTAGAGGAAGTCTGTCTTGCTCTGTCTAGACAGAGGAAGTCTGTCTTGCTCTGTCTAGACTAGAGGAAGTCTGTCTTGCTCTGTCTAGACTAGAGGAAGTCTGCCTTGCTCTGTCTAGACTAGAGGAAGTCTGCCTTGCTCTGTCTAGACTAGAGGAAGTCTGCCTTGCTCTGTCTAGACTAGAGGAAGTCTGCCTTGCTCTGTCTAGACTAGAGGAAGTCTGCCTTGCTCTGTCTAGACTAGAGGAAGTCTGCCTTGCTCTGTCTAGACTAGAGGAAGTCTGCCTTGCTCTGTCTAGACTAGAGGAAGTCTGCCTTGCTCTGTCTAGACTAGAGGAAGTCTGCCTTGCTCTGTCTAGACTAGAGGAAGTCTGCCTTGCTCTGTCTAGACTAGAGGAAGTCTGCCTTGCTCTGTCTAGACTAGAGGAAGTCTGCCTTGCTCTGTCTAGACTAGAGGAAGTCTGCCTTGCTCTGTCTAGACTAGAGGAAGTCTGCCTTGCTCTGTCTAGACTAGAGGAAGTCTGCCTTGCTCTGTCTAGACTAGAGGAAGTCTGCCTTGCTCTGTCTAGACTAGAGGAAGTCTGCCTTGCTCTGTCTAGACTAGAGGAAGTCTGCCTTGCTCTGTCTAGACTAGAGGAAGTCTGCCTTGCTCTGTCTAGACTAGAGGAAGTCTGCCTTGCTCTGTCTAGACTAGAGGAAGTCTGCCTTGCTCTGTCTAGACTAGAGGAAGTCTGCCTTGCTCTGTCTAGACTAGAGGAAGTCTGCCTTGCTCTGTCTAGACTAGAGGAAGTCTGCCTTGCTCTGTCTAGACTAGAGGAAGTCTGCCTTGCTCTGTCTAGACTAGAGGAAGTCTGCCTTGCTCTGTCTAGACTAGAGGAAGTCTGCCTTGCTCTGTCTAGACTAGAGGAAGTCTGCCTTGCTCTGTCTAGACTAGAGGAAGTCTGCCTTGCTCTGTCTAGACTAGAGGAAGTCTGCCTTGCTCTGTCTAGACTAGAGGAAGTCTGCCTTGCTCTGTCTAGACTAGAGGAAGTCTGCCTTGCTCTGTCTAGACTAGAGGAAGTCTGCCTTGCTCTGTCTAGACTAGAGGAAGTCTGCCTTGCTCTGTCTAGACTAGAGGAAGTCTGCCTTGCTCTGTCTAGACTAGAGGAAGTCTGCCTTGCTCTGTCTAGACTAGAGGAAGTCTGCCTTGCTCTGTCTAGACTAGAGGAAGTCTGCCTTGCTCTGTCTAGACTAGAGGAAGTCTGCCTTGCTCTGTCTAGACTAGAGGAAGTCTGCCTTGCTCTGTCTAGACTAGAGGAAGTCTGCCTTGCTCTGTCTAGACTAGAGGAAGTCTGCCTTGCTCTGTCTAGACTAGAGGAAGTCTGCCTTGCTCTGTCTAGACTAGAGGAAGTCTGCCTTGCTCTGTCTAGACTAGAGGAAGTCTGCCTTGCTCTGTCTAGACTAGAGGAAGTCTGCCTTGCTCTGTCTAGACTAGAGGAAGTCTGCCTTGCTCTGTCTAGACTAGAGGAAGTCTGCCTTGCTCTGTCTAGACTAGAGGAAGTCTGCCTTGCTCTGTCTAGACTAGAGGAAGTCTGCCTTGCTCTGTCTAGACTAGAGGAAGTCTGCCTTGCTCTGTCTAGACTAGAGGAAGTCTGCCTTGCTCTGTCTAGACTAGAGGAAGTCTGCCTTGCTCTGTCTAGACTAGAGGAAGTCTGCCTTGCTCTGTCTAGACTAGAGGAAGTCTGCCTTGCTCTGTCTAGACTAGAGGAAGTCTGCCTTGCTCTGTCTAGACTAGAGGAAGTCTGCCTTGCTCTGTCTAGACTAGAGGAAGTCTGCCTTGCTCTGTCTAGACTAGAGGAAGTCTGCCTTGCTCTGTCTAGACTAGAGGAAGTCTGCCTTGCTCTGTCTAGACTAGAGGAAGTCTGTCTTGCTCTGTCTAGAGGAAGTTTCTGTCAGCAGGTCATAGTTGGGACGGAGAGGAACGAGGTATGGACAGTGTTCTTGCCGGGTGACGGAGGACAGGAGCCCGGCTTGGCGGCTGCCAGAGAGGAGAGCGAGTGCGAGGTGCAGGGGCACGGCCTAGGCGAGGTGTGGGGCTTGGCGACGCATCCCACCTTGCCCATAGCAGTCACCACCTCAGACGACCGCACTGTCAGGTTAGTACGGGGCCCAGATTCACGAAGCAATTACGCAAGTACTTACGAACCTGGGGCCAGATTCACGAAGCAGTTACGCAAGTACTTGCGAACCTGGGGCCAGATTCACGAAGCAGTTACGCAAGTACTTACGAACCTGGGGCCAGATTCACGAAGCAGTTACGCAAGTACTTACGAACCTGGGGCCAGATTCACGAAGCAGTTACGCAAGTACTTACGAACCTGGGGCCATATTCACGAAGCAGTTACGCAAGTACTTACGAACCTGGGGTCAGATTCACGAAGCAGTTTCGCAAGTACTTACGAACCTGTACATCTTTCCTTGATCTTTGATGGCTTTGGTTACATTTATTAAACAGTTTACAAGCATGAAAACTTGCCAATCAACTGTTGTTATTGTTATAAACAGCCTCCTGGTGCTTCCGAGCTCATTAACTGTTTAATAATTGTAAACAAAGCCGCCAAAGATTGAGAAAAGATGTACTGGTTCGTAAGTGCTTGCGTAACTGCTTTATGAATCCGAATTGCTTAAGTGTTGGTAAACAGAGCAGCGCATGGATGTAAGTAGTGCTCATGATGTCTGCTAATAATGCTCGTGTGCATGTTGCTTAGTATTATGCCCGAAACGCTGTACGTATTAGTGTTGATGTGTTAGATTCAGCTACTCTGAACCCGTAGTGGACTTACCTGGCACAGGAGCGGGGCAAGTAGCACGGGCTATGGTGAGCCCGTAGTGGACTTACCTGGCACAGGAGCGGGGCAAGTAGCACGGGCTATGGTGAGCCCGTAGTGGACTTACCTGGCACAGGAGCGGGGCAAGTAGCACTGGCTATGGTGAGCCCGTAGTGGACTTACCTGGCACAGGAGCGGGGCAAGTAGCACGGGCTATGGTGAGCCCGTAGTGGACTTACCTGGCACAGGAGCGGGGCAAGTAGCACGGGCTATGGTGAGCCCGTAGTGGACTTACCTGGCACAGGAGCGGGGCAAGCAGCACGGGCTATGGTGAGCCCGTAGTGGACTTACCTGGCACAGGAGCGGGGCAAGTAGCACGGGCTATGGTGAGCCCGTAGTGGACTTACCTGGCACAGGAGCGGGGCAAGTAGCACGGTCTATGGTGAGCCCGTAGTGGACTTACCTGGCACAGAAGCGAGGCCTATATTAGTGGCTTTAGGCATAGTATATACTAACTCTAGAACTCCAACATTGTTTGTAACTCATTTTGTATATAAACTTTTACCTGAATAATCATTAATAATATTATTATGACAGAACTCAAATTATCATGATATATTAATTAAATAATCAATTCATATATTGAATATTGAAATATTCAGGTTGCATTTTTTTTACCATGTCATGACGCAGTGGGCTAGAGCACGCCTGGGAATACCCAGCACATCGGTTCGAGCCCTCGTCACAGCTCCTATTGTTGTTGTTGTTAAAGATTCGCTACTTGGAACAAGCAGTTCCAAGTAGCACGGGCTATGGTGAGCCCGTAGAGCTCCTATTGATTTATTCAATATTATTATTAAACAGAGTATCAAGCGTTGTACACAAGTTGACAATAAGTTGAGGTGTTGGTGTACAATTGTCAAGAACAGGAATCCAATTGGACTTAACAAGGTCCACTTAGCAGAGAGGGAGAGGGGGAGAGAGGGGGACGGGGGGGAGGGAGAAGGGGAGAGGGGGACGGGGGAGAGGGAGGGAGGGAGAGTGGGAGAGTGGGAGGGGGACGGGGGGGAGAGGGAGGGAGCTGTCTCGGTCAACTAACCGGTCACAACTGGTTAAGGGAGTTTGTTTGTTGCCGGCGATGGCGGCTAGTTTATTGTGCACCTCATACCCATCCTGTGAGCGGTAGTTTATTGTGCACCTCATACCCATCCTGTGAGCGGTAGCGCAAAAAGCATTACAGAGGGCACAATATCAGACCTCATCTTAGATTATTACATAAACAATTTCATCTATCTTTCACACCTTATAGTTACAATGTCAGCTAGTTACAGAGAAAGTGCTATTTCAAGAGCTATATATTTACAGTAAGTCGTCATACATTAATGGTAGGTCTTATCGCTAATACGGTACATAATAGTTTGACCAATGGAGATAGTCATAGGGTATTTGACCAGACCACACACTAGAAATTGAAGGGACGACGACGTTTCGGTCCGTCCTGGACCATTCTCAAGTCGATTGTGTGTGGTCTGGTCAACATACTTCAGCCACGTTATTGTGACTCATCGCCTGCATAGTCATAGGGTAGCTTCGTTTATTATTAGTCTTCACAATACACTATTTGTTTCTTAATCTCATATGTCGTTTATCTACTGGAAGCGAAATATGGATACAGTGCAAGGATTTCAGGTAATTTATCCATGGTAATAAGATAGGTTGCCATATCATACAGTGAGAGCTTAGATTTATCTCTAAATGACTCAATTTTACTACAATCCAAGATATAGTGTTCGAGTGTGTGTCCCTGTCTTTGTCCACACTTACTTCATCTAGATCCCTATACAAGCCGAACTGCCAGAGATACTTGTAGCCAAGTCTTATACGAGCTGTGACATCTGTGTGCAGTGGATTTGCCCTTGAGGATTTGTTCATTTGATGCATCACGTTAGTGTGATCTGTGTAGGTTGTAACGGTTCTATTGTTACGTAAAGTATGGTGACAAATAAACACAGACACTAAGATACTATATATATATATTTGGTCGAATATACAGAAGTACACAGGTGATACTTTGGTGTGAGTTGAGCGCACTGAGCGTCGGTACAGTATCTCGCAAGTGTCTGCTCTAGACCACACTTGAAAGTAAACTCTGGTTAATGTTTGCTATTCTGCTGCTTATATGCTCGGGCAACACCTCACCTCATTCATCTCCAAAGGTTGACAGGAATATTAACAATGCATTTGGAGCGAGAATATTATTGGGATAATCTACTCGCTACAAGGTGTTAACATTAATCCTGAATCAGGGGCGGGTTGTATCCTGTGAGAGAGACTTCCACAATATAACTGGCGTACTATTCTATGGTGTATGGTGTGTACTATGGTGTACTAGTATGTATTGTACTATTCTCCAAGCACGTCGTCTGCATCTTGCCGCTCCCACTCTTGTCAGCATGAGGCTAGTACACTTATATTGCACCACAAACGTAGTGTCCCCCCCAGTGGCCGCCCTCCTACCACCGTAAACGGCGGTGGGAAACTGCTTTGGCACGGCTGCGGGTTGGCCATACTCGCTTAACCCACGGTCACTTAATGGAGCGCCGCCCTGCTCCTTATTGTCCAAATTGCGTTGTCCCTCTTACAGTTGTGCACATTCTTGTTGAATGTCCTGACTTCCAGGACGAGCGTGTGTCTTGCTTTCCGACCATCCCTCGCGGTCACTTGTCCCTCCATAGAATTCTAGGTGAATCGGATATCGTTCGCCTTGTGCGTTTTTGTTCTCGTATTGGCATTCTTGGTGAGATTTAGCGCCCTCTGATTATTTCGCTCTTTGATGGTGCTACATAACCTTCCCGGTTTGGTGCCTTCTTTTGATAATTACCTTCTTATCTTGAGGTTATCTTGATGATTTCGGGGCTTTTTCTAGTGTCCCCGCGGCCCGGTCCTCGACCAGGCCTCCACCCCCAGGAAGCAGCCCGTGACAGCTGACTAACTCCCAGGTACCTATTTACTGCTAGGTAACAGGGGCATTTAGGGTGAAAGAAACTTTGCCCTTTTGTTTCTGCCTCGTGCGGGAATCGAACCCGCGCCACAGAATTAAGAGTCCTGAGCACTATCCACCAGGCTACGAGGCCCCCCCCTCTTACCTTATGTTGCACCAGACTCACCAGCATGAGGCTATTGCTCTCATATTGGACCTTTACAATCTGTGAGTAGGCTGCCCGTACAGCCATAGAACTGACCACTTCTAGATGTGACCAAGCATGGCTATGGCCTGTCCTGCAGCTGAGCACGTCTACTTGTTAACATACAGACTTGGACCACAGTACAGGTATACTGCACCGACATGAGTACGAGAGGTCACGACCTCTCCGTAGGGTGCAGTCGCACCTCCACAGATCTCCAGTATCAGCTGACGATACTGGTAATGGCTCCAAAGGGCCAACACTTATGGGCTATTCATGCCCGTGCCACCTTTTGGGTGGCTTAATCAATCAATCGACATGAGTAATCACATTTCTTTGGGGCTGTGAACTCGTCCACAGGCTGAGTAGGGCCCCAGCCTGTGAACTCGTCCACAGGCTGAGTAGGGCCCCAGCCTGTGAACTCGTCCACAGGCTGAGTAGGGCCCCAGCCTGTGAACTCGTCCACAGGCTGAGTAGGGCCCCAGCCTGTGAACTCGTCCACAGGCTGAGTAGGGCCCCAGCCTGTGAACTCGTCCACAGGCTGAGTAGGGCCCCAGCCTGTGAACTCGTCCACAGGCTGAGTAGGGCCCCAGCATGCTCTTCCCAGCTTTTGTCATGCTGGGACTTGATTTATTAAACGTCTCCGTGGCGTAGTGGTAAGACTACGAACCCAAGCAAGTAGCAAGTAACCGATTACGGGCTCACCATAGCCCGTGCTACATGGACATTTCGTTCTGAGTAGCTATATCTAAAACAATACAATAATACAATACAATAATACAATACAATACAATTTTATTTAGGTAAGGTACATACATACAATAAATATTTACAAGGATTGTTTGACTTATAGGTAGAGCTAGTACATACAATGCCTAAAGCCACTATTACGCAAAGCGTTTCGGGCATGATAAACTTAAACGATAAACTTAAACGATAAACTTAAACGTTGTTCGTAAAACAACAACAAAGTAACCGATGCAGAGAAAACGCTAGTATTACGATACTAGACTTTTGACTAATACAGCATACGTTTAACGGATTGTAGATTACGAAAAGCATGCGACATATTAGGTGAGAGGCCGGATCGATACCCCTCGCTTTGAGTGGATATAGCTCCTGAAATAGCACTTTCTCTAACTAGCTGACATTGTAACTATAAGGTGTGAAGGATAGATGAAATTGTTTGTAATTATCTAAGATGAGGTCTGATAAAGACCTTTTGTGCCCTCTGTAATGCCTTTTGCGCTACCGCTCACAGGAAGAGTATGGGGTGCACAATAAACTAGCCGCCTTCGGCGACAACAATCAATCAAATCAGAGTGCCGATCCTCGTACATTAACAAGCGAATAAGGCATTGTGTGTGTTTAACCAATGTAAACAAGAATCGCGATATTTCCAGACAAAACTCACGAAGCTTTATTCGTGTAAATTCGTGGCAGCCAGAGAATAGTCTTCGTGGTGTAGTGGTAAGACACTCGCCTGGCGTTCCGCGAGCGCTTTGTCATGGGTTCGTATCCTGGCCGGGGGAGGATTTACTGGGCGCAAATCCTTAACTGTAGCCTCTGTTTAACTCAACAGTAAAATGTGTACTTGGTTGTAAAAGCGATTCTTCGCGGCGGGGATCGTATTCCAGGGACCTGCCCGAAACGCTACGCGTACTAGTGGCTCTACAAGAATGTAACAACTCTTGTATATATCTCAAAAAAAAGTCATAGCTATAACATTTAAATAGTATAAACACCAGATTCTACAAATATGTAAAATTGTCATAGACGCAGACCTGATATTTCCTTATCGTCACATGTTTGCAGGAATTAATACAAATATCTTTCGCAGACTGTGGGACTTGGAGGAGAGGCGGCCAATGGCGACCACTGTGCTGGAACATGCGGGGCGAGCAGCGGCCTTTAGTCCAGATGGTCTGTTTGTGGCAGTGGGCCTGATGCAGGGCACCTTTGTCATCCTCCAGGCAGAGTGAGTCCTTCCATACTTCATCCTCCTCCAGGCAGAGTGAGTCCTTCCATACTTCATCCTCCTCCAGGCAGAGTGAGTCCTTATATACGTCATCCTCGTCCAGGCAGAGTGAGTCCTTATATACGTCATCCTCGTCCAGGCAGAGTGAGTCCTTATGTAGGTCATCCTAGTCCAGGCAGAGTGAGTCCTTCCATACTTCATCCTCCTCCAGGCAGAGCGAGTCCTTGTATAGGTCATCCTCCTCCAGGCAGAGTGAGGTCTTGGACACTATGAACACACAACAAAGCTGGATACAGCCGCCGGACTTGATCTAAGTAAACACAGTTGGTAACCAAGTACCAAAATGAGTGACAGGTACTACGTGTTAATTGTTGTTTAGTATCAGGGTACACGAGTGCCGTGAAGGGTGAGAGCTTACTCAACTTCCTCCAGTTCAAGTAAGTTTATTGAGAAAAGTACGTACGTCTCAAAAGGATAGAGTAGCTTAGGCTATTTCTTCCCTTGATTTCCTCCAGGACAGTTACCCGAGTGCATTAAATCACTGTCTCTGCTTGCTTCTTGCCTCAATTTTGTCCCTGCTTTTTATGAAGACCACACCAGCCATTTTCTTCTCGGGGGCCAAACAGTGGGACTGAACCAATTCCACATCTTCAATATTTTCTCATAAAACATCACGTTCTTGTGATTTTAATGTGCACTTTCTTCATTTCATATTGTGGTTAATTGAATGGACGTGAAAGAGAGCTGGAGGTGAAGCATAGCGTGAGTGACCGCCAGGAGCAGCGGAGTGACCTCAAGTATTCGCCCAGTGGCCTCTTCCTCGCTGTTGCTTCTAATGATAACTTTGTAAGTCTCAGTCGTCTCTATAAGACACTCAAAGCTGACAAGTGATGAAACCACCAATTGCCTGGGAGGCCTGGTCGACGACCGGGCCGCGGGGACACTAAGCCCCGGAAGCACCTCAAGGTAGTCTCTTATGGTTTGGTTGGGTATTCCTGGTACGACTTGCAGACGAGGAGTCACAACGTGGCTGAAAAATATGTTGACCAGACGACACACTACCCGCCAAACACACACCGAAACTACGACGTTGGTACAACGATCGAACAAGTTTTAACACCTCCTAACCAGTTATAACAACCAATATATCAAGTTGTAACAACGTTCTAATACGTCATAAACACGTTAAGCCAAGATGTAACAACTTTATTACAAGTTGTAACAAGCGGAAAATAGAGACAGTTTCGGTTTGTGTTTCCAGGGTAGAAAGTGAAGGGACGACGACGTTTCGGTCCGTCCTGGACCATTCTCAAGTCGATTGTTAGACTTGAGAATGGTTCAGGATGGACCGAAACGTCGTCGTCCCTTCACTTTCTAGTGTGTGGTTTAGTCAACGTGTACGACTTTTTTTTTAAAGTCGTAGGTTCGGGGTTCAGGTTGTAAGTTAAGTTCGTAGGCTCAGGTCAGTTTCAGGTAGGTTCAGGTCACAGGTTCGGGTTGTAGGCTGAGGTTGTAGAGCAGCAGTTTATCAAGGTGAATCAAGATTGGAGAGAAATGTCAATAATTATGACAAGAAAGTGATAAGCTTGGACAAGAGAGGTTATCTTGAGATGATTTCGGGGCTTTAGTGTCCCCGCGGCCCGGTCCTCGACCAGGCCTCCACCCCCAGGAAGCAGCCCGTGACAGCTGACTAACACCCAGGTACCTATTTTACTGCTAGGTAACAGGGACATAGGGTGAAAGAAACTCTGCCCATTGTTTCTCGCCGGCGCCTGGGATCGAACCCAGGACCACAGGATCACAAGTCCAGCGTGCTGTCCGCTCGGCCGACCGGCTTCCCCCAGGAAGCAGCCCGTGACAGCTGACTAACACCCAGGTACCTATTTTACTGCTAGGTAACAGGGGCATAGGGTGAAAGAAATTCTGCCCATTATTTCTCGCCGGCGCCTGGGATCGAACCCAGGACCACAGGATCACAAATCCAGCGTGCTGTCCGCTCGGCCGACCGGCTCCCCCCAAGAGGTGCCAAGAGATAATAACCGCACCTTGTGTAGTACTAGGTGAGTACTAGGTGAGTAATCAAAGTGTACCTTGTCTCAGATACACTGAGTACTCACCTAGTTGTATTCGCCGAGTTGTACTTGCTCTTGGTCTCACCTCTCAACCGTCAATCAACTGGTGTACAGGTTCCTGAGCCTATTGGGCTCTCTCATATCTACACTTGAAACTGTGTATGGAGTCAGCCTCCACCACATCACTGCCTAATGCATTCCATCTGTTAACTACTCTGACACTAAGAAAAAATTGCTTGTAATGTCCCAGTGGCTCAATTGGGTCAATTGTCATAAGTTTCCACCTGTGTCCGTGTTCCTCACGTGATAGTTTTTGTCCACCCTGTCTATTTCCCTGAGAATCTTGCAGGTGGTTATGTCTCCCCTTACTCTTCTGTCTTCCAGCAGGGACGTGAGGTTCAGCTCCCTTAGCCACTAAATATGTAGCCCGAACAGGGACTCGAACCCTGGACCCTTAGGTTAAAAGCCTAATGCTCTACCGACTGAGCTATCCGGGCGCTTGATGGGGTTGTGTGATGTGTTATCTTGTCTCAAGTGCTCCTTGTGTGGGGTGTGTGATGTTAAAATGTCTCGGGTGCAACATGAGTGAAGTTAGTGATGTGTTATCTTTTGTCAGGTGCACCTTAAGTGGGGTTATTGATGTTATCTTGTCTCGGGTGCACCTTGTGTGGGGTATGTTATCTTGTCTCAGGTGCACCTTGTGTGGGGTATGTTATCTTCTCAGGTGCACCTTGTGTGGGGTATGTTATCTTGTCTCAGGTGCACCTTGCGTGGGGTTATTGGTGTTATCTTATCTCAAGTACACTTTGAGTACTCACCTAGTTGTGCTTGGGGTGGGGGGTTGAGCTTTGGCTCTCTGGTCCCGCCTCTCAACTGTCAATCAACTAGTGTACAGGTTCCTAAGCCTATTGGGCTATATCATATTTACTTTTGAAACTGTGTATGGAGTCGGCCTCTACCACATCACTGCCTCATGCATTCCATTTGTTAACTACTGACACTGAAAAAGTTCTTTCTAATGTCTCTGTGGCTCATTTGGGTACTACTTTTCAACCTGTGTCCATGTTCTACCCGTGGTAGAGAGTTTGTCTTTGTTCACCCTGTCTATTCCCCTGAGAATTTTGTAGGTGGTTATCATGTCTCACCTTACTCTTCTGTTTTCCAGCAGGGACGTGAGTTTCAGCTCACCAACCCGTTCTCTACTCAAGTCCATTCCATGCAGCGATCGACCTCACAAACGCATTCATAATTTTTTTCATGCTGTTCATTCAAAACGGGAACATTCTCAGATATAAATTGATATTATAGTATATTAGCATAGTGTGCATATATAGACAAAGGTTAGGTGTTTAGGTTCTGTTAGCGATTATTTGTATTTGTAGTACGTGGGTGAAGCATTTACAGCGTTGTGGTTCAAAGAAAGTTGGTCAGTGAAGCACTTGTTCCGGAAGTGTTCGAACGTTATTAGTCGAGTCGTGTGTAAACCGTTTTTCATTCATGTACTTTCATGAGCTTTGGCTCTTTGGTCCTGCCTCTCAACTGTCAATCATCTGGTGTACAGGTTCCTGAGCCTATTTTGCTTTATCATATTTACATTTGAAACTGTGTATGGAGTTAGCCTCCTACATTTCATAAACAGGAGGTGCATGGATTCACTTTTGGGTCTTTGTTTGGAGGACGGGCTGCATGCAGCTAGTTCCCTTAGCCACTAAATATGTAGCCCGAACAGGGACTCGAACCCTGGACCCTTAGGTTAAAAGCCTAATGCTCTACCGACTGAGCTATCCGGGCGCTTGACGGGGGTATGTGCCATGTGTTATCTTGTCTCAGGTGCTCAATGAGTGGGCTATGTCATGTGTTATCTTGTCTCAGGTGTTCCTTAGTGGGCTATGTCATGTGTTATCTTGTCTCAGGTGCACCATGAGTGAATTTAGTTATATGTTAATCTTGATGATGTGATGTGATCTTTAACCAAACTAGAAATGCTCTACAAATCAAGGGACCCAGAATGTGGAATCACCTCCCCAATCATGTCAAAGGCTGTACCCCTCTCAACCAGTTAAGGAGTAGAACTAAGTACTACCTAATTAACTCCCATGTAACCTACCTTACCCCTAAATGTCAACCCATGTCTTGCTTTTGTTAAACAATGCTGTTTCTTCTCCAACTTGTACAATTGCTGATTTCTGTCATGTTTCCCTTCTTTCTTATTCATTTTTTCAACACAATTTATACCTAATCCCAATTACTATTATATTTTAGTCTAAGTGGGGTTTTTCCCCACACCTTGCCCAAATCGCTATGCGTATTAGTGGCTTTAGGTATTGTGTGTACTAGCTCTATATATAAATCAAACATTGTTTGCAAATCAACTATGTATGTACTCTTCCTGAATAAAAATTTATTGTCTTAGGTGGACCTTGGATTGGGTTATTAATGTGTTATCATGTTTCAGATGGACCTTGGATTGGGTTATTGACGTTATCTTCTCAGGTGCACTTTGAGTGGGGTATGTTATCTTGTCTCAGTTGCACCTTGTCTCGGGTGCACCTTGTGTGGGGGTTACTGATGTGTTATCTTGTCTCAGATACACTTTGAGTACTCACCTAGTTGTGCTTGGGGTGGGAGTTGAGCTTTGGCTCTCTGGTCCCGCCTCTCAACTGTCAATCAACAGGTGTACAGGTTCCTGAGCCTATTGGGCTCTATCATATCTACACTTGAAACTGTGTATGGAGTCAGCCTCCACCACATCACTGCCTAATGCATTCCACCTGTTAACTACTCTGACACTGAAAAAATATATTTCTAACGTCCCTGTGGCTCATTTGGGTACTCCACTTGTCCCCCCTTGTTCGCGTACCACCAGTGTTAGTTTCTTTGTCCACCCTGTTTATTTCCCTGAGAATATTGTAGGTGGTTATCATGTCTCCCCTTACTCTTTTGTTTTCCAGCAGGGACGTTTTCAGTTCCTTAGCCATTAAATATGTAGCCCGAACAGGGACTCGAACCCTGGACCCTTAGGTTAAAAGCCTAATGCTCTACCGACTGAGCTATCCGGGCGCTTGATGGGGGTGTGTGTGATGTGTTATCTTGTCTCAGGTGCTCAATGAGTGTACTCGCCTATTTGTGCTTGCGGGGGTTGAGCTTTGGCTCTTTGGTCCCGCCTCTCAACTGTCAATTAGTAATTGTGGTATATGTCATGTGTTATCTTGTCTCTGGTGCTCCTTGTGTGGGGTGTGCGATGTGTTGTCTTATCTCAGGTGCACCTTGAGTGGGGTATGTGTGATGTGTTATTATGTCTGAGGTGCAGCTTGAGTGAGGTTAGTGAAGTGTTACCTTACAACAGGTGGACATCTACAAGGCGGACGCCGGGTACGAGAGGTGCCAGGTGCTGAAGGGCGCCTCCTCCTTCATCACACACCTCGACTGGTCGACAGACTCCGCCTACCTTCAGCTCAACTCCGGCGCAGGAGAGAGACTTATCTTCCATGTTCAAAGTTAGTAACTTCAGTGCAAAAACTAATATAGCGTTAAGAAGGTATGTATATACAAATAATTACCGTGAAATATTTCTTGTACAAATTTAATAATGTATATGTCGACTCTACATATCAGTCGTATCTTAAACTTATTTATAATATTAGCCTCATCTACAGTACTTTCTCCTCTGGTTCATAACATGCACTCACTATCCGCTTAAGACTAAACAGTGTTGTCTTATGGCCATATGACTTATGACTTAAGTTGTAAGTAAGTTATGACTTATGACTGACTTGTCTTTAGCTTCCATCCGTCCCCTCTTGTTCTGCTGTTGCACCTATGAAACATTTCGTCTTTATCTACTTGATCAATACCATTTAGAATCCTATGTCATAATCATGTCTCCCCTTTCTTGTCTCTTACATAATGTAGTAAGATACAGTTTTCTCAGTATTTCCTCGTTCTTCAATCCGCTCAGTTCTGGGACCAGTCTTACGGCCTCACTCTGGCCTTTCCTGGTTTCATCTTGTGGTTTTGCAGATAGAAGCCCGCCAAACACACAGCGAAACGACGACGTTGGTACAACGTTGGAACAAGTTTTAACACCTCCTAACCAGTTATAACAACCAATATAGCAAGTTGTAACAACGTTCTAATACGTCATAAACATGTTAAGCCAAAATGTAACAACTTTATTACAAGTTGTAACAAGCGGAAAATAGACAGTTTCGGTTTGTGTTTCCAGGGAGCTTCATCACACACAGAGATCACACTAACGTGATGCATCAAATGAACAAATCCACAAGGGCCGTGACGAGGATTCGAACCTGCATCCAGGAGCATCTGGCCTATTGACATAACTCGGGTGCAGGGGGGATTGATTGATTGTTGCCGCCGAAGGCGGCTAGTTTATTGTGCACCCCATACTCATCCTGTGAGCGGTAGCGCAAAAGCATTACAGAGGGCACAAAAGGTCTTTATCAGACCTCATCTTAGATTATTACATAAACAATTTCTTCAATCCTTCACACCTTATAGATACAATGTCAGCTAGTTACAGAGAAAGTGCTATTACAAGAGCTACATATTTACAGTAAGTCATCATACATTAATGGTAGGTCTTGTCGTTAATACATAATAGTTTGGCCAATGGGGATATTACAGAGTCATAGGGGAGCTTCTGTTTATTATTAGTCCTCACAATACACTACTTGTTTCTGAATCTCATATGTCGTTCATCTACTAGAAGCAAAATGTGGGTACAGTGCAAGGATTTCAGGTAATTTATCCATGGTAATAAGATAGGTTGCCATATCATACAGAGTGAGCTTAGATTTATCTCTAAAAGGCTCAATTTTACAACAATCCATGATATAGTGTTCGAGTGTGTGTCCCTGCTTATGTCCACACACTTTACACTTTACTTCATCTAGATCCCTATACAAGCCGAACTGCCAGAGATACTTGTAGCCAAGTCTTATACGAGCTGTGACAACATCTGTTAGTCTACTGACTTTGTTACTTGCCCCATACACATGTTTTACTTCACACATTTCATTGTGATGAACAATGGACCTACTAGTTCCAGTTTGCACTGTTCTACTTTCTTCAAATCCATCTAGGAATTCTCGTCTAATGACACTTTTAAGGGACCTATTTGATAACTCAAGATTCCATTCAATACTGTCTTTATTTACTGCAGGGGGGAGTTGTGTAAAATCCTGGTTTGTGCCTCGGAGTGGCTACGGGATCCAGTAAGTTCAGTAGAATCGTAGCTCAGTCGATTAAGGCAGTGTCGAATCCTCGTCACAACCCTTGTGGATTTATTCAATATTGAGGTATATTATCTTGCGTGTGTCAGAGGAGTGTGTGGTTGACGAGAGCAGCCTGCCAGGGGTGGAGTGGTGGTCGTGGACAGGTGTGCTGGGGACGCAGGTGGCTGGCATCTGGCACAAGTACGCCGACACCTCTGATGTTAACACCTGTGACGCCAACTTCCGTCGTGCCATTATGGTGACTGGAGACGACCATGGCTTTGTCAAACTGTTCCGGTTCCCCTGCACGAAGCGAGGTAAGTCAGGTTCATCCAGCTTTTCAATGATAAAATTCAGCAGTTGTGTGAATACATTGTACGAATAGGAAATGTAAATATGATGCTAACTTTCCGTTTAATCTGGTTGAGTGTAGGATCGAAGAGTCGTATCGCCGTGGGTCACAGCGAACACGTGACCAACGTCCGGTGGACCTGCGACGCTGAACATGTTGTGTCTGTGGGCGGCGCCGACCACGCTGTCTTCCTCTGGAGGCTGGGGCCCTCGCGCCAGACCTCGGCGCCTGAACAAACAGGTTACTCAGCCTAAACCAAGTATTCACTTCTAAAGTAACAGATAAAATAATGACAAAACTAGACGCAACAATGAAGTCAGAATCGAGCCTTGCAAATTGAGTATTCACTTCTAAAGTAACAGATAAAATAATGACAAAACTAGATGCAACAATGAAGTCAGAATCGAGCCTTGCAAATTGCCGCCTTATATAATACATACAAACTTAACCCTGGAAACACAAGCCGTAACTGTCTCTTATTTTCCGCTTGTTACAACTTGTAATAAAGTTGTTACATCTTGGCTTAACGTGTTTATGACGTATTAGAACGTTGTTACAACTTGCTATATTGGTTGTTATAACTGGTTAGGAGGTGTTAAAACTTGTTCGAACGTTGCAGCAACGTCGTAGTTTCGGTGTGTGTTTGGCAGGTTTTAGCTAAATATCAATGTATTGTGACAGTGTCAGACCACGAAGGAAGAATTGAAACGAATTTCCTTAAGTACTTTCGTATTTAATAATACATCATCAGAAGGGTCATTCGTATTTATTAAATACGAAAGTACTTAAGGAAATTCTTGTTTGAATTCTTCCTTCGTGGTCTGACACTGTCACATTTTTCATCACGGGTTAATTTTCGTGATTTACACATATCTATGTATTGTAATATAAAGTAAATTAACTTTTTCACCAGTAACTAAGATACTGTGCAGTACATAGTGACTCTTTTTTTTCTACCACAGACGTGGCCACACATTTACAATGCTAACCAGCATATATACATTTTCTTCTGTCCTCCATGGACAGGGTTAGAGATGTGTTAAACATATAGTTCAGGGATTTATTGAACAAACAACAGAAGGTGATTCGGTACTTTTTAAATAAATAAAAAAATGTTTATTTAGGTAAGGTGCATACATACAAGAGATTTTACAAAGAATGATGGATTTATAGATAGGGCTAGTACATACAATGCCTAAAGCCACTATTACGCAAAGCGTTTCGGCCATGAACAACTTAATTGACTAAAGCTTAATACTAATTGAGCATAAAGAATAAAATGTGTTGAGAACAAATAAAAATAGATAAAAAGGGGGGAACATGGCTGAAAAAGCAGCACAAATACAATTAGGTCGACAAACAGCGTCGTTTAAAAAAAAAAAAAAGGACATGGGTTGACAATAGAAGGGTAAGGTAGGTTACAGGGAATTTATTAGGTAGAGCTTCGTTTTTATCTTAAACTGGTTGAGAGAGGTACAATCTTTAACATGGTTTGGAAGGTCTAAGGTTTAAAATGCTAAGCTAACGAGTTTTGCTTTCCGCCCCCCACACACTCCTCACAGTTAGGCTGCCATCTGCCGTGGAAAAGCAGTCAGACGAGGACACCCTGGACACTGAAGACGAGTTGGAGGGCATCCCGGAACTGACCCAGGAACTGGAGGAGGACCTGGCCGTGAACACAGCCAGCGCCAGGTCAACTATACATGTTCTTACCTTGTAACTGCAGGCGAGGAGTCACAATAACGTGGCTGAAGTATGTTGACCAGACCACACACTAAAAGGTGAATGGACGACGACGTTTCGGTCCGTCCTGGACCATTCTCAAGTAGATTGGGAATGGTCCAGGACGGACCGAAACGTCATCGTCGCTTCACCTTCTAGTGTGTGGTCTGGTCAACATACCTTGTAACTGCTTATCTATATGGTCAAATTTCAATTCACTCTGTATCTCTGCATAGCATACAAATTTACATCAAAGTCTCACTTTCGAACTAGCATATATGACTTCTGACTATCTCGTATACTAGTTTTTATGACTTCTGACTATTTCTTATACTAGTTTGACTTCTGACTATGTCTTATACTAGTTTATATGAAATCTCACCATCTCTCATACTAGTATTAATATCAGTTCCCTGTTCCTTGCAAGCTAGGCTTCATGCGATGGTTACGATGTCAATAGCCAGATATATTTGTAAACATTTAAAGAAAATATGTATTGAGAATGGCCTAGAGCCACCAAATTAGTACAAGATGATGTAAGACTTACTAAAGACAAGTACCGAAGAACTTAACAGTTGGGCGCTGGACTGACACAGATCAACATCCTTCCACCATAGAACATAACATAACAAAGGTAACTGCAGAAGGCCTATTGGCCCATACGAGGCAGCTCCTATCTATAACCACCCAATCCCACTCATATACATGTCCAACCCGCGCTTGAAACAATCGAGCGACCCCACCTCCACCACGTTACGTGGCAATTGGTTCCACAAATCAACAACCCTGTTATCGAACCGGTATTTACCCAAGTCTTTCCTAAATCTAAACTAAACTAATAGGCTTCCAGGCGTGCTTGCTAGACGATGTTTTCTGTTATCTTGAGATAATTTCGGGTATTTAGTGTCCCCGCGGCCCGGTCCTCGACCAGGCCTCCACCCCCAGGAAGCAGCCCGTGACAGCTGACTAACACCCAAGTACCTATTTTACTGCTAAGTAACAGGGGCATAGGGTGAAAGAAACTCTGCCCAGTAACTGCCCAGAAACTCTGAAAGTAACTGTTACTCGCCGGCGCCTGGGATCGAACCCAGGATCACTAGTCCAGCGTGCTGTCCGCTCGGCCGACCGGCTCCCTGATAATTAACTATAGTTACAAAATGTTAATAATAATAATAATAATAATTTTTATTTAGGTAAAGGTACATACATAGAGATTTTACAAAGTTTGTTGGCTTTATAGATAGAGCTAGTACATACAATGCCTAAAGCCACTATTACGCAAAGCGTTTCGGGCAGATATTTAATTTTAAGATAAAATTAGAACTTGGAAATATTAATAAGAACTAATTTCCACTTGTAGACAGCGACGGAAAAAGAAGAAAAGCCGAGACAGTTACATGCCAGGTGTTGAGATAGCTGAAGACTCCACCTTCGCCAAACGTCGTAATGCTACAAGTAGAAAATCTCAAGAAAATATTCAGCCCAATGAGAGTCTTCGTTTGCAACACGTATTTGGGTATGTTTAACTCCATTAATATGTTTAGCTATAAAGTTTGTTGAATTTATAAACAGTTCTCTCAATTTATTAATTTATCGTTTATTATGCAGCTACTGCAAACAAAAAGTTTCAAGTAGCACGGGCTATGGTGAGCCCGTAGTGGACTTGCCTGGCACAGGAGCGGGGCAAGTAGCACGGGCTATGGTGAGCCCGTAGTGGACTTGCCTGGCACAGGAGCGGGGCAAGTAGCACGGGCTATGGTGAGCCCGTAGTGGGCTTACCTGGCACAGGAGCGGGGCCAGTAGCACGGGCTATGGTGAGCCCGTAGTGGACTTACCTGGCACAGGAGCGGGGCCAGTAGCACGGGCTATGGTGAGCCCGTAGTGGACTTACCTGGCACAGGAGCGGGGCCAGTAGCACGGGCTATGGTGAGCCCGTAGTGGACTTACCTGGCACAGGAGCGGGGCAAGTAGCACGGGCTATGGTGAGCCCGTAGTGGACTTACCTGGCACAGGAGCGGGGCTGTAACTGTCATTTTAATGTCATGGTGGAGTTGTTGACGCTGAAAACCTGCCTTTATTTAGCCTATATTAATAACCCCAATCACCCCAGAAGCTCCAGTCATATACCTGCACAGTATTTCCTTGTTCCAGAATCCATGCCCACGAATGTCGAAACAATGCCCACTGGCTCAAGACGAGGCAGGTTGTGTACCACGTTGCTGCCATAGGTGTGGTGTGCGAACCGACCACCGGGGCCCAGCGCCACTACCTCCACCACACTGATGACATTCTCTGTCTCGCTGTTCACCCTGAAGGCACCCTGGTCGCTTCAGGTCAGGTAAGACTCGAGTTTGTTGTGTTGGGAGGTGGGGGGTGGAGAGTTCTTCAGTTACCTGATCAACCAGGTTGACTCATACGTCAGGTTGCGAGCAGCCGCGTCCAACAGCCTGGTTGATTAGTCCAGCAACCAGGAGGCCTGGTCGACGACCGGGCCGCGGGGACGCTAAGCTCCGGAAGCACCTCAAGGTAAGGTACCTTAATTCCGCGAGCTTCCCCTTAAAACTCATTTCTTCATGTGAAGAGTGAGTTTAGTTCTTGAAGTGCAGAATTTAATCTTGTATTTTACCTCTTGTTACTAATTGACAGTTGTTACATATGTGTGTTCTATGGGGGGAGTAGTATAACCTGGGTGTAGGGGCAGTAGTTAGCATTAAGAGTTATCAAATATGGGAGATCTCAAAGGCCCGGCCCCCACTAAATATAGATAAATAGCTTGTAGTGGCTTATTACAGCAATAGTCAGCCTAGAGGTTGATCATAGATCTCCCACACAGGAAAAATGGATACTCCTTTAACTAACTTACTTATTTATTAACCCCTTAACAACCCCCCATATACATTCACACCAATAACAATAATAATTACTTTACCACACTATCTTACGTTAAAAAGCCTTGGTCCACATAGGCAGGCTACAAGGTTTACACTGAGAACAAGCTAGGGTAAAGTACTACTGGTTAAGAACTGAAGCTTGATGCAGTCTCCGTGGTGTAGCGGTAAGACACTCGCCTGGCTTTCCGCGAGCGCTATGTCATGGGTTCGTATCCTGGCCGGGGAGGATTTACTGGGCGCAATTCCTTAACTGTAGCCTCTGTTTAACGCAACAGTAAAATGTGTACTTGGATGAAAAAACGATTCTTCGCGGCAGGGGATCGTATTCCAGGGACCATAGGATTAAGGACCTGCCCGAAACGCTACGCGTACTAGTGGCTCTACAAGAATGTAACAACTCTTGTATATATCTCAAAAAAAAAAAAAAAAAAAAAAAAAAAAAAAAAAAAAACTTAGGGTAGTGAGACCACGTGGTACCCTAATACAACACAACACTTAATCTTACTACCAGAGTAGGCACACTTACAACACAGGATATACTTAAGGGAAATAAGTAAGAGGAAAGGTAGAAGAGGAGAGGTGCAGCCACAGAGTAGATCTCGACACCACGAACGCCAGCCAGAGAGAGAGAGCGCGAGCATCTCCACTCATTTTCCCTCCGTTCACTCGCTGCCAGCAGACTACTCAACTAATCGTACATCATTCCTATCCCAAGTTTACTCAGGTTTACTTTACAAATGATTAGAAAGTATTAGTAAACATAGTTGGTGCCTATTTTATTATTTAATAATCAACCCCAAGCTCAGTCTTTAATTGCTCTTTGAGAAACAAGAATAGTCTTACGTCTGGCAGGGAAGATACAAACAAATGCACCTCGTGATGCGTTTCCCTACTATAAGGCAGTTTATTTAGCTCAATTTTGACCTCTGGTTTCCACTGAGGAACCCAGGGTCGTAACAACAGTATTAGATCAAAATTCACAATATTAATGAATATCGACGATTAGTCTGTTAGTAGTCGATAACAGATTAATAAAACACTTTTAGTAGTCTGTTTCCCCCACAACTTAACTAAAAAGTTACCTGTTTCCCCCACAACTTAACTAAAAAGTTACCTGTTTCCCCCACAACTTAACTAAAAAGTTACCTGTTTCCCCCACAACTTAACTAAAAAGTTACCTGTTTCCCCCCACAACTTAACTAAAAAGTTACCCGTTTCCCCCACAACTTAACTAAAAAGTTACCTGTTTTCCCCACAACTTAACTAAAAAGTTACCTGTTTCCCCCACAACTTAACTAAAAAGTTACCTGTTTCCCCCACAACTTAACTAACAAGTTACCTGTTTCCCCCACAACTTAACTTAAAAGTTACCTGTTTCCCCCACAACTTAACTAAAAAGTTACCTGTTTCCCCCCACAACTTAACTAAAAAGTTACCTGTTTCCCCCACAACTTAACTAAAAAGTTACCTGTTTCCCCCACAACTTAACTAAAAAGTTACCTGTTTCCCCCACAACTTAACTAAAAAGTTACCTGTTTCCCCCACAACTTAACTAAAAAGTTACCCGTTTCCCCCACAACTTAACTAAAAAGTTACCTGTTTTCCCCACAACTTAACTAAAAAGTTACCTGTTTCCCCCACAACTTAACTAAAAAGTTACCTGTTTCCCCCACAACTTAACTAACAAGTTACCTGTTTCCCCCACAACTTAACTTAAAAGTTACCTGTTTCCCCCCACAACTTAACTAACAAGTTACCTGTTTCCCCCACAACTTAACTTAAAAGTTACCTGTTTCCCCCCACAACTTAACTAACAAGTTACCTGTTTCCCCCACAACTTAACTTAAAAGTTACCTGTTTCCCCCCACAACTTAACAAGTTACCTGTTTCCCCCACAACTTAACTTAAAAGTTACCTGTTTCCCCCCACAACTTAACTAACAAGTTACCTGTTTCCCCCCACAACTTAACTAACAAGTTACCTGTTTCCCCCACAACTTAACTAACAAGTTACCTGTTTCCCCCCACAACTTAACTAAAAAGTTACCTGTTTCCCCCCACAACTTAACAAGTTACCTGTTTCCCCCACAACTTAACTAACAAGTTACCTGTTTCCCCCACAACTTAACTAAAAAGTTACCTGTTTCCCCCACAACTTAACTAACAAGTTATGTTTTCCCCGCTACAAGATAGGACGGGAGACCACTGTGCACGTGTGGGACACAGAGGACATGGGTGTTGTATCGCTGTTGCAAAGTGGTCACACGAGGGGCGTGGTGAATGTTAACTTCAGCCAGGACGGTGAGCGGGTCGCTTCCGTGGGCCTCGACGACTACCACACCGTCGTCGTCTGGAACTGGCGTAAGGGGTACAAGCTGGCTTCAGCCAGGTGAGGGGTACAGGCTGGCTTCAGCCTGGTGAGGGGTACAGGCTGGCTTCAGCCAGGTGAGGGGTACAGGCTGGCTTCAGCCAGGTGAGGGGTACAGGCTGGCTTCAGCCGGGTCAGGGGGTACAGGCTGGCTTCAGCCGGGTCAGGGGGGTACAGGCTGGCTTCAGCCGGGTCAGGGGGGTAGAGGCTGGCTTCAGCCGGGTCAGGGGGGTAGAGGCTGGCTTCAGCCGGGTCAGGGGGGTAGAGGCTGGCTTCAGCCGGGTCAGGGGGGTAGAGGCTGGCTTCAGCCGGGTCAGGGGGGTAGAGGCTGGCTTCAGCCGGGTCAGGGGGGTAGAGGCTGGCTTCAGCCGGGTCAGGGGGGTAGAGGCTGGCTTCAGCCGGGTCAGGGGGGTACAGGCTGGCTTCAGCCGGGTCAGGGGGGGTACAGGCTGGCTTCAGCCGGGTCAGGGGGGGTACAGGCTGGCTTCAGCCGGGTCAGGGGGGGTACAGGCTGGCTTCAGCCGGGTCAGGGGGGGTACAGGCTGGCTTCAGCCGGGTCAGGGGGGGTACAGGCTGGCTTCAGCCGGGTCAGGGGGGGTACAGGCTGGCTTCAGCCGGGTCAGGGGGGGGTACAGGCTGGCTTCAGCCGGGTCAGGGGGGGGTACAGGCTGGCTTCAGCCGGGTCAGGGGGGGTTACAGGCTGGCTTCAGCCGGGTCAGGGGGGGGGTACAGGCTGGCTTCAGCCGGGTCAGGGGGGGGGGTACAGGCTGGCTTCAGCCGGGTCAGGGGGGTACAGGCTGGCTTCAGCCGGGTCAGGGGGGTACAGGCTGGCTTCAGCCGGGTCAGGGGGGGTACAGGCTGGCTTCAGCCGGGTCAGGGGGGGTACAGGCTGGCTTCAGGGGGGTACAGGCTGGCTTCAGCCGGGTCAGGGGGGGGGGTACAGGCTGGCTTCAGCCGGGTCAGGGGGGTACAGGCTGGCTGTACCGTTATTGTGGCTGAAGCTGGCTGCCCACCTGGCTGAAGCTGGCTGCAGCCAGGTGGGTCTTATAGGAACATAAGATTAATGTCAACTAAAGAAGGCCTATTTCCCACACGAGGCAGCTCTTTCATAGCCCTCCTGATGTTTTCACGTGTATGTCTAACCTACAGTTGAAACAATAGTGATCCAGAGTCTTATTATGCCCAACCACTTGGGCTGGACGGTAGAGCGACGGTCTCGCTTCATGCAGGTCGGCGTTCAATCCCCGACCGTCCACAAGTGGTTGGGCACCATTTCTTTCTCCCCGTCCCATCCCAAGTCCTATCCTGACCCCTTCCAAGTGCTATATAGGCGTAAAGGCTTGGCGCCTTTCCCTGATAACTCTCTTCACAAGTTTATTATATTACCCGATAATTTGATCTATAAATCAACCCCATTTCGAAACCAGTATTTACCCCGGGTCTTTCCTGAATGTAAACTTATTCCGTAGTTACCTTTAAGCTGGCAATAATTTGTGTAATGTGCATATTATTAACGTTACAACTGATATTTTTCCATGATAAATGAGGTTTGCAAAATGATAGCATGGAGTATATAAGTTGACCAGACCACACACTAGAAGGTGAAGGGACGACGACGTTTCGGTCCGTCCTGGACCATTCTGAAGTCGATTGTCAAGTCGACAATCGACTTGAGAATGGTCCAGGACGGACCGAAACGTCGTCGTCCCTTCACCTTCTAGTGTGTGGTCTGGTCAACACACTTTAGCCACGTTATTGTGACTCCTCGTCTGCATATGGAGTATATAACATGTGGTGTATTGCTGGTGTTACATGTTTGTGACGCGTTACACTGGTTGATGACACAGGGGCCACAGTGACAAGGTGTTTGGGGTGAAGTTTAGTCCAAGTAACAACAATCATCTAGTGACCCATGGCGTCAAGCACATAAAGTTCTGGTCGCAAGCTGGAGGAGGCCTCACTTACCGCCAAGTCGTGCTCGGCCAGAAATTCAGACAGGTGAGAAAAGCTTCGAACTCAGTTCACGATATTCAGACAGGTGAGAAAAGCTTCGAACTCGGTTCACGAAATTCAGACAGGTGAGAAAAGCTTCGAACTCGGTTCACGAAATTTAGACAGGTAAGGAAAGCTTCGAACTCAGTTCACGAAATTCAGACAGGTGAGGAAAGCTTCGAACTCAGTTCACGAAATTCAGACAGGTGAGGAAAGCTTCGAACTCAGTTCACGAAATTCAGACAGGTGAGGAAAGCTTCGAACTCAGTTCACGAAATTCAGACAGGTGAGGAAAGCTTCGAACTCAGTTCACGAAATTCAGACAGGTGAGGAAAGCTTCGAACTCGGTTCACGAAATTCAGACAGGTGAGAAAAGCTTCGAACTCGGTTCATGTCGAAGAATTCGGCTCAGAAATGTCAGTATGTGATGAATAAATCAAATTATTGATAAAAAATTAGGTAAACACATTCAGAGATTAGCTAAGTGATAAGAATGTTTGTGTGATAGTAGTTTTGTGTGCTCGTATATCCGTCTCTCTCTTTTTGGTGACCTTTTTTACTTATGTGGATAAAGTCTTTCCGCCTCACAAGCTTGTGGAAATCATCTTAATCTTTCCATCTTATCTTAAGTGTTGCAGATATATTAAAATGTTTAATTAGTATTTCTTTCATTTCAACGTACATCAAAATATATGGTTATTGGAGTTCATTGTGTAAATATAATATTATAAATAAGCTAGTTTTAATTATTGGTAGTTCGGTCCTGTATTTTTACATTAATAATCGTTGTAGAGCAACGTTCTGTAGCCTATTACGGGCTATTCATGCCCGTGCCACCTCTTGGGCGGCTTAATCTTCATTAATCTGTAGTCTACGATACCTTGACGACCATTTGGTCACCACTTGGTCCGGGAGACATCTCCCGTCACGCAGGGTGCAGTTGCGCCTCCACAGATCTCCAGTATCATCTTTTGATACTGGTAATGGCTCGAAAGGGCCACCACTTACGGGCTATTCATGCCCGTGCCACCTCTTGGGTGGCTTAATCTTCATCAATCAATCGATACCTTGACATCACGGGGGAGATCTCCCGTCACGCAGGGTGCAGTCGCACCTCCACAGATCTCCAGTATCAGCTCTTGATACTGGTAATGGCTCAAAAGCGCCACCACTTACGGGCTATTCATGCCTGTGCCACCTCTTGGGTGGCTTAATCTTCATCAATCATCAATCTGTAGCCTACTATACCTTGACATGCCTCTGGCTCTTCGTTTTCAGCGATTATAACGTGACATATTTCTTTGTCTCTGGCCAAGAAAGATGGTTACTGCTCACTGGCAACTTTCAGACTACGGTTCTGTGTAGTGCTGTGGGCGGGGGCGAGGGCGCGTCTGAGTGGTGGCTCCTGGGACTGTCGTCAGGCACTGTACTCGTCGTGAGAGATGCCAAGGTGGAGAGGACGGTTAAAGCCCACAAATTACCAATATACACCATACTTGTAACACAAAAGGTAAGATGCCTGTGGCGTCCATAATGTATTTGAACTTGCTTGCTTTAAATATTTTGTTTAATCGAAAATAAATATTTAAATATAGTCCTCTTGTGCAGACGAGGAGTCACAATAACGTGGCTGAAGTATGTTGACCAGACCACACTAGAAGGTGAAGGGACGACGATGTTTCGGTCCGTCCTGGACCATTCTCAAGTCGATTGTTGATTCTCACGATCGACTTGAGAATGGTCCAGGACGGACAGAAACGTCGTCGACCCTTCACCTTCTAGCGCATGGTCTGGTCAACATAGTCCTCTGGTAATATCTACTCTTGTACTTCGTGGTTAACCTCGTCTGTGGTTAGTTTGTATAATTAACATCAATGTGTTGTGGTATTACATGTACCAGAACGTGTGGACAGCTGGCCAGGGAGGCTACGTATGCAAGTGGGACTCTGAGATGAAGCAGTGCGAGAAGGTGTTGCCGGCCACAGACCATTTCCTGGAGGACGCCGCCTGCGTTGGCCTCAGCTCCTCTCAGCCGGGACTACGAAGTCTCTCCGCGGCCCCGGACACACTGATGCCTCTTCTCGTTGCCACACAGCATGCTGAACTCTTACTTATGGACGCCAATGGAAAGTTCACTATGCTAGTGAAGGTTAGAATATTTTTTTTGGCATCTCTTTTTATCGCAACTGACCTTTTTGCATAAGAACATAAGAACAGAGGTAACTGCAGATGGCCTATTGGCCCATACGAGGCAGCTCCTATCTATAACCACCCAATCCCATTCATATACATGTCCAACCCGCGCTTGAAACAATCGAGGGACCCCACCTCCACCACATTACGTGGTAATTGGATCCACAAATCAACAACCCTGTTACCGAACCAGTATTTACCAAAGTCTTTCCTAAATCTAAACTTATCCAATTTATACCCATTGTTTCGTGTTCTGTCTTGTGTTGATACTTTTAATATCCTATTAATATCTCCATTATGTCAAAATATTTGTATTATATTAAATCATAGCAAAATAGGAGCTATACTTTCTCCTGTGCCCAGCCTGGCTGCTTCCATCGTTTTCTTTCTTCCCAGTTCTGCCACTCTCTCATATTCCCCCAAATTTCCACTGATAAAAATGCAGTTCTTTTGCCTAACCAGAAACATGCAAACAGCCTAACCTATCAACCTCGTTGAACAGAAAATGTAAATTTTTACAAAGCATTCATTTTTATTAAGTCGCATTTTAATGGAGTGTTAGATTCCGCAAAAGTTGTCTATTAGGATAAAATGTGTATAGGGCGATGGTAGGGATTATATTTTTAGTATGAAGAAGAGTAGTTTAAATAACAAAGTTTTCCCAGTCATCAGCTTCTTTGCCCCCTCTTGACGAAATTGAAATAAGTTTATTGAGGTAAAATACACACAAAGGGATGAGGTAGCTCAAGCTATTCTCACCCCGTTCAGTACATCGTGTTAATACATACATAGACACACATCACAATAAACATATTACCAAACATTCTGAGAGATAAACATCTACATTTCCTCCTTTACACCTCTTGACGAGGCTGTTGAATACAAGCCCCTGGATGTGTGACTCGCAGGTAGATTGATTTTAATTGTTGCCCCCCCCCCCCCGGAGGTGGCTAGTTTATTGTGCACCCCATACTCATCCTGTGAGCGGTAGCACAAAAAGCATTACAGAGGGCACAAAAGGTCTAACCTCATCTTAAATGAGGTCTGATAAAGACATCTTACATAAACAATTTCATCTATCCTTCACACCGTATAGTTACATGTCAGCTAGTTAAAGTTCTATTTCTAGAGCTATATATTTACAGTAAGTCATTATACATTTATGGTGGGTCTTATCGCTAATACATAATAGTTTGACTAATGGAGATATTAGTCATAAGGGAGCTTCTGTTTATTATTAGTCTTCACAATACACTACTCTCCCATCTTGTCCATCACCCACATAATTCATCATAATTCATCAGTTCCCCCCTCTTTTACCTCTATTTTTATTTGTACTCAACACATTTTATTCTTTTTACCCATTAGTTTTAAGCTTTAGTCATTAGTGTTTTTTCCTGCCCGAAACGCTTTGCGTAATAGTGGCTTTAGGCATTGTATGTACTAGCTCTATCTATAAAGCCAACAAACTTTGTAAAATCTCAATGTATGTACCTTTACCTAAATAAAAATTTATATTATATAGTACTCTGCTCATTTGTTTCTATATATTACTTGAATATCGGGAAAACGGTGCGTTTATGCAGGCGATGAGTCACAATAACGTGGCTGAAGAATGTTGACCAGACCACACACTAGAATGTGAAGGGACGACGACGTTTCGGTCCGTCCTGGACCATTCTCAAGTTGATTGTCTTAAGAATGGTCCATTCTTACAATCGACTTGAGAATGGTCCAGGACGGACCGAAACGTCGTCGTCCCTTCACCTTCTAGTGTGTGGTCTGGTCAACAGTGCGTGTATGTTAAATTAAAGAAACCTCTCATTTAATTAGTTTGCTAAATGCACTACAATTCCTGTTCTCGTCTTCACTCTCATTTACTGTAACATTTACTAATAGTGTAAATTGTCATCCACACTAATGTGGAAACAAACATTTCATTCACCTTCGTCCTCACACGAGTGGGGTCTGCGGTTCGAGTCTCCTAGAACCCAGGTGAATGGAGTACTAATAGTGTATTTTATATTAGTCTTTAGTTCCACTAATTTTAGCAGCATGCTTGTCAGCACTAGATGACCTAATAATACTAGCTTACCCATGTGAGGGGACATAGCAAGGGTGATAGCATTCACCCTCATAGCATTCATAAACAATAATACAAGCTTACATTGTGTAGGGACATAGCAAGGGTGATAGCATTCACCCTCATAGCATTCATGAACAATAATACAAGCTTACATTGTAAAGGGACATAGCAAGGGTGATAGCATTCACCCTCATAGCATTCATGAACAATAATACAAGCTTACATTGTGAGGGGACATAGCAAGGGTGATAGCATTCACCCTCATAGCATTCATGAACAATAATACAAGCTTACATTGTGAGGGGACATAGCAAGGGTGATAGCATTCACCCTCATAGCATTCATGAACAATAATACAAGCTTACATTGTGAGGGGACATAGCAAGGGTGATAGCATTCACCCTCATAGCATTCATGAACAATAATACAAGCTTACATTGTGAGGGGACATAGCAAGGGTGATAGCATTCACCCTCATAGCATTCATGAACAATAATACAAGCTTACCCATGTGAGGGGACATAGCAAGAGTGATAGCATTCACCCTCATAGCATTCATGAACAATAATACAAGCTTACATTGTGTAGGGACATAGCAAGGGTGATAGCATTCACCCTCATAGCATTCATGAACAATAACACAAGCTTACATTGTGAGGGGACATAGCAAGGGTGATAGCATTCACCCTCATAGCATTCATGAACAATAATACAAGCTTACATTGTGTAGGGACAGAGCAAGGGTGATAGCATTCACCCTCATAGCATTCATGAACAATAATACAAGCTTACATTGTGAAGGGACATAGCAAGGGTGATAGCATTCACCCTCATAGCATTCATGAACAATAATACAAGCTTACATTGTGAGGGGACATAGCAAGGGTGATAGCATTCACCCTCATAGCATTCATGAACAATAATACAAGCTTACATTGTGTAGGGACATAGCAAGGGTGATAGCATTCACCCTCATAGCATTCATGAACAATAACACAAGCTTACATTGTGAGGGGACATAGCAAGGGTGATAGCATTCACCCTCATAGCATTCATGAACAATAATACAAGCTTACATTGTGCAGGGACATAGCAAGGGTGATAGCATTCACCCTCATAGCATTCATAAACAATAATACAAGCTTACATTGTGAGGGGACATAGCAAGGGTGATAGCATTCACACTCATAGCATTCATGAACAATAATACAAGCTTACATTGTGTAGGGACATAGCAAGGGTGATAGCATTCACCCTCATAGCATTCATAAACAATAATACAAGCTTACATTGTGTAGGGACATAGCAAGGGTGATAGCATTCACCCTCATAGCATTCATAAACAATAATACAAGCTTACATTGTGTAGGGACATAGCAAGGGTGATAGCATTCACCCTCATAGCATTCATGAACAATAATACAAGCTTACATTGTGTAGGGACATAGCAAGGGTGATAGCATTCACCCTCATAGCATTCATGAACAATAACACAAGCTTACATTGTGAGGGGACATAGCAAGGGTGATAGCATTCACCCTCATAGCATTCATGAACAATAATACAAGCTTACATTGTGTAGGGACAGAGCAAGGGTGATAGCATTCACCCTCATAGCATTCATGAACAATAATACAAGCTTACATTGTGTAGGGACATAGCAAGGGTGATAGCATTCACCCTCATAGCATTCATGAACAATAATACAAGCTTACATTGTGTAGGGACATAGCAAGGGTGATAGCATTCACCCTCATAGCATTCATGAACAATAACACAAGCTTACATTGTGAGGGGACATAGCAAGGGTGATAGCATTCACCCTCATAGCATTCATGAACAATAATACAAGCTTACATTGTGTAGGGACAGAGCAAGGGTGATAGCATTCACCCTCATAGCATTCATGAACAATAATACAAGCTTACATTGTGTAGGGACATAGCAAGGGTGATAGCATTCACCCTCATAGCATTCATGAACAATAATACAAGCTTACATTGAGGGGACATAGCAAAGGTGATAGCATTCACCCTCATAGCATTCATGAACAATAATACAAGCTTACATTGTGCAGGGACATAGCAAGGGTGAAGTGTGGGGTCTGGATACACACCCGCGCCTCAACGAAGCAGTGACAGTAGGCGGCGACAACACCCTCCGACGCTGGGGCCTGGAGGGCCGGGCTCTGGCCTGTGTCACCCTCAGGAAAACTGCACGGTGTCTACACTATCACCCCACTGCCGACCTCCTGGCCGTTGGCTACTTGGATGGTTAGTGTTCCTTCGCTCTCTGCTCACTTAAATTTAATTTTTTTAATTTTGCCCCGAGGGGCGAGTTTATTGGGCAGCGTCACTCATCTTGTGAGTGGACACACCGTCATAGTGACAGTATTGGGCAGCGTCACTCATCCTGTGAGTGGACACACCGTCATAGTGACAGTATTGGGCAGCGTCACTCATCTTGTGAGTGGACACACCGTCATAGTGACAGTATTGGGCAGCGCCACTCATCCTGTGAGTGGACACACCGCCATAGTGACAGTATTGGGCAGCTCCACTCATCCTGTGAGTGGACACACCGTCATAGTGACAGTATTGGGCAGCGCCACTCATCCTGTGAGTGGACACACCGCCATAGTGACAGTATTGGGCAGCGCCACTCATCCTGTGAGTGGACACACCTTGTGCTCACTTTAAGTGGTATTACTCGGTATTTACTAATGTTATCCATTCAATAGTTTCAGGAGATAAATCTTCCTCTTATGCCACTTGCCAGGTGGTGGATAAATTACAATAGGTACATCACTACATGGGTGTTATGCAAATTGTTAGCTTAGCAGATATCTTTTATATAAAATGACACAAAAAGAAAACACTTGTTTCTTTCAAGTGAATGCAGATCAAATTGCACCATAGGATTTTGCTCACAGTTGGATTCCGTAGTACATTTCAAACTTTCTCTTATACGGCCACTGTATATTTTGAACTTCTCTTACAGGAAGTGTTGCGCTGTACCTGTATCCTAGCCTGCAGAAACATGCCGGAGTTCACCATAGATCTGAGGGCATCTCTGACCTGAAGTTCTCTCCTGACGGTCGCTTTCTTGCTGTCGGGTCACACGAGAGCCTCGTTGATATTTATGTAGTGGAGACTGACGCGGAGAGTGGGAGTAAGGAAGGGTCAGGTCTGCGCAGAGTTGGGCTGTGTCGCGGAGCTTCCTCCTGGGTCACTCATCTCACCTGGCATAAGGATTCGCGACTCATCCAGATCAATACGGGTCAGACTTGCTCTATATTTACTGTAGATATTATGTAGATATTCATTTACGGGCTCACCATAGCCCGTGCTACATGGACACCTTGTTCTGAGTAGCCAAATCTGAAACATGTAGATATGATAGAGCCCAGTAGACTCGGGAACCTGTACATCAGTTGAGAGTCGGGGCCAAAGAGCCAGAGCTCAACCCCTGCAAGCATAACTTCGTTAGAGCTTGCAATAAATTAATGTTGATAGCTGAAAGAACATTACGGGCTATTCATGCCCGTGCCACCTCTTGGATGGCTTAATCTTCACCAATCAGTATGAAAGAACAGCTTTCAAACAGTTGACATAAAGGGATTCAAGAAAATAGTCGGTGCAATTTTAAACAAATAATTTTATATTTGGAAAACACAGGTGCGGGAGAACAGCTGTACTACGAAGCTCCACACGGGACCCGTCAGTTAATTCCTGATTCCACCGCCTCTGAATTGGCCTGGGCCTCTCCGATGACGTGCCCACTGGACGCCACCGTCGAGGGTATCTGGGCACCACACATGGACCTAACAGACATTAATGCCATTGCTCCAGCCCATAAGCTGCCTGTAGTGGCTACCGCTGCAGATGACCACGGCCTTGTCAGGCTCTTCAGATTCCCGTGTCAGGTATGTGGAGCAGTGAACCTCTTTCATAACAAATCCACAAGGGCCGTTGCCAAAAAACTGGCAACTATTTAGGTGTACTAGAGCTGCTGAGTGAATTTGACCCTTATCTTGAGGTTATCTTGAGATGATTTCGGGGCGTTAGTGTCCCCGCGGCACGGTCCTCGACCAGGCCTCCACCCCCAGGAAGTAGCCCGTGACAGCTGACTAACACCCAGGTACCTATTTTACTGCTAGGTAACAGGGGCATAGAGTGAAAGAAACTCTGCCCATTGTTTCTCACCGGCGCCTGGGATCGAACCCAGGACCACAGGATCACAAGTCCAGCGTGCTGTCCGCTCGGCCGACCGGCTCCCCGAGCCGTGATGAGGGTTCGAACCTACGTCCGGGATGATCCCAGACGCGTCTTAGCCGACATGGTAAAAGAATTGCAACCGGGAGTGCTACTGACTTCACACGGATTCGGCCCTTGTGGATTTGTTCATCTGATGTTGACCAGACCACACACTAGAAGTTGAAGGGACGACGACGTTTCGGTCCGTCCTGGACCATTATCAAGTCGATTGTTCAATTGATGTATCACGCTATTGTGATCTGTGTGTGACCCTTTCATCTATCAATAGACCCATATTATGAAGTGCCCTTCTGAAGTTCAGTTGTTATTTTAGGTCTTTGTAATGCTTGTTCTAGATAAGAATTTCTAGTTTGATAATAAATTATTGTTGCAAGGGTAACTGTACTGTTGAAAAGTAATTTCCTTTGAGTGGATAGGTAAGGTAATTATTAGCAGAAAGTACAAAGCAACTGCCACTACATACCACTTGTAAGGAATATGAGGATACGGGTTTAGGATCAGACGGAGGAAAGGAATGGTGCCCAACCACTTGGGCGGTCGGGGATTGAACGCCGACCTGCACGAGTTGTTATAAATTCAGCTACTCGGAACAAGTACCAAGTAGCACGGGCTATGGTGAGCCCGTAGTGGACTTACCTGCCAAAGGAGCGGTGCTGTGACTGCGTGAGGCGAGACCGTCGCTCTACCGTCCAACCCAAGTAGTCGAGTGGAGAGAGAGAGGAATTGTTGCCTAATAAGACCAGCTGTGTTTTCTTTCCGGATAATTTTAACACTCGACGACAGTTGTCACATTTACAAACAGGCACAGAGCTTTATAGATATGCACCCATGCAGGGAGAAGCTGTTACCCATGCAGGGAGAAGCTGTTACCCATGCAGGGAGAAGCTGTTACCCATGCAGGGAGAAGCTGTTACCCATGCAGGGAGAAGCTGTTACCCATGCAGGGAGAAGCTGTTACCCATGCAGGGAGAAGCTGTTACCCATGCAGGGAGAAGCTGTTACCCATGCAGGGAGAAGCTGTTACCCATGCGGGGAGAAGCTAGTTTAGCTTCTAAAAGCGAAGTTGAGACCCTACAATGTTAAATAATGTCGAGTGATGCAATGTGGCTAATTTATGGTACCTCGTAGATTAAGATTTGGCTTTATCTTGCAATATTATAACCGCCAATATGTTATGTTTTTGTATGATATATACGAGAGAAAATTATGAGCACAGTAGTTAGTGCATCAGGGAGCTCCGCCCCCCCCCTCCTGGCGTCTGCACTTGTAACTGCTTATCCAGATCCTAAAAGAGCCGAAATCCGTATCCTCATATCCCTTCCAAGCGCTATATAGTCGTATTGGCTTAGTGCTTCCTCCTGATAATTACCTGTTTTATATAACCGGCAAGTACAATATTGTACAATCATAGGGTACAAAATGTAACGGGGAGAGAGTACAGCCTAATGGAATTGAAATTGAAATAAGTTTATTGAAGTACAAAATCCACACAAAGGGAGGAGGTAGATCAAGCTATTCTCACCCCGTTCAGTACAACGTGTTCATATATGTATATAGACTCATATCACAAACAATAAACATTACCGAACATTTTGAGTGATAAACTATATACATATATGTATATGCTTATTGTTTGCTTATTTATATACTTAATAATACATCTTCAATCTTCTGAAGTTGTATTATTAAATACGAAAGTAATTAAGGTATTTCCCGTCTTAATCCTTCTTCCTTCGTGGTCTGACACTGTCATGTGTATATGCGTGTGATAAACCTAAACAGCGTAAGTGTCACCATTTGGTCCGGGAGACATCTCCCGTCACGCAGGGTGCAGTTGCGCCTCCACAGATCTCTAGTATCATCTTTTGATACTGGTAATGGCTCAAAAGGGCCACCACTTACGGGCTATTCATGCCCGTGCCACCTCTTGGGTGGCTTAATCTTCATCAATCAGCGTAAGTGTGTGACACTGATTGATTGATTGATAAAGATTAAGCCGCCCAAAAGGTGGCACGAGCATGAATAGCCCGTAAGTGGTGGCCCTTTTGAACCATTACCAGTATCAAGAGTTGATACTGGAGTTCTGTGGAGGTGCGACTGCACCCTGCGTGACGGGAGATGTCTCCCGTGGTCTCTCCCTCGATTGATTGTGTACCACTCTCGGTAGGGAGGACTGAAGAAGCACCGCCAGTACCGCGGCCACAGTGCGCACGTCACCAATGTGTGCTGGTCGTACGACGACTCCCTGCTGGTGACGACGGGCGGGGCAGACACCTCCGTCATCGTCTGGCGGGTGACGGAGGAGCCGCCCGGCCACGATGACGAAGGCACAGTACCTGATCCTCAGAGCCAGGAACGTGCTATTGACGATCTGCCTGATGGAGGTAACCAAGAAGTTCTTGTTTGATTTTTATATTTATTTATTTACTAGGAGAAAAGCACAAACTGTGTTGAAGGGGACCTAAACATTCCCTCTAATGCGTTGTGTGTGATTTCCTCCGAGGCTAAGGGTCCCCCTTCTTCCAGCCAGAGGTGGTACCCCCTTCTTTATTTTTACGAAAATAAAGTGCTTGGGTGACAGATTCACGAAGCAGTTCCGCAAGCACTTACGAACGTGTACATCTTTCCTCAATCTTTGACGGCTTTGGTTACATTTATTAAACAGTTTACAAGCATGAAAACTTGCCAATCAACTGTTGTTATTGTTATAAACAGCCTCCTGGTGCTTCGGAGCTCATGAACTGTTTAATAATTGGAAACAAAACCGCCAAAGTTTAAGAAAAGATGGACAGGTTCGTAAGTGATTGCGTAACTGCTTCGTGAATGTGGCCCCAGGTTACCTTCCCGTATTAACGTTAAGTCTAGTTGTCAACTCATTTCCCACCTTAAAGTTCCTTGAAGTATCCTTTGCTCCCACCTTGAAGTTCCTTTACTCCCACCTGGGAATTTCTTTGCTCCCACCTTAGAGTTCCTTTATGCCCACCTTGAAATTCCTTTACTCCCATCTGGGAGTTTCCTTTCATCTTGGAGTTTCTTTGCCCCCACCTTGGAATTTCCTTGCTTACAAAAAAAAATATCTCGTATAGCGTCATTTTTGTCTTTCCCTTTAACGGTGAAAGGAAGCAGATTACATGTAACAGTGACTCGGTAAGATATCTCAGTATTTCCTCATGATCTGTGTCTGCAGAGTTGGCGGTAACGGACTTGGAAGCAGCAGGTCAGGAGGAGGATCTGGTGGTGAGCGTTACCAGGGAGAGCAAACGGTCTAAGACCCCAGGTAAGCCCACGTCGTCGAAGACGTCGAGCAAGCCTTCATCTTCAAAGACGCCAGACAAGCCCCCGACGTCAAAGGCGCCAAGCAAGCCTTCTCCTTCACAGACGCCAAACAAGCCTCCGCCTTCAGAGAGCTCTACTACGGCCATCTCTGCTACCCACCTCAGGTCCCTGCCAACCCCAGACCCTGATGACAAAACAGTGTTTTACTGCAGCGGCTCCATTGTGGGTCGGATAAATGTAACCCAAGGTAATTGTAGTTGTGACACTTGATATTACAACCTATCCACATTTTATCAACTCGCAATGTCACGTTTTCCCCTTGGCACACTTACTAGGGAGACCGCAGTCTCCTGAGACCGCAGTCTCCTGAGACCGCAGTCTCCTGAGACCGCAGTCTCCTGAGACCGCAGTCTCCTGAGACCGCAGTCTCCTGAGACCGCAGTCTCCTGAGACCGCAGTCTCCTGAGACCGCAGTCTCCTGAGACCGCAGTCTCCTGAGACCGCAGTCTCCTGAGACCGCAGTCTCCTGAGACCGCAGTCTCCTGAGACCGCAGTCTCCTGAGACCGCAGTCTCCTGAGACCGCAGACCACCTTCAAGGAGGTCCCAGCTCACCGTTGGTCCAAGAGAAGAGAATTAGTTGTTGGACGCTCATCTCACGGCCCTGGTGGCCTACTATCGGGTCTCCGGTCTCCACTACAGCCGTAGACAGAAGTCGCTAGTACCAACTCAACAGGAAATAACTCGGGGAACCTCTCCCTCCGTCATTGACCCATTTAACTTGATATTAAACATAGACGAGATCTGGCTGTGACTGCCGCGACTTGGAATAGGGTGTGTACTTCCACTGAGAAGCCAGTAACTTTCAGCGTTGCTCCTGGGAATGAGCCGTAGACACTCCACACCATGGGTATAACCTTGGTCTTCCTCTTGACAGGCCTATTGTCCAGTGACACACTGGAGAAGCTGACCCACTGCCCGAGACGAACTCGGTAAGAACAGCCTGGTTGATCAGACCAACACCCGGATTCACAAACTAGTTACGCAAGTACTTACGAACGTGTACACCTTTCCTCAATCTTTGACGGCTTTGGTTACATTTATTAAACAGTTTACAAGCATGACAACTTTCCAATCAACTGTTATTGTTATAAACAGCCTCCTGGTGCTTCGGGGCTCATTAACTGTTTAATAATTGTAAACAAAGCCGCCAAAGATTGAAAAAGGATGGGGGTTCGTTAATGCTTGCGTAACTGCTTCCTGAATCTGGCCCCAGAGGAAGCCAGGTCATATACCGGGTCGCAGGCACGTTGATCCTCATAATCATCTACAAGTAATCAACAGATAGGTACTCCCTGAAATTCCCAATGTATCATGTAATATGGACATGAGACATGGATCACACTTCTTCCATGTGACAGCTACGGACATAAATAGCTGGGCACTTTTCCTATCACTTAATGCGTTTGTTCACCTAGCAGTAAATAGGTGCTCAGGAGTTAATCAGCTTATTCTATTCACCTAGTTGTACTTGCGGGGACTGAGCTTCATTACAGCTTGCAGTTGCATCCTGGAGGGTCAATAATTCGACCTTCGGTTGGGGGGGGGGACCTCTATGTGAGCCTAACGTGTATACACACTGGCTGCCTGTCCCCCGACACAAAGAATTAAAATCCTGTAACTACACACGCAAACATAGTTCGCTATTGCCTGTTAACCCTTTCCACTCGTATAATGCCTGTTAACCCTTTCCACTCGTATAAAACCATTGTGTTACTTGGTTGTATTCATTCTTCAGCACCGCTCCTGTGCCAGGTAAGTTACGGGCTCACCATAGCCCGTGCTACTTGGAACTTGTTCCGAGTAGCTGAATCTATAACAACAACAACTTGGTTGTGTTTCAGAAGGCGCAGTGGAGAGTCAGCACGTCGGGTATGGGGAGCACAAGTCCTTCGTCACCGCCCTGGCGGTCTCTTGTGCGGAGCCTCGCATGATCGCAACGGCCCAGGTAACCCCTCCACCTCACTCCTACACTAGTACAACCCGTTCTCGCACTTACCGTCAATATTGACTTAGCCTCGCATGATCGCAACGGCCCAGGTAACCCCCCCCCCCACCTCACTCCTACACTAGTACAACCCGTTCTCGCACTTACCGTCAATATTGACTTAGCCTCGCATGATCGCAACGGCCCAGGTAACCCCCCCCCCCCCAACCTCACTCCTACACTAGTACAACCCGTTCTCGCACTTATCGTCAATATTGACTTATTAAATATGTGCATGTGAGACATACTAATTTATTGTGAATAGTTTACCTTGAAAAGCTTCATAGAAAACACCGACCTTACCTAACCTTCTTAGTAGGTTAAGATAAGCGTCTTATTGCTTCATAAATACAATTATTACTTAACCAATTATAGGTATAGGTTAAGAAATAATTGTAATTACTAAGCAATAAGATGCTTATCTTAACATACTAAGAAGGTTAGGTAAGGTCGGTGTTTTCTATGAAGCTTTTCAAGGTAAACTAAAATATTCACAATAAATTAGTATGTCACATAAGCACTTATTTAATAAGTCAATATTGACTTAAAGATTGCGAGAACAGGTTGCAACGTGGCATGCCTTCCCTCATTTTATACTGCTTCAATTTTGGGTATATGGGGTACGATGCCCAGAAAGACGAACGCCCTCGGGGGAAAGAGGCACGTTCAAATCTGGTTCAAACCCGGGCTCTGTCAATAAGCTGTTCTACCTCTTCGCCCTTCATTACACACAGAAATCACAATAGCGTGATGCATCAAATGAACAAATCCACAAGGGCCGTGATGAGGGTTCTCGAACCTATGTCCGAGAGGATCCCAGACGCGCCTTAATCGATTATGCCACGACATAGTAAAAAGAGTTGCAACCGGAAGAGGTAGAACAGCTTATTGACAGAGCCCGGGTGTATGGGGGAATTGTGTAAAACCCTGGGGCCAGATTCACGAAAGCACTTACGCAAGCACTTACGAACCTGGGGCCAGATTCACGAAAGCACTTACGCAAGCACTTACGAACGTGTACATCTTTCCTCAATCTTTGACGGCTTTGGTTACATTTATTAAACAGTTTATAAGCATGAAAACTTGCCAATCAACTGTTGTTATTGTTATAAACAGCCTCCTGGTGCTTCGGAGCTCATTAACTGTTTAATAATTGTAAACAAAGCCGCCAAAGATCGAGAAAAGATGTATAGGTTCGTAAGTGTTTGCGTAAGTGCTTTCGTGAATCTGGCCCCTGGTCTGTCTCTCTGAGAGACTGTCGGATCCGTGTGAGGGCAGATGAACTCCCGGTTGCAATTCTTTTTACCGTGTCGTCGTACAGTCGATTATGACGCGTCTGGGATCCTCTCGGAAGTAGGTTCGAACCCTCATCACGGCCCTTGTGGATTTGTTCACTTACATAACACAGAAAGACTCACACCAATGCATTAGGCAGTGATGTGGTGGAGGCTGACTCCATACACAGTTTCAAATGTAGATATGATAGAGCCCAATAGGCTCAGGAATCTGTACACACCTGTTTGACAGTTGAGAGGCGGGACCAAAGAGCCAAAGCTCAACCCCCGCAAGCACAAATAGGTGAGTACACCAGGGTGACACACTAAAGGCAATGTGATTCATTGTAACGTTTCTCATTCAAATACTCACACTTCAGTAGCTAATTCTTGAGCGAGTTCTCTCAGCAAAGTTTGCATATTTTTTCTTGTTAAGGAACTTTACAGCCTAATGTCAATGCCAAAATATCTAGTTTTCATAATTGCTCTTCTGTAGCGTAATTTTGTCTTCGATGTGTTTAATGCCTTTGATGTTTAATATGTATAATAGGATATATCAGTTAGTGGTTTACAGATGAAGAGGCACAACAACGTGGCTGAAAAATGTTGACCAAACCACACACTAGAAAGTGGAGGCGATGACGTTTCGGTCCGTTCTGGATCATTATCAATTCGGTTGAACCATTGTGACAATTGACTTGCTAATGGTCCAGGACGGACCGAAACGTCGTCGTCCCTTCACTTTCTAGTGTGTGGTCTGGTCAACAGTTATAGTGGTTTAATACTTGGTTTATGACTTATTATTTTATTATTATTATTATTATTATTATTGATACAATTACAATTTTGCCTAATCCGAGGAATTCAATTAAGTCTTAATAAAGTGAAGATAATGCTGGTATTCACTGTCGCGCAGGACAGAGGGTCATACACAAGACAATAGGCCTAAACTGTAGGCTGAAGCACATATATATCATGGTTACAATCAATGTTTTTATGTATGAATATGTGAAAACAACTTTCTATTGTGCACTGCCACACAAGGGCAGGGATGGGGTCATAAGTGATACAGCTTAGAATATAAATAAAATTGTTCTTCATTCCTTAAAATGGAGAAGCAAATTTTGGATAAATTGTTAAAATGTCGTCCAGAACACCTGAGTCAATGAAATAGTTACACAGTTGGTGGTACAAGAGGCCAGAAGGTCTACAGTCTTTTACGGTTTCACATTCAACAATATAATGTTCTAGTGAATGCACTAAAGGTTTGTCAGAGTTTACAATCTGAATATTCTGGTAGTGGCTCAGCCTCACTAACCTGCCAGATGTGTCTATAGCCAAGACGAATTCGTGCAATGACTACATCACATTGCCTGGTCCGGTTACTGTGCTGACCATACAAATACCTATTATTACAAAACTTGTCATAACTTTTAATACTGCAGCTTTCAGGTCTGTGGGCATTTTAGTTCATCTAAAATTGAATTAATTTCTTTAATTTGTATGTTTCTAATAATTACATTAGATAGTCCAAAGTCATAATCAGTGTTTTCTTTCCTGCAAGCCTCATTGGCCAATCGATCTACAAAGTCATGTTTTCCAATTCCAACATGGAATGGGATCTCTTGAGGTTATCTTGAGATGAGATGATTTCGGGGCTTTTAGTGTCCCCGCGGCCAGGCCTCCCCCCCAGGAAGCAGCCCGTGACAGCTGACTAACACCCAGGTACCTATTTTACTGCTAGGTAACAGGGGCATAGGGTGAAAGAAACTGCCCATTGTTTCTCGCCGGCGCCTGGGATCGAACCCAGGATCACAAGTCCAGCGTGCTGTCCGCTCGGCCGACCGGCTCCACACAAATTTTATACAATAGTTATCATTGGCAAAAATTCCATTGCGTTTAATATTACAAGCTACTTCAGATATACATTATGACTGGCAGTTGGGGATGGTGGAGGACACGACGGAGGAGAACGGGGACTACGCCCTGGTGCACGTGTGGCGCCCTAGCGACGGTACCACTACGGCTGTGTTGAGGGGCGGCCCGGAGACCCTCGTGTCTGCCTTGAGCTTCTCCCCCAGCGGCAGGTTCCTCGCCTCTCTGGCTGATGCATCTGTTGTACACATCTTTAACTGGATTAAAGGTAACATTCGCGTATTTTTCTGGATACCTTAGACGGTACAGTAGCAAATTTTGTCAGAATTGTTTACAGTGTCCTTCCTCTCATTGTTTACAGCCATATACTCTACTTGTTTTCCAAAGAATACGACCTTTCCAATAGTTTTATATCCAGGTTCCCAATTAATGCTGGGCGTCCACGGGGAGCAGTGAATGAACTATGTCCATTGATTGATAAAGATAAAGCCACCCAAGAGGTGGCTTTATCCGGCCCCAGGCCAGACTTGCCTTAATAAATCTAGTTTCCTCTTGAAAATGTCCACGGTTCGTGTGCTACCCACTCTCTCAGTATATATGTGCCTCGGCCATTCAACTTTACCACCATCTGGCCACCACTTGGTCCGGGAGACATCTCCCGTCACGCAGGGTGCAGTCGCGCCTCCACAGATCTCCAGTATCAGCTCTTGATACTGGTAATGGCTCAAAAGCGCCACCACTTACGGGCTATTCATGCCCGTGCCACCTCTTGGGTGGCTTAATCTTCATCAATCAATCAATCAACTTTACCATTGTAATCACTGCTGTCATTTTTATCATGGTTGTTCTATTGAACGCATATTTTACTACCTTATTCCTATAAATAATCCTCAAATTAAGCTACAATGTTGATAATCCTCAAATTATGCTACAATGTTGATAATCCTCAAATTATGCTACAATGTTGATAATCCTCAAATTATGCTACAATGTTGATAATCCTCAAATTTTACTATAATGTACCTACTGATCTCCGTCAAATTTTCTTACAATGAACCTGTTAACATTTTTTAAATTTTGCTAGAAATGACCTACTTAAAATTATCTGTTAGATTAAAGACCTGCCCGAAACGTTATTCGTGTTAGTAGCTTCACAAGAATGTAAAAACATCAATGCTATGTACTCTCATAAACCCAATGTACCTTCTTATATATACATATATAAATATACACACATACATACACACGACACACTTGCATTAAACCACAAGTTATATGTAACCAGAGAACTCTTCCTCGTGAAGGATTCGAACCTTAGTCATGGGCCATCACACACACTAGCATAAGCAGGGGTAACTAGCTTAATTCCCCTTCAAGGCCTGGTTACACTCAAGGTCATAAGCCACCAACTAAAGTAAAACAAACTATCTTTTCAATGTCAATATAATAAACTAATAAGGAAAATGCTGTAATGCATAACATAACTCTTCTATTGAACGTTGTTCTATTGAACGTGGCTGTGTAGTTCAATTAAATGTGCGGTGGAAACTAACTAATGTAGTCCCTATGGTTCCGGGGTAGCTGTTATGAACAATGGTAAACCAGTTTACCAATGGTAAACCAAAGGGGTAACCAGACAGTCTGGTTACCCCTAGACTTTGTGGTAAAGAGTATGGGTACAGTCTCGTAAATCACTTAACCTCAGTACGAGTTTGTGTACATGTATATATAACATTAATAATTTTGTAACTAGTGTCAAAAGATTGTTATTTGCTTAGCTAAACGACCTAGAGGGTTCAGTTCCTGAACCGATTATGTGCCTCTGTAATCCTTTACACCAACGCCCACGGGATGGGTATGGGGCGCATAATAAAGAAATTGAATCAGTACGTCAATCACGGGGGTGAAACACACGAGGTGTTATCATATCTGCGTATAACATCTCACGGTTAAATCACTTAGAGCTGGACACACTCCTTAATCTTAATATATATTTAACTTTACATGTAATACAATCATTGCCAGATAAGAAACTCAGCCTAAGGCCTAGGAAAATAAATTTTACTTTCAAGAGTAGCCATCCTTTCCCCTCCACTGTCCAAGCCACTGAGGGTGGCGAGACCTGCCTGCCATACCGGCAAACTCACTTCTACCAGCAATACCCAACCCTTAACAAGACTCACTATATACACAGATACTCTCCCGCGGCCGAGTTGGTAGAGCGACGGGGTTCCGTCTCCCCCCAAGGCAGAAATTCACTATATATACAACTGCCCTAAGTATAGCCACATAGACTGTATAAAATTCACTTAATACAGGAATCTGACATATAAATACTCCAAATTGGTAAGTAACGCAAAGAAATTAATATTACCGCCATAGTAATATCTATAGTTAGTAGTATTGTCTGTCCAGCCAACAAAAGCATGTAGTAAACGTGTCTAATACTGTATCGCCCACCTCTTAACACACACGTATGTATGTGATACAAGAGTATGCAGCTTCCTGCGACATAATTACTTATATAGCATCAAAATAACACTATACTTACTGTAATTCTCAGTAGAATAACACTTTATTTTCATTATTAATGCAGATTAAAATTCAAGAGCTACCCTAACCCTGGCTGTGCAGTACAAGTTTGGAAATTTATGGGTTAATGTCTTCAATTGTTCATAACAGCTACCCCGGTACCATAGGGACTACATTAGTTAGTTTCCACCGCACATTTAATTGAACTATACAGTCATTCTTAATGTGCAGATGAAGTCACAATAACGTGGCTAAAAAATGTTGACCAAACCACACACTAGATGGGAAGAGTCGACGACGTTTTGATCCGTCCTGGACCATTTATTTATATACGAGAAGGTATATTGGGTTTGTGAGAATACATAGCATAGTATTTACAATCTTGTAAAGCCACTAGTACGCGCAGCGTTTCGGGCAGGTCCTTAATCTAACAGATAATTTTAAGTGGGTAAATTCTAGCAGAATTAATAAAATAACAAATACATTGCAAGAAAAAAATGATAGAGATATTAAAGCACATTGGTATATTAAAGCTCTGTTTGATTACATTGACAGCTTGATTGTTAATTTAAACAAGATTAATAGACACCATACAGCAGATTGATAGCACATTATCAAGTCGATTACAATAGACTTGATAATGATCCAAGACGGATAGAAACGTCGTCGTCTCTTCACTTTTTAGTGTGTGGTTTGGTCAATATTCTTAATGTGACATGCATCGCAGGTGTACACGTCGGTCACATCGAACTGAAGGCTGGCATGGTGATAGCGATGGCGCACTCGAGTGAGACGACGCTGGTAGTGTTGACGCCCGGCTCGCTTCTCTTCCTGGATCTGGTGGGCAACTCCCTGGTGTCAACACGCGGCCATATTGCTCCAGATCTTCTCCCACCTGACATTGCCTTCAATGGACTGGATGTATCTCTTGTGCGTATCCTGTTCTATCACTTAGATATAATGAACAGGCATTTCTGTGATTAGTATACAACCCGTCCTCTTAAAAATAACGATACTTTTCGCTCGTATGCGCACTGGCCAAATTTGGACGTAATTTGAAATGAAATCGATTCACGAAAGTGACGTACTGTTCCGTTTTCTGTTTGAGTCGTCCGGCTTACTCGGCAAGCTTAGAAGAGGATTCTTTCCTTTAACGTTTTTCATACCGTTTTGAAACTTTGAGAATTTCCTGCCCACCTAACTTATCAGAGGACCCTTGTCTTATTGTTGTTGACAAAAGAATCCCAAATTTATATTCATTTTTTTTTTCATTTTCAAATTACGTCCATATTCGGCCATACGGGCAAACGTCCAAATGCGACGTTCTTTTTAAGAAGACAGGTTGCGTAATATTATAACTTTATTGTATTTGTGATTATTACTGGAAGTATGAAATGGTTTCACCCTTTTATGTAGATAATACTTTAAAGGACGAAATATTTTAATATAGAAAGTTTCCTGCAGTTTCGAATTGCTGCCTAACGAGCAAAGTTTGCAGCATGTTTGCATCGAAGTTCCGACCGCCCCTCACGGTCACCTGTCCCTCACGGTCACCTGTCCCTCACGGTCGCCTGTCCCTCACGGTCGCCTGTCCCTCACGGTCGCCTGTCCCTCACGGTCACCTGTCCCTCACGGTCGCCTGTCCCTCAATAGAATTCTTGGTGACTCGGATACTTTTGATATCGTTCGCCTTATGCGTTTTTGTTCTCGTGTTGGCATCCTTGGTGATATTTAGCGCCCTCTGATTATCCCGCACATTTGATGGTGCTACATAGCCTTCCCGGTTTGGTGCATTCTTTTGATAATTACTTACTTCCCACAGAATGGTCAGGTTTATCTAGGGTGCAATGACGGCAGTGTCGTGGAGTGGAAAGGTCGCGTAGCAGCCCGCCGTATTGCTCCGCCTGATGACTCTGAAACCATATCCCCAGTCCGGATGTCCATTGCAGCTGGACAGGGAGCTGTATTCACCGCCTGCAGGTACAGTACTGGGCTCATGGTTTGAAATTGAAATAAGTTTATTGAGGTAAAATACACACAAAGGGATGAGGTAGCTTAAGCTATTCTCACCCCGTTCAGTACATCGTGTTAATACATACACACATATTACAAGCAATAAACGTATTACCGAACATTCTGAAAGATAAACATGTACGTTTCCTGGGCTCAAGGTGTACATGGCAAACGCATAGCAAGCAAATATTTGAGTGAAGATCGCAATACCGTCACGGGTACTGGAATGATGTACAGCTTTCAGCTTTGATCTCCAAAGGGTTTGGAAAGGATGGGGGAGGTAGAGGGATGGGGAGGTAAAATTCTGAGAGAGAGAGAGAGAGAGAGAGAGAGAGAGATATGTAGGGGAGAGAGAGATGTAGGGGAGAGAGGGAGGGAGAGATGTAGGGGAGAGAGAGAGAGAGAGATGTAGGGGAGAGAGAGAGAGATGTAGGGGAGAGAGAGAGAGAGAGAGATGTAGGGGAGAGAGAGAGAGAGAGATGTAGGGGAGAGAGAGAGAGAGAGATGTAGGGGAGAGAGAGAGAGATGTAGGGGAGAGAGAGAGAGAGAGATGTAGGGGAGAGAGAGAGAGGGAGGTAGGGGGGAGAGGGAGGGAGAGAGAGAGAGATGTAGGGGAGAGAGAGAGATGGAGAGAGGGAGGGAGAGGGGGGGTAGGAAGGTAGGTAGGTTTGAAAGTTCGGTGGCCATATTCCTTTTTATAATAGGTATGGACACGTGTGGTCCATGTGGTCCACAACTAGTTGCAGAAGTGGGCAGTGGGCGTCCATGTCGTCACTGAGATCCTCACCCTCGGAATTCCCTATTATATGTTTGACCACACTAATTTTATACATTGATTTGCCCATTTTAAGTTATTCCCAAAACGCTGTGCGTAATTATTGGTTTTAAAAATAGATACAAATACAAATTATAATAACACTAAAAGATGTATTTTATTTTGTATCCATGGTAGCTTGTGTTATTTTCCAAATGTTTATGCCTTCAAAGGATAGAAAATAGTTATTATTCTCCTCAAACTTTGTTTTTAGGGAAATAAGAGCTTGGGGAAGACGTTCTGATGGTACAAGAAGGCTGCCGACTTATAAATTTATCACAGGTCTAGATAAGGAGTCGACAACCTTAAAGTACCTACAAGACGCCTTCCCTAAGCTGACGTTGACAAAATAACACTTACTACCCAGGAAGAAAAATTATAAAATTGTGTAATCATTGTAACTGATCCTTCATATATCTCATAAACAAAATAGTAACACTATTATTAATGTATTAATAATATTAATCTTTATAGTCGTGTAACTATTGTTTACATACCAGATGAGCAGACGTTATGGCACTCGATGATAACCGGTCTTTTGATTGTTTACTGACGCTATCTCTTTATCAGTTAGGACAAGTACCTCAAGCTTCACGTGAGCTCCAGTACCATTATTGCCAACCTGTGTCGAGTGAGCTAAATTGAAGCTCTAAACGTTATTAACTCGACTCTCTTAAGTTACTAATACAAGTCATTTCTCCAGTTGCTCATCATTCTCCATTCTTGTGGTCCACTGTATTACCTGAATTTACCTGAGGGTCACTAATACTAGTGGAGGCGCACACAGCACCACTCCTGTGCCAGGTAAGTCCACTACGGGCTCACCATAGCCCGTGCTGCTTGGAACTTGTTCCGAGTAGCTGAATTATGTTGTCTATAACAACAACAATACTAGTGGCCTCTATGAGGACAGTAAGCCGGCGGCTTGTCAACGGTCCCCTCAGTCACACTCTCAGGTGTCGCATATCTCTACACTGGACTCTGTTATTGTCTTATTGCTCTGAGAGACTTAACGCTACTTAAGGTCATGGGTCACTGACGTGTTCTAAACCTCGCTTCTCCCTTCACGTGATATGTTGTTCATCACGTGTCCTTGTCACTTTAACATCCGGGATCCCGCCAAACACACACCGAGACTACGACGTTGGTACAACGTTCGAACAAGTTTTACCACCACCTAACCAGTTATAACAACCAATATAGCAAGTTGTAGCAACGTTCTAATACGTCATAAACACGTTAAGCCAAGTTGTAACAACTTTATTACAAGTTGTAGCAAGCGGGAATCTTCTTGAGATTTGATTTGAGATGATTTCGGGGCTTTAGTGTCCCCGCGGCCCGGTCCTCGACCAGGCCTCCACCCCCAGGAAGCAGCCCGTGACAGCTGACTAACTCCCAGGTACCTATTTACTGCTAGGTAACAGGGGCATTCAGGGTGAAAGAAACTTTGCCCATTTGTTTCTGCCTCGTGCGGGAATCGAACCCGCGCCACAGAATTACGAGTCCTGCGCGCTATCCACCAGGCTACCAGGCCCCTTAATAGGGGAAATAGACAGTTTCGGTTTGTTTCCAGGGATACATCTGTTTGTGTTGCCTTGTGTTTCAAAACAAGCTCCAGTGCATGTTTCAGTTCAAGCAAGTATACTTTCTTTAATATTAAGAGATACTTTATATGTTAATAAGTTGAAACATTTCTCCAGCAGGAATAGTTTGCCGTATAAACATATAAAATATGTTTATACGGCAAATACATTTAGACTTATACAGTTTTATACATTTAGACTTTAACGAGTTTCGTTTTGTTTTCCTGGATAGACTGGAGTCTGTGATCGTGGTCCGGTGTTACACATTTAGACTTATACAGGTTTATACATTTAGACTTTAACGAGTTTCGTTTTGTTTTCCTGGCTAGACTGGAGTCTGTGATCGTGGTCCGGTGTTACACATTTAGACTTATACAGGTTTATACATTTAGACTTTAACGAGTTTCGTTTTGTTTTCCTGGATAGACTGGAGTCTGTGATCGTGGTCCGGTGTTACACATTTAGACTTATACAGGTTTATACATTTAGACTTTAACAGAGTTTCGTTTTGTTTTCCTGGATAGACTGGAGTCTGTGATCGTGGTCCGGTGTTACACATTTAGACTTATACAGGTTTATACATTTAGACTTTAACGAGTTTCGTTTTGTTTTCCTGGATAGACTGGAGTCTGTGATCGTGGTCCGGTGTTACACATTTAGACTTATACAGGTTTATACATTTAGACTTTAACGAGTTTCGTTTTGTTTTCCTGGCTAGACTGGAGTCTGTGATCGTGGTCCGGTGTTACACATTTAGACTTATACAGGTTTATACATTTAGACTTTAACGAGTTTCGTTTTGTTTTCCTGGATAGACTGGAGTCTGTGATCGTGGTCCGGTGTTACACATTTAGACTTATACAGGTTTATACATTTAGACTTTAACGAGTTTCGTTTTGTTTTCCTGGCTAGACTGGAGTCTGTGATCGTGGTCCGGTGTTACACATTTAGACTTATACAGGTTTATACATTTAGACTTTAACGAGTTTCGTTTTGTTTTCCTGGCTAGACTGGAGTCTGTGATCGTGGTCCGGTGTTACACATTTAGACTTATACAGGTTTATACATTTAGACTTTAACGAGTTTCGTTTTGTTTTCCTGGCTAGACTGGAGTCTGTGATCGTGGTCCGGTGTTACACATTTAGACTTATACAGGTTTATACATTTAGACTTTAACGAGTTTCGTTTTGTTTTCCTGGCTAGACTGGAGTCTGTGATCGTGGTCCGGTGTTACACATTTAGACTTATACAGGTTTATACATTTAGACTTTAACGAGTTTCGTTTTGTTTTCCTGGATAGACTGGAGTCTGTGATCGTGGTCCGGTGTTACACATTTAGACTTATACAGGTTTATACATTTAGACTTTAACGAGTTTCGTTTTGTTTTCCTGGATAGACTGGAGTCTGTGATCGTGGTCCGGTGTTACACATTTAGACTTATACAGGTTTATACATTTAGACTTTAACGAGTTTCGTTTTGTTTTCCTGGATAGACTGGAGTCTGTGATCGTGGTCCGGTGTTACACATTTAGACTTATACAGGTTTATACATTTAGACTTTAACGAGTTTCGTTTTGTTTTCCTGGCTAGACTGGAGTCTGTGATCGTGGTCCGGTGTTACATAACTGATGAGAACGAGCTGCGGTTCTTCTCCGACTCTCAGATCACAGCGCCTGAGGACAACTGGACGCCCATCACCGCTAGATTAGGGACAACTCTGCTCGTTCTTGGCTCTCGAAGAAACCACCCTTTTATTATTTTGGATCTCAAGTCTGGAAAATTTACTATGATAGAAAATGCTTAGATGATACAAATGTTATTTTGAGATAAATGTTTCCTCTCGCAGTGAGAAAAGTATAGACTGTATCGTATATATAGATTGTATATCTGTATAGACTGCCGTCTATAAACGTCTGTATATCTGTATAGACTGCCGTCTATAAACGTCTGTATATCTGTATAGACTGCCGTCTATAAACGTCTGTATAGACTGCCGTCTATAAACGTCTGTATAGACTGCTGTCTATAAACGTCTGTATAGACTGCCGTCTATAAACGTCTGTATAGACTGCCGTCTATAAACGTCTGTATAGACTGCCGTCTATAAACGTCTGTATAGACTGCCGTCTATAAACGTCTGTATAGACTGCCGTCTATAAACGTCTGTATAGACTGCCGTCTATAAACGTCTGTATAGACTGCCGTCTATAAAAGTCTGTATAGACTGCCGTCTATAAAAGTCTGTATAGACTGCCGTCTATAAAAGTCTGTATAGACTGCCGTCTATAAAAGTCTGTATAGACTGCCGTCTATAAAAGTCTGTATAGACTGCCGTCTATAAAAGTCTGTATAGACTGCCGTCTATAAAAGTCTGTATAGACTGCCGTCTATAAAAGTCTGTATAGACTGCCGTCTATAAAAGTCTGTATAGACTGCCGTCTATAAAAGTCTGTATAGACTGCCGTCTGTAAAAGTCTGTATAGACTGCCGTCTGTAAAAGTCTGTATAGACTGCCGTCTGTAAAAGTCTGTATAGACTGCCGTCTGTAAAAGTCTGTATAGACTGCCGTCTGTAAAAGTCTGTATAGACTGCCGTCTGTAAAAGTCTGTATAGACTGCCGTCTGTAAAAGTCTGTATAGACTGCCGTCTGTAAAAGTCTGTATAGACTGCCGTCTGTAAAAGTCTGTATAGACTGCCGTCTATAAAAGTCTGTATAGACTGCCGTCTATAAAAGTCTGTATAGACTGCCGTCTATAAAAGTCTGTATAGACTGCCGTCTATAAAAGTCTGTATAGACTGCCGTCTATAAAAGTCTGTATAGACTGCCGTCTATAAAAGTCTGTATAGACTGCCGTCTATAAAAGTCTGTATAGACTGCCGTCTATAAAAGTCTGTATAGACTGCCGTCTATAAACGTCTGTATAGACTGGCGTCTATACAGACTCTGCCGTGTCTTTGAACCCCAATCAGTTATAACATATATAATGACAGCCTCGAAATATGTTTTTCACTTAGCATATTTCTCTGAATATTAACACATTGAAATGATTTAAAGTAAAATAGTCTTTTACTTTTACTTAAAGTAAAATAGGCTACGAGAATAAATGTTTTTGAATACAGTACTAGTCTTCAGAATGATTGTGTAATAAGGATTACCGGTAAAGGGTGTTTTTTTTTTAAAAAGCTCAGGTTATATAGTTACATCATATACATACATTGTATAATTGATATATTACATGGTCAATCTTGGGTACAAGTCCAATATATCAAGTGTTCCAGTACTCGTATAGTAATTACAGGGTTCAGCATACCTTAGCCCAGGAGGGCGAAAGTCAGTCAGTATGGGACATTCTACAATATAATGTTCAAGAGAGTGCATATGCAGGCGATGAGTCACAATAACGTGGCTGAAGTATGTTGACCAGACCACACACTAGAAGTTGAAGGGACGACGACGTTTCGGTCCGTCCTGGACCATTCTCAAGTCGATTGTCGTCGTCGATTGAAACGTCGTCGTCCCTTCAACTTCTAGTGTGTGGTCTGGTCAAGAGTGCATGTTTTCTCTTTCACAAAGTTGACACATTGTGTACTCGACATTTGGGTTTTGAGAAAGCTGCCAGATACGTCTATATCCCACGGTCAAGGGTATGAGTGAGACTACACTGAGCGGAATCGGACACAATTTACATTAACCCAACACTAATGTTATGAAAAATTTATCAAAGTTACAATGATCTGTCCCTCGCGGTCACTTGTCCCTCGATAGAATTCTAGGTGAATCGGATACTTTTGATATCGTTCGCCTTATGCGTTTTTGTTCTCGTATTGGCATCCTTGGTGATATTTAGCGCCCTCTGATTATTCTGCACATTTGATGGTGCTACATAGCCTTCCCGGTTTGGTGCCTTCTTTTGATAATTACTTACTTACTTGAGCCATCACCAGTATCAATAGATGATACTGGAGATCTGTGGAGGTGCGACTGCACCCTGCGTGACGGGAGGTGTCTCCCGTGCGCGTCTTAGGTGGTACCAGATTCAAATATACAGCCATCACCTGCCACGGAACCGGAAACTCCTGCCTCACAGCGCTCTGATCGATTATACTTTTTACGCTAATGTACATGCCACACCTCAATTTGTCAACAATGTTTTTAAAATAGATTCAAAATTTGAGAAAATCGAATACATATCAATGTAAGTTTATACAAGTTCGTATCATTTTTAAGCGTCATTTTCTTGCTAATATATGTTTTGCGGTTTTTATTTTCATGATTAATGTTCCTTGTTATTCATAGGCCATGCAAATTACTACAAATTAATGTGATATTTAGCAAGTGTAAGTTTTATAATTCTTTATGATAATATAAATCTCATCCCTTATTCTTAGTTATAAGTTTATGTGAATCCCTGTTTAGTCCAACGATAACTAATGATTTTATGAATCATTTACTAATTAAATCAATCATTCGGTCAATGACTTAGTGTAATAAGAGGTGGAGCTTCACAGTATCAAAAAAACACCATTTGGTCACCACTTGGTCCGGGAGACATCTCCCGTCACGCAGGGTGCAGTTGCACCTCCACAGATCTCCAGTTTCAGCTCTTGATACTGGTAATGGCTCAAAAGGGCCACCACTTACGGGCTATTCATGCCCGTGCCACCTTTTCGATGGTTTAATCGTCTTGGACCGTATCAAAATAAACACAGCCTCTTAAACTTTATTTACAGCGTTAATTTATTTACATTCCGTCCAATTTTCGCAGCTGCGTAAGCTCAGAATAACATTCAGCTGATTCTGTTAATAATAATGCCAAATATATATGGAAATACGTAACAAAATGTAAGCCAACAAATTTCCAATGTGTGATATTTCAAATAAATGTCCAAGAGAAATTAAAAAGGTTTCTCTTTGGCTTTTGTGATTAACATGATTGTGTCGAGATAAACGAATATATTCAGGCTAATATGTGTATGAATTACAGTAGACACACGAGGCTCTTTGGCTGTTGCATCAGTAATGTAGATAATTACTACAGCCGAACATGAACGTAGTCTGGGAGTGTAAGATCAGACGGGAGCGACGTAGGCGATGAGAGTAATGACGAAGGCGGCGACGAAGGTGATGGCGGCGAGGCGGTCGAGGGTGGCGGCCACCAGCAGCCACTCATGGAGGTAGGATGCAGGACGGGTCTCCTCCAGGACCTCTCCGTCCTCAGCCCCGCCTCCGCTCAGACCAACCTGTACCGCAGACAGTCGTATTATACATCATGGTATATGTGGGTGGGCATCATGGCAGTTTTGGAATCATGCTGTACAAATGGAGATGTTCAAATTATCCCATAATTTGGTTTTGTTGTAGTCTAAAGGCCTATCAACCGCGGGGTGGGGGGGAATTGATAGAGCTTAATTAGCCGTACAAATATTCAATATTTGTACGGCTAAACGGTTGGGTATTTAGAAATTGCATGGTTATACAATTGTATATACAGTATTAGCAATAACATGAATAGTGGGAGCATGACAGAGAGTTTAGAATGTATTACCTTCTCAGCGTAATGCTGTAGACAGAGGACAGAGGCGAGGGGACCAGTGAGGATATTCTTGAGCAGTGCCGGTGGTGGCGTCGAAGTGACGGAAGGCTGACGACCGTCCGTCAGACGCAGGAGGCCGGCGTTCACCCCAACGCTCACCACAATCACCGCTAGAGTCTGCCCGTAGAACTTCACTGCAACACACATTGCCTAGTGATCAGCGCTCAGAGGCGAGCTAGCCAACCCACAGTTTACTGATCCACGTTTCAACAAAAATGTAAAAACTTCAACGACATTAATTAAAGAAAACAAGAAATGTGTCTTGACTTTTGAGAGGCCCTAGGAAAAGATCAATTACCATACGAACTTTTCCTAGCCTAGTATAACACACAAATGTACTAGATTAGGTCTAAAATTACATATATTAGGCTTAGGATTCCTAACTAGGACAAATGCCTAGGACAGGTGGAATTAGTTAAGCTGTTTCAATTATTGTTATACCGTTTAGAATGCCAATAGGACAAAACGTGGACTTGTTTTAGTACGAGTTTATATTTTGTAGACTGTCCATATTAGCTATGGGTGATAGAATTCTTAGATGATGGGTTGCGGAGTATAGCGTAAATGTTGACACACTGTAAATACAGTATTATTGTACATATAGCAGTATTGTAAATACTTGAATACCATAACAAAGCAATATATTGCGTAAATATACTGTATGTATAATTAATGATACAATGTATATAGTGATGACCGAAATTATGAGATATTCTAACGAAATACAAGTACGGAAATATGTTACAAATACAGAAATGTACATAATAATGATGCATAATACTCAAGTTTGAGGTACAGGTGTGATGAGTGACAAGCATGTGCAGCCCGTCCTCTTGAGCAACCCGCTCCAGAGGACGGGCGATAATCCTGGGAACCAGTCGCACCGTCAGGTTCTATTGTCGAGGTAGGGAGGACCTACCAATAATGGGGACGGAGTGAGGGAGGACCTACCAATAATGGGGACGGAGTGAGGGAGGACCTACCAATAATGGGGAGGGAGTGAGGGAGGACCTACCAATAATGGGGAGGGAGTGAGGGAGGACCTACCAATAATGGGGACGGAGTGAGGGAGGACCTACCAATAATGGGGAGGGAGTGAGGGAGGACCTACCAATAATGGTGAGGGAGTGAGGGAGGACCTACCAATAATGGGGACGGAGTGAGGGAGAACGTACCAATAATGGGGACGGAGAAGGCGAGGTGAGGGAGGGAGATGGCCAGGTAGAGGAGGACGATCAGTGTCAGCAGCAGACTGACACACCCCAGCGTCAGCCTCCGTGGTTCTCGCAGGGGAAGCAGGAACTGCACCAGCGTCAGCACAGAGATCACTGCCGGAAGCCAACACACCCAGACTCTCAGTGTAAATAACACCAAATATATTATATTCCCGTGGAAAACTGGCTTTTATTAGCAGTTTAAGTGATATAAACTCTATGAACACTGGAACATAACAGAGAGGACCCACCGCAGGCCGGGATGACGACGGTGGAGGTGAAGCTTGGGAAGACTCTGGACATGGTGATCTCCATCTGGAGCATGACGTAGGGCTGGGGGCAGCAAGATAAGGTATGCTGCGTCCGCTTAATGCTGCCTTTGTCAAAGTGCCACGCGTGGCCGGAGTTCATGAGAAAGCTGGGTATTATCTGCAACAACAGATGTAGTGTTGTACTAAACACTAGTGTGACCCCTTGTAGTGTGTTGTAGTGTTGTACTAAACACTAGTGTGACCCCTTGTAGTGTGTTGTACTAAACACTAGTGTGACCCCTTGTAGTGTGTTGTACTAAACACTAGTGTGACCCCTTGTAGTGTGTTGTAGAGTAGTGTTGTACTAAACACTAGTGTGACCCCTTGTAGTGTGTTGTAGAGTAGTGTTGTACTAAACACTAGTGTGACCCCTTGTAGTGTGTTGTAGAGTAGTGTTGTACTAAACACTCACTCGTCAAGATGCGGTCGTCAGTACTGCTATAGTCATGACATCCCACGTCCTAATACATGCAAGGGTTATCTTGAGATGATTTCGGGGCTTTTAGTGTCCCCGCGGCCCGGTCCTCCACCAGGCCTCCACCCCCAGGAAGCAGCCCGTGACAGCTGACTAACACCCAGGTACCTATTTACTGCTAGGTAACAGGGGCATTCAGGGTGAAAGAAACTTTGCCCATCTGTTTCTGCCTCGTGCGGGAATCGAACCCGCGCCACAGAATTACGAGTCCTGCGCGCTATCCACCAGGCTACGAGACCCCTTAAGCTTCGAAAAGCTTCGCAACTTCCAATATCACAATTCTGAATGATGAGAGAGAGAGAGAAGATTAAGCCACCCAAAAGGTGTCTTGGGCATGAATAGCCCATAAGTGGTGGCCCTTTTGAGCCATTTCCAGTATCAATAGATGATACTGGAGATCTGTGGAGGTGCGACTGCACCCTGCGTGACGGGAGATGTCTCCCGTGTCTGAATGATAAAACTACAATGCTTATATTAGACATGTATGTATGGTATTCATTAAGCTGGCATGCATTCTTGGAAGAATATGGGAAAATGTATAATCTTTTTAAGGGCGAGAATGATATAATTGGATTGCCGTGCCATTTATCTTGCATGATATTTGATAATTTTAAAAACTGTGGCTTGTGCGCATGCTTACGGTTCAGTTTAATTTAAACATTTTGATTATATGGTAATCTTGCAACCCGTTCTCGCAAATTCGTATAGTCAATATTGACTTTTTAACTACGTGCATAGGTGATGTACTAAACATAATAGATACCCTTTAAAAAGCTTCATAGAAAACAACCAACCTTACCTGACCTTGTTAGTATGTTAAGATGAGCATCTTATTGCTTCGCAATTACAATTATTACTTAATCTATACCTATAATAGGTTAAGTAACAATTGTAATTGCGAAGCAATAAGATGCTTATCTTAACATACTAACAAGGTTAGGTAAGGTCGATGTTTTCTATGAAGCTTTTTAAGGGTATCTATTATGTTTAGTATGTCACCTGTGCACTTATTAAATAAGTCAATATTGACTATACGAATTTGCGAGAACGGGTTGATCAGTTTAAAACAGAAGTTTGAGTAGTTTTTCTAAGCAAACATAAGAGTCATGGTTAAGGGCATAAATCTAAAATTTACTAACCTGTGTTTTATTCTTAGACAGCTGTAAGTCGACTTGCCATCCATGGTAGGTCCAGGCGCCGAAGAAGAGCTCGCAAGTCTGAGTGCCGTAGGGCCAGTGAGTGGCGTCTAGGGGGCACTCTGACTTATAGGCACCTGTGCCAATCCATGACACTGTTCCATTGCTGTTTACAATGGACCCAATACTGCTGTAGTGGTCAACCTCAGTGACGTATGCGCTGTAAAAACCATACCATAATATATTAAATACATCTTCAGAAGGTCCTTCTGAAGATGTATTTAATATACGAAAGTACTTAAGGAAATTTCCTGTTTCATTTTTCCTCCGTGGTCTGACATTGTCACATTCTTAATCACGTGTTTATTTTCGTGATATACACACACCATACCATAAGAATAAAGGCAACTGCAGAAGGCCTATTGGCCCATACGAGGCAGCTCTTATTTATAACCACCCAATCCCACTCATATACTTGTCCAACCCGCGCTTGAAACAATCGAGGGACCCCACCTCCAGCACGTTACGCGGTAATTGGTTCCACAAATCAACAACCCTGTTACTGAACCAGTATTTACCCTGGTTACCTTACTGCCACTAGTTTGAGACGTGTGCATTTTAAGATCTGAGGCGTCAGAAACTTTAAGATACACCCAGGTCCTCAGTGCGAGCGTCTTAAATAATGTTAAGCCCGAAACGCTGCGCGTGCTAGTGGCTTTACAAGACTGTAATTACCATATTTGTATCCTCACATTCCTTATGTACATTCTTGTATATGCATAAATAAATAAATAAATGTTGCCAACGTAAATAGCAAGTGACGAGTTTTACATCAAATTTTGATCAAAGAAAATAATGGCCTAATGACACAGGAATGGAACTATCAGGGGGGAAAGTACCAAGCCATTACGACTATATAGCACTTGTAAGGGGTCAGGATAAGGATTAGGGATGGGACGGGAGGCAGGAATGGTGTCCAACCACTTGGACGGTCGGGGATTGAACGCCGACCTGCATGAAGCGAGACCGTCGCTCTACCGTCCAGCCCAAGTGGTTGGACCTAATGACACAGGATACATTACAACAATCTATGAGCTAGCATCATCAGTGTCCATCCCTATGATAATGAGCCTTCCTCGTTAGTTCAGATTAGTAAGTGCAAACCGGCTGATTTGATTGATTGAAGCCACCCAAGAGGTGGCACGGGCATGAATGGCTCGTAAGTGGTGGCCCTTTTGAGCCATTACCAGTATCAAAAGATGATACTGGAGATCTGTGGAGGCGCAACTGCACCCTGCGTGACGGGAGATGTCTCCCGGACCAAATGGTGACCTTTTGGTGGTCTTGCAAACCGGCTTCATGGTTGGGTAAGTACCGCCAAAGGATACCTGATCAACCAGGCTGTGACTCGTACGTCAGGCTGCGAGCAGCTGCGTCCAACAGCCTGGTTGATCAGTCCGGCAACCAGGAGGCCTGGTCGACGACCGGGCCGCGGGGACGCTAAGCCCCGGAAGCACCTCAAGGTAACCTCAAGGTAAGGTTGGGCATAAATTAGCAGGACGTGCCGTTAGACCTGGCAGAATGAGGTGCACTAATAGCCAGCTGAAAGAATCTTATGTAAATGCCCGTTCTCACACTTTCGTATAGTCAATATTGACTTATTAAATACGTGCATGTGTGACATACTAATTTATTGTGAATGTTTTAGTTTACCTTGAAAAGCTTCATAGAAAACACCGACCTTACCTAACCACCTTAGTATGTTAAGATAAGCATCTTATTGCTTTGTAATTACAATTATTACTTAACCTATTACAGGTATTGGTTAAGTAATAATTGTAATTATGAAGCAATAAGATGCTTATCTTAACATACTGAGAAGGTTAGGTAAGGTCGGTGTTTTCTATGAAGCTTTTCCAGGTAAACTAGTATGTCACATATGCACGTATTTAATAAGTCAATATTGACTGTAAGAAAGTGCGAGAACGGGGTGGTAAATGTAGGAGTGATGCTGATTCCCAATACTAGCTAGAGCGAACAGCGAGTGTGACGTCTGGGTGCATCAAGAGGTCCAGATTTAAGTGACCTAACATGTGTCTTTGTTAATACAGTAGGCAAAATGTAATTTGAAACTGACATCTTAAAGGTACAGTTTGTTACCCCTTACCCAGTGATCTACCAGAGAATGTTTGAGTGTATGATTAAACGTGGCACAGATAAGCTCTCTCCGTTTTATTTCTTCTCTCTAATTAAAAATCAATTTACTACTTCGTGCAAAACCATAAAAAAGGGATGTGAACGCACAACGGTGACGTCACTGGAAGCTTTCTTCAAATTCATCTAAGACTCCTTGCGTAATGACACTTTTAAGGGACTTATTTGATAAATCAACATTCAGTTCATCATTGTCTTTATTTACTGCAATCTTAGGAAAGGTGTCGACTATATCATGTTCCTTCAGTCCAATGTAAGAGGGGAATCCAAAACATTCCTACATTTACCCCGTATTAAGTATGCGTATACAAGAGTTGTTACATTCTTGTACAGCCACTAGTACGCGTAGCGTTTCGGGTAGGTCCTTAATCCTATGGTCCCTGGAATACGATCCCCTGCCGCGAAGAAACGTTTTTTCATCCAAGTACACATTTTACTGTTGCGTTAAACAGAGGCTACAGTTAAGGAATTGCGCCAAGTAAATCCTCCCCGGCCAGGATACGAACCCATGACATAGCGCTCGAGGAACGCCAGGCGAGTGTCTTACCACTACACCACGGAGACCACTACCACTACACCACGGAGACCATATATTTCTGTCCGACTTCAGATACGAGTACGTTATTTGATTGTAAACTATTTAATGCTTGTAGTGAGGAAAGGGAGTCTGAAATAATTAAGCTTCTACTTCAGTGTTGTCAATAATTTTGAGTACTACCAGATCAACTTGCAAGGTGGTGGCCCAGTTAGTAACTTATATCCTTGTGCTTCCATCGGCTGATGAACAATACGAACACGCCCCGCCCTCCCTATAGACGAGAACTTACTTTGTTCAAGACGAAAGTATGCTTTTGTCCTGAACTGTTGGTTAGCAAGTTAGAGCCAGAGCAGGAGGCTCTGGCTCTAACCTCCTGCTGTTGACCCTGCTGCTCAACCCTCCTGCTGTTGACAGGCCTTAAGTTCAACACCAAACCAAATTTAACGGGCCGGGAACACTATATATAAATCAACAAGTGTACCCCCACTTCTCTGTGAATAAGCACTGGGAGTTTACTGTAATCATAAACTGTGTTCAGGACTAATATACTTGCTGGTTGGTAAGATATTGTCTCGGCTTTAATAACCCTCCAGAGGTTGATAGGCCTTTAGTCCAACACCATTCATCTAACGGTCTTTGTGGATGTATGACACGATTCACCAAGTACTTGAGTCAATTTACGAAACCTGTACATCTTTCCTAGATAATGGCAGCTTAGTCTATATTTAGTAATATACGAGCTTAAAACGCTGCAAGGTGGTTAAGACTCGTCCTCTTAAAATAACGTTTTTCAGTCTTATGTACGCTATAGCCAAAAATGGACGTAATTTGAAATGAAATCGGCTCACGAAAGTGATGTACTGTTCCATTTTCTGTCTTGGGTCCTCTGGCTTAGGCTGTTAAGTTAAGAGAGGAAACTTTCAATTAAGTTTTCATAACGTTTTGAAACTTTAGGAGAACTTCCTGCCCTCCTAACCTACCAGAGGACCCTTAACTTGCTGTTGAAAAAAAAAATCCAAAATTTATTTTCAATTATTTTTCCTTTTCAAATTACGTCCATTTTCGGGCAAACGGTCAAATTCAGACTTAATTTGTAAGCCGTTTTTGTTATGTATATATACACCCTCACAGCGCTTCGGAGCTCACAAACTCCAATAAGCCGCCATGACTTAAAAAAAGATGTTTGTGTTAGTTATTAGTGCACTCACTTGTTGTAGAGGTAGACTTCTGGGTGCCAGAGCTCGTCCTCGGCAAAGTGAATTTCTTTCGTGTTACCATAGTCCTTGTAGTCCCAGGTGAGGCGCGGGTCTTGCCAAGCCTGCCCCAAACATTATTATAATCCACTCAGCTAAATATCAATGATATTTACTTTAAAAAAATGTTATTTCCTCATAGGTAGTGTCTCACAGACAATAGAACTAATGAGTATAATTACAAATAATTTAAAGAATAATAGGATGTCTGAAATACGAAAGGTAGCAATATTATCCATCAAAACAGAAATGGTTATGTAACAATGTTAAGGGACCTACAGCTACGATCACCCGTCCACCCCAGTACATGAGACAAGTCATGTATGTTACCATGTTTAATGTAATACATGTCATGTCTGGTATAATGTTATATGTGACACTTCAAGTCTAGTACAAATGCACAAAAAAATATGTAAACCAGACTGGAAGCCACTATGCACCTCATGTATAGTCTAGGCAAACCTGCCTCCATGGAGAGTTTTTGACGTGTAACTGGCACGCCGAATTTGAATGACAGTGACTGACTCCCAGAAGCAGAGTAGTTCAAGTATGTTTATTGAGACAAGAAAAAAATACATCTCAAAGGGATAGAGTAGCTTAGGCTATTTCTACCCCCCCCCCCTCCCCAGAAGCAGAGTAGTAACATATATTGACTATGTAGTAGGCTATACCAACCATTTCAATCCAGGCGTTCATTTGGAATACTTGCTTGTCCTCTTCGATCCACATGGCCAGAGGTATCAAGTCGAAGTAGGCGGTGGTGGTGCCGTTAGTGTCACGCTGAGGAAGGGCGTACTTGTCATAGTTCTTCAGAAGCTTCTGTCGTAGCTCCTCCGTCTTGCTCAAGATGGGAGAATCTGTCGGGGGAAGAACACCTTGTAACTGTTGCTCACAAATACAGACCCCATTATACATTTATCGCCACAATGAACTAACTTGAAACATGTGTTTTATAGATGTTTTAAATATAGCTAATAGGAGAAACTTGACAGGTGGTTAGATAATGTGAAGCGCTTGGAGAGAGGTGGACAGCAAAAGATGGCGAGAGCTTGACAGGTTGTGAGTTTGGTGGATAATGGTGGAAAGAGTGAGGGCGCGTGAGAGGATACGACCACTGAATTGCTACGCTTAGCTGATATGGATTTTGGTGTACCTGCTTGGGCACTTGTAATGGCCAGGAGAACTGTCGTTGCCTCCACCAGCCACGCCATCTTCCACACGTTCCTGTTTCTTCTTGTAGTATACTTTATAGTAGGTTCTGAGAGCTCTTCTACTTCACAATCCTGGGGCTAGGCTTGTCTTCTGATGATCTAAAGGGCTGTTGCTTGATGCTGTCTTCGTCGGTGCAGGTCATGTCCTCTGTACCTCTCGTCTCTATGTATAATTTCTCTTGTACTGCCACGAAATTTAGTTATTCAGTGCACAATTTATGTAGAGATTCCAAAAAACACCAAAACGGTTCACAGTCCTGCGCGCATTCATTACTTTTTCGATGAGTGTTATAACTACCTAGTGACACGAGGACCACTGTTTACGGCCTGAAGTTCATGAGAGCAATGCATGCAAGCAGTGTTATAGTTGAGACCCGAGAGGACTGAAGTGCCAGGCAACATGGGCAGCCCCGCCTCCTGCAGTGTTCAGGGCAGCTAGGCTCATGTGTCGGGGGCGACGCAGTGCTTGTTCTCACTCGTGGTGGCTGAAACTATTCAGTACTACAATAACTCACAAGGTTATTTATATCTCTGTTTCTAGATGCTTCAAAAAAAGCTTTTGTCAAAGTATAACACACCAAACTTTTGTTGAAAATTTTGTAGCTTAACTTTTACTGTCAACTAAATCTGCCATCTGGTAGAATGTCCTGATTTTCAGATAATTGGAAAACTTGCTTTACTGTGGTTCATTGTATTTTTGTCCCTTACTGAAATCTTTGGTGAAGCTGATACATCGTTCGTCTTATGTCATTTTGCTCATGTATTTCATGCAACTTTCAGTTGCAAATATTTGATTATTAATATGTAAAATTAATACAAATTTATATCGCCTACGGTGTTTCGTCTCACCCGACGCACAAAATGACGTATTATCGAAATAAGAACAATAACCAGCCATTTGTCGTTGTAGTTAGTTTATAAATACTAGTTGGTCTGATGTACTATTTTGATTTACATTAAATATTTTGATTTATATACAATTGATTTATATTAAATGTTTTGATTTATATTAAATTGTGCTGTAAAGTCCTTATATAGCTACTCAAAATACTAAAATGAAGAGAATTTGTTATGAATATAAAGGAACCATCAGCCCAGTTGTTTACAACAGCAGCGGGTCGTCAGCTGACAGTGTTGTGTCTGTCTCTTAGACGTGAGCACGTGTTGCTACACTCCTTATTCCACACCTGAAGTAAGTGCACCCATCAACTACCAGATGATCACCCCCAAACCTGCCCTTAAATATCCTGCTAGACTCATAGAGGTAAGATTCATTCTCTTCTACTTTTGCAGGCGAATGAGAGGTTAAAGGTAAACATTCCCCCACCAGACAAGCCATAAATATATACCATTACTGGGTCATACTCGCCTTAGACACGCTCCTCTTTATCACCATGCCTTTATTATTCTCCTTTACTACACTCCTCCTTCGTTCTCGGTGTAAAATAAGTAAGAAACACAAATGGAAACGTTGGAACGTAAGGAGCTGTTAGCTCGGCGTGATGTCACGTCTTCCTGCAAGATTCATTGTATTTCCAGATCAACCAGGCTGTGACTCATACGTCAGGCTGCGAGCAGCCGCGTCCAACAGCCTGGTTGATCAGTCCGGCAACCAGGAGGCCTGGTCGACGACCGGGCCGCGGGGACGCTAAGCCCCGGAAGCACCTCAAGGTAACCTCAAGGTAACCAAGGTTTCCTCATTGTATCTCTGTCTCCCTGTCAATTCCCGTCAGTTGTACTGGTCCGGGTTGGATTAATATAAAACTTTTGAGTAAATGCTGAATTTCATTGTTGACCAAACCACACACTGGAAAGTGAAGTGACGATGACATTGTCAAGGTGAGAATTATACTAATGTAGTATTGCCTTGTAAAACGTATGTTTATATAATTTATATTGTATTTTATTAAATAAAGATAAAAAAAAATCATTGTCAGGAGGTAGAAATAGCCTAAGCTACTCTATCCCTTTGAGATGTATTTCTTTCTTATTGACAAAATTAATTACAATTTTGCCTAATCTGAGGATTTCAATTACGTCTAATTAAAGTGAGGATAATGCTGGTATTCACTGTCACGCAGGACAGAGGGTCATACACAAGACAATAGGTCTAAACTTAGCACATATATATATATCATGGTTACAAGTGTTTGGGGTGAGGCTATTTATGGGAGTCACCATCTTCTTGAGTTTATCTTGAGATGATTTCGGGGCTTTAGTGTCCCCGCGGCCCGGTCCTCGACCAGGCCTCCACTCCCAGGAAGCAGCCCGTGACAGCTGACTAACACCCAGGTACCTATTTTACTGCTAGGTAACAGGGGCATAGGGTGAAAGAAACTGCCCATTGTTTCTCGCCGGCGCCTGGGATCTAACCCAGGACCACAGGAACACAAGTCCAGCGTGCTGTCTGCTCGGCCGACCGGCTCGACCGACCGAACCATGGCGGGTTCGTGTTGCTGGGGCGGATATCAGTGGTGTGCTGGGGCGGATATCAGTGGTGTACTGGGGCGGATATCAGTGGTGTGCTGAGGGTGATATCAGTGGTGTGCTGATGCGGATATCAGTGGTGTGCTGAGGGTGATATCAGTGGTGTACTGGGGCGGATATCAGTGGTGTGCTGGGGCGGATATCAGTGGTGTACTGGGGCGGATATCAGTGGTGTGCTGAGGGTGATATCAGTGGTGTACTGGGGCGGATATCAGTGGTGTGCTGGGGCAGATATCAGTGGTGTGCTGGGGCGCATATCAGTGGTGTACTGGGGCGGATATCAGTGGTGTAGTGGGGCGGATATCAGTGGTGTACTGGGGCGGATATCAGTGGTGTACTGGGGCGGATATCAGTGGTGTACTGGGGCGGATATCAGTGGTGTGCTGGGGCGGATATCAGTGGTGTGCTGGGGGTGGAGGTCATCTCATTGAGGATTCCTGGGGTATGGTGTGGAAGGGGCGGGGTAATGGGCAGAAAACCAGACGCCGGCCTGATGGCTCTCGTGTTACACTATGGCGAAGCAAATGCACACCGGCGGGTTCAGGCACGGTTTACATATGCGTGTTTCCCTCCATGGCTTTAGCGACGTAGCCTTAGCTAGCCACCAACGAGGTAGCCCTGGCTAGCCACCAACGAGGTAGCCCTGGCTAGCCACCAACGAGGTGGCCTTAGCTAGCCACCAACGAGGTGGCCTTAACTAGCCACCCAACGACGTAACCTTAGCTAGCCACCAACGAGGTAGCCTTAACTAGCCACCAACGACGTAACCTTAACTAGCTACCAACGACGTAGCCTTAGCTAGCCACCAACGACGTAACCTTAGCTAGCCACCAACGAGGTAGCCTTAACTAGCCACCAACGACGTAGCCTTAGCTAGCCACCAACGACGTAACCTTAGCTAGCCACCAACGAGGTAGCCTTAACTAGCCACCAACGACGTAACCTTAGCTAGCCACCAACGAGATAGCCTTAACTAGCCACCAACGACGTAACCTTAGCTAGCCACCAACGAGGTAGCCTTAGCTAGCCACCAACGACGTAGCCTTAGCTAGCCACCAACGAGGTAGCCTTAGCTAGCCACCAACGAGGTAGCCTTAGCTAGCCACCAACGAGGTAGCCTTAGCTAGCCATCAACGAGGTAGCCTTAACTAGCCACCAACGACGTAACCTTAGCTAGCCACCAACGAGGTAGCCTTAACTAGCCACCAACGACGTAACCTTAGCTAGCCACCAACGAGATAGCCTTAGCTAGCCACCAACGACGTAACCTTAGCTAGCCACCAACGAGGTAGCCTTAGCTAGCCACCAACGACGTAGCCTTAGCTAGCCACCAACGAGGTAGCCTTAGCTATCCACCAACGAGGATGCCTTAGCTAGCCACCAACGAGGTAGCCTTAGCTAGCCACCAACGACGTAGCCTTAACTAGCTACCAACGAAGTAGCCTTAGCTTGAACTTGGATGTCCGAAGGGTTTCGAAAGAATGAGGGAGGAAGGGGGATGGGAGGGATGAAATTCTGGAAGAGGATGTGGGTGTAGAGAGAGAGAGGAAGTTTGAAAGTACGTTGGCCTAACCTTGAGATGGTTTCGGGGCTTAGCGTTCCCGCGGTCCGGTCGTCGACCAGGCTTCCTAGAATCCTATCCCCACCAGTGCAGATCCCTAGAAATGTAGTTTAGGTAGCCCACAACCAAGCCTGTATCGCTTGGTTATGAACTACTTGGTTCACCGCTTGCCCGTCAAATGCCAAGACATTAATGCCGTTCAAAATCCAGTTGGACAAAATTATCAGGAAAATAGAAGGGTGGGCCTTTGACAAGCCTCTGTCTTTCTATCCCCGTCGTGGCCACTAAGTATATCGTGAGCCCTCAGGTAAATTCCGGCAAGATAAATGCCATAGTCACTGCCATCTTGACTTTGAATGAACTTTGTTGCAATATGAAAATGTCAAGATTCAAATCTTGATTTAATTAAAAATTTAAAGACTGTACCTCTCTCAACCAGTTTAAGATACAAACTAAGCACTACCTAATAAATTCCCTGTAACCTACCTTACCCCTATATTGTCAACCCATGTCTCTTTATATAAACAACGCTGTTTGTCGACCTAATTGTATTAATTGTATTTGTGCTGCTTTTTCTGCCATGTTACCCCCTTTTTTATTTTTATTTTTAATTGTTCTCAACACATTTTATACTTTAATCTCAATTAGTATTAAGTTTTAATCTTTAATGTTTTTCCTGCCTGAAACGCTTCGCGTAATAGTGGCTTTAGGCATTGTATGTACTAGCTCTATGTATAAATCTATCAAATTTTGTAAAACCTCGTTTGTATATACCTTACCTGAATAAACATTTATTTATTTATTTATTTATTTATTTATTTATTTATTATTATTTATTTAAATCAGAAATATATGGTGTTTCACTCGCAAATTACACGATACTCAATTCTTTTATTTTAGATACACCAAACAAACTAAATTAACCAAAGACATAACATTTTACTTAATACTTCATTTTACCTAAAATAACATTACATTAAGTTAATAAATTAACACTAGGAGTATGTTTCCTTACTCCTAATGCTCTCGACAAGCCTAACAGACTTTCAGGCCACGACAATGGGACCAAATGTAGTCAATTGAGCACGAAAGAGGCAGAATATTGCCTGATTTATTCATTAAACAATGGCGATAAACGTTGGCTTTGTTTGACTGAAACGGAAAACAACAAAGTCCTACACGATAAAGTAGTTATACAGAATAGGTTACTGCCTAGTATCCTTGTAGCCTAGGCGCAGTTGTTGTTAATCCTATGACAGGTAGCCCCGATTCCGTAACGTCAGTTTTTTAGCCACAGCCACATAGCCCCAGGATGGTAATCCTAATAGCTTAGTGCTAGATGATGAGCCAGAGTTTTGTAGCCTCAGGTAGGCAGCCTCATTTAAGTAGCCTTGATCTCGTTATCTAATCACATAGCCTCGTGTGGGTAGCCTTAGTCACATAGCTTCGAAAACTTCGAATATCAGTGTTATTATGTAATTATTTACATAATTACTTATTTTTCGCAGCTGATTATATATTAATAAGTTCAGTACACACTGTAGAGCGGCCAGTTAATTACTACAGGCGGGTGCTTTCATCCCGACGTCTGTCCGCACAGAAGCGAAGACCTATTCATTAGAAAACATAAATCCTTCTCAAGACGTCACACAGAAACCTCACAGACATAAAAACTAGAAAACCATAAGGCATTCCTACCGGGGGGGGGGGGGGTAAATAATACTAGTCCAGAGAAATAACACTAACGTGATATATATCAATGAGAAAAATCAACCGGAGCTCTAAGGCGACTCGAACCCGCGACCGAGAGAACCTCCGCCTCTGACGCTAACCACTGGACCACCCAAACTTGGCAAAAAGTCATACAACTGGTTTTCTGTTGAACTATGAACTATGTTGCCTACACCCGGGTACTTGGGGGTAATACGTAAAAGGTGGACTGGCTTCAGTAGGGGCCCTATAAACTTCTTGTGATTTCAACAGAAAACCGGTTGTATATGACTTTAGCAAGTCAGAGTGGTCCAGTGGTTAGAGTCCAACCCGTTCTCGCAAATTTAATAAGTCAATATTGACTTATTAAATATGTGCATAGGTGACATACTTAACATAATAGATACCCTTAAAAAGATTCATAGAAAACACCGACCTTACCTAACCTTGTTAGTATCTTAAGATAAGCATCTTTAGTCAGCAGCTGGGATTCTCTCGATTGCGGGTTCGAGTCACCTCAGAGCTCCAGTTGATTTTCTCAGTATACTAGTATTCAGGAAATGAATTGAAGCCATGAGAAGGATTCGAACCTGCAACCTGGGTACTCCCAAGCACACGCTGGACTATGTCGCACTAAAAGAAATGCAACCTGTGATTCAGCTAAATCCTTTTCGGGTCCTGAGGCATCAACCTGATACCAAATCAAGGCTTCACACATTTCCCGACTACACTCTGGTGTGGTACAGGAGTTCCACTCTCCAACTCCAGCCAAGTTACATTACTTTTAGCATATCATTGTCCAGTGGATTAATTCTGCTAGAATTTACCTACTTAAAATTATCTGTTAGATTAAGGACCTGCCCAAAACGCTGCGCGTACTAGTGGCTTTACAACATTGTAAATACTGTACTATGCTATGTATTCTCACAAACCCAATGTACCTTCTCGTATATAAATAAATAAATAAATAAATAAATAAATAAGGCGTGTGCTTGGGAGGACACAGGGTGCAGGTTCGAATCCTTCTCATGGCTCCTTCTGATTTTCTCATTGATTCATCACTTTAATGTGATTTGTTTGAGCCATACTTGTACTATTAATAATATTTGTCATTGCATTTATTTAATACAAACGTTGTATTATGATAAGTATCTGTAGGTAATAAGTATTTGGTAATGTAGTTTATAGTAATGAAACGCTATGATTTACAACAGTTTTATTTTTAGTAGAATGAAATACACTTAGAATTATATATATATAACTATCATTAAAAACATGAACAGTGAAACGTTCATCAAATTTAGGTGTATATGAAACTAGAAGAGTTTCAATAGATACTCAACTAAATGATGTTGAAAAGAAGCCTTTTGAAATCAGTACAGATGAATGTTTCAGTAGATATTAATATGCCAACCCTTTCTCCAAAAATTATACTACCTATTATACTACTATGGATGGAAAGTACAAAATATGAACTATTGTACAAAAAAAAATCCACAATTTGTACTATTGGAATTCAAAAAGAGTATAATTTAAAAGGTGACAGATTAACCATGAACTTAACATAATTTGTTCGAGGCCTAAATTAAAATCCTAACTTTAACAAACACAATCTCAAGATAAATTTAGTCAATTTATATACTAAGCTTAGGAAAAGTTCAGTTTGGTTGTCGCTTTCTTTTTCTACAGAATTATCAGTACAAAACATAGACATCTTGGGTGCTACAGACCTTGTTTTGTACAGTCCATGTTTGGTACAGTCCAAGTTTGGTACAGTCTATGTTTGGTACAGTCCATGTTTGGTACAGTCCATGTTTGGTACAGTCCATGTTTGGTACAGTCCATGTTTGGTACAGTCCAAGTTTGGTACAGTTCATGTTTGGTACAGTCCAAGTTTGGTACAGTCCATGTTTAGTACAGTTCATGTTTGGTACAGTTCATGTTTGGTACAGTCCAAGTTTGGTACAGTCTATGTTTGGTACAGTCCAAGTTTGGTACAGTCCATGTTTGGTACAGTCCATGTTTGGTACAGTCCAAGTTTGGTACAGTCTATGTTTGGTACAGTCCATGTTTGGTACAGTCCATGTTTGGTACAGTCCATGTTTGGTACAGTCCAAGTTTGGTACAGTCTATGTTTGGTACAGTCCAAGTTTGGTACAGTCCAAGTTTGGTACAGTCCAAGTTTGGTACAGTCCATGTTTGGTACAGTCTATGTTTGGTACAGTCCATGTTTGGTACAGTCTATGTTTGGTACAGTCCAAGTTTGGTACAGTCCATGTTTGGTACAGTCCAAGTTTGGTACAGTCCAAGTTTGGTACAGTCCATGTTTGGTACAGTCCAAGTTTGGTACAGTCTATGTTTGGTACAGTCCATGTTTGGTACAGTCCATGTTTGGTACAGTCCAAGTTTGGTACAGTCCATGTTTGGTACAGTCCAAGTTTGGTACAGTCCAAGTTTGGTACAGTCCAAGTTTGGTACAGTCCATGTTTGGTACAGTCTATGTTTGGTACAGTCCATGTTTGGTACAGTCCATGTTTGGTACAGTCCAAGTTTGGTACAGTCCATGTTTGGTACAGTCCAAGTTTGGTACAGTCTATGTTTGGTACAGTCTATGTTTGGTACAGTCCAAGTTTGGTACAGTCCAAGTTTGGTACAGTCCAAGTTTGGTACAGTCCAAGTTTGGTACAGTCTATGTTTGGTACAGTCCATGTTTGGTACAGTCCATGTTTGGTACAGTCCAAGTTTGGTACAGTTCATGTTTGGTACAGTCCAAGTTTGGTACAGTCTATGTTTGGTACAGTCCAAGTTTGGTACAGTCTATGTTTGGTACAGTCCAAGTTTGGTACAGTCTATGTTTGGTACAGTCCAAGTTTGGTACAGTCCAAGTTTGGTACAGTTCATGTTTGGTACAGTCCAAGTTTGGTGCAGTCCATGTTTAGTACAGTCTATGTTTGGTACAGTTCATGTTTGGTACAGTCTATGTTTGGTACAGTCCATGTTTGGTACAGTCCATGTTTGGTACAGTCCATGTTTGGTACAGTCCATGTTTGGTACAGTCTATGTTTGGTACAGTCCAAGTTTGGTACAGTCCAAGTTTGGTACAGTCCATGTTTGGTACAGTCCATGTTTGGTACAGTCCAAGTTTGGTACAGTCCATGTTTAGTACAGTCTATGTTTGGTACAGTCCATGTTTGGTACAGTCCAAGTTTGGTACAGTTCATGTTTGGTACAGTCCAAGTTTGGTACAGTCCATGTTTAGTACAGTCTATGTTTGGTACAGTTCATGTTTGGTTCAGTCTATGTTTGGTACAGTCTCTGTTTGGTACAGTCCATGTTTGGTACAGTCCATGTTTGGTACAGTCCAAGTTTGGTACAGTCCAAGTTTGGTACAGTCCAAGTTTGGTACAGTCCAAGTTTGGTACAGTCCAAGTTTGGTACAGTCCAAGTTTGGTACAGTCCATGTTTGGTACAGTCCAAGTTTGGTACAGTCTATGTTTGGTACAGTCCATGTTTGGTACAGTCCAAGTTTGGTACAGTTCATGTTTGGTACAGTCCAAGTTTGGTACAGTCCATGTTTAGTACAGTCTATGTTTGGTACAGTTCATGTTTGGTTCAGTCTATGTTTGGTACAGTCTCTGTTTGGTACAGTCCATGTTTGGTACAGTCCATGTTTGGTACAGTCCAAGTTTGGTACAGTCCAAGTTTGGTACAGTCCAAGTTTGGTACAGTCCAAGTTTGGTACAGTCCAAGTTTGGTACAGTCTATGTTTGGTACAGTCCATGTTTGGTACAGTCCGTGTTTGGTACAGTCCATGTTTGGTACAGTTCATGTTTGGTACAGTCTATGTTTGGTACAGTCCATGTTTGGTACAGTTCATGTTTGGTACAGTTCATGTTTGATACAGTCCATGTTTGGTACAGTCCATGTTTGGTACAGTCCATGTTTGGTACAGTCCATGTTTGGTACAGTCCATGTTTGGTACAGTTCATGTTTGGTACAGTTCATGTTTGGTACAGTCCATGTTTGGTACAGTCCATGTTTGGTACAGTCCATGTTTGGTACAGTCCATGTTTGGTACAGTCCGTGTTTGGTACAGTCCGTGTTTGGTACAGTTCATGTTTGGTACAGTTCATGTTTGGTACAGTCCGTGTTTGGTACAGTCCATGTTTGGTACAGTCCATGTTTGGTACAATCCATGTTTGGTACAGTCCATGTTTGGTACAATCCATGTTTGGTACAGTCCATGTTTGGTACAATCCATGTTTGGTACAGTCCATGTTTGGTACAATCCATGTTTGGTACAGTCCATGTTTGGTACAATCCATGTTTGGTACAGTCCATCCATAGTCCATATGTTTACTGTACTTTTGAATGACAGCTTGGAATATTTACACAAAATATATATCTCCTACGGACTACAGTAAACACAGGTCATATGAATTACAGTAGACACACGAGGCTCTTTGGCTGTTGCATCAGTAATGTAGATAATTACTACAGCCGAACATGAACGTAGTCGGGGAGTGTAAGATCAGACGGGAGCGACGTAGGCGATGAGAGTAATGACGAAGGCGGCGACGAAGGTGATGGCGGCGAGGCGGTCGAGGGCGGCGGCCACCAGCAGCCACTCATGGAGGTAGGATGCAGGACGGGTCTCCTCCAGGACCTCTCCGTCCTCAGCCCCGCCTCCGCTCAGACCAACCTGTACCGCAGACAGTCGTATTATACATCATGGTATATGTGGGTGGGCATCATTTTAATTTGTTTAAATTTTGCCCCGAGGGGCGATTTTATTGGGCGGCGTCACTCATCCTGTGAGTGGACCGCCATAGTGACAGTATTAGGCAGCGCCACTCATCCTGTGAGTGGACACACCGCCATAGTGACAGTATTGGGCAGCGTCACTCATCCTGTGAGTGGACACACCGCCATAGTGACAATATTGGGCAGCGCCACTCATCCTGTGAGTGGACACACCGCCATAGTGACAGTATTGGGCAGCGCCACTCATCCTGTGAGTGGACACACCGCCATAGTGACAGTATTGGGCAGCGCCACTCATCCTGTGAGTGGACACACCGCCATAGTGACAGTATTGGGCAGCACCACTCATCCTGTAAGTGGACACACCGCCATAGTGACAATATTGGGCAGCGCCACTCATCCTGTGAGTGGACACACCGCCATAGTGACAGTATTGGGCAGCGCCACTCATCCTGTGAGTGGACACACCGCCATAGTGACAGTATTGGGCAGCGTCACTCATCTTATGAGTGGACACCCCGCCATAGCAACATGTACAACACTCCCCAATAGAAAAAAACCCGCTGGGTTGTTCATCCTGTCACAGACACAACTGGGACTTGCTTAACTGTCTCAAGTGAACAGCTCCTAAAAGAAGAAGATTAACATCTGTCAACCCTTAAAATCTAACGTTATCATGGCAGGGTTTTGGAATTATGCTCGAGGTGTATATTACCCCAAAATTTGGTTTGGTTGTAGTCTTAAAGCCTATCAACCGCGGGTGAATTGATAGGCCTTAATTAGCTGTACAAACACTTAATATTTGTACGGCTAAACGGTTGGGTATTTAGAAATTGCATGGTTATACAATTGTATATACAGTATTAGCAATAACATCAATAGTGGGAGCATGACGGAGAGTTTAGAATGTATTACCTTCTCGGCGTAGCGCTGTAGACAGAGGACAGAGGCGAGGGGACCAGTGAGGATATTCTTGAGCAGTGCCGGTGGTGGCGTCGAGGTGACGGAAGGCTGACGACCGTCCGTCAGACGCAGGAGGCCGGCGTTCACCCCAACGCTCACCACAATCACCGCCAGAGTCTGCCCGTAGAACTTCACTGCAACACAAATTGCCAAGTGATCAGCGCCTCTGTCCTCTTAAAAAGAACGTCGCTCTTGGCCGTTTGCCCGTATGGCCGAATATGGACGTAATTTGAAAATGAAAAAATAAATAAATATAAATTTGGATTTTTTTTTTCAACAACAGTAAGTTAAGGGTCCTCTGATAGGTTAGGTGGGCAGGAAATTCTCATAAAGTTTCAAAATGGTATGAAAAACGTTAATGGAAAGAATGCTTTTCTAAGCTTGCCGAGTAAGCCGGACGACTCAAACAGAAAACGGAACAGTACGTCACTTTTGTGAGTCGATTTCATTTCAAATTACGTCCAAATTTGGCCATAGTGCGCATACCAGCGAAAAGTGACGTTATTTTTAAGAGGACGGGTTGCTCAGAGGCGAGCTAACCAACCCACAATTTACTGATCCACGGCGTCAGAGAAATAATAAAGTATTAGTGTCATCATTAAGTTCTATAAATCTTCAACAAGATGAGGCTTTGATTTAACATGTGATGATTTGGCCTTCAAGAGGAAGTTGTTGAAGGATTTTGCCTCCTGCAACTTACAAAATCCACCGTACATACATTAAATGGTGTATTAAAATGTATTATGAGAATATAGTGACAGTAAATATAGTGATATAGTAGTATAAATATAGTGATTAATGACACGGTCGTGTGACTATAGTGTTTTAATAGTGTAAATATAGTGATATAATTGTTTAAATATCGTGATGTAGTAGTGTAAATATAGCGATATAATTGTTGAAATATATTGATATAGTAGTGTAAATATTGATATACAGTAGTTTAAATGTAGTGATGTAGTAGTGTAAATATAGTTATATAAAAAGTGAGGCATAGAGTAGAGGTAAAGAGGGAGGACCTACCAATAATGGGGAGGGAGTGAGGGAGAACGTACCAATAATGGGGAGGGAGTGAGGGAGGACCTACCAATAATGGGGAGGGAGTGAGGGAGGACCTACCAATAATGGTGAGGGAGGACCTACCAATAATGGTGAGGGAGGACCTACCAATAATGGTGAGGGAGGACCTACCAATAATGGGGAGGGAGGACCTACCAATAATGGGGAGGGAGGACCTACCAATAATGGGGACGGAGTGAGGGAGGACCTACCAATAATGGGGAGGGAGTGAGGGAGGACCTACCAATAATGGTGAGGGAGTGAGGGAGAACGTACCAATAATGGGGAGGGAGAAGGCGAGGTGAGGGAGGGAGATGGCCAGGTAGAGGAGGACGATCAGTGTCAGCAGCAGACTGACACACCCCAACGTCAGCCTCCGTGGTTCTCGCAGGGGAAGCAGGAACTGCACCAGCGTCAGCACAGAGATCACTGCCGGAAGCCAACACACCCAGACTCTCAGTGTAAATAACACCAAATATATTATATTCCCGTGGAAAACTGGCTTTTATTAGCAGTTTAAGTGATATAAACTCTATGAACACTGGAACATAACAGAGAGGACCCACCGCAGGCCGGGATGACGACGGTGGAGGTGAAGATTGGAGAGACTCTGGACATGGTGATCTCCACCCTAATCATGACGTAGGGCTCGGGGCAGCAAGAATAGGTTGTCTGTATGCGTTCTATGCTGCCTTTTACATACTGCCACGAGTGTGAAAACTTCATAAACCAACCGGGTAACACCTGTAATATCACCCACACTGTTACAACTCTCTCACTTTAAGACAATGGAAAAATATTTGGTCTATCTTAACAACCTGTTCTCTTAAAAAGAACGTCGCTTTTGGCCGTTTGCCCGTATGGCCGAATATGGATGTAATTTGAAAATTAAAAAATATTGAAAATAAATTGGGGATTTATTTTTTATTTTAGGTTAGGTGGGCAGGAAATTCTCATAAAAACGTTAATTGAAAGTTCCTCTTCTAAGCTGTCCGAGGGGGGCCGGACGCCTCAAACAGAAAACGGAACAGTACGTCCTTTTGTGAGTCGATTTCATTTCAAATTACGTCCAAATTTGGCCATAGTGCGCATACCAGCCAAAAGTGACGTTATTTTTAAGAGGACGGGTTGTATAACCATTTCTCATAAATCTCAAATACATAGCAGACAGCCAATGAGCATTGTAGAAGAGCAGCAGTCATATTCGTGCCTTTGACAGCCTAGGGTTATAGGCTGATGGTTCAAGTACGTTTATTGAGACAATAAAATACCAACCCGTTCTCGCACTTGCTTATAGTCAATATTGGCTTATTTAATAAGTGCATATGTGAGATACTAATTGATTGTGAATATTTTAGTTTACCTTGAAAAGCTTCATAGAAAACACCGACCTCACCTAACCTTCTTAGTATGTTAAGATAAGCATCTTATTGCTTCTCAATTACAATTAGTACTTAACCTATAGCTGTATTGATATTAGTTTTATAAAAGTAATAGAACAAAACTAAAATATTTCAATAAATTGTAAAGTAACTCAGGATATTTTGAACTTGGGCTGATCCTCGCATGTCTAGTTTTACCGATAAACCTTTCCTCATATGTCGCTAGGAACTCATCTGTTCCAGTAATGTTATGACAAGTCAATACTATTACTCGCTTCGATTGATTGATTGATGAAGATTAAGCCACCCAAGAGGTGGCACGGGCATGAATAGCCCGTAAGTGGTGGCCCTTTTGAGCCATTACCAGTATCAAAAGATGATACTGGAGATCTGTGGAGGCGCAACTGCACCCTGCATGACGGGAGATGTCTCCCGGACCAAGTGGTGACCAAATGGTGTACTCGCTTCGTATTCATTATTAGAATTGTTGTACTTCGTTGTGAGACCCATTGTAAGTCTTATAAATAAACATTATCATTATTATTATTATTATTATTATTATTATTATTATTATTATTATTAAATTCTGTTCGTTAGAAGAGCCAGGCGAGAGGAGATTATCGCGCTTAAAGCGAAATTTTAGTAATGTTATTTACAGTTTATGCTATATACTTGCGAGTTAATATAAATTTAATTTTAAAATCTTGATAATGTAGTCATAAATGTTTTAAAATGTATCAATATATTTTACTAAACGATAATACTGATCATGGAGCGACTACAGAACGAACCTAAAGTATCTCTGCTAATAGTTCCCGAAACGCAGCGTTTACTAGTGGCTTATCTTGAGGTTATCTTGAGATGATTTCGGGGCTTTAGTGTCCCCGCGGCCCGGTCCTCGACCAGGCCTCCACCCCCCAGGAAGCAGCCCGTGACAGCTGACTAACACCCAGGTACCTATTTTACTGCTAGGTAACAGGGGCATAGGGTGAAAGAAACTCTGCCCATTGTTTCTCGCCGGCGCCCGGGATCGAACCCGGGACCATAGGATCACAAGTCCAGCGTGCTGTCCGCTCGGCCGACCGGCTTTACAAGAGTGCAATTACTGTACCATGCTATGTATTCTCACAAACCCAATGTACCTTCTTGTATATAAATAAATAATAAATAGTTTCATACCTTGCTGGCATTATGAAACAGCTGCAAGTCGACATGCCAGCCATGGTAGGCCCAGGCGCCGATGTAGAGTTCGCAAGTCTGAGTGTCGTAGGGCCAGTGAGTGGCGTCTAGGGGGCACTCTGACCTGAAGAGGCCCGGGGGCACCCACAGCACCATCCCATCACTGTACACCAAGGACTTGACGCTGCCGTAGTGGTTGACGTCGGTGATGTCCGCGCTGCAAGAATCATGCCACATGTGTGAGAAAAGTGTATCTACTGTATGCACACTCTGCAAGGCTTCTGAAAATGGGCCCAGCCACTTTGGACTGGATGGTAGAGCGACGGTCTCGCTTCATGCAGGTCGGAGTTCAATCCCCGACCGTCCAAGTGGTTGGGCACCATTCCTTTTCCCCCGTCCCATCCCAAATCCTTATCCTGATTCCTTCCCAGTGCTATATAGTCGTAATGGCTATAGATCCCCCTAGCCAACAATTTTTTTTAATTATTAGGGGAAAGCACCAAGCCATTACGACTTTATAACACTTGGAAGGGGTCAAGATAAGGATTTGGGATGGGACGGGGGAAAGGAATGGTGCTTGAACGGTCGGGGATTGAACACCGACCCGCATGAGGCGAGACCGTCGCTCTACCGTCTAGTCAAAGTAGCTGAGTATTAATTAATAAAATAATTAAATACTCCCTGAATATTTAATTAAAATATTAATTTTGCTTTTATTATTATTATTTTTTAATTATTATTATTATTATTATTATTATTACAGTCTCCGTGGTGTAGTGGTAAGACACTCGCCTGGCGTTCCGCGAGCGCTATGTCATGGGTTCGTATCCTGGCCGGGGAGGATTTATTGGGCGCAATTCCTTAACTGTAGCCTCTGTTTAACGCAAGAGTAAAATGTGTACTTGGTTGTAACAACGATTCTTCGCGGCGGGGAACGTATTCCAGGGACCATAGGATTAAGGACTTGCCCGAAACGCTACGCGTACTAGTGGCTCTACAAGAATGTAACAACTCTTGTACATATCTCAAAAAAAAAGTATATCCTAGCTCTTGTTCACATAGTTTGCAAATTGGAATGTTTACCAAATAGGGAACATTTGAATGGATAGGTAAACATTGGAATGTTTACCAAATAGGGAACATTTGAATGGATAGGTAAACATTGGAATGTTTACCAAATAGGGAACATTTGAATGGATAGGTAAACATTGGAATGTTTACCAAATAGGGAACATTCCAATTGCAGGTAATGAATCCCTATTTTGTAATGAATTGGGGACTCATTATCTGCAACCACCTGCCATAAATATTGGTATAAGAACATAAGAACAAAGGTAACTGCAGAAGGCCTATTGGCCCATACGAGGCAGCTCCTATTTATAACCATCCAATCCCACTCATATACATGTTTATCCCAGACTAGTTCTGGCAATTGCAATATCACACTATATAGTGGATGTTTTGTGCTCTCTGTACATATATTTCTCGGTTCTAAATCAAATTTTATAACTTTTTATACGAGCTTTCGTGTCATGACTGCTCTTCTGCCATAATTGAGGGGCTGGTCCCAAACCTGCACACAGAAATAACACCACATGAGACCAGAAGACATGGCAGGATGTGCAGAATACCCCCGTTGAAAAGCAGAGGTGCAACAGGTACTCTGAGAGAGAACTCTATCAACATCAGAGGCCCGAGACTGTTCAACACGCTTCCACTACACATAAGGGGCATAACTGGCCGACCCCTCACAGGGTTCAAGAGAGAACTATCAACATCAGAGGCCCGAGACTGTTCAACACGCTTCCACTACACATAAGGGACATAACTGGCCGACCCCTCACAGTGTTCAAGAGAGAACTATCAACATCAGAGGCCCGAGACTGTTCAACACGCTTCCACTACACATAAGGGACATAACTGGCCGACCCCTCACAGGGTTCAAGAGAGAACTATCAACATCAGAGGCCCGAGACTGTTCAACACGCTTCCACTACACATAAGGGGCATAACTGGCAAACCCCTCACAGTGTTCAAGAGAGAACTGGATAAGCACCTCCAAAGGATACCTGATCAACCAGGCTGTGACTCATACGTCAGGCTGCGAGCAGCCGCGTCTAACAGCCTGGTTGATCAGTCCAGCAACCAGGAGGCCTGGTCGACGACCGGGCCGCGGGGACACTAAGCCCCGGAAGCACCTCAAGGTAGCCTCAAGGTATCCCTAATTTTCTGAATTTCTGCGGTTTTACACGAAAAACACGAAACAATAGGTGTAAATTGGATAAGTTTAGATTTAGGAAAGACTTGGGTAAATACTGGTTCAGTAACAGGGTTGTTGATTTGTGGAATCAATTGCCGCGTAACATTGTGGAGGTGGGGTCCCTCGATTGTTTCAAGCGTGGGTTGGACATGTATATGAGTGGGATTGGGTGGTTATAAATAGGAGCTGCCTCGTATGGGCCAATAGGCCTTCTGCAGTTGCCTTTGTTCTTATGTTACAACGGAGATTAGGATGCCTAGATGTAACTCAATTTCAGACTTATCACATGCAGTTTTAGCTGAATTGAACAAATCAACAAGGGCCGTGACGAGGATTCGAACCTGCGTCCGGGAGCATCCCAGACACTGCCTTAATCGACTGAGCTACGACAGGGTAAACGGGTTGACAGGTTCAACCCTTTTACCCTGTCGTAGCTCAGTCGATTAAGGATGCTCCAGGAAGCAGGTTCGAATCCTCGTCACAGACCTTGTGGATCTGTTCATTTGATGCATCACGCAATTGTGATTTCTGTGTGTAATGTTTATAATGGATATTAAAACATTCCTAGTATGTTAAATACTGGTTCGGTAACAGGGTTGTTGAGTTGTGGAACCAATTACCGCGTAACGTGGTGGAGGTGGGGTCCCTCGATTGTTTCAAGCGCGGGTTGGACAAGTATATGAGTGGGATTGGGTGGTTATAGATAGGAGCTGCCTCGTATGGGCCAATAGGCCTTCTGCAGTTACCTTTGTTCTTATGTTCTTATGTATCTAGCCTTAGTCTACACAGGTGTTTATGGGTGTGTTTACTAGTGCAAACTTACTTGTTATAGAGGTGAGCTTCAGGGTGCCAGAGCTCACTGTCGTCAAAGTGAACTGATTTGATTCCGGCGAAGTCTTTGTAGTCCCAAGCGAGACGCGGGTCCTTCCAAGTCTGACACAAGAAAGCTATCACAACCTTCTCGTATCTTTACACATAAGATTTATGAAACAAACTGAATTTTATCATATTAACAGCGTTTGAAACATAAAATAATTAAGTTTCTTATGGATAGTGGACAGCTTTCTGTACGAGTTCCTGACCTTAGGCTAACTGGCCACCACGTGCTAGGGACCTGTACAGTGATACAAGTCGACCCGTCGAGTGAACCATGATAGACTTAAGACTTGCAGGTCCCTGACCATGATACACCAAGACTTACAGCTTCCTGACTATGATATACCAAGACTTGCAGCTTCCTGACCATGATACGTCAAGACTTACAGCTCCCTCACCATGATACACCAAGACTTACAGCTTCCTCACCATGATACACCAAGACTTACAGCTCCCTGACCATGATACATCAAGACTTACAGCTCCCTCACCATGATACACCAAGACTTACAGCTTCCTGATCATGATACACCAAGACTTACAGCTCCCTGACCATGATACATCAAGACTTACAGCTCCCTCACCATGATACACCAAGACTTACAGCTTCCTGACCATGATACACCAAGACTTACAGCTTCCTCACCATGATACACCAAGACTTACAGCTTCCTGACCATGATACACCAAGACTTACAGCTCCCTCACCATGATACACCAAGACTTACAGCTCCCTCACCATGATACACCAAGACTTACAGCTCCCTGACCATGATACACCAAGACTTACAGCTTCCTGACCATGATACACCAAGACTTACAGCTCCCTCACCATGATACACCAAGACTTACAGCTTCCTGACCATGATACATCAAGACTTACAGCTCCCTCACCATGATACACCAAGACTTACAGCTTCCTGACCATGATACACCAAGACTTACAGCTCCCTCACCATGATACATCAAGACTTGCAGGTTCCTGACCATGATACACCAAGACTTAAAGCTTCCTCACCATGATACACCAAGACTTACAGCTCCCTGACCATGATACACCAAGACTTAAAGCTTCCTCACCATGATACACCAAGACTTACAGCTCCCTCACCATGATACACCAAGACTTACAGCTCCCTGACCATGATACACCAAGACTTACAGCTCCCTCACCATAATACACCAAGACTTACAGCTCCCTCACCATGATACACCAAGACTTACAGCTCCCTCACCATGATACACCAAGACTTACAGCTTCCTCACCATGATACACCAAGACTTACAGCTCCATGACCATGATACACCAAGACTTACAGCTCCCTGACCATGATACACCAAGACTTACAGCTCCCTCACCATGATACACCAAGACTTACAGCTCCCTCACCATGATACACCAAGACTTACAGCTCCCTCACCATGATACACCAAGACTTACAGCTCCCTCACCATGATACACCAAGACTTACAGCTCCCTCACCATGATACACCAAGACTTACAGCTCCCTCACCATGATACACCAAGACTTACAGCTCCCTCACCATGATACACCAAGACTTACAGCTCCCTGACCATGATACATCAAGACTTACAGCTCCCTGACCATGATACACCAAGACTTACAGCTCCCTGACCATGATACATCAAGACTTACAGCTCCCTCACCATGATACACCAAGACTTACAGCTCCCTGACCATGATACATCAAGACTTACAGCTCCCTCACCATGATACAACAATAATACTCGTATACTGACACGAGTGACTGACTCACTGGAGTATACTGTTAAAAGTTTAGGCTGCATGTAGTAGATTATACCAACCATTCTAAGCCAGGCATTCAGGTTGAATACTTGCTTGTCCTCTTCGATCCACATGCCCATGGGTATGATCCCGAAGTAGGCGGTGGTGGTGCCGTTAGTGTCACGTTGAGGAAGGGCGTTCTTGTCATAGTTCTTCAGAAGCTTCTGTCGTAGCTCCTCCGTCTTGCTCAAGATGGGCGAGTCTGTCGGGGAAGAACACCTTGTAACTGCTGCTCACGAAGACAGTCCCCATTGTACATTTATCGTCACAATGAACTTTAAATATGTGAGTTTTGTAGGTGCTTGAAATATAGCTGAAGGGAGAAATTTGGCAGGTGGTTAGATAATGAGAAGCGCTTGGTGAGAGGTGGATAGGTTGTGAGTTTGATGGATAATGGCGGAAGCAGTGAGGCCGCGTGAGAGGATACTACCACTGAATTGATAAGATGATGAGTGTGGATGGTGTATGTACCTGCTAGGACGCTTCTAACACCCAGAAGTGCTGTCATTGTCACCACCAGCCACGCCATCTTCAACCAACGCTTCTGTTTCTTCCACTGTCTTTGTCGGTGTCCAAGCGCAGGTTAGGTCCTCCCGTCTCTATGCAGAATTTCCTTTGTATTGGCACGATTCTTAATTATACTTAACACAGGCCTCTAAGACGCCAACAGCTCGACTCGTACACAACGTAACAATTCCAATTACTATGTATTAAAGAGAATTCAAGTGTCTATGGTGGCAGCGCTGGAGAGAGCGACGCCTGGAATTGGTGTTATGGTTGAGGGAGCCGAGAGGACTGTAGGGCCAGCTAGCCTGCGTGGGCAGCCCCGCCTCCTGCAGCCCCGTCCAGGGCAGCTAGGCTCAGGTGTCGGGGGCGAGGCATTGACCTGGCACAGCCTTGCCCTCTCCCGTCTCGTTCACTTTTCTTTTTACGTAGGCGAGTACAGGAACAGACGACTGCTGACTCCTGTTAGCAGGCTGAGAGCTTTGCCCTACCATAGCTCATGGTAAGCCTTACCCACTAGTTATCCTAGAATACGACCCGCCAATTAACAACCAAATACCCAATCACTGCTGGGTGAACAGAGACGTCTAGTTAGGATTTGGCGCCTAATCAATTCTTCACTGTTTTCCGCCTCTCATTTGATTTATTAATTACTCAGTAAACTTCGATTGCCCACAGTGTCAACAATTCAAAGTACTGGAAAGGTATTTAAGATTAATAACCATTCCAGTGTTTATTTGACTTCCACCCTCCTTTTACTCTAAGTCATCTGTTTACTAGCATCCTACTTGAGTAAGATCATACATGTTTACAACCCCTACACCCCTGAAGGTAGTTTGGTGGCTAAGGTCACTGTAGTAGACTCTGTTATGAAGCAGTCACTCTCAATATCAATGTCGATGGTTTGCCAAGAATGTAAAAACTACTCATTTAAAATTTGTAAAATATAAACCATATAAACCATTTTATAATATAAATTATAAAATATAAAAAATACGGTAATAAATAAATAATTATATAAGTAAATTAAGTATTAGAGTCTACTGTAATACCCAATTTAAGGAGTCATTAGTTCCAAATTTAAAAAAAAAAAAATGCATTAAATGAAAACTAGTTCGATTTCAGTCAAACTTTTTTGGCTAGTTGTATATGAAATTTGGTTCAACTGGCCCAAGTCTCAGCATCGTAGCATAAATAGGAAGAGAGAAAAAAAATATTGAATTATGAAAATTTTTCCAACATGGTAAAACATCAAACAAGTGTTAACTGAAATCAGGTCTATGACTCTCAGCTATCACAATAACATATATTAAAAAAAAAATTGTAATTAGTTTTATTAAAAAAAATTAAGTTAAACAAAAATTGATTTTTTTTTTCAATTTTATTTGTTTATCGGACGATTTACATGAAACTTATACACCTGACTGCACGTAAGCCTATCTGTAAGGGTGCCAATTTTGGAGGAAATTGGTTGATGTCAACTTCAGCCACAGATGGCAGCACAATTAAAATGTTCCAGTTTAATATGCAAAGTGAGTCATCATCCAAGAATTCGAGAACCCTACAACTTGACTGCCCCTGATCATCACACAACATATGTAAATACGACCAAGTCACCTAAATGTTCACTCACCGAGGACTGAGTCTAAGTTGAATAGAGAGGGGGGGGGGGGGGTCTGCAATTTTCAGGCAGCGTCACCCCCCGTCTGGTGACGGCCTATCTCGATGGCTGGCCTCTGCTCTGCTCCGCTGGCCGGTCTCCTATTGCTTAATGCTCGATAGCTCTCCGAGTTTATATTGGGGAACCTAGTAGCTAACTCCGCCCACAAGTAGATAGCCTCCGGCACTACCAAGCCACTCCTTAAACGTCGGCATGTTTGAAGGCTACCCGGCTCCAATTATACGCTTAGCGGAAGCAAGGTGAAATTCTCATGATCTGACCTCAGGTCACTTGGGGTCGTTAACGGTTAGAGGAGTGAGATCTCAGGCAGACAACTGGCGCCTCTCCGATCCTTGTCTGTGACTCATGTACTCTATGTATGTATTAACCTAAACCAAACACTTTTACAGTGTTACATCTCCCCTTCTCCCCGAAAATAAAGTTTTTGCAACACTGCTAAAGCAAGCTAGCTGTGTGCGACAACTTTATTAACGAAAAGAATACATCCTAGCTAAACAAATATACATCATCCTATTCTAAAAAATGAAATATGTAGACAGACGTCCATTGTCTCTGGCTGGGCGACGTCACTGCTTGGTCTTGTAGATAATCCTGTACCACATTTCTTCAACACAACTGCCTCCGTCGCTTCTCCGTCGTTAACGCACAACAACACTTGGTCAACCCGAAAGCCGTTACTACTTGAACTGCGCACAGGACCGTGGAATTCGGTTGTCCCAGCTGATCTGTAATTGGCCCTACGTCAGTCACCATGAGAGACGTATATTGGGGTTCTTCACAGCTATAGGGACTACAAGTTTCGAGACCTTCATATAGTTGCCAACAGTAGAAATCCCATCCTACTCTTCTTCCTCCCTGTTGCTCCAGCACGCCTCCTTCAGAGAGCTACTTCTGACAGCCACATCAAGTCCGCATGACACAGGAAGAATCACTCAACAGAGCAACATGCTTGTAGGAGGTTTATCTGGACGATTTACATGAAACTTATACACCTGACTGCACGTAAGCCTATCTGTAAGGGTGCCAATTTTGGAGGAAATTGGTTGATGTCAACTTCAGCCACAGATGGCAGCACAAAGGGGCCTCGTAGCCTGGTGGATATCGCGCAGGACTCGTAATTCTGTGGCGCGGGTTCGATTCTCGCACGAGGCAGAAACAAATGGGCAAAGTTTCTTTCACCCTGAATGCCCCTGTTACCTAGCAGTAAAATAGGAACCTGGGTGTTAGTCAGCTGTCACGGGCTGCTTCCTGGGGGTGGAGGCTTGGTCGAGGACCGGACCGCGGGGACACTAAAGCCCCGAAATCATCTCAAGATAACCTCAAGATAACCTTAGACTTTATTATTTTTAATGATTTATATTTCAAGTAAGATGTATGAGTTGGTACTTGTCATGTTCACAGAAAATGGTACCATCCGTTTTCTATGTGCGGCGGCTGGGACGCCAGAGAGAGAGAAGGTAAACAAGAGAGCGTACAGGACGCCCGCCAAGCTTGGTAGCTACTAGTCATGTAATCATATTAAGTATTAAACTCAGTAACCAAGTCATGACTTTACATCAACCCTACAACCAAGACTTCCTCAGTAACACACAAACACCACAGTACTCTTTCATTTTTATTCAATTTACATGAAACTTACACCTTATATGTAAAGTTTTTGTCTCTACAATCTGAAGGAAGCGTTTTTTTCTAAGTTCATTTATTGATTTTATAAATAACAATAAACATGATATATTTGCATAATTTTTTTTGGGAGGGGGACTTTGACTATTTGTATTAGGACAACTAAAGATGTTTTGGAAAATCCCTTCCTACAGATCCTTTATTATTCATTATGCCCGAAACGCTTTGCGTAATAGTGGCTTTAGGCATTGTATGTACTAGCTCTACCTATAAGTCAACCAATCTTTGTAAAAATTTCTTGTATGTATGTACCTTATCTAAATAAACATTTTTTTTTTTTTTTTTGCTAATGTGTCAGAAAAGTCCCATAGAATGATTATATCTAAAAAGGGGAAAAGTTTGAACTCGCTTGAAAATGTGTAATATTTTTGAAAAAACAGAATAAAAATTAAATTTCTCTTTCTATTTAGGCTGCAGTACTGAAACTTGAAACAATTGCAGCCCTTTTCATATACAACTAGTCAAAAAATTTTCTTTGACATTGAACAACTTTTAAGAAACTAATATAAGAGCCCCATTTAATATATTAAAATTATTATTGAATGTGATGAATTGTCTGCTAATTACCTCCTTTGTAAATATGTCTTATGAAATCTATGGTAAATTAATTATAATTATTATTTAATAAATATTTAATACTTAGTCTAGGGGTTGTTTATAAAAATAATTAGAGTAAGAAGAGCCAGGGACATTGAAACTATAATATAGCATGTTTATAAGATATAATATATAGCAAGTTACAGCATAAATAATACATTATAATAGTAGAGTGCAGAGAATAAGTCACAATATAAATGTTCAATTAAAATTTAATTAAAATAACGCCAATTAATTAATATTTTAATTAATATGTCCATACATGGCTTCATAAAAGTTGGGACCAAAACGTCGACTCTTTCTTGTTACTTAATGTTACGTGTGGGCTGGAGTGGTAGTGGTGGTAGTGGTAGTGGTGGTAGTGGTGGTAGTAGGCTTAAAACATGTTATCTCAAAATCTTTACCATATTGTGAAATAAATTTGAGTGTTGAGAAATGCCGGTGGAGGCGGCTAGTTTATTGTGCACCCCATACTCATCCTGTGAGCGGTAGCGCAAAAATGCATTACAAAGGGCACAAATATGCATGTATTTTACATTTCATTTACAAAATGTATTTTGTAATACTCAAAATATATTTTGAATATTACAAAACAATACACACACCCCATACTCAACTCCCAGGATGAGTATGGGGTGCACAATAGAGTACAACTCACAGGATGAGTATGGGGTGCACAATAAACTAGCGGAACATGGCGGCCAGGCGTCAACATAGGGGGTGGAGTAACCAGCTTATACAATGGGTCGCGTTACACAGACGTAATGATACTGGAGACCCTTGTCCTGGGGAAAGGGGGAGGGTACGCCCTTTTGCATCAGGACACCTGTGTCCTGGTGGTGGGAGAGGTGTCCTGGTGGTGAGGGAGGGTGTCCTGGTGGTGGGGGAGGTGTCCTGGTGGTGGGGGAGGGTGTCCTGGTGGTGGGGGAGGTGTCCTGGTGGTGTGGGAGATGTCCTGGTGGTGGGGGAGGTTCCTGGTGGTGGGGGAGGGTGTCCTGGTGGTGGGGGAAGGTGTCCTGGTGGTGGGGGAGGTGTCCTGGTGGTGAGGGAGGTGTCCTAGTGGTGGGGGGAGGTGTCCTAGTGGTGGGGGGAGGTGTCCTAGTGGTGGGGGAAGGTGTCCTGGTGTGGGGGAAGGTGTCCTAGTGGTGGGGGAGGTGTCCTAGTGGTGGGGGAGGTGTCCTGGTGGGGGTGGAGCTGTCCTGGTGGGGGGAGGTGTCCTGGTGGTGGGGGAGGTGTCCTGGTGGTGGGGGAGTGTCCGGTGGTGGGGAGGTGTCCCTGGTGGTGGGGGATGTTCTCCTGGTGGTGGGGGGGGGGTAAGGTGTCCTGGTGGTGGGGAGGTGTCCTAGTGGTGGGGGAGGTGTCCTGGTGGTGGTGGAGCTTGTCCTGGTGGTGGGGGAGGTGTCCTGGTGGTGGGAAGGTGTCCTGGTGTTGGAGGTGTCCTGGTGTTGGGGGGAGGTGTTCCTGGTGGTGGGGGAAGGTTTGTCCTGGTGGTGGGGGAGGTGTCCTGGTGGTGAGGGATGGTGTCCTAGTGGTGTGTGGGGTGTGTCCTAGTGGTGGGGGGAGGTGTCCTAGTGGTGGGGGGAGGTGTCCTAGTGGTGGGGGAAGTGTCCTGGTGGTGGGGGAGGTGTCCTGGTGGTGGGATAGGTGTCCTGGTGGTGGGGAGATGTGCCTGGTGGTGGGGGAAGGTGTCCCTGGTGTTGGGGGGAGGTGTCCTGGTGGTGGGGTAGGTGTCCTGGTGGTGGGGGAGGTGTCCTGGTGGTGGGGGAGGTTCCTGGTGGTGGAGGAGGTGTTCTGGTGGTGGGGGGAGGTGTCCTGGTGGTGGGGGAGGTGTCCTGGTGGTGGAGGAGGTGTCCTGGTGGTGGGGGGAGGTGTCCTAGTGGTGGGGGGAGGTGTCCTGGTGGTGGGGAGGTGTCCTGGTGGTGGGGGGAGGTGTCCTGGTGGTGGGGGAGGTGTCCTGGTGGTGGGGGAGGTGTCCTGGCCACCGTGGAGGAGGTGTCCTGGTGGTGGGGGAGGTGTCCTGGTGGTGTGAGGAGGTGTCCTGGTGGGGGTGGGGGAGGTGTCCTGGCCACCGTGGGGGGGTGTCCTGGTGGTGGGGGGAGGTGTCCTGGTGGTGGGGGAGGTGTCCTGGTGGTGGGGGAGGTGTCCTGGTGGTGGAGGAGGTGTTCTGGTCACCGTGGGGGAGGTGTTCTGGTGGTGGGGGAGGTGTCCTGGTGGTGGAGGGAGGTGTCCTGGCCACCGTGGAGGAGGTGTCCTGGTGGTGGGGGGAGGTGTCCTGGTGGTGGGGGGAGGTGTCCTGGTGGTGGGGGAGGTGTCCTGGTGGTGGGGGAGGTGTCCTGGTGGTGGGGGAGGTGTCCTGGTGGTGGGGGAAGGTGTCCTGGTGGTGGGGGAGGTGTCCTGGTGGTGGGGGAGGTGTCCTGGTGGTGGGGGAGGTGTCCTGGTGGTGGGGGAGGTGTCCTGGTGGTGGGGGAGGTGTTCTGGTGGTGGCGGACCAACACTACCTCCAGAAGCACACATAAACAGGATAACATCAGCAGCATATGGGACGCTGGTAAACGTATAAGAACTCCAGTCGTCATAGGTTATACAACAGCTTCTCCCGTTTTCTCTCGCATGAGAGGGGAGACTCAGACGGGAGCGACGTAGGCGATGAGAGTAATGACGAAGGCGGCGACGAAGGTGATGGCGGCGAGGCGGTCGAGGGCGGCGGCCACCAGCAGCCACTCATGGAGGTAGGATGCAGGACGGGTCTCCTCCAGGACCTCTCCGTCCTCAGCCCCGCCTCCGCTCAGACCAACCTGTATATGTTTTTATAAATAATAAATAACGAGGATTTTACACATTTCTCCAGTTTGTGTTTACTAATACTGCATCTACTACTTACGACAATATATTCAACCCGTCCTCATACAAATAACGTAGTTTTTCGCCCGTATGCGCGCTATGGCCAAAAACTGACTTAATTTGAAATGAAATCGGCTCACGAAAGTGATGTACTGTCCCGTTTTCTGTTTGAGTCCTCCGGCTTACTCGGTTAGGTTAGGAGAGGAAACTAATTAACTCGGTTAGGTTAGGAGAGGAAACTAATTAACTCGGTTAGGTTAGGAGAGGAAACTAATTAACTCGGTTAGGTTAGGAGAGGAAACTAATTAACTCGGTTAGGTTAGGAGAGGAAACTAATTAACTCGGTTAGGTTAGGAGAGGAAACTAATTAACTCGGTTAGGTTAGGAGAGGAAACTAATTAACTCGGTTAGGTTAGGAGAGGAAACTACTTAACTCGGTTAGGTTAGGAGAGGAAACTAATTAACTCGGGTTAGGTTAGGAGAGGAAACTAATTAACTCGGTTAGGTTAGGAGACGAAACTAATTAACTCGGTTAGGTTAGGAGAGGAAAACTAATTAACTCGGTTAGGTTAGGAGAGGAAAACTAATTAACTCGGTTAGGTTAGGAGAGGAAACTAATTAACTCGGTTAGGTTAGGAGAGGAAACTAATTAACTCGGTTAGGTTAGGAGAGGAAACTAATTAACTCGGTTAGGTTAGGAGAGGAAACTAATTAACTCGGTTAGGTTAGGAGAGGAAACTAATTAACTCGGTTAGGTTAGGAGAGGAAACTAATTAATGTATACAAATACTTGATCCTGTATGACTTTCCACTCTACTAGTAATGTCGATATGTAATACAAATTTTATGAATTTTATTTTCCAATTTAAAAAAGTGACAATGGTTTATGACTTAATTATGACTTAGGTTTTAATTTTTAAGTGCTAAAGCGTCGTAATGGCTTGGCTATCTTTAGGATATCTTGAGATGATTTCGGGGCTTACCGTCCCTGCGGCCCAGTCCTCGACTAAGCCTGTTTTTTTTTGTTACACATCCCCAAGAAGCAGCCCGTAGCAGCTGTCTAACTTCCGGATACCTATTTACTGCTAGGTGAACAGACGCATCATGATGAAAGAAACTGCTTATTTGTTTCCGCCTCCATTGGGGATCGAACCCAAGACCTTAGGCCTTCGAATCCCGAGCGCTGTCCACACAGCCATCAGGCTGAGTGGACAGCGCTCGGGATTCACAGCGAGGGATTCAGCGCTCGGGATTCAGTGGACAGCGCTCGGATTCGGGATTCGCCCCCTTTTCCCTTTATAAATATCTTGCTGTGTTTAGGTTAGATTGATGCAGCTGGAGTATGAGCTTGGAGTGAAGCACACCTCGAGTCATAGCTTCAACTGAGCTTAACAGCTACTTACTACAAAATAAGCATTTTGAAGTTGTACAATATAAAAACTTGGTAATGACGATGCGCCAGTTTTTGTACTTAGCTGTAGTCACTAAGCCCAATTTATTATTTAAATTGACATTAGTACTGTAAAAGAGTCTGCTACAGGCGAGGAGTCACAATAACGTGGCTGAAGTATGTTGACCAGACCACACACTAGAAAGTGAAGGGACGACGGCGTTTCGGTCCGTCCTGGACCATTCTCAAGTCGATTCTCACAATCGACTTGAGAATGGTCCTGGACGGACCGATACGTCATCGTCCCTTCACCTTCTAGTGTGTGGTCTGGTCAACAAGAGTCTGCTCTTTTGACAGTCGGAAAAGAATGATGGTCCCGTTGTCATCAAAAAAAAAAAAAACGCTTGCTGGCTGATGACCCAACAGTACTCATCGAAATAAAAAAATGCCCAAACTCCATTTATTGTCCGATAATTATGAGACTTGTTTTAAAATGCGTGTCATTCTATTGCGAATAATTCGACACTAAAATGAATGCCGTAGCACGAAAATAACGTCAGAAAACGGGAAAAAATGTAAACATTGGAGTGTGGCGGAGCGCCCGGCCGACCTTGGGAGTTTGGCGGGAAAGGGGGTGTGGGCCGGGCAGACCAAAGTGTTAAATTTACATATATCAGTTTCAGCTTTCAACTTCGGATATGCCGTTAGTGTCAATATCCGCTAGGCAACATATGTTGCAATTATTTTGCGATTTTCAGCATTGACGTAGATGATTGAGTTAGTAATTATTGAATATTAGATATTAATTAGATCTTAAGTCATTGCACATCCTCTCCTGCGTACTCTATATATTTAAAACTCTGAACTGCAATGTCAATCCTGACCTTAGAAGCTTCCTAGAAGGTTGTAACAGATCCCATGAGCACCACACCAGAAACAAATACCTATTTGATATTCCAAGAGTACGACTTAACCAAACTAGAAATGCTCTACAAATCAAGGGACCCAGAATATGGAATGACCTTCCCAATCATGTCAAAGGCTGTACCTCTCTCAACCAGTTTAAGAGTAGAACTAAGTACTACTTAATTAACTCCATGTAATCTACCTTACCTGGGCAGAGTTTCTTTCACCCTATGCCCCTGTTACCTAGCAGTAAAATAGGTACCTGGGTGTTAGTCAGCTGTCACGGGCTGCTTCCTGGGGGTGGAGGCCTGGTCGAGGACCGGGTCGAGGCCTGGTCGAGGACCGGGTGGAGGCCTGGTCGAGGACCGGGCCGCGGGGACACTAAAGCCCCGAAATCATCTCAAGATAACCTCAAGATATGGCTTGATAATGGTCCAAGATGGACAGAAACGTATGAACACATGGCTTGATAATGGTCCAAGATGGACAGAAACGTCGTCGTTTCTGTCCATCTTCTGAAGTATGGTTTGGTCATCACTGTCTGAACTTATCATGCCTTCTAAAGTTCCACCTCTAAGACTTGTGTAGGGAAAAGTTAGGTATGCAGACGATGAGTCACAATAACGTGGCTAAAGTAAGTTGGCCAGACCACACACTAGAAGGTGAAAGGACGACGACGTTTCGGTCCGTCCTGGACCATTCTCATGTCACAATCGACTTGAGAATGGTCCAGGACGGACCGAAACGTCGTCGTCCCTTCACCTTCTAGTGTGTGGTCTCGTCAAAGTTAGGTATGTTTAACCCAGCAAACACACAGCGAAACTCCGACGTTGGTACTACGTTCGAACAAGTTTTTAACACCTAACCAGTTATAGCAACCAATATAGCACGTTGTAACAGCGTTCTAATACGTCATAAACACGTTAAGCCAAGATGTAACAACTTTATTACAAGTTGTAACAAGCGGAAAAAAAGGACTGTTACGGTGTGTGTTTCCAGGGTTAAGTCATCTGTGACGACCTCCGCCAGCTTATTAACTGTTATTAACGCTAACATTGGTCTAACTCCCAGGTACATATTTGCTTCTATGTGAACAGAGGCATCGGGTGTAAGGAAAAGTGCCTAAACAACTCGCCAACATTGCCCTGCCCGGGAATCGAACCCGGAACTAGTCAGTTATGAGGTGACTGCACTAACAACTGAACTAGAGCCAAGGTAGCAGGCATACAACCATACGACAGAGGTAACAGAGCCACTCACCTTCTCTGTGTAGTCGTGAAGGAAGAGTATGTTAGCGAGGGGTCCCGTGAGCAGCTTCTTGAGGCTGAGCGGCGGAGGTTGGGCGAGGTGCGGCCCTTGGGTCAGGCGCAGGAGACCCCCACTCACCACTAGACTCGTCACCACCACCACCAACGTCTGTCCGTAGAACCGCACTGTCCGAACACATACCATAATCAAGTACAATCTTTGAAATATGTAAATGGAGTCACAGACATTAACCTGACCGATGGATAGCGGGTTTTATTCCTATTGGGGGGTGTTGTACATGCTGCTATGGCGGTGTGTCCACTCACAGGATGAGTGGAGCGACCCAATACTGTCACTATGGCGGTGTGTCCACTCACAGGATGAGTGGCGCTGCCCAATACTGTCACTATGGCGGTGTGTCCACTCACAGGATGAGTGACGCTGCCCAATACTGTCACTATGGCGGTATGGCGAGTGTGTCCACTTACAGGATGAGTGGCGCTGCCCAATACTGTCACTATGGCGGTGTGTCCACTCACAAGATGAGTGGCGCTGCCCAATACTGTCACTATGGCGGTGTGTCCACTCACAGGATGAGTGGCGCTGCCCAATACTGTCACTATGGCGGTGTGTCCACTCACAGGATGAGTGGCGCTGCCCAATACTGTCACTATGGCGGTGTATCCACTCACAGGATGAGTGGCGCTGCCCAATACTGTCACTATGGCGGTGTGTCCACTCACAGGATGAGTGGCGCTGCCCAATACTGTCACTATGGCGGTGTGTCCACTCACAGGATGAGTGGCGCTGCCCAATACTGTCACTGTGGCGGTGTGTCCACTCACAGGATGAGTGACGCTGCCCAATACTGTCACTATGGCGGTGTGTCCACTCACAGGATGAGTGGCGCTGCCCAATACTGTCACTATGGCGGTGTGTCCACTCACAGGATGAGTGGCGCTGACCAATACTGTCACTATGACGGTGTGTCCACTCACAGGACGAGTGGCGCTGCCCAATACTGTCACTATGGCGGTGTGTCCACTCACAGGATGAGTGGCGCTGCCCAATACTGTCACTATGGCGGTGTGTCCACTCACAAGATGAGTGACGCTGCCCAATACTGTCACTATGGCGGTGTGTCCACTCACAGGATGAGTGGCGCTGCCCAATACTGTCACTATGGCGGTGTGTCCACTCACAGGATGAGTGGCGCTGCCCAATAAACTCGACCCTCGGGGCAAGATTATAAAAAAAATCAACAATTGTCTAATTCCTGGCATAACACGTCCTCCAAGCTATGCTCGTCCATGGAACAGCCTACCCTAAAAACACCCTCATCAGTTAAAGTACTGAGCATTAAATGAACAAATCCACAAGGGCCGTGACGAGGATTCGAACCTGCGTCCGAGAGCATCCCAGACGCTGCCTTAATCGACTGAGCTACGACATGGTCAAAAGAGTTGAAACCGAAGTTCTACTGAACTTACATTAAAGTTGCATTAAAACATTAAAAACTGAGCATTAAAATTAGATTAACACAACAGTCCCGCGATGTGGTTCGTAAATTAATATTATTATATATTAGAATTTGGTGTATAGTTAGGAGTTAATTAGATTCTGTTGACAATTATTGGTATTTCAACCTGTGCTAGTGTAGATTAGACAGGTCTTGATCTATACTTTGTAATCTGTGATATAGAATAGGGGAGCACACTGTGGTGTGTGTACCTATTGTTCTTATTTAAGATTCGCTACTTGGAACAAAAAGCTCCCAGTAGCACGGGCTATGGTGAGCCCGTAGTGGACTTACCTGGCACAGGAGCGGGGGCAAGTAGCACGGGCTATGGTGAGCCCGTAGTGGACTTACCTGGCACAGGAGCGGGGCAAGTAGCACGGGCTATGGTGAGCCCGTAGTGGACTTACCCGGCACAGGAACGGGGCAAGTAGCACGGGCTATGGTGAGCCCGTAGTGGACTTACCTGGCACAGGAGCGGGGCAAGTAGCACGGGCTATGGTGAGCCCGTAGTGGACTTACCTGGCACAGGAGCGGGGCAAGTAGCACGGGCTATGGTGAGCCCGTAGTGGACTTACCTGGCACAGGAGCGGGGCAAGTAGCACGGGCTATGTGAGCTAGTGGACTTACCTGGCACAGGAGCGGGGCAAGTAGCACGGGCTATGTGAGCCTTACCTGGCACAGTAGTGGACTTACCTGGCACAGGAGCGGGGCAAGTAGCACGGGCTATGGTGAGCCCGTAGTGGACTTACCTGGCACAGGAGCGGGGCCAGTAGCACGGGCTATGGTGAGCCCGTAGTGGACTTACCTGGCACAGGAGCGGGGCCAGTAGCACGGGCTATGGTGAGCCCGTAGTGGACTTACCTGGCACAGGAGCGGGGCAAGTAGCACGGGCTATGGTGAGCCCGTAGTGGACTTACCTGGCACAGGAGCGGGGCAAGTAGCACGGGCTATGGTGAGCCCGTAGTGGACTTACCTGGCACAGGAGCGGGGCCAGTAGCACGGGCTATGGTGAGCCCGTAGTGGACTTACCTGGCACAGGAGCGGGGCCAGTAGCACGGCTATGGTGAGCCCGTAGTGGACTTACCTGGCACAGGAGCGGGACAAGTAGCACGGGCTATGGTGAGCCCGTAGTGGACTTACCTGGCACAGGAGCGGGGCAAGTAGCACGGGCTATGGTGAGCCCGTAGTGGACTTACCTGGCACAGGAGCGGGGCAAGTAGCACGGGCTATGGTGAGCCCGTAGTGGACTTACCTGGCACAGGAGCGGGGCTGTAACTGTCGTGGTGTGTACCTAACCTTGCTAACAATAAATACAAGGTTGGGGGAGCTCACCAATGATGGGGATGGAGGTGCCGAGGGGAGGGATGGCGTGGGCGAGGTAGAGGAGCTGGAGGAGGGTGAGGAGGACGGCCGTGCACCCCACTGTCACCCTCTTGCTGTGGCTCACTGGCAGCAGGAACTGCACCAGCGTCGACACCGACACAACTGTGATAATGACACAGAAATTACATTAATGTGATCAGTGAGGAAATCCATTAGGGCTGTAAGGTGGGCTCGAACCTACGGCCGGGGCGGTGCCAAGCCGCATATACTCTACCAAGTTCAAGTATGTTTATTGAGACCAGAAAATCATACTCTGCCATTAGTTGTTGAGGAGTAAGGTGTAGGATCACTTTGCCCTTCCACCAGAGGCCTCGTAGCCTGGTGGATAGCGCGCAGGACTCGTAATTCTGTGGCGCGGGTTCGATTCCCGCACGAGGCAGAAACAAATGGGCAAAGTGTCTTTCACCCTGAATGCCCCTGTTACCTAGCAGTAAATAGGTACCTGGGTGTTAGTCAGCTGTCACGGGCTGCTTCCTGGGAGTGGAGGCCTGGTCGAGGACCGGGCCGCGGGGACACTAAAGCCCCGAAATCATCTCAAGATAACCGCAAGAAGGCCTTGTGGGTCATATGTAAAACCTGGACTGGCTCCAGTAGGGGCCTCCAGACTTCCTGTGATTTCAGTAGGAATCCGGTTGTATGACTTTTTTACAAGTTACGGTGGTCTAGTGGTAGAGTATGCGGCTGGGCATTGCCTTGGTCCTAGGTTCGTACCCTCCTCACTGGCCTAGTGGATTTTCTCAATAATAATAATAATAATAATTGTATTCATAAAAAATATATAAGAACATATTTTAGTTTATTTCTAGGTAGAGAGGAACCATATTATGTAAAGCCAGTTTTAAACAAAACGTTTCTGACATAATTTAATAGGAAGCTAACGTATATGATTTGTTCAAAAAATTTATCAAATGAGACACAATATATATATATTTTTTTTTTTGAGATATATACAAGAGTTGTTACATTCTTGTAGAGCCACTAGTACGCGTAGCGTTTCGGGCAAGTCCTTAATCCTATGGTCCCTGGAATACGATCCCCCGCCGCGAAGAATCGTTGTTACAACCAAGTACACATTTTACTGTTGCGTTAAACAGAGGCTACAGTTAAGGATTTGCGCCCAGTAAATCCTCTCCGGCCAGGATACGAACCCATGACATAGCGCTCGCGGAACGCCAGGCGAGTGTCTTACCACTACACCACGGAGACTTAATATAGATGATACTTGTAGACTGTGTAGTTTTAGCAACAGTATAGATATAGTATTTAACAGTGATAGCAAAAAAACACAAAATTGGCTTATTTTGGATGAGGAAATGTAAGTGAAATTTGTTACATGATGTCAATTAGATATTCCTTCAACCTGTCTTCTTACAAGTTACGTCTGAATTTGGCCGTTTGTTGACCAGACCACACACTAGAAGGTGAAGGGACGACGACGACGTTTCGGTCCGTCCTGGACCATTCTCAAGTCGATTGGCCGTTTGCCCGTATGGCCGAAAATGGACGTAATTTGAAAATGAAAAAAATTGAAAATAAATTTCGGATTTTTTTTTTCCAAAACAGTAAGTTAAAGGTCCTCTGGTAGGTTAGGTGGGCAGGAAATTCTTCTAAAGTTTCAAAACGTCGTGAAAAACGTTAATGGAAAGTTTCCTCTCTCAACCTTTCCGAGTAAGCCGGAGGACTCAAACAGAAAACGGGACAGTACGTCACTTTCGTAAGCCGATTTCATTTCAAATTATGTCCATTTTTGGCCTATGAGATGATTTCGGGGCTTTTTAGTGTCCCCGCGGCCCGGTCCTCGACCAGGCCTCCACCCCCAGGAAGCAGCCCGTGACAGCTGACTAACACCCAGGTACCTATTTTACTGCTAGGTAACAGGGCATAAGGTGAAAGAAACTGCCCATTGTTTCTCGCCGGCGGCCTGGATCGAACCCGGGACCACAAGATCACAAGTCCAGCGTGCTGTCCGCTCGGCCGACCGGCTCCCACACCATTCTCAAATCAAAGGCACAATCGACTTGAGAATGGTCCAGGACGGACCGAAACGTCGTCGTCCGTTCACCTTCTAGTGTGTGGTCTGGTAAACATACTTCAGCCACGTTATTGTGACTCATCGCCTGTATGTTCTTACACTTTCGAAAGAAGTCTTAGATGAGGAACTTTTAATCAAATACCTTCAGAAATCTTAGGTATTTTACGGTTACTGCCTCGCTTTTTCGTAGTTTAATTCATGCAGGTCGGCGTTCAATCCCCTCGACCGTCCACAAGTGGTTGGCCACCATTCCTTCCCTCCGTCCCACCCCAAATCCTTATCCTGACCCCCTTCCAAGGTGCTATATAGTCGTAATGGCTTGGCGCTTTCCCCTCTGATAATTCCCTCCCTCATTTAATATGCACTCCGTACCCATCCTGTGAGTGACAGACTACACAGGCACTTAATGGCCCCGGGCAGAGCAGAAGAAGTTGTTAAACACATATGGCAAAATCTTATTGAAGCGACCATACGAGTCATAAATACTCATACTCCGCCCAAGTAAAACAGAAACAAGCAACACTTAGTGGGCCAGCCAGAGGCTTAGGGCCCGCCCAGTGGGCCAGCCAGAGGCTTAGGGCCCGCCCAGTGGGCCAGCCAGAGGCTTAGGGCCCGCCCAGTGGGCCAGCCAGAGGCTTAGGGCCCGCCCAGTGGGCCAGCCAGAGGCTTAGGGCCCGCCCAGTGGGCCAGCCAGAGGCTTAGGGCCCGCCCAGTGGGCCAGCCAGAGGCTTAGGGCCCGCCCAGTGGGCCAGCCAGAGGCTTAGGGCCCGCCCAGTGGGCCAGCCAGAGGCTTAGGGCCCGCCCAGTGGGCCAGCCAGAGGCTTAGGGCCCGCCCAGTGGGCCAGCCAGAGGCTTAGGGCCCGAGCAGGAATATCCCTGAAAAAAAAAATGGCTCCGGGAACTCAATCTCCAAATTCGTTTAGCTAGGCAGTTTAAAGCATTGTTTATAATTCTCTATAAATGGGCGTTTAAACATTATAATGGGCGAGGGTGGAAAGGCTGAAACCACGTGTATGTATTTCCTTCACAGCAAATCGGATATTTGACTAAGATTTTCGGTTGTTCATTTCGAATGATATACTTAAATATTTCATGAACAGAGTAACAGAGCTATCGCAGGATGGGTATGGGGTCCACCTCCGCCCACAAGATGGGTATGGGGTCCACCTCCGCCCACAAGATGGGTATGGGAGTCCCACCTTCGCCCACAAGATGGGTATGGGGCTCATAATAAATGAACAACAAATAACATTAACTTAATTCTTGACATTCCTAAGACAGTAGCTCGGGTTCATGTAGCTGAAGAGAGTCACTATTCTTATATCACTATAGTACAATAACTAGAAGAGTAGACTGACCGCAGGCCGGGAGGACTACGGTGGAGACAAAGGACGGAGAGTTGCGGGTGATGGTGAACTCGGCGTGCATGGTGTAGTAAGGCTCGGGCACGTCTTCGTACCAGAAGTCGAGGCGTCGCAGGGTCCCGCCGTTCACGTGCCAATGGGACGACGTCTTCAGGTTGTACCGGTTGGTTAGCTGAAGCGGTAACATGTAATGCTTAGTTAGTTCTTAGCCCATAACACCGGCATTATCTTCTCTGACACTCAGTAGCTGCCCCGAAGATCTGGGGCCAGATTCATGAAGCAGTTACGCAAGCACTTACGAACCTGTCCATCTTTTCTCAATCTTTGGCGGCGTTGTTTCCAATTATTAAACAGTTAATGAGCTCGGAAGCACCAGGAGGCTGTTTATAACAATAACAACAGTTGATTGGCAAGTTTTCATGCTTGTAAACTGTTTAATAAATGTAACCAAAGCCGTCAAAGATTGAGGAAAGATGTACACGTTCGTAAGTACTTGCGTAACTGCTTCGTGAATCTGGGCTCTGTACATCTTTTCTCAATCTTTGGCGGCTTTGTTTACAATTATTAAACAGTTAATGAGCTCGGAAGCACCAGGAGGCTGTTTATAACAATAACAACAGTTGATTGGCAAGTTTTCATGCTCGTAAACTGTTTAATAAATGTAACCAAAGCCGTCAAAGATTGAGGAAAGATGGACACGTTCGTAAGTACTTGCGTAACTGCTTCGTGAATCTGGGCTCTGTGCATCTTTTCTCAATCTTTGGCGGCTTTGTTTACAATTATTAAACAGTTAATGAGCTCGGAAGCACCAGGAGGCTGTTTATAACAATAACAACAGTTGATTGGCAAGTTTTCATGCTTGTAAACTGTTTAATAAATGTAACCAAAGCCGTCAAAGATTGAGGAAAGATGGACACGTTCGTAAGTACTTACGTAACTGCTTCGTGAATCTGGCCCCAGGTTCGTTAAGTACTTGCGTAACTTCATCGTGAATCTGGCCCCTGTTTATCGCACCCGAAGTGCCAAGTTACAGTACCCATTTGAACCTCGTTAGTGCCCTAAGGTATCATACCATGGGATGTTACATGTTGGTAGTGAGCCGGGTTAAGGTATCATGCTGGGGAGTACTACTGGTACCTTTTGGTCCCCGTGAATGGCTAAAAGAGATACAGGATTGTAGATAGTCTCTCCCTACCTTGTGTGGGTTAGACCCTTGATAGTCTCTCCCTACCTTGTGTGGGTTAGACCCTTGATAGTCTCTCCCTACCTTGTGTGGGTTAGACCCTTGATAGTCTCTCCCTACCTTGTGTGGGTTAGACCCTTGATAGTCTCTCCCTACCTTGTGTGGGTTAGACCCTTGATAGTCTCTCCCTACCTTGTGTGGGTTAGACCCTTGATAGTCTCTCCCTACCTTGTGTGGGTTAGACCCTTGATAGTCTCTCCCTACCTTGTGTGGGTTAGACCCATGATAGTCTCTCCCTACCTTGTGTGGGTTAGACCCATGATAGTCTCTCCCTACCTTGTGTGGGTTAGACCCTTGATAGTCTCTCCCTACCTTGTGTGGGTTAGACCCATGATAGTCTCTCCCTACCTTGTGTGGGTTAGACCCTTGATAGTCTCTCCCTACCTTGTGTGGGTTAGACCCATGCAGAGATACAACCCGTTCTCGCAAATTCGTAAAGTCAATATTGACTTATTAACTACGTGCATAGGTGATATACTAAACATAATAGATACCCTTAAAAAGATTCATAGAAAACACCGACCTTACCTAACCTTGTTAGTATCTTAAGATAAGCATCTTATTGCTTCGTAATTACAATTATTACTTAACTTATACCTATTATAGGTTAGGTAATAATTGTAATTACGAAGCAACAAGATGCTTATCTTAACAACCCGTTCTCGCACTTTCGTATAGTCAATATTGACTTATTAAATACGTGCATATGTGACATACTAAACATACTAGTTTACCTTGAAAAGCTTCATAGAAAACACCGACCTTACCTAACCTTCTTAGTATGTTAAGATAAGCATCTTATTGCTTCGTAATTACAATTATTACTTAACCTATTATAGGTATAGGTTAAGTAATAATTGTAATTATTATTAACCTATTATTATTACTTATACCTATTATAGGTATAGGTTAAGTAATAATTGTAATTACGAAGCAATAAGATGCTTATCTTAACATACTAAGAAGGTTAGGTAAGGTCGGTGTTTTCTATGAAGCTTTTCAAGGTAAACTAGTATGTTTAGTATGTCACATATGCACGTATTTAATAAGTCAATATTGACTGTAAGAAAGTGCGAGAACGGGTTGAAGAAACTTTGCCCATTTGTTTCTGCCTCGTGCGGGAATCGAACCCGCGCCACAGAATTACGAGTCCTGCGCGCTATCCACCAGGCTACCAGGCCCCTACAAGGCATAATCTATTTCATATTTTGGATTTGTATTTAATCTTGATCTCTCATTTCACACGCAATCTAATATAAAAAATTAGGTAGCAGTATAGGTCTTTATACACGTGCTTTTTCTTAATATAAAACTGTTGGTTCACAGACTGTTAATTTTAAATATAAGTGACTATCCACGTGAATCTATGTTTTTATTCTATGTAGTCTATTGAGAGTGTAATGTTGTGCTTTAAATTTTTAAATTTTAAATTTTGCCCCGAGGGGCGAGTTTATTGGGCAGCGCCACTCATCTTGTGAGTGGACACACCGCCATAGTGACAGTATTGGGCAGCGCCACTCATCTTGTGAGTGGACACACCGCCATAGTGACAGTATTGGGCAGCGCCACTCATCTTGTGAGTGAACACACCGCCATAGTGACAGTATTGGGCAGCGTCACTCATCCTGTGAGTGGACACACCGCCATAGTGACAGTATTGGGCAGCGCCACTCATCTTGTGAGTGGACACACCGCCATAGTGACAGTATTGGGCAGCGGCACTCATCTTGTGAGTGGACACACCGCCATAGTGACAGTATTGGGCAGCGCCACTCATCCTGTGAGTGGACACACCGCCATAGTGACAGTATTGGGCAGCGCCACTCATCCTGTGAGTGGACACACCGCCATAGTGACAGTATTGGGCAGCGCCACTCATCTTGTGAGTGAACACACCGCCATAGTGACAGTATTGGGCAGCGCCACTCATCCTGTGAGTGGACACACCGCCATAGTGACAGTATTGGGCAGCGCCACTCATCCTGTGAGTGGACACACCGCCATAGTGACAGTATTGGGCAGCGCCACTCATCTTGTGAGTGGACACACCGCCATAGTGACAGTATTGGGCAGCGCCACTCATCCTGTGAGTGGACACACCGCCATAGTGACAGTATTGGGCAGCGCCACTCATCCTGTGAGTGGACACACCGCCATAGTGACAGTATTGGGCAGCGCCACTCATCTTGTGAGTGGACACACCGCCATAGTGACAGTATTGGGCAGCGCCACTCATCTTGTGAGTGGACACACCGCCATAGTGACAGTATTGGGCAGCGCCACTCATCTTGTGAGTGGACACACCGCCATAGTGACAGTATTGGGCAGCGCCACTCATCTTGTGAGTGGACACACCGCCATAGCAGAATGTACAACACTCCCCAATAGGTAGAAAACCCGCTCTGTTGTTCATCCTGTCACTTGTACCCAGACACAGCTGGGACTTGCTTAATTGTGTTCTTGTATGTTATGTAAGGCCATTAACTCCTTTCCAACGACCGTAACCGTTTGGCAACTGCCAGGCAACACTCCGTCCTCAGACCAGGTCCATTCCATCCAGCGGTCGACCCCCCAAAGATACATTCATAAATTTTAACATGCAGTTCATTCAAAATTGGAATTTTTTCAAATATAAATTAATATTATTATATATTAGCATATTTAGGCATTAGTTAGGTCAGGTTTGTTGGTGGTTATTTGTATTTGTAATACGTGGGTGAAGCATTTACTGCAACCCGTCCTCGACTCAAGTCCATTCCATCCAGCGGTCAGCCCCACAGACGCATTCATAAATTTTAACATGCTGTTCATTCAAAACGGGAATTTTCTCAAGTATAAATTAATATTATAATTTATTGGCATATTGTGTATCTATAGGCATAGGTTTAGGTTAGGTGTTTAGGTTAGGTTAGGTTAGGTTAGGTTAGGTATTTAGGTTCTGTTGGCGATTATTTGTATTTGTAGTACGTGGGTGAAGCATTTACAACGTTGTGGTTCGAACACAAGTCGTCAGTGAAGCACTTGTTCCGGAAGTGTTCGAACGAAATCAGTTGCGAGTCGTGTGTAAACTGTTTTTCATTCATAAACAGGGGGTTTGGCGGGTGCATTGAATCACTTTTGGATCTTTGTTTGGAGGACGGGCTGTTTGTGGTTCGAACAAAATTCGTAAGTGAAGCACTTGTTCCGGAAGTGTTCGGCCGTCATCAGTTGTGAGTCCAGCCCGTCCTCCAAACAAAGACCCAAAAGTGATTCCATCCACCCGCCAAACCCCCGTTTTTATGAATGAAAAGCGGTTTACACACGACTCACAACTGCTGACGTTCGAACATATCCGGAACAAGTGCTTCACTGACGAATTTGGTTCGAATCACAACGCTATAAATGCTTCACCCACGTACTACAAATACCAATAATCGCCAACAGAACCTAAACACCTAACCTAACCTAACCTAACCTAACCTAACCTAACCTAACCTAACCTAACCTAACCTAACCTATGCCTATATATACACAATATGCCAATATATTATAATATTAATTTATACTTGAGAAAATTCCCGTTTTGAATGAACAGCATGTTAAAATTTATGAATGCGTCTGTGGGGTCGACCGCTGGATGTAATGGACTTGAGTCGAGGACGGGTTAGTGAGTCGTGTGTAAACCGTTTTTCATTCATAAACAGGGGTTTGGCGGGTGGATGGAATGGCCTTTGTCCTTTGCTTATGAGGACGGGCAGCACGAATTGGAAGACGCAGAATCGTGAGCTGCTCACCGGTTTAGTGAAGTTAGGGTAGCTGAGCTCGATCTGCCAACCGTGCGTGGTCCAGGAGCCGAAGTAGATGTGACAGGTCTGAGTGTCGTAGGGCCAGTGAGAGATGTCCATGGGGCACTCGACGGAGATGTGGGCGGGCGGGAACCACACCACCCACCCGTTGTACACCACCAGGTGGGTGTTGCCGTAGTGGTCCACTTCAGTGATGTCTGCGCTGGTAGTTAGTGGAGGGAGGAAGTAGCTATTATACAGTTGACCAGACCACACTCTACAAGGTGAAGGGACGACGATGTTTCAGTCCGTCCTGGACCATTCTCAAGTCGACTTGAGTATGGTTCAGGACGGACCGAAACGTCGTCGTCCCTTCATCTTCTAGTGTGTGGGCTGGTCAACATACTTTAGCCACGTTATTGTGACTCAGGGCAAGCATAGGTATTATACAGCTTCATATCCTAATATGTACTGTATTGGTAAACTGTTTATTGTTGTGTACGTAACCTTGTGTGTGTGTGTGTGTGTGTGTACTCGCCTATACTCACCTATATGTGCTTGCAGGATCGAGCATTGACTCTTGGATCCCGCCTTTCTAGCTATCGGTTGTTTACAGCAATGACTCCTGTCCCATTTCCCTATCATACCTAGTTTTAAAAGTATGAATAGTATTTGCTTCCACAACCTGTTCCCCAAGTGCATTCCATTTTTCTACTACTCTCACGCTAAAAGAAAACTTCCTAACATCTCTGTGACTCATCTGAGTTTCCAGTTTCCACCCATGTCCCCTCGTTCTGTTATTATTACGTGTGTGTGTGTGTGTGTGTGTGTGTGTGTGTGTGTGTGCTCACCTATTTCTGGTCATAAGCCTGAATTTTTAGCCTGAATTTACCTGAAGGTAAATATCTCTCTAGTATTAATAGGTTTAGAATGATATAAATTTTGTTTAGCTTGAGAATAGACATGGTTGATAAAATTTAAGGGGTGCAGGCGATGAGTCACAATAACGTGGCTAAAGTATGTTGACCAGACCACACACTAGAAGGTGAAGGGACGACGACGTTTCGGTCCGTCCTGAACCATTCTCAAGTCGACTTGAGAATGGTCCAGGACGGACCGAAACGTCGTCGTCCCTTCACCTTCTAGTGTGTGGTCTGGTCAATAAATGTAAGGGGTAACCAAGGCCAGAGAAATTTGTAAATAAAAGAAATTTCATAGTCAAGAAACTGAGGGTCATAATCAAATTTCTGAATTTGATTATGAAATTTCATAACCGAGAATGCGTAGAGCCCAGAGGAAGAGACACAGACACGAGTAATCTAAGATGAGGTCTGATAAAGACCTTTTGTGCCCTCTGTAATGCTTTTGCGCTACCGCTCACAGGATGAGTATGGGGTGCACAATAAACTAGCCGCCTTCGGCGGCAACAATCAAACAATCGAAACACGAGAACACTTTAATTATCAGAAGGGGGATGGTAGGAAAAGAAGTGAATGTACATTACCACTATGCAAAGACTTGCGGTACACAGAGAAAGAAAAACCAGGCATCAGAGCCGTGTAGACGAGACCACACACTAGAAGTTGAAGGGACGACGACAATCGACTTGAGAATGGTCCAGGACGGGCCGAAACGTCGTCGTCCCTTCAACTTCTAGTGTGTGGTCTGGTCTACATACTTCAGCCACGTTATTGTGACTCATCGAATGCGTCAGAGCCGTGAATATGAACGTCTAAAAACAGAAGGAGGGAATTAGATTACCTAAGATTACTTAGGTAATCTAATCCTTTACTTAGATTAAAAGGGAGCTGGTCGGCCGAGCGGACAGCACCCTGGACTTGTGATCCTGTGTTCCCGGGTTCGATCCCGTGCGCCAGCTAGAAACGATGGGCAGAGTTTCTTTCACCCTATGCCCCTGTTACCTAGTAGTAAATAGGTACCTGGGAGTTAGTCAGGTGTCACGGGCTGCTTCCTGGGGGGTGGAGGCCTGGTCGAGGACCGGGCCGCGGGGACACTAAAGCCCCGAAATCATCTCAAGATAACCTCAAGATAACCTCAAGATAACCTTTCAACTTTGAAACTGATAGGAGCCATGGGTTAGATTCACGAAGCAGTTACACAAGCACTTACGAACCTGTCCATCTTTTCTCAATCTTTGGCGGCTTTGTTTACAATTATTAAACAGTTAATGAGCTGGGAAGCACCAGGAGGCTGTTTATAACAATAACAACAGTTGATTGGCAAGTTTTCATGCTTGTAAACTGTTTAATAAATGTAACCAAAGCCGTCAGTGATTGAGGAAAGATGTACACGTTCGTAAGTGCTTGCGTAACTGCTTCGTGAATCTGGCCCCAGGTTCGTAAGTGCTTGCGTAACTGCTTCGTGAATCTGGCCCCAGGTTCGTAAGTGCTTGCGTAACTGCTTCGTGAATCTGGCCCCAGGTTCGTAAGTGCTTGCGTAACTGCTTCGTTAATCTGGCCCCAGGTTCGTAAGTGCTTGCGTAACTGCTTCGTGAATCTGGCCCCAGGTTCGTAAGTGCTTGCGTAACTGCTTCGTGAATCTGGCCCCAGGTTCGTAAGTGCTTGCGTAACTGCTTCGTGAATCTGGCCCCAGGTTCGTAGGTGCTTGCGTAACTGCTTCGTGAATCTGGCCCCAGGTTCGTAAGTGCTTGCGTAACTGCTTCGTGAATCTGGCCCCAGGTTCGTAAGTGCTTGCGTAACTGCTTCGTGAATCTGGCCCCAGGTTCGTAAGTGCTTGCGTAACTGCTTCGTGAATCTGGCCCCAGGTTCGTAAGTGCTTGCGTAACTATTGATAAGACTTGAGAGAAAAGGCTGGTAAATAATATAGTCATAATATCATCAACACAGCGATGCCAGAGAGAAGGGAAGTATCAGGAGAGAGCGATGATTGATTGATTGATTGATTAAGATTAAGCCACCCAAGAGGTGGCACGGGCATGAATAGCCCGTAAGTGGTGGCCCTTTCAAGCCATTACCAGTATCAAAAGATGATACTGGAGATCTCTGGAGGCGCAACTGCACCCTGCGTGACGGAAGATGTCTCCCGGACCAAGTGGTGACCAAATGGTGAGGAGAGAGCGCCTAGCCATTACGACTATATAACACTGGGAAGGTGTCAGGATAAGGATTTGGGATGGGACGGGGGGGAAGGAATGGTGCCCCAATCACTTGGACGGTCGGGGATTGAACGCCGACCTGCATGACGCGAGACCGTCGCTCTACCGTCCAGCCCAGAGAGAGAGAGACCGATGCCAGAGACACGAGAATCAATAGTGGGAAGAACTGTTTAATAGTTTGCGGATTTTGCAACATTGATTGGAATGCCTAGATCTAACTTGAGGCTTATCACAGGCAGTGGAGGTCGGCCTTAAGTCCTTCCCGCTAAACACACACCGAAACTACGACGTTGGTACAACGTTCAAACACGTTTTAACACCTCCTAACCAGTTATAACAACCAATATATCAAGTTGTAACAACGTTCTAATACGTCATAAACACGTTAAACGAACATGTAAAAACGTTATTACAAGTTGTAACAAGCGGAAAATACAGACAATTTTGGTTTGTGTTTCCAGGGTTGTACTGTCCTCAAGCAGGGGGGGGGGCAAGGAGGGGGGGGCAAGGAGGGGGGGGGCAAGCAGGGGGGGGGGCAAGGAGGGGGGGGGCAAGCAGGGGGGGGGGCAAGGAGGGGGGGGGCAAGCAGGGGGGGGGGGGCAAGGAGGGGTACTGCTTCATATTTTTATTTTTATTTTATACTTAATCGTTGCAGTAGAAGTATGATTGATGTATGATTGATGTATGATTGATGTATGATTGATGTATGATTGATATGATTGATGTATGATTGATGTATGATTGATGTATGATTGATATGATTGATGTATGATTGATGTATGATTGATGTATGATTGATATGATTGATGTATGATTGATGTATGATTGATATGATTGATGTATGATTGATGTATGATTGATGTATGATTGATGTATGATTGATATGATTGATGTATGATTGATGTATGATTGATGTATGATTGATATGATTGATGTATGATTGATGTATGATTGATATGATTGATGTATGATTGATGTATGATTGATATGATTGATGTATGATTGATATGATTGATGTATGATTGATGTATGATTGATATGATTGATGTATGATTGATGTATGATTGATATGATTGATGTATGATTGATATGATTGATGTATGATTGATATGATTGATGTATGATTGATGCAGTTGAAATGATTGATTGCACTTAATTGTATATGTATAATGGGTTACTTAGTTGTAAGGTGCGTGTCGATTATTGTCCTCTGATGTAGTGACACTCTAAGGTTTCAAAACGTCATGAAAACTTTTAATTAAAAGTTTCCTCTCCTAACCTAACAGCCTAAGCCAGAGAACCCAAAACAGAAAACGGAACAATACGTTAGTTTCGTGAGCCGATTTCATTTTAAATCACGTCAATTTTGAGCCTGAGTGCGCATATGAACGCAAAGGGACGTAGTTTGTAAGAGAACGAGTAGGAGGGAGAGAGAGGATTGTTGTGTAGATTCAGCTACTCAGAACAGAAAGTTGCAAGTAGCACGGGCTATGGTGAGCCCGCATGGGAGAGAGGAGTGACAAGCACCGCCAGTCACCTACTTGTTGTAGACGGTAATGTCAGGGGTCCAGAGCTCGTCGTGACCGAAGTGTAGGACATCCAGTCCGCCATAGTCCTTGGGGTCCCACCTCACCCGCTTGTCCTTCCACACCTGCCGTAAGAATAGTAATAATTCAATGAACAAATCCACAAGGGCCGTGACGAGGATTCGAACCTGCGTCCGGGAGCATCCCAGACACTGCCTTAATCGACTGAGCTATCCACAAGGGCCGTGACGAGGATTCGAACCTGCGTCCGGAAGCATCCCAGACACTGCCTTAATCGACTGAGCTACGACAGGGTATGCAGGCGATGAGTCACAATAACGTGGCTGAAGCATGTTGACCAGACCACACACTAGAAATTGAAGGGACGACGACGTTTCGGTCCGTCCTGGACCATTCTCAAGTCGAATCGACTTGAGAATGGTCCAGGACGGACCGAAACGTCGTCGTCCCTTCAATTTCTAGTGTGTGGTCTGGTCAACATACGACAGGGTAGCTCAGTCGATTAGCTTTGTGGATTTGTTCATTTGATGCATCACGTTAGTGTGATCTCTGTGTGTGTAGTAATAATTATATTATTTATATACAAGAAGGTTCATTGGGTTAAGTAGTGGGGATCCTTCAGTCTGGGGAGACTATGGAGCTGCGGTTTGATTGCTCTCCAGGGCGCAAAGGTAGGTCGATATGGAGAAGCTGTTACCCATGCAGCAGGTCCCCTACCCCTCTCCACGTTGCTGAAATTATTCAATGGAAATGCAAATACCAATACACATGGTTCCAATTTTGTAACTAGCTCATCAAGATTGTAACTTGCTTAGCTAAATGAATTGTGGGGTTCAGTCCCTGAGCCCATTATGTGCCTCTGTAACCCTCTCCTCTACCGCCCACAAGATGGGTATGGGGCGCATAATAAATGAGCTAAACTAACATGGTTCCAGCACATTGGGTTTATGAGAGTACATAGCATAGATGTTTTTACATATAAAGCCATTAACACTCGTAGCGTTTCGGGCAAGTCCTTAATCCTATGGTCCCTGGAATACGATCCCCTGCCGCGAAGAATCGTTGTTACAACCAAGTACACATTTTACTGTTGCGTTAAACAGAGGCTACAGTTAAGGAATTGCGCCCAGTAAATCCTCCCCGGCCAGGATACGAACCCATGACATAGCGCTCGCGGAACGCCAGGCGAGTGTCTTACCACTACACCACGGAGACTGCTAAATCTAATCTAATCTAACAGATAATTTTAAGTAGGTAAATTTGAGCAAAATTGAAAACATGTTTACAGGTACAGTGTAAGAAAATTTGACAAAGATTAGTAAAATATACTTAGGAATATGGTACAGTGATTAATTAGATACTGTAATTGCATGTTATACTAGCGCGTACTAGTGGCTTTACAAGAATGTAATTACTATGCTATGTATCCTCACAATCCCAATGTACCTTCTTGTATATGCATAAATAAATAAATAAATATAGATTTAAAGAGTATCGTGGTCTTTAAACTCTTCTTCATGCTTTCAAGTCATATATACGCCCTTATAAACACGCCAGACTGCCCAAGGTAACTTTAGTTCACATTAGATATAGATAGGATGTATAACTACTGTGCAATTATTATATTTGTGCATGTTCGGGGCAGCCTGAGGCTCGTGATAGCTGAGGAACAGTCCCAGTTGTTGTTTAAGATTTGCTACTTCAGGAGAACGACGGAGAAGCCGAAGCCGACGGAGAACCCTCTACAGCAGTCAAGCGTTGTATACATGTACACTTGCCCCCACGAAGGATGTAACCTTCAATCTAAGTACACAGGTATGACGTCGACCAAGCTGACGAGGCGTTTGACCTGCCATCTTCAATCCGGTGCCCCTAGGAATCACATGAGACAAGCCCATGACATCACCCTAACAAGAGAAATGTTGAACAAAAATACCTGTATAATAGACAAAATCCAAGGTGTAAGAAGATAACAAATTCTTGAAGCAATTCACATAAGAATAGAACAAGCTACCATGAACACCCAAATCACGGAACTATTTACTCTACCCACCATGAGAGTAAGGACAAGACCAGAACATAACGATGTCAACACAGAAGACACTGCTCAACATAACAAGCCAATTGCACTTGATTAATCTTTGTATGTGCTTCGTCCCCCATTTATCCCATATATATATATATATATATATATATATATATATATATATATATATATATATATATATATATATATATATATTATTGTGAGGTATCCCCGCTTCTGTTTGGAAAGGGGACCCATAGCCTGGAGGAAGGTATATACGACGTCTTAAAAGGGGATTTTGAAGGCCCCGCCAATGTAAGTTCCATGTTCCCTTTTCCCTCCATTTTCCTTAATTTGTTTTGATGTCACATTATTATACATTATATAAGATTATAAATTGCAAATTAGTGACTACAGTGTAAAGTTTAAGGTTGTGAATGTTGACCAGACCACACACTAGAAGGTGAAGGGAGGACCACGTTTCGGTCCGTCCTGGACCATTCTCAAGTCGATTGTGAGAATGGTCCAGGACGGACCGAAACGTCGTTGTCCCTTCACCTTCTAGTGTGTGGTCTGGTCAACATACTTTAGCCACGTTATTGTGACTCATCGTCTGCATGTTGTAAATCACTTTTTGTTTTGAGATATATACAAGAGTTGTTACATTCTTGTAGAGCCACTAGTACGCGTAGCGTTTCGGGCAAGTCCTTAATCCTATGGTCCCTGGAATACGATCCCCGCCGCGAAGAATCGTTTTTTCATCCAAGTACACATTTTACTGTTGAGTTAAACAGAGGCTACAGTTAAGGAATTGCGCCCAGTAAATCCTCCCCGGCCAGGATACGAACCCATGACATAGCGCTCGCGGAACGCCAGGCGAGTGTCTTACCACTACACCACGGAGACTGTCAAAGACGGAGACTTGGAGCTCCTCAGCTTTCTGGCAAGAAACAAGGACACAGTACACATTGTCTCTCTGGATCGCCACATTGAGGCGCTGAAAGCTGGCATCTCTAGGATCTCTAGTAGTGTCAATGAGCCTAAAACTAGTTCCTTGAGGAATATCATGGACCCTCCTTGCCTCAGGGGCCAAGCGTCTTGGATACTATGGAAACAAATGGATACTGATGTTCCGATGACTGTACTGTATAGATTTTACTGCTTCACTATGATTGGTCGCGTCAGATGTATGATCAACCCGTAAGTGTATATAGGGGTTAACCAGGAGGAATATACATGTGTAGTCCCACACCAGAGAGAGAGGAGGGGTGGGGAAGGACTTTTTATTATTATTATTATTATTATTATTATTATTATTATTATATTCTACCACAGACGTGGCCACACATTTACAATGCTAAACAACATATATATTTTTTCTTCTGTCCTCCATGGACTGATATTTTGGCGGGCAAGACTCAGTCAACAGAAAATGGATGAAAGGGCAGACTAAAGGAACCAATAATTGTTTTTATTAATGGAGGTAAAAGGTCGACACATCAGCAGTGAGCAACGAACAGCTAGATCTAGAAGGACTAGGAACATTTATCTCATGGAGTCATATAAAGTCCATCGTGAACACGACATAAGGACGTTTGCGTGCATTCAGTGGACCTACCATGACGTAGGTACCACCTACCATGACGTAGGGACCACCTACCATGACGTAGGGACCACCTACCATGACGTAGGGACCACCTACCATGACGTAGGTACCACCTACCATGACGTAGGTACCACCTACCATGACGTAGGGACCACCTACCATGACGTAGGGACCACCTACCATGACGTAGGGACCACCTACCATGACGTAGGGACCACCTACCATGACGTAGGGACCACCTACCATGACGTAGGGACCACCTACCATGACGTAGAGACCACCTACCATGACGTAGGTACCACCGCCATGACGTAGGGACCACCTACCATGACGTAGGTACCACCTACCATGACGTAGGGACCACCTACCATGACGTAGGGACCACCTACCATGACGTAGAGACCACCTACCATGACGTAGGGACCACCTACCATGACGTAGGTACCACCTACCATGACGTAGGGACCACCTACCATGACGTAGGTACCACCTACCATGACGTAGGTACCACCTACCATGACGTAGGGACCACCTACCATGACGTAGGGACCACCTACCATGACGTAGGTACCACCTACCATGACGTAGGGACCACCTACCATGACGTAGGGACCACCTACCATGACGTAGGGACCACCTACCATGACGTAGGTACCACCTACCATGACGTAGGTACCACCATGACGTAGGGACCACCTACCATGACGTAGGGACCACCTACCATGACGTACCACCTACCATAAGTATCCAGGCGTTGAGGTGAAGGACCTGACTGGTCTCGTCGAACCAAAGACCACGTAGGACGAAATCGAAGTAGACCCAGGTGGTGCCATTGTGGGTACGCTGAGGCATAGTGCGCTTGTCGTAAGTCTTCAGCACCTCCTTCCTGACCCTCTCGTTCAGGCTCCACCAGTCCGTGTCTGAGGAGGAAATTGAAATTGAAATTGAAATAAGTTTATTGAGGTAAAATACACACAAAGGGATGAGGTAGCTCAAGCTATTCTCACCCCATTCAGACACCCCGTGTCTGAGGAGGAAATTGAAATTTAAATAAGTTTATTGAGGTAAAATACACACAAAGGGATGAGGTAGCTCAAGCTATTCTCACCCCGTTCAGTACAACGTGTTAATATATACATAGACACACATCACAAATATACATATTACCAAACATTCTGAGAGATAAACATATACATTTCCTCCTTCACAAGTAGTATGTTATCAGACGTACACATAAATACTTTTATGACCTAGGTATACTGTATAGACAATTTGCAAGACACATGCAGATAATTCAACAAAATATTACAATCTTGGTGCAGAAGGTACACACACACAGGCTCAGTCGAGGCCAAGAAATGTAAACCCTAGAAACACAAACCGAAACTGTCTCTATTTTCCGCTTATTACAACTTGTAATAAAGTTGTTACATCTTGGCTTAACGTGTTTATGACGTATTAGAACGTTGTTACAACTTGCTATATTGGTTATTATAACTGGTTAGGTGGTGTTAAAACTTGTTCGAACGTTGTACCAACGTCGTAGTTTCGGTGTGTGTTTGACGGGAAGGAGCTTAATAAGAGCCGCCTCGTATGGGCCAATAGGCCTTCTGCAGTTGCCTTTGTTCTTATGTTCTTAAAGAAATTACTCGTACCCTGTACGGAAGATCAAGAAGTTCAATGCACTGACGGTAATATAAATAAATATGTATTCAAGTAAAAGTATATACATTTGTTGTATGTTGTGGAAGCCACCTCCATCCACAACTTGAAGGCCAGATGCGGCAAGGAATTCGAATGTCAGAAGAGTTAAATTGTAATGCAACAGGTACAAGACCAATGGGTGTGTGAGGGGTGACCCACTTCCAGCAGCTGGGGTTGTGAGGGGTGACCCACTTCCAGCAGCTGGGGTTGTGAGGGCTGACTAACCTCCCAGCAGCTGGGGTTGTGAGGGCTGACCAACCTCCCAGCAGCTGGGGTTGTGAGGGCTGATTAACCTCCAGCAGCTGGGGTTGTGAGGGCTGATTAACCTCCAGCAGCTGGGGTTGTGAGGGCTGACTAACCTCCCAGCAGCTGGGGTTGTGAGGGCTGACTAACCTGCACCAGCTGGGGTTGTGAGGGCTGACTAACCTCCCAGCAGCTGGGGTTGTGAGGGCTGACTAACCTCCCAGCAGCTGGGGTTGTGAGGGCTGACTAACCTCCCAGCAGCTGGGGTTGTGAGGGCTGATTAACCTCCAGCAGCTGGGGTTGTGAGGGCTGACTAACCTCCCAGCAGCTGGGGTTGTGAGGGCTGACTAACCTGCACCAGCTGGGGTTGTGAGGGCTGACTAACCTCCCAGCAGCTGGGGTTGTGAGGGGTGACTAACCTCCCAGCAGCTGGGGTTGTGAGGGCTGACTAACCTCCCAGCAGCTGGGGTTGTGAGGGGTGACTAACCTCCCAGCAGCTGGGGTTGTGAGGGGTGACTAACCTCCCAGCAGCTGGGGTTGTGAGGGCTGACTAACCTGCACCAGCTGGGGTTGTGAGGGCTGACTCACTTCCAGCAGCTGGGGTTGTGAGGGCTGACTAACCTCCAGCAGCTGGGGTTGTGAGGGGTGACTAACCTCCCAGCAGCTGGGGTTGTGAGGGCTGACTAACCTCCCAGCAGCTGGGGTTGTGAGGGCTGACTAACCTCCCAGCAGCTGGGGTTGTGAGGGCTGACTCACCTGCACCAGCTGGGGTTGTGAGGGCTGACTAACCTGCACCAGCTGGGGTTGTGAGGGCTGACTCACCTCCACCAGCTGGGGTTGTGAGGGCTGACTCACCTGCACCAGCTGGGGTTGTGAGGGCTGACTCACCTGCACCAGCTGGGGTTGTGAGGGCTGACTCACTTCCAGCAGCTGGGGTTGTGAGGGCTGACTCACCTGCACCAGCTGGGGTTGTGAGGGCTACAGCAACAAGCAGGGGTCCCAAGAAGAGAGGGAGTCCGGTGGTTCTCATAATGTCTTGCCTCACAGAACTTCCTGTTTCCGGCTCATTAACGACTCTGAAAGAAACAAATATTACCAGACAGCTAATATAAAGCTATTATATAGATATTAGCTAATATAAAAGCTAATATCTTCCTAGATATTAGCTTTAGGAGTTGTGGAATGTTTCGGTTGTAACACAAACGCCGGATTCATTGACCAGTGAGCGAAATTTGAATTTTGAATTTGAAATGTATCGTTAAGTAAAGTTTTTGTGAAAGACATTATGCTGTTAACATTGTCATGAAGATTGCGTAAATTTTGGAGATTATGAATTCGTATCCATGCATCTGGTCCAGTTCTGGCTGAAGATAAGGACCCGGATTCACGAAGCCGTTACGCAAATACTTACGAACGTGTACATCTTTTCTCAATCTTTGGCGGCTTTGGTTACATTTTTTTAAACAGTTTACAAGCATGAAAACTTGTCAATCAACTGTTGTTATTGTTATAAACAGCCTCCTGGTGCTTCGGAGCTCATTAACTGTTTAATAATTGTAAACAAAGCCGCCAAAGATTGAGAAAAGATGTACAGGTTCGTAAGTGTTTGCGTAACTGCTTCGTGAATCTGGCCCAAGATTCGGATAGTTAGTTTAAACAAGTACTGACACTGAATGAAGCCTCAGCTGCTCACAGGATGAGTATGGGGTGCACAATAAACTACCACTCACAGGATGAGTATGGGGTGCACAATAAACTACCACTCACAGGATGAGTATGGGGTGCACAATAAACTACCACTCACAGGATGAGTATGGGGTGCACAATAAACTACCACTCACAGGATGAGTATGGGGTGCACAATAAACTACCACTCACAGGATGAGTATGGGGTGCACAATAAACTACCACTCACAGGATGAGTATGGGGTGCACAATAAACTACCACTCACAGGATGAGTATGGGGTGCACAATAAACTACCACTCACAGGATGAGTATGGGGTGCACAATAAACTACCACTCACAGGATGAGTATGGGGTGCACAATAAACTACCACTCACAGGATGAGTATGGGGTGCACAATAAACTACCACTCACAGGATGAGTATGGGGTGCACAATAAACTACCACTCACAGGATGAGTATGGGGTGCACAATAAACTCACAGGATGAGTATGGGGTGCACAATAAACTACCACTCACAGGATGAGTATGGGGTGCACAATAAACTACCACTCACAGGATGAGTATGGGGTGCACAATAAACTACCACTCACAGGATGAGTATGGGGTGCACAATAAACTACCACTCACAGGATGAGTATGGGGTGCACAATAAACTACCACTCACAGGATGAGTATGGGGTGCACAATAAACTACCACTCACAGGATGAGTATGGGGTGCACAATAAACTACCACTCACAGGATGAGTATGGGGTGCACAATAAACTACCACTCACAGGATGAGTATGGGGTGCACAATAAACTACCACTCACAGGATGAGTATGGGGTGCACAATAAACTACCACTCACAGGATGAGTATGGGGTGCACAATAAACTACCACTCACAGGATGAGTATGGGGTGCACAATAAACTACCACTCACAGGATGAGTATGGGGTGCACAATAAACTAAACTACCACTCACAGGATGAGTATGGGGTGCACAATAAACTACCACTCACAGGATGAGTATGGGGTGCACAATAAACCAAACTACCAATAAACTCACAGGATGAGTATGGGGTTCACAATACACTACCACTCACATGATGAGTATGGAGTGCACAATACACTACCACTCACAGGATGAGTATGGGGGGGTGGGGGCACAATACACTACCACTCACAGGATGAGTATGGGGTGCACAATAAACCACCACTCACAGGATGAGTATGAGGTGCACAATAAACTACCACTCACAGGATGAGTATGGGGTGCACAATAAACTACCACTCACAGGATGAGTATGGGGTGCACAATAAACTACCACTCACAGGAAGAGTATGGGGTAAACACAATAAGTATGGGGTGCACTACCACTCACAGGATGAGTATGGGGTGCACAATAAACTACCACTCACAGGATGAGTATGGGGTGCACAATAAACTACCACTCACAGGATGAGTATGGGGTGCACAATAAACTACCACTCACAGGATGAGTATGGGGTGCACAATAAACTACCACTCACAGGATGAGTATGGGGTGCACAATAAACTACCACTCACAGGATGAGTATGGGGTGCACAATAAACTACCACTCACAGGATGAGTATGGGGTGCACAATAAACTACCACTCACAGGATGA